GGTTCCTGGTTTCCGGCATGACGAGTACTGGAGACGAGATGAATATCTTCTTGAGTGCTTGGAATGCCTCCTCGCATGCCGTCGTCCAGTCCCAACTGCGCTCCTTCTGTGTCAACTCGAATAGCGGCCTAGCTATTTTCGAGTAATCCTTGATGAATCTGCGATAGAAGTTGCAGAATCCCAAAAACGATTGGACCTCCTTGACTTTGGTCGGTGTGGGCCAGTCCATGATACCGGCCACCTTGATCGGGTCCATTTCCAGATGTCCATGAGAGATGACGTACCCGAGATAGTCAATTTTCGTTTTGTGAAAATGACATTTCGAGGGTTGCAGGTACAAGTCGTTATCCTGCAATATCTGTAAAACCTGTTTCATCGTCTTGATGTGTTCATCCATAGTCTTTGAGAACACCAAGATGTCGTCCATGTAGATGGCCACTCGTCCTGCATAGATGAGGTCCTTGAAAAGCGAGTTCATCATGGTTTGGAACGTCGCCGGCGAGTTGGTGAGGCCGAAGTACATGACCAGAGGTTCGTACATCCCTAGATTCGTTACGAACGCTGCCTTGTGGACATCCTTTTCGTCGATGAGGATGTTGTTGTATCCAGTGTCGATGTCCACCAGCGAGAAGTATTCCGCCTCTGTCAAGAGATCCAGTAACTCTTGAATGATCGGGAGAGGATACTTGTTCTTGATCGTTATTTCGTTAAGCTTCCGGTAGTCCATTACCGGCCGTAGCTTTCCATTTTTCTTTTTGATAAAGAAGAACGGGGATGCCATGTGCGACTTGGATTCTCTGATGAATCCCTTCTTGAGACTGTCGTCGATGAATTTCTTGAGTTCCTCTTGCTCCATGGGACTAAGGCTGTAAAGTTTCGGCCTGAGCGAGTGTTCCATGTCGTCCTTGAGTTCGATCTTGTGGTCCCATGGTCGTTTGGGAGGTAGTTTCCCAGGTTTTCGACCTTTGAAAACCTTCCTATAACTCCAGTATTCTTTGGGTACGATTTCCTCGAAGGATAATTCGGGTTTCCCTTTCGAGGCCTCTTCTGCCAATTTCTGTGAATTGGTGTGTTTCGTTTGCTTGCCTATCGCTGCCTTGGCAGGCTCCGCCTTGCGTGCCGGTGTATTGGCGACGGAGGTTTCCACGCGGTGGATGTCATAGCTTTCTTCGTGGTCATTGTATAACTCCAGGGCTTCTAGTTGCCCTGTCTCCAAATACCTGACGAGGTATACTCCCTCTTCGTCTAGATCCGTGGAAGGTAGAGCCGATAGCGGTCCACCACCTTCTTGGGGCTCCTCTTCTGCCCATGTCGGCGCCGTGTAATTTCTGGCTTGGGTCCTGAGCGAGTACTCCCTGTTCGTGCCTTTGGGTTGCGACCCCCGGATTTTAGGCAATATCCGCGGATGTGGTACTGTAGTGTTTCCCACTTTCCGACCTAGCTGTCCTTTCTCTGGCTTCTGCAATGGGATTGAGTAGTCGCGCTCTCGCGGTACTGTCACCATGCGCCGTACTCCTGGTTCTTGACGTCCTGGTTTCCTAAAGGCCCTTTTTGCCTTGACTGGTCCTCCTATGATGTCGCATGTCGGTGGGCACCTAGTGAAGTGTAGTCCATACGCGTGCCAGTCGACCTCTGGGTTGTGTTCCAATAACCAGTCGGTTCCTAAAATGACGTCCTCTTTTCCAATTTCGGCAATATAGAATCTTGCCGACTCGATGTGGGCTCCCCCTTGTTCGCCTAGGACTCGTAGTTTCAGTTCTGCGAACCTCGTGATTGGTCCTCCTTTGAATTCCGTGTTTTGGACCGTATTGACTGGGATGGGGTGGGGGGTCCTACTCGTCCTGATTCCATGCTTTTCCACAAAGTTGGGATGCATGAATATGCCTGTTGCTCCGCTGTCGACCAGAGCCTGTGTAGCAGCCTTTCGATTCTTGCCTATGAGTTCTGTCTCGATCCGAAGTGATGGTGCACCACGAGTTTTCATTTCGGAGAGGTATAACGTGTCTGGATGTCCATGCTCTTGGTCAGCATTGTCACTGGCCAGAGGAGCGTACCGATTTCTTGCAAGAATCCTACTCTTCACACCCGCTGCCGGTGGAAGAGACTTTAAAAATCCTTTGATTCGCCGTAAGCGTATGCTTCTGTGGCTTTGTCTGGGTGGAGCTCCATCGTTGTGTCGCTGTTCCCTCCTGGTTTATCTTCTTCCGCTCGATATTCTTCAGGGTCCTCGTCTGTTGCTTCCAAGGCTCTCATAGTGCGGGGCCGTGGAATAAATCTTCCTCTTGAAGGGGGAGGGAATCTTCTTCTGGGCCGGGAGGGACATTCGCGTGCCATGTGCCCGGTCTTTTTGCAGTAGAAGCACTTTCCTTCTTTGTAGAGCCGGTTCCTTTCTTCTGGTGTAAGCTTCTTGAAGCGGATGGCGTCGACCTCTAATTCGGCTGCGTCTACGTCCATAGGGGCGTATTGGGGCTCCCTTTCGTGACGTGGGGTCGGGGCGAAGTTCGAATAGTAGTTGGTTGGGGTGAAAACTTGGTACTTCCCCTGCCGAAGGTCTCGTGCGCGCATTTCTTCTATGCGCATTGTCTCGTGTTGTTTGGCCTTGGCTACTAGTTCGTCCCATGTCGCCTGTGCTGCTGGGTCTTGATAAATTCCTCGGGCCAACTCCCATTTGAGGCCCCGTAGGAAGTGCGTCTTCTTGGTCTCGAGATCAACCCCTGCTAGTTCGGCGATTTGCTCGAACAACTGGAGGTACGTGTTAAAGGACTCCTTTCCTTGGTTGATCCTGGCCAACTTGTCTCTGGCGTCTGCTGTTTTGTCGAATTCCTCGAAGTCCGTCGAGATTTTTTGACGGACTGAGGTCATGTCGGTAGTGGGTTTCCACGTGTAGTGGTCCCAATCGTCGTTTGTGTTCCTGGCCTTGGTGAAGTTCCTCGCCCATATCCCTGCTGATCCTCCTTTCATGTAGGACAAGGCGTACGCGATCTTTGTAAACTCGTCCGGGAAGTCGTGTTTCCTGGCGAGGATCATCAGGTCGATTTCGTGGAGGAACTGCTCCGTTCGTTTTCTGTTTCCATCGAAGGGAGTGGGTTTGGCCATAGCCGGTCCTTTGGACTCAGAATCTCTGGGGTTTGTCGACATTTCGTTGGACGGGGGTTGGGGATCGTCGGAAGGCTCTCCACCTATATCTGGTTCTTGAGTAGGCTCTTCTTGGGTGCTTTCGTCCGGTGAAAGAGTTCGAAAGCTCGTCTGGGAAAAGGTCTCTTGTGTCGGGGATGTGGTAGGCGTGTTTCTTTGAGAGCGTCGACTTCCACTGGCTGCTTCTCTGGGTAGATTGTAAGGGTGGTGCCTTGGTGAGGTACGATGTCGTTGTGGCGGTGATTTAGGCTTGATTCTTCTGAGCTCGTCTGCGACGATTGTGAGCTTAGTGGTCTGTAGTTCGGGTGCGGCGTGGATTTCTTTCTCGAAGAAGGGTTTCTTGTAGAATTCTTCTTTCCCAATTCCTGTGTAGAATCCGGTGAGGATTCCTCCGATGTAGAAGTGTCGGTTCTCTTCGTCACAATAGACGGTGTCTGGGTCGACGTCTTCGGGTAGGTGGTCGAAGACGTAGATCGGGTTATTGTGGTACGGGGGCGGGTATCCTTTCGGTACGATTGGATCAATCTTGGATTTGTTGTAGCCGATGCGAGGCTACTCCTGTGTATACTTGTCCTAACACTGAGTATGTGATGGGGGTGCTGGGCTAATCCTGGTGGCTAAGATGCTACTGTGGTTTCTCCAGAGCAGGGAAGAGTGAGCTCGTTCAAGTGTTAAGCCGGCTAGGCTTAGTCGAGTGCACGTGATGCACGAAGAGGGGTTCCCTGGGCTGAAGCCTATTAGTTCCACAATCGACTCAAGACTTACTGAGTCCTTGACTAGTTACAGGCAGGAGAGGGTGACGAGAGTGACGAGACGAATCCCTTGCTTCGTCAGACTTCGTATGGTTCTTTAGATCTGACAGAGATCGCGAAGCGTGAGCTGGGAAGGCAGCCAGACGCCGGGCGCAGTGCTGAGATCAAGATGTATACAAAGTGAACGAGCTGAGGCTTCTGAGAAGCTCAGCTCCCCTATATATAGTACAGGACTATTTAGGGTGGGACGGACATATGGTCCGTGCTTCGAAACACTAAGTACTATCAACGATCGACATCAGTAAGCCGCAGTCATTGTTCGTACTCCGCGGCTCTTGGATGTAGCCATGTATAGTAAGTAAATCAAATGTCTGTCCGCATCAATCAGAAACAAGGCACTGATCATGATCGGCAATGGAAGGGAACCCGATCACGATCGAATCAGAAACGAAGAGGAAGCATAGTATCGTAAGCGTTCATGCATTAGCATGTGAATGATGATCAATCCGGAATCCGAGGCAAAAGCGTTCATGCGTGCGCATGTAAATGATAAACAGTCTGAGTCCGAGTCGAAAGCGTTCAAGCCGAAGCTTGTGGATAAGTCAGGAAGAGATGCCAATGAATCACGTGCTGAGCACGTGTTAGGACGCAGTCCTAACAAGCACAGATTTCGACATTGATATGGCAATCATACTTTGCCAGGAGATAGGGACTATAAGGAACGACATCTCGGTTGTCCATGACAGTGCCAGATGAAAGGCAGGTGCGTCCATTATTTGGCCTAGCATATTGTGGGTATCCATCCTCGCCATATAGTGTTTCGGGAACAAAATCCTTGCGATAATGCTTGGAGCATTTACCATCTACCATACAAAGTGCATGAGGCTTTTCTGGACCACAGGGACCATGGATCATGAATTTTGTAACGGCATTGTAGAGCATAGGGTGAGTATCCCTATCTGGGATCTGAGCAGATACTATTCTGTCCACATGTTCGGCATTGCGGATCTTGTGATCACCATCAAGAAAAATTAGCAAATGCATGTGAGGCAGGCCACGTTTCTGGAATTCGATTGTATAGACCATGCCAGCTAATTTTCCAAATAATCCATTCTTGATCTCCTTAAGCAAGGCATTCTTCTTTTGGTTAAAGACCCGTGCCACAATATCTGGCCTATCTGCAGCTGTTTGTCGCTTTGGTGGGTTATTTGGATCATTACCAATAGGATGATCTAGCTCCAAAAGGGCCTGTTGGATCTCAGGCCAGTTTGGATTGGCAGTCATTGTCAAAAACAGATCAGGTTTCCGACAATGCCGACAAATTGACATGGAGTCTTGGAAAAGCTGGTACATATGGCGTGCGCTACCTGAATGTGTTGAAGGAAGAATGATACGGGTTCCTTGTTGAGCTAGATCTGGATTAACATCTGCATTGTTTACTGCATCACGAATGCCTTGGTAAGTGTCTGCCCGGATATCCTTTTGATGAGTCCGAACCCAATGGAGATTGCTTGTCTCGATTGATGCCCATGCATCCACAACATACTGTTGAAATAGCCTTCCACAGCGAAAGATGGTGTCTGGCTCTAGAATCCGAGGATGGAGCCGGTATGCATAATAACATCGCTGACTGACCCAAGGGCTACGTGTTCTCTGATCTGGATCTCCTGTGACTGGAATTTTTGTGTGCCAGCCTTGTTCGCCATGGGAAAACATAAGAATGTAGTGTAGTGGGGAATAGACTGGATTGAGGTGACTGATTCTTTGCAAATGTCCACCACGTAGCCATACTATAATATCCCGATGTTCACGTGTGACTTCTTCACCACTTCCAGGAATGACTGCCGCTACCTCATCTACTAAAGGCATGTTGTACCTGCGATGGTCCGTGTTTGGCTCTACAACGATCCGTGCAGAAATATTTGCCTGTTCATCTGGTGGCTTGTCATGTAGAATCTCATAGGCCTGTTTGTAAAGAGGCACATATGGATTGACTTCATGAAGCATAGCCTGAAGTTCTGTCAAGATAGTATGGTCCAAGTTAGGGTTACGTAAACTCCGAGTGGCCAAAGCAGCTTGAGGGTCATGAATGTATAACTGTGCATATGATGGTTGTTGTCCATCATCAGGAAGAAGGCTACCCATCCGATGTGAAAGTGCACCATGAAGACGGAAAGAATATGGCCCGCTTCTATTCAGCAGGTTCTCATCCAGTTTTAATGCCACTGAAGTAAACGCAAATGCTGAATTATACTGCCGGATCTGCGTTCGAAAGTTACGTGACCTAGTAGAAGGATCCATCAATAGCTTCCGCAAAGTATTGGGTGGTTCCGGAAGTAGTGGCAGGCTAATTTTCCCTTGTAAACAGCACATCCCAAATCTAGGATTCCTAATGCCAGACCTGACCAAACGTTCCCCTTTAAAGTGCAAGGCATTGCAGTGAGCACATCGGAAATTCATAGGTCCTATAGAGTGCTTTTCTGCAGGCTCTTGGTATGGCTGACAACCAAGAGGGAAATTTTGAGGAACAGCATTATTTCCAGGAGCATTGTCATCTAAATCTGGATGAGGAAGATGCTGTAATGGAGCAGGAGGTACATCTTGATCAAGGTCTGGATGCAGAACCTGATGTTCTGGAGCAGGGCCATCCACATCAATACCTAAGTCAAGAGGGGCTTGGAGATTAGACTGTGTTCTATTGGTGCTCTGGGCCAAAGCCAGTACATTATCCATAACATAGATTCCTTGATTGGGCACTTCAGCTTGATTTATATTTCCAGATGGCTCTAGGCAAGAGGGTTCCGCCCTAGCCAAGTTTCGTCTTCGGATACGTTCGGTAAATGAAGTGCGTAAGCTGTCCTCTACTCTTCGCATGTAATCCACATGTGGTGGATGGCTTATCCGATAAGCAGCCTGATGGACATGATGAGCAACACTATGTCGTGGTAGACCGGGATACATATCAAAGGGCAAAGGATAGTGTATCCTTGAAGGCCCAGCTATAGGCTGCACATTTGGTTGGGGGGGCTGATACAAATTGTGGTGATAGGATGAAGGATGCTGCCAAAATCCTGTGTTTGTACCTGTCGAAGCTTGACCTAAAATATTAAAGCCATTGATAGGTGTCGAATTGACTTGTTGCCCATTCATGCAAGAAGGTTCAGAGATAGGAGGAGCCATTCCTATAGGCTGTTGAAACACATCATCAACTGGCCTCGTAATGATATGTGATGGCCCAGCAACAGGCATATCAAAGATGGGCTGAGGGATAGGCTCTCTTTGTCTTTCTTCAATACGCCTGCGCCGGATTGTAGGAGAAGTCATTTGAAGACGTCGAAGGCGTTCATGCTCCCGCTCAGCCTGACGATCACGCTCAGGTGTTTGAGGTGATCTATTGGATTTATGTATTAGCATTATGCCTTTGTAAGATCCTATTCAAAATCCAAACTCACAGGCTAAAAGCTGTTTGATTTCCTTCATTTGGCTCAGCACCGGCTGGCCAATCCATATACATATCCTCATCATCAAACTCTTCAGGGTGTCTGACAGAATTTAGATTAGAATTATGCTCCCATAATATTTTGGCAACTTTAAAACTCACTGGCTCAAAGCCATATTGTTTCCTTCTAGCTGTGTCACTTGGCCAGCATTGTTCAGTTGTTCAGGCATGGTCACAGGAGGATCCCTACAATCAAAATTGAAGGGTGAGCCTCAAAATTATCCAAAAGGAACAGCAGAATCATAGCCCACATTTTTGTTTTCACAGTTTGTGAAGTGTAGGGGAGGGTTTTTTTTTTCTCAATTGAGTCAAGTAGCAATAGCTTATGCTTGGGCAATTTTTTCGCAATTTTACGCAATTTTATGAGCAAGAGGCAGTGTGTGCAGCAATGCTTTGTATAGGGACCACTCCCCTACATAGGTGGAAAGCGGAGTTGTTTGGTCTCATTTGGTCGCGTTTCGCTTCAGGCGTGAGTAAAGGTGTCCACTATATCGCGTTTTACCTTTGGCGAAGTCCTTTTTTGCACTTTCTCACTTGACATTGCGCTTTTGCGCTTCTGTTCGCTTCTCGGCCCGGTCCGGGTTCTCTTATGCCGGTATGGGTTCTCTCATGCCCTCGCGCTTCGCGCTCGGGTTCTCACGTGGTTTTCACGTGTTGCCACGCGAGATACTGCCTTTCCATTCTTTTTAGACTAGCTTCTCACCCGTCGCGTTGCGACGGCGCAACCATGCTTAATCTGAATTTTTGTTACAGTGCTTGGTCTGATGTGTCTGTAAAGTCTAGTGTTCACAAAGTCCAGTGCCTATAAAGTCTAGTGCCTGTAAAGTACAGTGCCCGTGCTTAATCTGAGTTTTTGTTGTAGTGCTTGGTCTCATGTGCCTGTAGAGTGCACTGACTATAAAGTCTAGTGCCCGTAAAGTTCAGTGCCCATAAATTCTAGTACCCATAAAGTCCAGTGCTTATAAAGTCCAGTGTCCACAAAGTCCAGTGCCTATAAAGTCCAGTGCCTATAAAGTCTAGTGCCTATAAAGTCTTGTGCCCCAATATCCCTATATGGCTCTTTTATGATATCCTATAATGTCCTTCCTATAAGATTCCCATATAAAGCTTCTTATAAGGTCCCATCCATTAGATTCCCCTATAAGATTCTGCCCTATGAGGCTCCCCTGTGAGGTTCTCTGTGAGGTGCTGGGATGTCATTTCAAGCTCCAATGGCTGCTGAGGCATAGCCCACTCCAGTTGCTAGGATTGCTAGGAACACCAAGACATGGCTCACTCTGCTTACTAAAAGTCCTATGCCCCAATATCCCTATATGAGTCTTTTATGATATCCTATAAGGTCCTTCCTGTAAGATTCCCATATAACGCTCCCTATAAGGTCCTATCCATTAGATTTCCCTATGAGATTCTGCCTTATGAGGCTCCCCCATCAGAGTCCCAACCATGAGGCTCCCCCGTAAGGTTCTCCATGAGGTGCTGGGATGCCATTTCAAGCTCCAATGGCTGTAGAGGCATAGCTCACTCTAGTTGCTAGGGTTTTTTATGTGGCCTACATAAGTGTAAGCAAGGACATATGACTTGAGCTATTAGCCCAGTGCCACCATTTCTTATTGTCCCCTTTTATTTATTATTTATTTACATAAAAAAATGCCTGCAAACAAAACCAAGAGTCCAGAGTGGTTGCCAAGCTAAGCACTTGGTGAATGCCCCCTTGCCTGAAGAAATCACTGCAAGACAGTGCCAGGAGAAGAGAATTCCCTATGGTTAGGTCAGCCCCGGGCACGCGCGCGCTGACCAACTCCATTTCAAGCTCCGACATGCTCCGTTTCGCGTCCCGAAGCCTATGGGACAGTGGTCTCGCGTGGTTTCTTACGTGGCCCACGCGAGCATAAGCGAGGAGCACGCGAGCATAGCCGTCGCTTAAGCGCCACAATTTTGCAGTGTCGCCCTCTATTTACTAGCTTCTCACCCGTCGCGTTGCGACGGCACAACCATGCTTAATCTGAGTTTTTGTTACAGTGCTTGGTCTCATGTGTCTGTAAAGTCTAGTCTCTGTAAAGTCCAGTGCCTATAAAGTCCAGTGCCCGTAAAGTCCAGTGCCTGTAAAGCTCAGTGCCTGTAAAGCTCAGTGCCTGTAAATTTTAGTGCCTATAAAGTCTAGTGCCCATAAATTATTTTGCCCTAATATAGCTCTCTTGTCATATTCTATAAGGTCCTGCCCATAATAGTCTCTATATAAGACTCTCTTGTCAAGCATTATTTAGTTCCTCTATAAGGCCATACCTATAAGGCTTTTCCATAATGTGCTGGGATACTATTTCAAGCTCCAACAGCTGCCAAGATATAGCCCATATAAGGTTCTCCTATATAGATTCCTTTATTATATTCCCCTGTTAGGTTTCTCCATTATGCTTAACTATTATGTTCCTCTCTTAGGTTCCTCTATAAGATCTTGCCAGTGAGGCTCTCTTGTGAAGCTCCTCTATAAGGTGCTAGAATATCACTTTTAGTGCCCATAAAGTCTAGTTCCCATGATATTCTATAATGTCCTGCCTATAAGATTCCCCTATAAGGCCCCTCTATGAGATTTTGCAAGATGACATTCAAAAGATTCCCCTATAAGGTTCCTCTGCCAGATCCTGCCTATATGGCTTCCCTATTAGGCTCCCTTTTCATATTCCATGAAAGGTTCTGCCCATAAGGCTCCCCTATGAGATTCTGCCCTATGAGGCTCCCCCGTGAGGTTCCCTGTGGGGTGCCAGAATGCCATTTTGAGCCCGATGGCTGCCGAGGCACGGCCTGCTCCAGTTGTTGGCATTGCCGGGCAGACCGGGATGCCGTGTGAAACCCCGACAGCTGCCGAGACATGGCCCGCTCCAGTTGCCGAGGTTGCCGGGTGGCTGAAGGGACAGCTCGCTCCGCTCGCCAAATTTGTCATGGCGCTCGCTTCGCTCGCGTGGTTTCTTACGTGGCCCACGCGAGCATAAGCGACAACACGCGACATTAGCCGGCGGAGTTTTGCCACAATTCTTCACTGTCGCCCTCTATATAGGGATGGATTATGGATGGATCGCGCGCGGGTAACCTAGACACCGACTAAAAACCAAGCTGCACACACGATGCATGCCGCCCAGTCGACGAACGCCTGCCGTAGCACTACCCACTGCCTCGAGCGCATACGCCACAGCAAGTACGCTCGCACCCGATGCGTCGAGCCCATCGACGCGAGCCCCATTCGGTTCTATTCGCGGAGCTCGCGATCAGGATCAGGATCAGGATCAGGGATCACATATCAAACCAGGACTTCATCATGCATCACGACCGCTCCCGTGTCCTGATCTCTCAGCGTCCGAGCATGCATACGCAGGCACACAGTACTGTAGGGCCGCACTCGACCAGTACCCAACTCCATCCGGGCCAGGGCCGCACGCATGCAATACCGCGGGTCGCTGGCACCGCGCTGCACTGCACTGCACCGCCCACCTCAGGGACGCAGAGATCTCTAGCATGGAGATTGCATCACGCCACGAGAGCGGCACCTTCATGCACGTTGTCGACGATCGTTGGCGCTGCATAAACACAGTAGACCAGGAGCTAGCGGTGGCTAGTTAGTGGTGGCGCCGTCGTCGTGACGGGAGCATAACTGACAGAACGTCGGCCTACAGGGCGCGCCGCTCTAACCTCATCCATCGCGCATCAAGATCAAGATTCGGAGAGACCATCGCGATGCTGAGGTAACTTATCAGCGTCGGACGTGGGATGAACGAAGTACACGGTGGGCGATCCTTGATCGTCGCGCTGATACACGCCCACTCGCGGACGACAATAGCAGCGACAACGCGATGCCGAATCAACGATCAGCAGGGTGTACAGTGCGGGCGCGGAGCAGAAATAGCCCGCGACGCGAGGTTCGACGCGGGTCTCGATAGGCCCGATGGTATCAGAGTGGGCGACCGAGCGAGGGTCGAGGGCGGGGCGGAGCTGGTCTATGGCAGCCTCGGAAAGCTCCAGACGCCCCAGACGACAGCGCACTGATGACAGAACGAACAAATCGACGTCGAGCGGCGGGGGTGCCATGGGTTGTCACGACCAACGAAGCACTCCATACCACACGACGCAATGTGGCGTCTCCGAGTGCGCGTCCGGGGCAACCCAGCAACATCAGACGCGCATATACTGTACCCAACCGCCGTACAAATAAGCAACCGAGCTGACTCGCCAGCAGCACATGGCAGCAGGCGGTATACCCGACTGCGGATGGCTTGCGGGGTTGCCTCGAAAGCCAAAGGCGGCCACATGCATGCTTATAAGAGTATCGAACATCCCAGCAACCATTCTCGAAGCACGACAGGCGCGCGGTCGTCGCGCACAGCACAGCGCCCTCCGCCTCGAGCGAGCGCGCAATCGGGCGAACCTGCATACTGGCCACTTCCCATCATGGTGCGTCTGTTACTTGGCGTTGTGAAGCCACGACTTCGGGATCTCGGAGGGCCTTCGAGTCTGCGAATCGATTCTGCGGCGCCGTTGCCATGCTCTGATCGTCTCTTAGGGACCCGCGGCGCGGCGCGGAGGCGCGCGCTGGCCACGGCAGGCGGAAGCTGGCAGAAGTCGCTAGACCGAAGCATGGAGTGGTGTGGTGGACGCAGGCAATAAAAGAGCCCGTGGGAAAGCCGCGGCGCGTAGTAGGAACCGGGTCGGGATTATCGGAAGGCGCAGAGAGCTTCAGGCCCACCGACGGGCAGAGGGAGTTCCGAGTTGTGTGCGTGCGTGCGCAGCGACACGACACGACACGACACGACACGAGACAATACCGATATGTCGGCTCGCGGTGTAACAGCGTGCCAGCCAACGCGCGCACCGCATGCGCGCGCTCTACGCAAGCACGCAGCACCGTCGCGAGGACGCCTCGGCGCACTCTCGGGGCCCGTTGACCAGCCTCCCAGCGCACGCCTCTCGACGGCCGCCGCCCCCACCCGTCGCCGTCCTCGAGGCCGTCCATCGCGGCAGTCCAGTCCAGGGCAGTCCAGCGAAGGCTGTGCAGTCTGTGCCCCCGCATCTTTGTTCCGGATCCGGATCCCGGCGAGCTAGCAAGTCAGCGGACGGGGCCCTCCGCGCGGGCGGCGGGCCTGCGTGAGATCTCGATTCAGGAGAGGCATGTGCAGAGCTGGAAAAGCGATGGAAAGAGATGCCGGCGAGGCGAAGCAGAGGATGAAGCGGTACCGCGACGTGCGCGATACGGCACCATGGCCTACACGGCGCGACGAGATAAGATATGGACCTACTGTACCACGAGAGCGCAGACAGCATCAGTCGTCGCGCACAGCTAGGCGCTCATTATTATCATCAGCGAACACGAGGCGGACGGTGCATATGATCGCGCTGGATGGATGCCCATTATTAGCAGTCATTAGCGCGCTGGAAGGACGGGCGTGCACGAAAATAGACGGAGGGGTCGGAGAGGCCCGAGGGCGATCAGATGGGGGACGCCCGGGGGGAGCGACCTCCGGGAGGGCAGGGGCACGCGCTTGCGACGTCGCGGGGCACAAGATATACCGTGGCTGGGGAGTGGCTGGGGCATGCACGGCCGAGGGCCATCGACGCGCGCGGGCGCGGAACTGCCAGATGGGCCAGATGATGATGGGCTGATGCTGCCTGTGATCGTGAGAAGGCGAGCGAGCGCGCGGCGCGGCTGATTCGAGCGGGGTGGCCCGAGTTGGAGCGCGGCGCACACGGCTGGCTGGGCCTTCTGGACGTGCGTCCGTGGGAGCGCCGTGGATGGGTCGCCCAGCAGCCCAATGCTGATGTGTGCCGAGTCGGAAGCCAGTGCGGCGCGGGCGATTCCGGCGAGTTGGGGGCAGTGTGGGGATGCGTTCGCGTTCGCGTTCGCGTTCTGAGAACGCTGGACGCGATGCGATGCGGGAGAGAGAAGGGAAGGCGGGGGACTCGGCCTCTTGGGGCTAGCAGAGACGTTTCTTGTAGTAGGCCGAATGTCTGCGCGCCGCCACGTCCGCGCAATTGCGGGGAAGGACGTTGAACGTCGTGACAGAGAACAGCAGAGCGTGACCGAAGGCGAGATTGGAGCGGAGGTGCGACCCGGGACAGCGCCCTGCGGGAAATGGAGCGAAAATTGGAGGAGAAAGGGACCCCGGAGAGGGGTGCGGAAGCAGTGTGATTGGGGGAAGAGACGCGGGGAGCGAGGAGATGGCTGGGCGAACGCCGACTTGTTCGATTGCCGCTCCGCGCAACGAGCGCCACTCGGTTAGATGCATCCACTCCTCCTCTAGTCCCGAGTTCGCGCCTCATCTCTCCTCCCTCTCCTCCACCACAACCGTCCCCCCCCCGTCCCCGTCCCCGTCCCCTTCCCGCCTTTTACACAGATCATCTGCAGCGCACCGCAGCACGCACAGCGCTCCACCGCTACCGTGCGCCCGCGCTCCAAGTCGCCCCTATCGACTTTCATCTCCCCCTCCCCCCGCGTTCCCCTCTTGGGCGCACCACATCCACCGTGCCCAGCATGCCTGGCACCTCCAAGACACAGAAAGCGGAGGCGAAATACAATGTCACAACAGAATGTGCGCACTTCCTTCCTCCTCCTCTCGCCCCCCTCCCCCTCCCCCTCCCCCTTCCCCGATTGACCTCGCCTTTCCCGCCGCGCACCCCGCCGCACAGTCCCCCACCTGGGCCTCCACTCGGCCGCAGCGACAGGCAACATCGGCCTCGTCAAGTACGCCCTCTCTCACGGACAACCCATCAACTCCGTCCTCGACGGCGTCCTCCCCCTCCACGCCGCCTGCTCCGGCGGCAACGAGCTCGTCGTCAAGCTCCTCATCGACAGCGGTGCCGATGTCAACGCTCCCAGGTGAGCGACCGTCCTTCCTTCTTCACAACTTCTCTTCTCCCGCCTCGACGCTCGAACGGCCCCGTTTCGAGCCCTGCCCGAGCGGACTTTGCGCGATGGCTCTCTATCGAGAAGACAATAAGGAGTTCTGCGTGTTGTGGCGCCTTGCGCCCACAATCGCATCGCGCCTTCCCCTCTCCGATGCGTTATCTTCTCCACAGAGCCCGATGTCATCTCTCGACGCTCTGCGTCCTCTTTGACGTCATTCGCAGTCGACGGTCGTCCAGGGTGGTACGACCTCGCCTAAGCACGCTAAATGTACAGAAACACGTGTCCGAGGGTCTCCTCCTCTCCTTGCCTCGAGGCGTCGCCCCTGTGTGGGGATAGGGCAATCAGGCTTCGGCGTCGTGGTCGCTCTATGATTAGAGTCGGCATCGGGACCTGTCTGATCAGGAGCAGGGACGCTCCCCCGCTTCGACCTCGATCCCGCACGACCTCGTGTTCGGCAGTCCTGCATCTCGTCTCGGGTGCGCGCAGCGACCGGTGTTAGAGCGCACGTGCGGTCTATTTTGTCTCCTCGTTTCTGACCTCCTGTTCCATTTTTTCCATCTCTGACGTTCGAACAATGACACCTCCCCTATCACAGACTCCCCCGCAAATACTCCGCGCCCCCACGCACCGCACACCATCATCTCCCTCATCACGCGTCCCACCCCTCCCACCCGTCCAACATCGCCATCGGCACCACCGGCTCGACCCCGCTGCACTTCGCGGCGGCCAACGGCCACACGGGCGTCGCGCTCACGCTGCTACAGCGCGGCGCGCGGGCGGACAGGGCGGACAAGCACGGGGTGACGCCGGAGATGATCGCGCGGCAGAACGGGTGGCTCGGGTGCGCAGACGCGATTGGGGCGTGGGTGCGCGAGCGGGACCGGGATCTGGAGTCGCGGCCGGCGGGGGAGGACTACGACGAGGAGGGCCAGTCGCTGGGGACGGGCGGGCTGGAGAGCGTGGGGCGGGCGCAGCGGGAGCGCCACGGCTCGTTCTGCGCGTGCGACGCGCCGGACTGCCCGGGCTTGCGCAGTCGGCGGCTGAACGTCAAGCACTCGATCGAGAACGCCATCAGCTTGTTCAAGGCGGCGGGCAGCGGGCACTCGTCGTCCCCCACGCCCGCGGCGTCCGTATTTGGCGACGCCTTCCCGGACGTGCCGGGGACGCCTGAGGGCGTGCGGTGGGAGCGGCGGCCGTCGCTGCCGCATACGCATGAAGAGGGCTCGAGCCAGAGCCAGGTGTGGCGGTCGCCGTTCTCGTCCGCGTCGTCGCGGAGGCCGAGCTCGGCGGGGACGGGCGCGAGCGAAGGGGGCGGGAGCGTGCGCACGACGCCGCGGAAGCTGGGGTCGAAGTATTCGCTGTTGAATCTGTTCAAGAAGGCGAGCGGGGAGGGCGAGAGTGCCGGGGGTACCGGCAGCGTCGCCGCGAGCGCCAACCATAACCACAACACCGCGGCCGACGGACAGGGCGCGAGCCACGGGCAGAGTCCGCCGGAGAGTCCGCGGCCTGGGATCGGCATGGGGATACTGCACAGGGCGCACGGGCGGGCCGGGAGTGGGTCCGGGTCTGTGAGCCAGCCGCCGCCGCGGGCGCTCAGGTTCGACTCGTCGTCCTCGGCTTCGTCGAGCGGGTCAAACAGTTCTCAGCCACCGGGGGTCGAAACCACCGGGGCGAAACCACCATCATCGCCGCGCGATCGGCGACGAGAAGACGAAGAGGAGGAAGAGGAGGAAGAGTACGGCCAGCCCATCCCGAGTAGGATGGGGCTTGGTGTGGGCGAAGAAGGGTCCCCGAAGCCGTCGCTGAGGACGGGCGGACTGCGGTCGCGCGGACAGTCCCAGACGTCGCAGCTGTCACCGCTGGAGGATCCGCGCGCGGATCCGCACCCGGAGCAAGACAGCACAAGCGCCGACGTCGCACCTGGCACCGCCCCGGCGCTCCTCCCGCCGCCGCCGATGATGATGGGCCCAGGCGTCCTCCTCGATGGGGAGCGCAACCACGTCAGCCCCGACACGTACACGTTCACGCAGGAATACGGCTCGCCCTCGCCCTCGCCCTCGCCCTCGCCCCCGCGCCGCCCGGACCTCTCGCCGCCCTCCACTGGCGCGAGCACGTTCGAGTTCATGGGCGCAGGCGACGGCAGGCTGCGCGGGGACTCGATGAGCAGCGCGACGCTCAGCGTCGGCACGAGCGCGAGCACCGCGAGCGGCGGCGCGCCCGCGACGCCCGCGGGCACGCTCGGGACGGTGCTCTCGGGCCCGGTCGTGGCATCCCCCGGGCGGGCGGCGCAAGAGCTCGATCTCGAGCTGTTCGGGGACGACGCGGGGGAGGCGCGTGGGAGCGCGGGGAAGGACGGAGAGTACTACGACGCGACGTTTGTGCTGGGGCTGTCGGGGGCGGGTGTGGGCGCGGGGGCGGGCGTGGGCGGGCGGCGGGCGCACGCGCCGCTCGATATCGACATCCGCGCGATCTCGTCGCATGCGCAGGCGGAGGCGCTCGTGGCGCGCGCGCAGCAGTCGATTCTTGAGCTGGGGCATATGGAGACGGGCGGCGAGGCGGGCGGCGGGGGCGCGGGGCTGGGGGTGCGTGCAGCTGCGGGGGGCGCGGACGCCGGACAGGGGCCGGGACAGCAGCAGCAGCAGCAGCAACAGCAAGGGCTGCCGCTGAGCGCGCGGCTGGCGGCGTATGGGGAGAGCTTGGCGCTCGAGCGGCGGCTGAAGATGGAGATGGAGCGCGGGAAGGAGCGCGCGCGGGAAAGGCAGTGGGAGCGGGAGAAGGAGCGGCGGCGCGGGAGGGGGAAGGGGTGGGGCCGGGATATGGAGCGCAGCACCAGCGCGAGTGCGAGCGCGGGCGCTGGGGTTGTCGCGTTTGGCGTTGACGCTGATGGCGGCGCCGGCGCGGTTGGTGGGGTGGAGCGGCCGTACGGCGTCAAGGTGCGGTCGGCGAGCGCGACGATGGACCGCGAGGCGGCGGTGGCTGGCCTTGGGCTCGCGGGCGGCACGGGGCCGCAGTGGCGTCGGCAGGGCGGGGAGCAGTATCAGAGGCATGGGAGCTTGGAGGGTCCACGCGGGCGGGGCATGGGGGCAGGATCGTCGCCGCGTGGGGCGAAAGGGCAGCCGCCGAAGGTGCGCAGGCCGCACACGAGCGGCGGGGTCCCCGGGGACGAAGGTGCGTTCGACGGTGTGGCAAGCGAGCTGAGGTGCTGATTCAAATTGTTTTTTTTTTGTCGTCGCGATGACACGACAGCTTCCGACTCGAGTTCCCCCGCGCCGCGCGCGACGCGCCATCATCGCTCGCACTCCGCCGCACCGTCCGGTCTGTACGGCGGCGCGTATGTCGGGTCGCCGGGATCTCTCGACCGCGACGAGCCCGCGCGCGAGGCTGACGAGGCGGATCTCGTCGACGGGGACGCGTCGGACCTGAGCGCGACGCCCGTCCAGACGCGCTCTGCGCAGTCGCACGCGAGTCCTCTGCAGGGGGGAAGCACGTCGCCCGCGTCCGCGCCCCCGCCTGTTCTCGTCTCGTCGCCGAGTTCAGGTGCGCCGGGAAAGTTGTCTACCGCGCCTGCGATCTCTACGACGACGTCCACGACGACGACGACGGCGGCGGGGGCGGCGGCGGCAACCGCGCCTGTGCCTGCGCTCGATAATGATACGCTGCGCCCGACCCCGACCGCGCGCATGCGCTCGCGGACGCCGGACCCGAAGCGGGATTACGCCGGCTATGGAGACCTGGGCAGCGGCCGACCCGCGCCTGCGCTCGGCCTGGGTGTCGACGGTGCGGACGGACGCGGCGACGACGCCGGCGGCGGGGTCGAGCTCTTCCGTGTGTTCACGGCGCCGCAGCAGGAGACGTACAATGATCTGCTGCGCGCGAGCGAGGGCGACCGGGAGCGCCCGCGGCAGAACCATTTCTCGAGGGCGAATAAGCTTGCGAGGATGGGGTTTGTTGGGGGGGAGCTTGTGGCTGGCGCCGGGGCGGGGCCGGGGAAGCAGGGGAGTATAGGCGGGCAGGGGCAGCAGCAGCAGCAACAGCCGAGGTCGCATGGGCATAGGTTGGGCGGGGGGTTGAAGTCGCTGATGCAGACGTTGAAAGGGCGGTGATGCGTGTCGTTGTATGCGCGCTTGGGCGCGTCGCTGTGCTATCCTCCTCGCCACACGCTGGCGATTGCCTCCGCGCGCGCGGCCGCCCGTTCATTTATTTTCCTCTCCTCCTCTTTCCTCCAGGACATCCACATCTACGTGTACTATCCCGTTCCCGTTCGCGCTCTCGTTCGCGGCCCGCACGCGCATCGCTTTCGCATCGTCGCCTTTTTTTACCCGTCTCCTGCATTCCTGTACGCCTATGCAATCCCCTTTCCCCTCGTTCCACCAATCCCCTTTCCCCTCGTTCCCCCGTTCGCCCATCTCGCCCGGCTGCGTGCCGTCCCGTGCCGTGTAATTCTTATTTTTTCATCATTTTCGTGGCGCTGTTCGATCTCTTGTTTTCGTTCTCGTTTTCGTTTTCGTTTTCTTATTTTTCGGTTTTCTTTAGTGCGTTCCTCGTGCGCACCGTGCGACCTTTCCGGCGATCACTCGATCCTAAATGGTCCTTGTATCTCCACCTCCCTCCCTTCCTTTCTCCCTTGTAGGCTCCGTTTTTGTTGTTGTTAGTTATTATTGTCGTCGTCGTGGCTATCGTCGCCAGTCCTCGTGTTGTCCCGTCCACATCCATACACGCGTAAATAGTCGCTCCTTCGCCATCGTCCTCGTCATCCTCCCTTCCGTTCGAATCGCTCGTCTGTTCTGATATATATATATATATGTTCTGGTCTTCGACCGTAGCTCCCGGCCCTTCGCATCCCGTGCTTCCCTGTCCTGTCCCTGTCCCTGTCCCTCCCATTCCCTTCCCTATCCTGTCCTGTCCCCCCCCCCCATTCCGCCACCCCGTCTTTCGTACACCGTTTCCCCGCACCCGCGTGCCGTCCTCATCCCCGTCCTCGTTCAGGCTTTGTGCTTGTGTGCTAGCGCTCCCGCGGTGCCGTCGGACGGTGGTGGCACATGAAGCTCGAAGCTTGGAGGGGGGCTGCCCAACTGGGCCGTCGGTCGGGCTTACGGCGGCTCTGTGTGTGTGTGTATTACATTCTGTAGCGCCCCTTGGAGGCTGCGTGCGTGCGTGTTTTATTATATATTTCTGGTTGTTTATGGTTGTATTTCTTGGTGTTTATGGGATTGCGTTTTGGCTTATTAGCTTTTTGGGTTTGGGTTTGGGTTTGAGGTCCGTTCGGGTTTGGGTTTGGGTTTGAGCACCGCTGGAGCGACGGCGCTTGGAACTTGGAAATTGGAAGACGTAGGATGTCAGCGTCTCAGCCGGTGAGCGCGTGTCCTTTTCCGTTTTAGTTCAAATCAGAGTTCCACTCCCAAAAGACATGGGAGGAGTGCTAATGTTGCGGACGCCGCGTTCTGGCAGGCGTGCTTCTCGTTATCGCGTATCATATCTGCTCGGAAGTGGGCTTGTCGCAGCACGTATGATGTGAATTTGGTGGACAATCCTCTGCAAATTCGTCTGGCATGGTGCTGGCCGTCACTCGAGTCAGCGGACGCCATCACGCATATATTGTATGCGCCACGGTCGGCGGGATCTGCGCTGCCGGGTGCCAAGCGTTCATTGAAGTACCGGTATATACAGTAAAACCATGGTCCGTCATCGTATGTACTCACTACAGAAGGATGTCGAAGGAGCCTCGAGGGCTCGATAGATCATCATGCGGCTCTCTGCCCGCCTCCCTGCGTGATGAGATCCAGAGCCTCCTTCGAACGGGGCACGAACAGACACTTGAATGGCTCTGGCCGGCTACAGAGCACACTGGTCATCAGAGAGAGCGCGTGCGGCCATATGGCGACAGAGCGGAGCTGCGTACCTCACGACGGTGCCGGCGTACTTCACGTCCTGTTCGACGTCGACGCCGTTCTCGTCCTTGGGCTTCGAGATGTTGTACACCGCCAGGACCGACGCGACGGTGATCCAGATGGTGTCCAGCGCGAGCCAGCGGCCGGGGCAGATGCTGCGGAAAGTCAGGCGTCGGGGTGTGGTTCGGACGGGTCACAGAGTGCGCGGCGCGTACCGCCGTCCAAAGCCGAAGGTCATCAGGGGGAGCTCGTTGATCCCGAGCTCGGCGTTCTTGGCCTCGTCTTCGAATCGTCGTGGATCGAACTTGTGCGGATCTGGGTACTTGGCCTCGTCGTGGAACATTCTCCTGCGAGGGGAGGGGGCGCTTTGGTCAAGCCAAGGTGGCTATGCTTCGCAGCAGGTGTGATCAACGAACCAGATATTCGGGATGAGCGACGTGCCCTTTGGAATCCAATAGCCCTCGTAGACGTCGTCTTGCACTGTTGCATGAGCGACGCCTATGGGCGCGATAGGGTTCCATCGCAAGATCTCCCAAGTGATGCATGTGACGAACGGAAGCCTGTTTCGATCTTCGAAGTTGGGCAGGCGGTCCGTACCCACGACGCGGTCAATCTCTGCCTGGGCCTGGAGCTGGATGTCGGGGTGGGTCATCATGGCAAGGAAGAATGAAATGACGCCGGCAACTGTCTGTTTGAGTCGGTGTGAGTGATGGACCCGCATCGACGACTGAAGTGAACTGACCGTATCAGCGCCAGCTGACAATTGCGTGCGCGGTGAGATAAGGGCCCTTTGGAGAGGTGGAAGAGAGAGAGATTGTGTCCATACCTGCGTAGGAAACAGCAGCAATGCCCTGAGTCATCGTCACGTCGAAATCCTTCTGCTGGGCACCCTCTTCAATCTCCAGCGTGGTGACACACGGCCCTGCCATTCCAGATGCCTGAGGTCATCTTAGTAGATGCTCGGAGGCTAGATCTTTCGAAAGTTGGGTGCGCACCATCTTCTGCTTGACCATCTCGAACGGCTTTTGCAGCATCGCCTCTGATAACTTGCGCCATTCTTTTGCCTGCCGCTTGAATAGAGCACCTGGGAACCAACTCGGGATATATTTCACTGCAGACCACGACGTCAGGATCGTGAATCCGGAAAGACACGATGGGGCTCACAAATGGGCAGATAGTCTACCGCGTAAGTCCCGTGGATTGCTGCCTTGGCTACGCTTGCCATGGCTTTCTCCGCCAAGTCCACATAGACGTCCCCCTCATCTGAGATGTCATGGTCATAGTTGATCTTCATGACGAGCGCTGCGGCATTCCTAGACCAAGCCGTGTTATACGTTACCGATTGGCCTGCGCGAAAGTAAAGGATGATATCAAGACTGTACCTCCGCATGTGATGTGCAAAGTCCTCGGGAGTACGCTTCAGGTTCAAAAGAAGGGTCTGAACCTCCTTGAGCTGAATTGGCTCGTATCGAGCTACCGTGCTGGAGCGGAAATGTTTCTGGAAAGTGCCGCGATACTTCTTCCACCTATCGCCGTACGCCATTCCTCCAAACGACCATGACCAGCCCATTCTGCAGAACGGAGCACGTTAAGAGGGTCGAGAACCGGAGATCGAGAAGCGGATGACTGACAGATCGCCCATCATCGTACGGGTAGGCCGCGAGGAATAGATTGCACCACGCTTCTCGAGGAGGTCCTCCGCGACCTTGCGCGAGTTGATGATCGCGACAGGGCTCCCGAAAGCATAGTAGAAATTGAGATCGCCTGTGATACGCAACGTCGATGCATGCATGACTTCGATGCTGAAACATCAAGAGGAATACCATAGGTTTTTTGCCATTTCTCGTAAGTCTTCCAAGGAAACATCTCGGGCACAGGGGGTCGACCAAATCCAAACCAAGACGATTTAGGTCCAGGCGGTAGAGGCGGACGACGAGCCCTGCGAACAAAGAGAATAAGGGATAGCGAGAGAGCTGCGACGACAACGATGGTTTCCATCCCAAACTGCTGCGGGTCGCTGTGAGGAAGAGTTTGTGCTGTGTAGGGCGTAGGAGGGTCCCCTTAAATACATTCAATCCATACTTGGCGAGACATTGCAGGGTCGTGGTCGTCTGTGACGGAAGTAGATGTTTCGGGAAATCAATGACCAACAGTATTAAGTAGTAGCTTCGAGAAGCAGGCTGCGACAACGTTGGCGGGAATGAAAAGAAACCAGAGAAACTCACTTTTAAATGCCTTGATACAATGGCGGTGAAAACTGCTCGTCATATGAAGATAGAGCGAGATCGAGGGTTTTCAGTATCTTTAAATACTGTCTGCTCAACTTTGTGCGAAACCACAGCGTCTGTGATCCGTGGGATGCGTGAGTTACGACGATCACTACCGAGCGTATTGGGCGGTCAAGACGTACATGTCCATTGCCACGCTTCCTTCGCGAAGCAAGGAAAGTGTCAGTTGGACTACTCTTGACAAGATCTCGCTAGCATAAAATCCCCGGCGCGGCCCGAACGACAACGATTCGATGTTGTCAAACCCCACTATGACAAGACATCTGGTACGTGTGCTTGGCTTTCACTCGAAGCGGTGCTCATAGCCTGAAACTCTGAGCGTGGGAAGGATGGTATGCAGCTTGAAGAAACTCACAGGAGTCTAGTCTAGCAAGTTGCGGTTTCTTTGATGAGTGCATATTCGTCTCTGAGATGCTGGTTATGTGTATAAGTCCTTGCTAATATCATTTAAAAGCTGCAAGTGCACGTACGCGCGGTGCATAAAGAATTGCATGCCGAGAGCGTGCGCAAGTATGAATAAGCAAATTACAACGATCCACCAGTCCTTTGGGCAATGTCCCTCCTCTCACACAAGACAAAAACTTCAGCCATTTTATTCTCATTCATATCATCCTAAATAGACCTAAGAATACATTTTGTTATAGACCCAGACAATGACAATGATTTCTTCCACCTGCAGAGCGAAAAAGGGGGTGCCCAAAGGACCGGTGCTTGCCAAAAACGGGAAATGCCAAAAAGAGCCCCTCTGAGCGGGCTCATCCTCGTATGCCATAGGCACGTCACCTTATGAAAAAGATATGTAACCGGAGCTTTCGATGCCTCCGGATTTGATTATGAATTTTACTATATTTTATTGTCCGCAGAATGGAGGTCCATCCCATGAGCAAAACTGCTCAAAGGAGCAGTGGTGCCCAAAGGACCGGTGGATCACTGTAAGGCTTAAGTTACAACATTGCTCATGCTTAAGTGCTTAAACATGTAACGTTAAGATAATCATGATGTCGATCTTCATTATTCGGCGACACCTCCTTTGGAGCACGCCAAGACCACACCGTCATAGGAGGCGTAGCTACCTCATCATCTGTTTGCTTTTTCGGCAATCTATTAAATGCATTAATGTACTTCCCTTTTGGTTTATTCCGCCAGTGCGCTCGCATTTCACAGTGAGAATAAAAATACGCAATGGTGTTTGGAAAGTATGTGGAACCTTGGAAAACAATTATTGAACAATTTGAATGTGTGTCTCTGCAGACGGTTCATCATCAGCCGAACGATCCAACACAAAACGAGAGGCTACAAGACGAAGGTTGAGATCTCGAGGTTGATTGATCTTGAGGTTAAGACGAATGAGCGGAAATCAGTACGAGGGAGTATGGGTGACATTCTGTGACACTACATAGACATATCGGGATTTGGACAGGGCTGGATGAGGAACCAGGGCTGTGTATTCACCAGTGGTGGATATCGCGATTTTTAATCTAAACGCAGAACGTTCAGGGCCGGCATCAAAAGCACAACAGACCTGCTTACATGCCTCTGTGTCCGATCACACCAAAAATTATGAGAGTGATCTTGTATGCGAGGGTACGAGTGCGGGCTTGCTTTCTCATTCCAACTCCAGGCTCTCCTAGGGACCGAGTTGTGTTGTGGGCTCTCTGTAATGAGCCCTAAAGGTGTCAGTTGAACTAGACTCCACGGTGGGAAGGCAAGGATAAAGATCTAGTATTGACCATACACCCTGCGGCAAGGCGACCAAGTCGTCGAAGGGAGAACAGAGAGAACAAAGGGCTCGGGGAACGTGACGTTACTGGCCGGAATATCTCTGCAGCGGTCGAGATCGGCTCGAAGCAGCCCGATGTGGAGATACCGGCGGGCCACTCACCCAGATTTGGCCGCAGCGGCGCCGGGCCGGCAGCGTGCAAGTTGACCCGCCAAAGGATCTTCCACTTGCAGACCATGTTCAACTTGGCGCGTCCGACGCTGCTCCCCCGACGTTCGACAAACAGTGGGATTTGTTCTGCTCTCGCGGCTATGACCTGTCAACAGGTGCTATGTTGAGCAGCTCAATACCGCTCGCAATTAACATCCCCAAAATTGACTGGACCCTCGGGCCTAGAAGGGCTTTTGCGGCTCGCCAGGCAAAGGATCTTCGAGCGTAGAATGGGTGCCGCTCGGCTCCTCCTTCATATGTATCTACAATACTCCGGTTCGTCCTCCTCGTCCAACAGAATGTCCCGAGAGCATTTTCTTCGCTGCGCGCTGCCGCCTCGCTCTCGTCGACGCCGCCTATAAAAGCAGGCGTGCGTTCTCCAATACTGGTCAGTCTTCCATCTCATTTTCTCCCCCTCTCCTTCTTCCTGTCGAGAGTTATCTTTCGACCTTGGTTTCGCCTCCCTCTCTTCTCCTCACACGATCCGCTCTGCTAGCAACCTCGTCATGTCGCTTCCACATCCGCACCACGAGCACGAGCACAACTACGAAGTGGCCCTCCCTGCCGTGCTACCGGACGTCGACATCGAGGATGCGCCTCCTCCTCCCATCCATCTCGCGCGCCGCTCCACTCGCCGCTCTTCTATGCGCCAATCCATCTCGTCCCCAGCAGCACGCCCGCACTACCTCAGTTCGGACTCTGCTGAGACCGTTACGGAGCCCGGTGCCGTGGAGGTCGCAGCCTCTGGACCAGGAAAACTTGATCCCGAAAAGGCGCTCGAGAAATGGGAAGTGGTCGATTGGGAGGTTGGAGACCCAGAGGATCCGCGCAATTTTTCGAAGACGAAGAAGTGGTGAGTTTTATTCTCGTTTATTCTCCCCTCAATTGAATGAATCTAATACAATGACCTGTTGATCCTTGTAGGATTATCACGATTGCTGTCTCCTCGCTTTGTCTGGCAGTCGCTCTCGGGTCCGCCATCATCACAGGTGATCTCCCTCATCCTGCGAGAGAGCTCGGCATGTCCGACATCGTGGGTAACCTCGCCGTTACCCTCTTCGTCGTCGGCTTTGGTCTCGGTGTATGTCTCTACCTCTTCATCGATTTTTGAAGGAGGCTTATCCACACACCCGATTTGTACAGCCCCTAGTGTATGCCCCCATGTCAGAGATGTTTGGACGGAGACCGATCTATATCATCTCGATGGGTTTGTTCGCAAGTAAGTCTCACGTCCATCGTCCCCCCTTATTGTTGCTATACATTGATCGCATCTTTCTCAGTCTGGACGATCCCCTGCGCGCTCGCGAAGAACCCTCAGACACTTCTTGTCGGCCGTGCATTGGCAGGTCTCGCAGCCTCTGCGCCAATGACGAACGTGGGTGGAAGTGTGGCCGATCTATGGAGCCTCGGTATGTATTTATCGTCTCTATCGCGACCTTCACCCTAATATCATACCGTCTTTTTTTGTAGACGAGCGTGGCATGCCAATGGCTGTATTCTCTGCAGTGCTATTCGTTGGACCTGTCCTCGGTACGCTCACTCATCTTTTTTTTCATACGTAGTACCTCCTGCTCACGGTATGTTTCCATACATAGGCCCACTCATCGGAGGCTTTGTCGGCGAGACCATCGGTTGGCGCTGGGAGTACTGGATTCTACTCATCTTCGTCAGCGCGGAGTGCATCATGACGCTCTTTGTACCGGAGACATTTGCTGTTGTGTACGTCTTTCTTCTCTTTGATATATGCTATGTTATCAACATTCCCTTTTATTTTTCACAGCCTTTTGAAGAGACGTGCAGAGAAGCTGCGCGCAGAGACAGGAAATCCCGCATATAAGACCGCAACAGAGATCGTTGAAGCGGATATCACGATCGGCGAGCGCGTGCAGATTGCGCTCATCCGTCCCTTCGGTACGTCTCTCTCTTCATTTATCATTGTTGTTCCTCGCTCATAAGACGTCCTTTCTCAGAGATGCTCTTCACCGAGCCTGTGCTTATCTTCATGTCGCTCTATCTCTGTCTGATCTACATGCTCCTCTATCTCTTCTTCTTTGCGTTTCCGATTGTGTTCGAAGGCGTGCACCATATGAACGATGGAATCACGGGACTGATGTTCCTCTCCATCCTCGTCGGCATCTTGATCGCGCTCGTGACGATGCATTTCTGGACGCAGTTATATCGGAAACTGTACAAGGCTCATGCTGTCGAGGCGCGCCTTCCGCCTATGTACGTATACCCTAATTTTGCTCTGTATCCTTGCTCTCCTGCTGATACGGATGTTCATAGGATGTTTGGCGCGTTGATGTTGCCGGCGTCATTGTTCATCTTTGCGTGGACGAGCTTCGAATATGTGAGCTGGGTTGGCCCCATGATGGGCGGCGTCGCCTTCGGCTGGGGCATGGTCTCCGTCTACGTATGTCCGGAGAACTCCTCTTCGTTGAAGGTTACAATCCTCACGCATTTTGTCCAGATCTCCGCCAACTCCTACATCGTCGACGCCTTCCCCAAATACGTCGCCTCCGCGATCGCCGCGAAGACGTTTATCCGCTCTATGGCCGGTGCATCCGTGCCCATGTTCGTCGTGCAGATGTACAACGGTCTGGGCCCTCGCTGGGCGTCGTCGCTCCTGGGCTTCGTCTCCATCGCGATGCTGCCCATCCCATTCGTGTTCTGGAAGTGGGGCGCGCAGATCAGGGCAGCGAGTCGGCGCGCGAGCGCGTAACTGGGTTTTCTTTTGATTTCATAATCGCAGGTGCCGTTTTGGCGTCTCGGTCGGGGGTAAAACTAGGTTCTGGATTTCGATGCGAATATTTTTCTTCTTGTGATAGAGGTTCAATAGATGGGCACATGAATACCCTGAACTACTATAGATCTCTTCTATACACTATCATCCTCTTCGATTTCATTCGCCGCATATAGTTTTCCATTCTTCCACTTGCATCTACCTCACTTGTATTGATATGTACATAGTTTCGTACATAGAGCTAGACAGCATTCTTTGTTTACTCGATGTACACCAGCCTTCGTACGCTCTAATATATAGAGATACGATTTCGGACGCCATGTCTATCGACCCGGGCTCCAGAGTCCCGGTACGCGAGCTTGCTTGTACCGGCTTCTTTTCAGACTTCGACGACCCACGGCATCCCGCCATCCAGAAGCACCCTTGCAAGCAATATCGACCGCAACCGCCAACAGATTCCTGATTCTACACCATTGCTAGTTCAGATGTCTTCAGTCTTGTGGATAGCATGAGTATGCACTCGAGGGGATGGGTTACTGAGGGGCTGGCATTTCGGCAGGTGGTGCCTACGGCAGCGTTTCGTATCCCGAAGCTGCCGGCAGTTGGGGCAGATCGTTCGGCATGGCGTCTTGACTCTTGAAGCCTTGTTTGCTGCATATATGCTGATTTTGAGTTAGAATATTTGTAGATGCTGCTGGGTAAAACTCTCGGATTGTGTAGTATGGGTTCATATCAGGGGTTGTTGAACATCAAGTTGTGCTGCGCGAGAAAATGTGCTAATTGTTGAGAGTTGCGAGGTGAGCACTGGGCAGTGGGTGCCGCTTTCTTTTCACAGGAAATCTTACGATAATTTTTTTCTTGAGCAATTAGGACTCGAGCGCGGCCGATCTGATTGCTTGCCACCTCACTCCCAGCTTTGAGTGCTACGGCTGGAGCGCTTTCATCCCATACCCCGATCAGGCTTGCCCTTTTGTACCATTCTCTGCCAGTCTGTGATTTCATGATCCATAGCATGAATGCAGTACTGCAGACGCTGGGCATGCCAAGCAATGGGCTCCATCAGGGTGCTCATCCATAACCCGCCGCACATAGATAAATTGCTCGACATGTAATGCAGGATGCTTTCAGGCTTCTCAAAATCCCCCATCTGAGTCAGTAGCTAGTCAAGGTGTCCAATGCCGAATTTTGCATCAGCTTTGTGTGCATGATTTATTTGCGCTGGTTACTCCCTCCGAATGCCCGAGCCGAGGGGAAGGTTGTACAGCTGACTGGGATGAGGCTGGTGCACTTTGATTTACACATCGTGGAGGCAATATTGCACAGCTGGTACACTGCTTTGTTGAAATATTGGAAAGAAGGGTTGCGATTGGACGTATGGTGCTCACTGAAAAGGCAAGCTTATTGGCATCATATGTATCACTCTAGTAAGTCATCCACATATGTATGCATCCCATCCAAACCAACAATGACACCGTTATAGGGATGGCTCGGCAGCCTGCTCAGTAGTTCGTCTTCTAAGGTATCTGTTGTAGTTAGATATCACCTTAACAATCTGAATGGTGAGGAGCTGGCAATTATCTGAACTTGATATACTGAAGGGTATCAGGTATGAGATACGATCTGCCCATTGCTGATGGGCGAGATGATTGTATGCTCCCATCAAGGAGGCGCATGAAAGGATGTGCCTGGGCGCTTCAGTAGGCGCTCGTGTATCAACGCTTCATCAGGGTGCATGCGCCTTCGAAGATACGATCACTTGTTACGTAGACGTATACTCCAAGGTGTTCTGTATAAATATGACGCTCTCGATGCCCCTTAGTCCCATCTTCATTTTTCTACATTTCGTACGAGATGTCCCAGATCTCTGTTCGCCAGCTTGTCAATCCCTCCTGTAGGTTATGTACGATTATCATTCAGCGATGGTCTGACCTCGATATCTAGCGGAAGAGCTTGATAAAGCTGCCGAGACGCTTGCTGCATCATTTGAAAACGACGTCTTCACGTTCTGCTGTATCGGGGGCGACAAGCCCCAGAACCTCCTCTTTCAGAGAGCGACCCTTGCCGCGGCCGCGGTTGCGGGACAGATATGGGTAGCAAGTCACGGAGACAATGAATTCGCTGCCGTCGCAGCTTGGTACGGCCCAGGTCGAGGCCTTCTCGATAGGTGAGTCTCACGTCGCTTCAAAATCGAAAAGTATAGGTTGACCTCGGCCCTTCGCAGTCCAGATCAGGGAGAGGCAGGCTTCAATGCCATGTTCGCTGCCTTCCCGATTGAGTTAACGCGGTGGTGGACAGAATACGTACGTACACACCGCTCAATAATATTTATGGTGTTAAGATTGCCTCGGGTCGTACATGAGTTTTTGTCTAAGTATGGTGCCATGTGTGTCACAGCCCTAGGAGAAGGGACCAAGGTCAACGGCTGGCATCTACAGCTCCTTGGTACTCACCCCAAGCATCAGAATCAAGGTCTTGCAAAGGCAGTCACGGCACCGATTCTCGAGAAAGTACGACTCAAGAACCACGATCCTGTACGACGGCACTAATACCCATATGCACCAGGCAAAGGAAGATAACAAGATTCTCTGCCTTGAAACTGCGACAGAAGTCAATGCAAGTATCTGTTGTTGATATGTCGCTCGAATAATGCTGACGATGATGTAGGTCTCGATCTACAAGAAGATGGGTTGGAAGGTGAGACACGGTCCGGAACAGTATGAAAGCGCTGTGGGAGGTTTCTCCATGTGGGTTCTTTCGGCCAACGACTCATAGGCTTTTGGACTTGATATGGGCGTGAATAAAACGCCTATGTGCCCTATGCTGCGAGATGTCTCTTTACGACCAGAGAGCTAGGCTGAACATCTCTCGAAGAGTCATGAGATCCCCCCTCCCAGAGAAAAATTGGCCAAGAGACGATGCACTGTTTCTCGCACCACGGGCTACAAACAATTTGAGGGTGCGCAACCTTTCTTCGGTGCATACATGATCACATCACGATGGCGCGTTTTCTCTCCAATGTCATCGATTATTTGGCACGGCTTGACATCTGTTCTGGCTTGTTTCGGCTTGCGTCTCCTCGAGCGTCTGTTGCCTGACTGATGTGATAAATTGCTGGAGGGACGTGCTGAGCTTGATTGCCAGCCGGTCACTCAACAGGAACCAATGCAGGAGATGGAGAGGCGCATGAGCGATAGCTCTAAGCCATAAATTTCGATGCGCAAACAGACGACGGCTGGTGGGAATATGTTGCAAATCAAATTTGAGAGCCTAAACTCCCTCATGTATGTCTAGCGCGCCACCCGCAGACTACAACCTGGTTTGAGAAGTGATGTCGGCCTGCATCCAGAACGCACATCGATCCACCTCAAATTGGGACACTTGTTCGATGGCCGATTTTGTGGCGTTGTCGTCGCCTAGCGTAAGCGTCATGCGGAACCGGGATGCATTCTCGGAGCCAGTGAAAGCCTCCCAGGATGGGGATGCAGGCAGTTTAGCACTTGATGGCTTGCCTGTAGATATGAACGACGTCCAGTAGGCTATGGCTTCTCTGTTGAGAAGAGCCTCGGACTGCATGTGTTAAATATTAGAAACCGCTCAAGGGAGTCGTCGCAACAGAGCAGAATGATGGGTCAATGTACCTGGTTGAAAGGTGTGAATGTGAATACCGCATCAGCTGCAGAACTGTGCGGCGCTATTGAGCACAAATGGTCCTATAGAGCAAGTAGCATGCCTACTTTGTGCCTGAAAGGTGAAAGGATGTAAGGATGTAGCTTGCAGATACCAACATAGCTTTGCTTACCGTCAAACAGGTAGTACAGGTCAGATGTGTGCATCACACCGAGATATGGGCTCGCAGCCAGCAAGATAGGATCTGGCGTATTCCACCTGAGGAGAGGTGAGGTAGTGGGTCCCCTCAAGCGGCAACTTATTCAAGCGTACCTAAATGTATAGACGTTCTTCGCTCCTTTCGAAAGCATTTTGTCAGCTATATATTGATCCCTGATAGACGGAACAAGTATCAGCAGATGAGACCTTGGTATAATGAGGCGAATCTAGACGCACATACAAGTAAAAACGACGTCCCCTGCAATTGTCCAAGCACGATCGTATTCGGTAGGAAACGGACTGCCTATCGCATTGACCTTGGGATAGAAGTCGAATACAGTCTCTAGGGTGCGATTCGTCTGCAAAGCATCCTATCAATATGCGGTCTGTGTGTTAGACGCATGGATATCGTCGCACGCACAACGTACGGCCAGCGTGTATGGAAAGTAAGTCTTGTGATGTCCGCATCAGTGATAAATTGAGATGGCTGGCCACCAGCGAAAGTACGCCCGTCATTTGTGCAATGCCCTGCGAGGATATCGACGGCGTTGAAGCGTCCATCACGAAGCAGGTGCGAAGGCAAGTCGGGAAGGAAAGTACCATCCACTGTAGGCCCTATATCTCCATTGCCGATGATATTGATTCCGGCAACAATTGACTCTTAAGTGGAAAAAAATTATGAATCGTTGGTAGCCGCGATAGCTTTGACTAGAATCTCACCAGTTGAGGCGGTCCTCAAGCATGCAAGAGTATTGTCACTTGAATTAGAGCAGCCCACAGCGGATGAAAAGTTTTCTAGGAAACGAATCAGTTGAAGCTCATTGCAATATCGCAACAGCTAGTGAAAATGTACTATATAGTTCCTCTGCTAGAGGCGAAAGAGGATCCAACATGGGATCATACCCTATGGAGTTAAATATGGCTTGTTTGAAAGGCACGGGTCTCGCGCCTTTTCCCCAACGATGGTCAGACAGTTTTGGAGAACTCAAAATTGTTGACTTACCTGCATACGCAACTGTCTGCATGACGACACTCGCGCCTCCAGCACTCTCGCCCATGATCGTGACACGCTCAGGATCGCCACCAAATTTACCGATATGACGCTGCACCCATTCTAGTGCAGCACGTTGGTCAAGAAGGCCAGCATTGAAGTCGCCGTTTTCGGCAACAGCAGAACCTGACAGGAAACCAAGCGCGTTCAGGCGGTAGGATATCCCCACTCCTACGATGTCCGGGTGTTGGGCTACCCAATCGTACAATGGATAGCCTTCAGGACCCTGTAAAATTGAGGGGACAATTTGAGTCACAGAAGCTCTCTCGGAAGATCGATTGCCAAGCTGGCCTTACACCGACGTAGAACCCGCCTCCAAAAATGTACACTACAACGGGTAGCCGCGAATTTGCAGTTGCGCTAGTTGGCTTCCATATGTTCAACTTCAAGCAGTCTATAATGAAGATGCGCGCTGGATTGGTACGCAAGACGAGCATGTTGATGATCTACTGACCTTCAGAGCCGACGCCAACTTTTGCGGGCTGCTGAATGCACGGCGGAGCAAAGTTCATTGCGTCGACAATGGTGGTCTTCGTATCATGCCCCGGTACCGTCTCGTCAAGCATCTGAGGCGCTCGGAATCGGAGTTCACCCAAGGGTGGTTGTGCATACGGTATACCGCCGAAGAAGGTCACACTGCCATTCAATACACCAGCAGGCGATGTCGTATTTCCTGCGTATGCAGCGTAGCCCAGATCAACTACCGGGCCAAGAAGAGATGTTACAGCTGCTGTAGGGTAAGCAAAATTCAACAATATAGAGAAGATGAACACAGAGAGAGTGCCCTTCATCTTTAGAGGCTATGGTACGACAGCTCAACGGGAGCATACTCACAGGATCTTATATTGTTTTAGCCAAGTCAGCAGGGTTCAGCGTTCTCGATTTGTCCCCTTCCCAAGGGTCTTCTGACGACTGTGATCATAAAATTAACGAGGATATATTCTTATAACGGCCCGTCATTTCTCGAAAGGCGATGAGGTTGTGGTGAAGTAGAAGACAAGAGCACGGTCCGCTCTGGCCCGCTCTGAGGAAAGCGAAGAGCCCGCTAGCATTTCCATATCGGGATGAGTTGGACGCCAATAGTACTCTTCCAGAGAACCTGTCTTCACAGCTTTATCACCACAGCCAGCCCTCGCTATACACTCCGTCTCACTGCGTTCATGAGAATTTCCGTGTTTCCTATTTGCCCCGGGCACGCACTTCCAGCACAAGTTTCGGAGCAGCTGTGTCAGGTAGAGGGGCGTACAATGCACCTACTTTCTCGTTGAGCTATGAACTAGGATCTCAGTAAGGTGACTATCATACATCTTCATCTCGCTATCATCACCCACTTGGCATTTTTCAAGTGTTAGTGCTGCAGAAGTCTGATCCGGACCTTTGCATTGCCTCCTCTGACCCAATGTTTGCAACATACTCGATCGCAAACTGAGATTGAGAGTTTGTCTATAGCACACGCGAGTGCTGCAGCCCGCCCCGGAATTCATGAAAGCGTCTCTGTTCCGGTCTACTATGCAGTTATATGCGATCATATTGAGCAACTGGAGACGTTTGGTTTTGTGCATTTCAACTTGCACCTCTTTGAGCATGTACTTCCTGAATGCTTGAAATCGTGATGGACTGTTTGATGGAACTCCGCTTGAAGGTCTATTGCTCGCTCTCGAAAAAAAAACATCGGAGGTTCATTACGAGGAGATCGTAGCATAGTAGGATGAGGCGGTGGGCAGCCTGTTGAGGGTATTGCGCCACCGGAAGCGTTCTCACTCAAATCTGAATTTCCAGAAACTGACTCCGCTCACAATATATTCGTCATTTTCCATTCGTGTAGAGGAACCATACCCATACATCTCTGTGAAAGCCTGCATACAATTAAAATTCGTTTTGGTACACAGACTTGCAGGGCAACATTGGCTGTGGAGGGCAAGCAACTCAGCCTCGGCTACTTTCCAATAGGTGCAGCTTCGATAGATTGCAAGAACGTGGTATCACCATCCTGACGGTGCACAACGGTGATTTCCCAGCCCGCGCTGCGCAGAAGACGATCTAAGTGCCGAATAGTCCTCTCTTGGAAGTTGAACAGCAGAAACATCTAGGTCGATATATTCCGATGTAGTATCCTGCATCTTCGTTATGAAGAGGAAAGCACTTACATCGATATCGGCGTTGTACACCATCTTGTTCATAGGACCGAAATTAGAGAGCGAGAAGGAGCTTCGCGGGGGACTGCACCCGGAATTCCCTTGTCGTCGTCGCCGTTGGGATCATGTCATACAAATGGCATGACGCTATCCACAAGCAAGAGAACGGTTTCCGGAGTAGCAGCGTCCCAAAGTCGAGTCAGGAACTTCACACAGTATTCATCCGACCAATCGTGAGTGATTTGTTTCAATAAGAAAACAGACGCGTTCTTCTGGGGTTGCGGCTGGAAGAAATCATGCGCTACGACTCAAGTTTTAATCATGTATCTGAGATATCAATTTTGGCTTACCTTCGAGCTTGACTTGCCCCGACGTCACAGCGTCCAGCATTTTCTTGCCCCACAACTTATGGTACACAATGATCAGAAATCTCTGATAATTGAATCATCAAGAGCCGCACCTCCTTTGCGTCTTCAACAACGCCGGGGAGGCCTTGTACGATCAATTGTATCTTCGGGAAGTTAGCAGCAATTGGAAATATGGAGGTACCGACACTGCTGCCAACATCGACTACTATGGATGCAGGAGGAAGACCTTTCCACATTATTTCACCATGCCTCGAGTAAACAAAAGAATGCTGACTGCTCAGTATAGCATCGACAGACCGCAGTGCATGAACTCTTTGCATGCCAATACCAAACCGACGATGTCTGTAGCTCTGATCCGGTCGCTCGTGAAACTCCCAAAGTGTTTCTTTGGTGTTGAAAGCCTGTGCAAATGGCGAAGTGCGCGGATCACCCGACCGCCTCGTCATGGGACCATTCAAAGTCTCCCAAGCATACGCGGCCGCTTTAAATGCTTCATTAAAACTAGAATTTATTTTGCGGAATCAAAAAGCGAAAATGGCCCAAATAAATAGAACTCACTGATGGGATGCGAAGCAGCCAATCCCGGGGTATTGTTGTGTTTGTGCTCGAGGCTGGACGAGAATAATGAGGATCGCTTTTTGAAGATGTTCAACTTACTCTGCAATTATTTCTTTGCTAGGCTTCAGGGTATCCACCATGCTGGAGACACGATTATTGGCAAAGACTTCAGGAGTGATCTCACGGTAGACGTGATTTGTAGCAAGAAAGCGCAGGAAACGAGCTGGTAATATATAAGATCAGCTTCCGATGTGCACACCCAGTGATTCAATAGTACCAAGTTTTTCAGGGTCCTGCCAGTTTTTGGCAGCAATTTCCTCGGCATGCATGCCCTTTTGAAAAATATAAGTAATGGGATTGTACAGTATTCGATAAGATGAAATCACCTGTGGCTCAGCTTCACGCAGAATCTCGGTGACGTTCGTCGTGCAGGACACACAGAGTTCGAAAAAAACGAAGAAGTATTGGGTGGCCTTCACTCAGATTCGATGCATGCTCTGATGGCGGGGGATCTAAAGTGCTGAGAAGGAAATATGTAGTCAGTATTCTTGGCAAGACAGGATGCATGATCCATACCCCGCCAACGAGGTGGTGCAAAGAGACTTGCGGCGGGGAAAGGATAGCGGCAAGCTGGAGGGCAGCAGCACTGATGATAGCAGCAGCTTCAGCGGCTACGGGACTGATACGAAACGCTTCCGAAGGTGGAGAGAATGGCTCGTTGAGATCGGGAATCTCTGTGCCGTTGTCGGCACAGGCTTTCTCGAGAGTTGAGACCGATTCGGTCATGAGAATGAGGAGCTCGCAGATCTGTGAGGGCATCATGGTCAAAGTGGATGTTGGACAGCAGGAGATGCGCTAAAGCCCATGTTTGAAAGGCATTAAAAGGTGACTGAATCAAACCTTGTTTTTACGGGTAATTCAGAAGGAATATCGATGGTGATAAGACCTACCATGATTCTCGAAGCTCAAAGGCGTCCCGCATTCACCGAGACGGGTGATAGAGCATGTTTGCGTACTCTTTTAGGATGCACAGCACCCCTTGAGCTGGCGACAAAGGCCACCGCCTAAGGCGGTCAAACCAGTAACCTACTCTATTGCCACATCGCTGGACTGGAATTCTACTGATGATGGGATGGGTAACGGCATCCGGGTGACCTACTAGGGTAGTTCCTTCAAAACAGACGCCTGCACTGCTCTGGGTTGCGGATGTCCGACGAAATCATCTTCTTCAATAATAGCTCAGCTACTAGGACACTGCTATAAAATGCAGATTATTGCCTGTTCTGCATTGCACTGTGATATAGCAGACGCAGGAAGGCAAAAGCCGTGACGGTGCAGACCGGGTTAGTATAATTTGCGAGAAGGATCGGAGCGCATTCCAGACTTGCTATAGTCGACTAGATCCTGTGATGCTCAATCAGCCAAGTCGAGTAAGACCACCGAGGAGTCTTGTGAGTAGAATGTGAACGTCCCGCCGCGCGACATGGATCTCCACGGAGAATCACGTGATGGACTAATTGCGACACGTGGCACGTGCGCGCTGTTCCTTTCCTTTTCCTTTTCCTTTTTGGTCCGTTCCACAGCTCTGCACCGTCGCCGACGACGTCTCAAATACATCCAACAATTCTCAACCCTCAGCGCAAGCCTCGCGACCAAATGCCCGCGACACGCTCCTCCGCTGCCCGCCGACGGACCCAAATCTCAGACGCCCCGTACCCCTCTGCGCCGCCCTCCTCGCCACCACGGCTTGATTTGGAAGTCATCATCATCTCCTCAGACGACGAGCCCGACCATGAGCCCACACCCCGTCAGCACCCGCGCACGGCGCGCAAGGGAAAGGGAAGGGCCTTTCATGCTCCCGAAGAAGACGTCATTGATGTCTCCGATTCTTCCGATAAGAAGACGAGTGGCCAGAGCAGGGGGTCGCACAAGCCGTCCAGGAAGGTGAAAGAGACGAAAGAGGTGCGTGCATGCGCCGCGAGTCGGTGCGCATCCTGATCCCGCCTACAGGCGTGCGGAGAGCGCTGCTCGGCTACGCAGAGAGCGAAGCAGCTCGAGGCGGACCTGGCGAAAGCGCACGAGGAGCGCGATCGGGCGCAGGTGGCTTTCAAACAAGCCCAGCTCGAGATCGAGGCCGTCGAGGCCGCCGCAGAGACAAAGATTGCTGCCGCAAAGGCGTCGAACAGCCAAGTCAGCGCCGTCTTATGTTTTACTGGCCGGATCGGCTCACTGACCCACATCGTCAGGGGGTGCCGATCGATGCACTGGAGGACATCATCTGCTGCGAAATATGCACACATAAGATGTGGTCCCCCTACACGTCCGTGACCTCCCCCCTTCTCACCCTCTATCACCCTCTCACACTCACCCCTACAGCCTCTCAGGCTGCGGCCACACATTCTGCCAAAGCTGCCTCTCCGACTGGTTCAGCACCACCCACGTTCAGCACCTCGCCGCGCACCCAGCGTACCCCGCACACCCCCCACCCGTCGACGCCGACACTTACGCCCGCCTTCCCGCGCACATCCGCGCGTATATCCCCCAGCAGCCGGGCCCCAAATACACCTGCCCTGCCTGCCGCCAGGCCGTCCACCGCCGCCCGACCGAGTCCTTCGTGCTCAAGAACGTCGTCCGCGTCGTCGCCGCCGCGCGCGGCGAGCACAGCCCGCGCAAGCCGACGCCCGCCCCCTCGCGCGCCACCCGCGGCGGGCGCGCTGCCAAGGCCGCAGCGCCCGCGCCCCCTGTCGACCCCTGGGCCGGGTTTTTCGGCCCGCGATGATCACGCGCGGCAGAGCGTGTTCGTGGTCCACCTATTAAGTTATCACTGTGCTTTTTATCGGTTTCGGTTCCGGTCATCATCGTATGCGGATGGTCTGCTCCAAGGAACATGGGCGCCTCGGGGCAGCCCAGTAGTTATTGTATGGCATAGTCACGCACTGGTCAGGATGTATAACGTCGTTTTGGGGGTCTTTGCTTCTCTTCTTTCTTTGAGTATCGTCGTACGGACGAGTGTGGCCACAGATCACGATCGTCAGCTTGTTGCGTTATTTATTTGTGGAACACTATCATGACGAGCCATTCCATGCGATACCCAGGGAACGGCTATGTAGGAGGGAAACGACGCTCGAGAGCGAGGGAGAGCGGGAGCCTCATTATAATATTGTTCGAACGAAAAAAGCAGCATACAGTGCGAGAACGTCTGTCGGGCAACTCAGGAACACGTATCTAACGAAACGGATGGATGGCCATTTCTGGACTGAGAAACCAAAAAAAAAAAACAAGACAGAGACCGTCCGACGACACGTGGTTCGCGCTCACAAGGCGAACGCGGCGTCGAGGAACGCCTCGATCTCCTTCTTGTGCTGGGACTGCCGCGCGAACAAGCGAAGTGAGCGTCAAGAAACGAGAAGGGACAGGATGAGCGGCGGCAACGCGTACCTTGCTGCCGGTGGCGACGGAGCTGGTGGGCTCGCGCCCGGCGTAGTGCGGGTACTTGCCCCTGTGGTACTGCGTCTCGTTCGCGGCGGTCAGGATGCGCGGCCCGACGTACGTCCACGCGCCGTTATTCAGCGGCTCCTCCTGGCACCAGAGGATGTCGGCGTTCGGGTAGGCGTCTAGATGGGGCGTGATCTGGGAGAGAAAGAGGGGGTCAGAAGGCGGGTTGCGATCGGGGACGAGACGGGACGAGACGAGATGGGCGCACCAGGTCGTATGGGAAGGGCGAGATCTGCTCGAGTCTGCTGATCGCGACGTCCTTGATACCCCTGTCCTCGCGCTCCTGCAGAAGGGTGTAGTACACCTGGCCTATAATACACGCACACCGCACGGTCAGCACGCACGCGCGGGGTCACGCACGTCGATTCAGCGCGTACCAGAGCAGAGGATGTGGCGCCGAATCTCCTCGGGCGCAGCGAGGTCTGCCGAAGCCTCGGGGATGTACCGCTGGAAGATCGTCTCGTCGGTCATCTCCGCCAAGGTCGAGCGCGCCTTGGGGTGGCGCAGGAGGTTCTTCGAGAAGAAGTTGATAAGCTGTGCACGGCAATCGTCGATAGTCAGCGGGGCCGGCGGCGTGCACGAGCGCACAGGACGCGACTCACCGGCTTGCGGAAGCCACGGTGGATCTGGCGGCGGATGACGTGGAACTGCGGGCGGCGGCGGCGGAGATAGGGAGATCAGCGGCTAAGCACCGACAGATGGGCTGAGGGACATACGTAGTTGGCGGGCGTGGTGGCGTAGACGATCTGCATGTTGCAATCCTGATGCTGGCGCTCGATCTTCTCGGGGCTGGGGAACACGTGCGGGTGGTCGTCGCAGAGCTGCAAAAAGCGCTCGATGCGCGCGCTCGAGTGCTCCGGGCCCTGGCCGTCGTAGCCGTGGGGGAGACTCATCATGAGCCCGGTGCGCTGGAGCCACTTGCGCTCGCCGGAGGCGATGAACTGATCGATGATGCACTGCGCGTTGTTCGCAAAGTCGCCAAACTGCGCCTCCCAGATCGTGAGCGCGTCGGGCGAGACGAGCGAGTAGCCGAGCTCGAACCCGAGCGCGCCGAACTCGGACAGCGACGAGTTGCAGACGACGAAGCGCGCCTGGTCCGAGCCGAGGTTGTTCAGCGGGACGTACTGCTGCTCGTTCGCCTGGTCGTGTAGCACCGCGTGGCGCTGCGAGAACGTGCCGCGCTCGACGTCCTGCCCGGACACGCGCACGTGCGTCTTCTCGAGCGCGAGCGAGCCAAACGCGAGTGCCTCGGCGGTGGACCAGTCGATGTTCTCGCCCTCCTCAACGGTCTTGCCGCGGGTGGTGAGGATGCGCGCGAGGTTGCGGTGAACGCTGAAGCCGGACGGGTACGATGCGACTGCCTTGCCGATGTACTTCAGGGTCGACTCGTCGACGCCGGTGGGGCGCGTCGGGAGCGTCTCTTCCGCGAGCTGCTTCGGGGACGGGAAGCCCTGCCAGGACGCGGACAGCCATTCCTTGCTCGTGGGGACGTAGTCTTTGGCGGCGTTCGCCGCGGTCTCGAGCATGCCCCAGACCCACTTCTTGTGCTCCTCGATGTCCTTCTCCGTGAACGTGCCGCGGCCGACGAGGAACTTCGTGTACTGCGTCAGCGGCGTCGGCTGCTTCTCGATGGCCTTGTACATGCGCGGTTGGGTGAAGCTCGGCTGGTCCGTCTCGTTGTGTCCGTAGCGGCGGTAGCACACGATGTCGATCACGACGTCCTTCTTGAACTTGGCGCGGTAGTCGGCGGCGAGCTGGCAGACGAAGGTGACGGCCTCGACATTGTCGCCGTTGACGTGGAAGATGGGCGCGTCGATGGACTTGGCGATGTCGGACGGGTAAGGCGTGGAGCGGGCGAAGCGGGGGTCCGTGGTGAAGCCGATCTGGTTGTTGACGATCATGTGGATGGTCCCGCCGGTGCCGTACGAAGGAAGGTTGTGGAAGCCCATGGTCTCGTAGACGATGCCCTGTCCCGCGAACGCAGCATCACCGTGCAGGAGAACGCCCATGGCCGTGGTGTGCGTCAGCTCATCGTTCTCAAAGTGCTGGATTGCGCGTGTCTTGCCGAGCACGACGGGGTCCTCCGCCTCGAGATGGGACGGGTTGGCGACGAGAGAGAGCGAGACCTTCTTTCCGGACGGGGTCGGGCGGACGTAGTTGGCGCCGAGGTGGTACTTGACGTCACCAGCCGGGTCCGTGTCCGTGGTTCCTGAAAACTCATTCAGGATAGCCTCGACGGGTTTGCGAATGACGTTGGCCAGGACGTTGAGGCGACCACGGTGGGGCATGCCCATGGTGACGTGCTTTACACCGTGGTCGACAGAGCGATCGATGAGGGCCTTCATACCAGGGATGAGGGCCTCGCAGCCCTCGAGCCCGAAGCGCTTTTCGTTGGGGTACTTGCTCGCGATGAACTTCTCGAAGGACTCGGACCAGATGAGGCGGTCGAGGATCATGCGCTTCTCCTCTACGGTATAGTTCCATGGCTTGGGTATTTCCACGCGCTCGCGGATCCAGTCGCACTGATCTTTGTCCGGGATGTGGACGTACTGGATACCGACCGCACCGCCTGGGACGGGATGAGTTGCACGGCACGGACGGCGATATGCGCGAAGCGGGACTCACAGTACATCCGCTTGAGGGTCTTGATGATGTCACCCAAAGACATCGTTTTTCGGTCCTCGGTAGCGAAGTGGGGGAGGATGCCGGGGCCGAGGGTGATCTGCTTATCGAGGTCGCGCTCGCTGAAGCTGTAATGGCTGAGCTCGAGCTCTGGCGGGTGGACGTCGGCGAGATCGGCATCGAGGATGCCGAGGGGATCAAGCTCGGCAACATGATGGCCGCGCACTTGATATGCGCGGACGAGCAGTTGAACCTGGGGCGGTCAAAAAAGCGACCGTCAACGCCATGCGAGGGTGACACGTAGCAGGCATACGTACCTTGAGATGGTCGTCTAGCTGTGCGCCGCCAGAGGCGTGCAGGGAAGGCGCACCATCTGAAGGGGCAGGCAAGAACCTGGGAGGGGGCTGGAAAGCGTTCGGGCCCAAACCCTTGTCGAGGCCCTTGAAATAAGCGTCCCAGGACGCGTGCACCGAGGAGGGATCCTGCCTCCAGTGGCGGTACATCTCATCCGCGTAGTACGCATTCGTGCCGTTTGCGAAGATGTCGTTGGGGGAGGGCGCGGCGGCGGGGGTGGCGAGGTCGCGGGCGAGGAAAAGGGATGCGGGGGGCTTCGGGAGCCTGGGCCTGCTAGCGATGGTGCGGAGCCGCCGGAGCGCGTTCCGCTGCAACATCGTGAGCGGCGTCGACGACGGGGTGGGCGGCGAGGACGGGGCTATAGACTGCCAGCAAGTGCCAGCGCGGACGTCGTGATGGGTGTTGTGGATGAAGGTGCAGAGCCCGCTCAAGTCCTCGGCCGGCCCCTCCTCCCCGTCCCGGCGCCGCTCCGGCTCCCTCCGGCCCTATTTTCTCGCGCATGTTATTCGCTCGGCGCCGACCGCGACAACGACGACGACGACGACGACGTAACGTCCACGCCCGCCACTCCGAGACCGGCATATCCTCCAGCCTGCGTCGCCGAACACCGCATGGACTCCACAAACCCTCTCCCTGCGCCCCCAGTCTCCGTCCTGGCGGGCTCGGCCAGCTTTCAGAGCCACCTCTCGTCGCTCAACACCCAGCAGCGCCTCAGGCCCGCCGCCCACCACAGCGCGCACGCCCTCGGCGACGCTGCCGCCAAGGATCTCTGGCTCGGGCCCGCGGACGCACTGCAGCCGCGCAGCTGTGCACTCGTGCTGGCCACCTTTCTGCGCGAACATCTCTCGCTGGCTGCGCTCGGCTCTGAGGTCCCTACCGCGCGCCATCACGCCTTCTCCCGCTCGGCGAGGTGGCTGTTCTACGTCTACTGCTTTGTCTCTGCCGTCTTTTTCTCGACTGTGGTCTGCGGCCGCGGTTTCTCTTCGGGCGACGCGCGCGGGGGCGGCGAGCCGAGCAGACGCCCTCCGTCTATTTCTGTCCCCCGCGTCCCTGTTCCTGCCGACGGCCCGCGGACCTCTGAGCTGGACGCGCTCCCCGTCGACACGCGGCTCGCTAAGCTCTTCGCGCTGCACTTGCCGCCCAAAGCCTTCGAACCCGCCGTCTTGTACCCCTCGGTCGACCCCGCCTCCGTCGCAGCCGCTCTCTGGTCCCGCGACGACGACGCCGAACTGGACGCGCTCGCCGCGTGGGCGGAGGCATGGCAAGGCACGTCTTCCCGTTGGTGCTGACCGGTGCCCGTGCAGACCTCGTCCCCTCCCACGTCCCTAGGTCCGATCTCCCTGTTGGTGGTCGCCCAGAACTGCCCGGACGCGCTCCGTCGGCGGGTAGCGACGCTCCTCGACGACAACAAGCTGCTGAACGACACCCTGACGCTGCACGTCCTGCACGTGGACCGCGCGGCCGAAGACACGCCGAACGTGTTCCTGAACATCGCCCGCCTGTTCTCTCCGACCGCGACCGTCCTCCTCTTCCCCGCCAGCCTCTCCGTCGCTCCTCCCTCGTCAGCGTCAGCGCTCCTCGCAGGCTCAGGCTTAACATTTCGACCGGCACCGCACGCCCCGTTTTCCGACAAACCCGCGCTCCTGGGCAGTGCCGCGCCGGGCTCACCCGCGCCCGCGCCAGCGTACCCCTTCGCGGCGCTCACGCCCGTGCTCGTCGCGCGCGCGCACGCGTTCTGGTGCACGGAGCGCCTCTTCCTCGGGCCGTCGCGCGCGTCCGACTGGGACGAGTGCCTCTGGCAGCTATGGCTCGACGCGCTCGGCGACGTCGCCGTGCTCGCCGCGCCCGCCTGGCGCGCACCGCCCGAGCCCCCCGCCGCTGTTGCTGCGGCACCGCACCCGATCACGGTGAGTGAGTGGCCCTCCGCGCGTGCGTCGCGCCAGGCTGATGGTCCTGCGTCTGTTCTTTTTGCGGAAAGGCGGCGATGAAGCGCCGGCTGCGCGGGCGGTATAGGAGCGAGAGCTGCGTGCTGGCGGCGAAGCGGATCGAGGCGCTGGGCGCTGGCGCGGGTGCGGGCGCCGGCGGTGGGGCAGATGGCAAGCGGCTGGGGTGGTTGCGGCGCGTGTGTCGCGAATGGCACGGCGGATCGCTGCAGTGAGCGGCGAGCGTCGTGTGCGGCTGCGCCGTTGCAGATATCTCGATTCGCTTGAGGCTCGCTGGGCCATTGTTTTTTCGCATACTGTATTGTACGAGCATAATGAATTGATTGACTGGGCACGCACCACAGTTGAACAGGGTTTAGGTATTTTAGCCGCCTAGCTCCCACAACCTCTCTAACCACTATGAAACTTATGTACATACCTGAAAAAGTGTCTTAATTTTACTATGTTGATTTTCTTGTAATTATTGAGGGAGAGGAAAAATTGTCGGGCGGTGACCGAGGAGGGAGACTCGAAAACCGGCGTAGACCCCAGAGTTGAACTATTAATCCGAGCACTCGGTCACACTGAGTCACGCGTGCCGATCAGAAGTCCGACGAGTTGCAGGTCGCAAGGTCCGCCACCTACACATGTCGGAGCTTCAAAAAAGTCACCTCTCCAAAGGCCGAAGTCACTCTGCCCTCTTTCGAGTCTCTTTCGTCAAGGTTTTATTTTGAGCGTAAGCTCTCTACTGACCACCCCCGGATTTTTTTCACAGGATGTATACTTACGTTTATCTCCTGATTTATTTTTAATATGAGGAACAGAGTGGGGGATTTTTGGGATCTGGACTCTTAGATGCGGCGGAGAGCCATACTTCCCTGTATTTTCTCTCTCCTGCTCCACGCGCTTTTTGTACAAGTCTCAAAGAATACGCCGTCATTTTAAACTCATATATAAACCTCCCAAAATATTCACAAGACAGCCGCTCTGGTGTGAAAGAAGATATAGCGGCTGCTCACCACTGGTCCACCGCTCGACTGTGGCCCAGGGGCTACGAGGGATCTAAGCGATTACATAACTCTTTACAGATGCCCGCCGAGCCGCGTCCGCGTCTTTCTTCTGACTCTTTGTCCTCCTCCTCGCCGTCGCCACCGTCGCCGCCGTACGCCCCATGGACGCCGCACACAACCCAGAGCCTGGCCCCTCGTCGGGCTCCGCCGTCGTCGAGTACAGGAAGGACGGCGGCATCTCGCGCATGCGCTCGCACAAGGGCAACGTCCCCCAGCTGCCGCAGACGAAGCTCTGCCCGTACTGCCCCGCCAAATTCACCCGCACCACGCACCTCAACCGCCACCTCCGCAATCGTGAGTCCCGTCGTCCCCCACACTGCCCGCCTCGTCCTCACCGTCCTTACCGCCGCACAGACACGAACGAACGCTTCTATCGGTGCGAGGTGAGCCCTGCCATTTGCCATTGCCGTATGTGCGTGCCCCGCCGACCCCCGCCCCGCCCGCCCTGTCCCACAGACGTGCGGCGCCCAGTTCACCCGTAGCGACCTGCTCTCGCGCCACAAAAAGAGCTGCGGCGAGGCGTGCGTCCCCGCTTCCCCCGCTCCCCCCGCCACCCTGTCTCACTAACCCCAGCCACCCCATCAGTCGCTCCCGCCGCCGCTCCTGCCAGGCCTGCGCCAGCCTCAAGGTCAAGTGCGACCTCCGCCAGCCCTGCGCAAAATGCCGCGCGCGCGGCCGCGACTGCCTCTACCTAGGGCGAGAGCCCCCTCGACCCCCCGCCGGCCCCCGCCTCCCCGCGCGGCCCCCATGAACAGACGCAGCAGCAGCATGCCCGGCAGCACGTCCGAGCCTCGGCCGCCGCGCCGCAGGGAATAGTCAGTGTCGATGCCTCGGCGGGCTTTGACCCCTGGGCGTTCGCGCGCCCGTTTGATGGCCTCCTGACGTCTGCTTTCCCAGAGCTGGAGCTGATCGAGGAGGCGAACGACATGCTCAGCCCCGCACCCCTCAACGAGGCCAACATCGCCCACTTCGGCATGCTCCAGCAGCCCCCGCACCCGCATCATCAACGTCAACACCGCAGCCCCGCCTCCCACGCCCGCTCGCTGCCCAACGTCGACTTTGCGGCCCCGTCGGAAGACTCGCTCTCGTCGTACGCCCCACTCCACGCTCGCGGCGCGTTCACGTCCTTCGTGCCTTCGGACTTATCGGGCCCCATCGTGGGCACCCTCGGCGCCTTCGACAGCAACATGTTCGAGCCCTTCTTCCGCGACGTCTTCTCCGCGCGCGCCACCGGCGCCGATCCCCCCACGACGTCCACGGGCCGGGTACCCGTGGCACATACGCCCCTCGAAGGCATCATCGCGCCGCCGAACCCCATGATCGCCGACGCCCTGTCGTTCTGGGACGCTGCGTCCCCGGCCATGGTCGACCCGCTCGACGAGCAGCTCATGTACGATCTCATGACGAACACCCTCCCCGCCGATGGCCTCCCCGTGGGTGTCGCCTCGCCGACGATGCCAGAGGCGCCTCCCAAAGATGATCTTCTGCCTGTGGTCCCAAAAGTACGGGAGCCCGAGCCGGTGCCGGATCCCACGACCGAAGAGCTGCAGCATTACCGTGCGTCCGCCTCGCCTCGCTCGAGGCCCCCGTCTGACGCCCGTTTGGTCTTGTCAGTGTACATATTCTTGACCGTCTTCCTGCCGCAGATCCCGGTGGTGCACACGCCGACGCTGCGGGTCGAGCTGAAGCCCCCCGTGATGCTGCGCGCCATGCAGGCGTGCGGCGCGCTCTTCGTCAGGACGCGGACCGCGGACGCGTTCGTCGAGCAGACGCTCGAGAGGTCGCGGGACGTGCTGGTCAGCGAATTCGTGAGTCGCCTGTGATTGTCCCTCACCAGATCTAACGCCTCGGTTGGCAGGCCAAACCGTCGCCCGATCCCAAGCACCATCTCCACATCATCATCACCGTCATATTGCTCCAGACCATCGGGATCTTCCATCAGGACCCAGAACAGAGGGCGGCTTCCAGTATCTATCACGGCATGCTGGTGTTGGTGCGTGCTGTGGGCCTGCGCTCTCACGACCCCGGTGGCTCACATTCGATGCAGATGATCCGGCAGAGCGGGATCGTCAATAGGTGCAAGGATTGGACGCACAAACCGTTCTCGGCCGGCGATGCCGACCTCACGGATGTATGCTGGCGCGACTGGGCTATTAACGAGACTATCAAACGGTGCGCTGCATCGTGCATTTCTCTCTCCCTCGCTAGGCGTGCTTATCGGCGGCCGTCAGAGTCATTCTTCTCGCATACAGCCACGACCAGGCGCACCCGATCTACTTTTCTCTCCCCCCGTCCTTCCACGCCTCCGAGTGCCAGCTCTACCTGCCCTGCGACGAGGCGCTGTGGACCGCGCCCTCCGCGCGCGCGTGGTCCCAGCTCATCCTTGCCCCGTCTCCGTACGGCGAATGGCAGCAGCGCATCCGGGGCGTCAGCATGCCCCGCGCGCTCGCCGCCATCGGCGTCGACGGCGTCGACCTCTCGAGCGCGCTCATCGGCGCGGACGCCGTCCCCGAGCACCTCGCGCAGATCTCGCCGATGGGCCACTTCATCATCATCCACGCCATCCTCGCCATGCTCTTCAGCCGCCTCAAGATCGCGCAGCCTGCGCCCCCGCCTCCGCCGTCGACGGCCACGGACGCGTCGAGCGAGGCCGCGAGCCCGCACGTGTTCGCGATCCAGCTCGCGCTGCACAAGTGGCTCCAGATATGGTTGCTTAACCCCGAGAGCCCGCGCCCCGCCCCGCCGAAGCCCGCGAGTGGCGGCGGCGGCGGCGCGTGCGGGCATTCGGATCCCGCGTTCATGTCCGACCCGCTGCCGTTCTACTGGCTCGCGCAGCTGCTGTTGCTCGCACACGCCGAGGCGCTCCCGCCGTTTGACCCGCCCGCGCCCCCACCCGCACCCGCCGCGTCAGCGTCGCCCAGCTCCTCGTCCGCGACGCACCGCTCACCGCCACCGCTCACCGCCTCGCCGCACTCAAGCGCGAGCCTCGCATCCTCCGCGTCCCCAGCGACGTCCGCCTCGCCGGCGTCCCCCGCGGGCCTCTTCGCGCCCGCATTCCTACAGGGGCACGACCCGCTCGTCGTGGCGCGGCAGCTGCAGACCGACGCGTCCGCGCGCCAGTTCACGCTCGTGCGCGCGTGGCTGCACCGCGTGAAGCTGTTCCTGCGGCGCAGCGGCGCGGGAGACCCAACGATGGTGTGGGACGAGCTGATGAAGATCCGCTTGCGCGGGTGGCAGGCGGACGCGCTGCCCGCGCGCGCGGAGGGCGAGGGCGCGGACACGGATGCGGATGCAGACGCGGACTATGCGGAGCAGGGCTTGTTGGGGTTCTTTGAGGAGAAGCTGCAGATATGAGCGGTGCGCGGTGCGGTGCGGTTCGGTTCGGGTTGGTGTCCTCGTCGTGTCACTCGGTGTCAACGATATTTCGTTCGCTCTCGTCGCTCTGGTGTGTTTGTACGAATTAGTGTACGCTAATAGCATCTCCGTCTCGTCTCGTCTCGTCCGACTATTACAATGTAACACGCCGCTGGCTGTTCTACAAACACGCGCTCGCGCACGGGGGTTTAATTTTACAAGTACACAATGAGCGCCTCCGACGCCTGCACGCTCACCGTCGCGGTCCCGTTGCTGACCGCCACACTCTCGAACGTTTGCGCGCCTGCAGTCCCGCAGTCGTTCGCGAACGTCTGCCCCCCGCCGATGGTGACTACCCCGCCCTGGTCGACGCGCGACGCCGCGTTGGGCGCCGTCAGCCTCAGCACTCGCACCGCCGCGCCCGCGAGCCCGGAGAGCGTGGCGTTCGCGACGCCGCGCGCGCCGGTGCCGTCGAAGTAGTCCGAGTTGTACACGAGCGCGCGCAGGGGCGCGCCGGCGGCGGAGTAGACGACGTACGTGGCGAGCGCGCCGGAGCCGTCGTCGAGCATCGCGAGCGCGGTGGCGTCTGCGCCGAGGAACTGCGAGACAAAGGCGGCGCCGTAGAAAGGCGCGCCGACGATGTATCTGCCCCAGAAGCAGTATTGCTGTCGAAAGATTTTTTTGGTGGGTGAGCGGGTGAGCGGACGGACGGGAGGAGAGGAGGCGCGGGTGTGTGCTTACACAGTTGCCGATGGTGCCTTGGTGGAAGTAGAGCCGGTCGACGTTGTTCAGCGCCGCTTGGAGGACGTAGTCGACGATCCACAGCGCTGCGCCGTACGTGGGGCTGATTCCGCCTCCGCCGCACGTAGCTGGGCCGCGTGAGCATCGCGGCCGAAGACAACGTTGAGGCATGGGACTCACCGGAGTTGGTCTCGCCCAGGAAGTACGGCTTGCCCTGCGCGTGGGCGGCTGCCGCCTCCGACTTGTATCGACTCGTGTACGACACGATGCCCCTAGAGCGAGCGTTCGTTGAGAAGCTAAGGCTGCTGCTCGCAAGACACTCACGAGTGGCTCATGAGCGATTGCAGGTTCGTGCTCGCGCCCCCACACGCAGATTGGGGGTACGAGTGGCCGGAGAAGGTCTTGACGTGCTCGATGGCCGACCCGAGCAGCGGGACGAGCCCGGCCGTGCTCCACGTGGGCTCTTGCAGATACACGGCGGCTTGGAAGACGTTCCCGAGCTACGTTTTTTCGTGAGCGGAAGCAGCGAGGCCGAACGACGGGTGCGCTTACAGAGGGCGCTAGAGCCGTCTCCCATGCCTTTTGGCTCGCACCGTCGGCGGTGGGGTTCCATCCGGACGAGGGCACGATGGGCGAGTCGCTGGAGTAAACTGCGCACACGAACGTTCAGCAGGCAGGAGGAGGGTGACGGCTGATGGGCGCGCACACTCTGGCTCGTTGCCGAGCTCGATGGCGTATAAGTTCTGCATGATACTCTGCGCGGTGCTCGCGGCCGCGAGCGTGTTGGATTGGTTGTTCAGCCGGCGGTTGAGCCCGAGTGTAACGTCACCCGGAAGCGCGGCAGCCAGGGCGAAGAACGACGGCCCATACGTGAGCGCGGTCGGCGCGTCTGCTGCAGACGCGACAGTGTAATTGACCGCGGCTGTGAGCTTCGGGTCATACGTCGCGCGATCTCTACACGCGACGATGCGGTCTATCAGAGTTGTCGAGGAGGAGGGTCGAGGGGGATGGACGGAAGACTCACTGCGTGGTACCCCCGATGCGCACGGCTGGAGGCGCGCCGCGCAGTGTGGTGAGTCTGCTGATGCACTTCGCCGTTGCGGTGATATTGGTGTATGCAGGGAACGTGAAGAACTCGAGCGAAAGACTCAGCAACGCCTTGTCGACCGCTACGGCGGTGGATGGCGCGGTCGAGGGCACAGCGATGCCGTGGACGGCACTCGCGCCGACGGCGGCGACAGCTAGGGAAAAAATCGGGTGCATGTCGTCCTCAAGGGCGCCTAAACGAGACCGAGCTATGCTATACTGCTGAGGGACCGCCCTGCTATATGTATCTGAAGGTGCTCTTCTCCCGCGCCGTTGCGCGAGAAGCGTGCATCGTGCATGCGGGCCGTCGATGCGTGAGGACAATGAGTGACCGGCACGCGTGATGCTAGCATGCCTGTGCGAAAGAAGGCCGCGGGGGAATTGCAGAGAAAAGGTCGGGGTATGGAGTCTGGGGTGCGTGATGCACCGAGGGTCTTGGTAGAGGCGACGCACGGCGATCGCGTGACCGGCGAGAAGGTCCCGTGCGTCACAGTTTCAAAGTAGGCCTCCTTTGGTTCCGGTCCGGTATAAAGGGAGACCAGCGAAGGGAGAACAAGTTATGGAACTGTCGTGGGATTGTCTGAAAAGGGATGAGGGACAGAAGCCGCAGCAACTGCCCCTGAATGGAATGCGTTGTGCATCTGACGATGTCGCGCCGCCAAATATCTGCATGTGTGAGGGGACCACTGGGGATCATCGTTCTGACCGACCTTGTTAGACGGGCTGTTTACTCCCAAGTTAGGGAAGACAGATTCGACTTCTGGTCAGCATGACGATGTAGAATTAAAGCCGAGGCTTGTGGCACGGTAACCAACGACTCTTGGAAGACCTGAAACAATATTTCATAGAGTCTAGACGTCTTGTCGAAGAAGATATGGCATGTCATAGCGTGCACAGTGTCTGGACAAAGATCGACAGACTGCAAAGAAGAGGGTCCAGCAAGTTGGAGGACCGATCTTGGCAAATCATCTGGCTTCTGCGACATATGTTGACAGCTGAGGGAAGCACTGCTCGACAGGTTGTCCAACGCCGTCTTCCAGCTTGTAGGTGGTGTATGATACACAAGTTACTTTTGTCACGTTGCAGACGACCAGTTGGACGAATCTCTTTGAACAAGTTACCATTCTCGTGCTCTTGCATAGAGGGAGACAAAACACATCGTGAAATATATACGTGTGCGTGAAGCGAGGTGCGGTCGCGTGTCGAAAATGTACTATGAATAGAGTCATCGTCGAAGATCACCAGGATGACAATGTGAGTAAAGAATCTACCTCGTTGCCCTTCAAGCCAGTTTGAGCGGCCATGCAGTACATAGGTCCAACCCGACTCCTACCCCTACATCCTCAAAAAATCAGCACATTTGGGCCGACAAAATCTATGGCTGTCGTGGTGTTGACTATTCCATCGACAGCCGGATCTAGGACCTCAAAATGTCAGCTCTTGAGACAGAAACAGACAGGATGAACAGCCATCCGAGCACTTCGCCAGTCGCGCGAGCTTTCAACACCAAGGAAACACTTTGACGGTTCCATGAACAACCAACTCAAACATCATCGCTCGGGATTGAGATCCAAGGACTCCAGGCATGGTCCGTATCATTTGATCTAAGACAGTTAATTGACATTGGTTTCGAGCGATATATGATTGGAAACTTTTTACCGAGCACGGATACATCATAATGGTTCTGGAATACACATAAAAATCTGTGGAGAATGATACTTGCGGCCCAATCTTCTCATTCTATAGGTCCCTACGCAATGGTCAGTAACCAAGTCTCGAAACGGTTTCGCAACTTCTGCATACCTCGACAGAATTGGGCAACGCAGCAATAGCCTCGAGGATGACGCGCGATGTGAGCACCTTGTCGAAAACCGAGCTCATACACCCGGTCTTCCTACATTTTGCTGCCCAACACGCCTTCGCAGCCGGCCACGACTCGAGCCCCTCCTTGAATGACTCCCCCGAGGGCTTGAGATCGATCTCCAAGATCATGTGAAGCTTCAGCTCGCGCCAAGCGACGTAGTCGAGGGCATCGCCACAGCGAGGACACCGAGCGGATCCATCGCCCATCTGCCCATCTGTAAGAAATGGGGGCTGGCTGAGGCGCGCACGGAGCTTTTCGCGGCGGGAGTGATGCAGGTCGATGAGCGCAAGGAGCGAGTGTGTTTTGAGCTTCAGGAGGCCTGCGCGATTCTCGGGCGCGTAGAGGTTAAGAGAGAGGGTCAGCGTGGCCGCGATCCGCGCTTCGAGCTCCCAACCCCACCTGCATGCGGTTGCGTATAGATGAAGGGGTGCCCCGAGGAAGGGAGGTGTGCGAAGGAGCGCACGTATGATCGACACAGGTCCTGGCGTGTCATATTTCTCCGCAGCATACAGAAGGGGATCGACGACGTCCCACGAATCAAGCTCTGGAATGGCCAGGCCGCATATCATACGCAAGAAATGCTCGACCGTCCGTGAGTCCTCGTCAAGGGCAATCTCGGACTCTGAAGCCCTCCCAATACCGGTGCCATCACTCGATAGTGCGTTCGACGGGGGAGATTGTGGGAGCGAGAACATGGCACGAAACCAGCTGGAAGTCATTCTAAGAGTCGAACTAGGAACTCGGAATAACATGGCATCCTTCGAACGAAGGACGATATCTCCCTCTGTTGAAAACAAAGGGTGGAAAGATGGTTGACCAGGCATAGCTCGAACGACGTCGGCTTGCATTGAGGCTGTGGGGCAGTATGGATTTCCGAAACCTACAAACTAGATACTTTGGAAGTCAGTGTATATTGCGCAAGCGAGACGTTGCAGGCTGTAGCAGGCAAGAACGAGCAGGACGGTGAATAGTACGACCAGCTACGACCAGCCTGCGTGTTGATGCCACAGGAAGTTCGGCCCGCGGAGAGTCGGCTTAAGTCAGCTCAAGTCTCCCTCCTCCAACCTCCGACGTGGTCTCCGGATATTGGTAAGCCGGCTCCCACGCGCGGTTCGATTGAACGCGTCTCTCCGACGTCTCGAACAGCACCAGTTGGATGCTGTCATTGGGAATGACAGTATTGGTGCTCTCACAACCCCTCTGTGTCGCAGAATGGCTTGTGATATGTAAGGTCTCTACCGTCTCCGTGGCTGACCTTACACAGAAGACAATCGTTCTATGTAAGGTTTCCACAATAGACATGGACATGCCCATAGTCACCGCCTGGGCACATCCTTTTGTCTGTCGTTACGGACCCACGGGCGTACTGCGTCTGCGTAAGGCACGCGGCGCTCAGGACAGGCTATCCATCTAGTGAGCGAGAAGAGGTTTAAAAGCCCCACTCGTTCTCACTCGATGTCCATTCACCTCTGACAACAATGGATCAAGGCGTGCACGATGCTCTGGTCGTTGGCGCTGGTATTCACCCCGACCATCTCTTTTCCGTTCTCATTAGCTTACAAGTTTAATCAGGGCCAGCTGGCCTTGCGGTGTCTGTCATGCTCTGTCGGATGGGGATCAAGCCCCTACTCATCGATGCTGGCACCTATGCGAAACATGAGTGGGGACGAGCCGAAGTGCTACATTCAAGGTAAAGCAGCCTCATAGTCAGAGGCTATCATCTGACTGGCGCAAATATTGACATCATATAGAATGTCGGAAGTTTTCGAAGTAAGCGCTCATCCGACATTTCGGGTTGTACTGATAAGTCGGAATACTTATGCTTTGGACTCTGCTCTAGAGCCTTGGCGAGCCGTATCACCAATTCATGAGCATGTCACGCGCCATGAGCTCCCAGACGTTTTGGAAGTTGGAAAATGGAGTTGCAGAACGTACTCTGATTCAGCCATATTATTCTGGGGCGACTGACTTCAATGTCCCACACCCGCGCAACCTGCATCAAGGTCTTATCGAGGAGATTCTTCTGCGCGATGCCGAGCATTATAATCCTGGCTTTTGCGTCAATTGGCAGTGGAAATTCGTGGATATGGATTCCCAAGCCTCCGGCGAACCGTGTAAAGTGACCTTACAGCATGTCGAAACCGCCGAGACGAAGGTTGTGCTGGCCAAGTATGTACTTGGAGCAGACGGTGCGAGGTCCGCTGTCAGAGGGTGGGCTGCGAAGTTCGGCGTCAGCATGGAGACGCAGCCGACCACTGATCGCTCTTATGTTCGAGACCTCATCGGTGTTACTTCTGATTTCCCAGATCTCGAGCGTCTGTCGTATGTTATTGTTACTCTCACACCGATCAGCCTATTATGCACACTACTAATATTCTTCCTACGACCGCACAGACTGATCGTCTCCGAAAAAGGTGTTATGATCAATGTTCCTAAAGATCCTGTCGCGGGCAAGAGAGTCACTCGTCTTTCGTTGCAGCCCACCGAAGATCCTTGTGGACTATCCAAGGAGGAGATGTCTCGACTCGTCAAGAGTATGATCGCACCTTTCAGACTTGACTGGGATGAAATATCCTGGGAGTCTAGTTACACTGGTTTGTCATCTTATTAGCTGTATTAACCGTCGCGACTACTCACACGGATGGAATAATAGTCACGCAAAGTCTCGTCAATGAGTTTATGGTTGAGGACAAAGTCATCTTGTTGGGTGATGCTTGCCATACCCATAGCCCTCGAGGCAGGTTTGCATTGTTGCGTGTGATTCGAACGAACGCTGATGAATCTATGTAGGTGGATTGGGTATGAACACGTCCATGCTCGAGGGACATAATCTGGGTTGGAAGCTTGCGCTTGTGCTCAAGGGCATCGCAAAACCAGAGATCCTGTCAACGTATGGCGCCGAGCGACATCCTGTGGCTTACAACTTGATCAGCATAGATCGGCAGCTGGTGCAAGCTGCCGCCAAATATCATCATGAGAAAACGAAGGAGACTGATAATGATACCACCGGAGAAAATGCGGATATCCAGAAAATCTATGAGATCACTAGCGGGGTATGTTTTTCCTTGATTTTGAAGAACGATTTCGACGCTGAAACCGCTGTATCTAGTATGCATCTGGCTCCTCGATCGTCTACTCCCCCAACTTGCTCGTTACGCCCCCTAACAACATAGCAGAAGTGTTCGCGGCGGATAAGCCAAGCGCACCTGTGGGAGGGCGCACCCGTCCCGCGCTCATGAAGCGTTTCTCCGACGGTGTTATCGTATCTGTTCACCCTCGCTTCGATGGTCGCTTCACCATTTTCCTCCTGGTCGGCGACCTCGAGCACCCGGGAACAGTCGATTCTTTGCTCTCCCTCGACGACTACATCACGTCTTTGGGATCCATCTATACTCGCTATGGCGAGAGTGTACGCATAGAGGACATACCCATCCATTTGCGCATGCGCCCTATAGATGGAAAGGCAGGCGCTGTGCCGATACCAGAAGGTCGCAAGCTCTACACATATGAAGATGATGACCTTCCCCAGTTCGATGACGGCTATGGCACGCGTTCGCATTCACTCTTTCGGTCGATGGTGATCACTACTACGAAGGATGCGGAGGTTTTCAAGCTCGCCTCCTTCATGGCAAGGGTCTCGCCGCTCGGCCAGTCCAAGTCTCGCTTGTTGCACCCCTCACGTCTATTTTCGGATAGCTGTGCCGCCTTATCGCCGTTTGAGGAGGCTATCTTGCGGCATCCTGTGCACGAGAAATGGGGGATTGATCAAGGGGTCGGAGCCATTGTCGTCGTGCGTCCCGATGGCCATGTTGGAATGCGAGCAGATGGCTATGGGATTGGTGCCTGGAAGGAGGTGGAAAAGTACTTCGCAGGTTTCCTCATCTAAAGCCAGAATAGTAGATTTTTGCCACGGGGAAACAGAATGCAACTATGCACGACTCGCACTCGCATATCTTATCGGAATCATGACGACAGACCATATGAGACCGTGCCACATGATAGTAACCGTCAAAAATGGATAGCAAGATACTACAACTGAACTAAGGAAGGTGTGTGAACGTTTGACAAAGGAATTTGGCCACGGACACAGAAGCAAGACACAATGTGCACCTGCAAGCCAATTGATAGTGAACAAGTCCTTGTCATTGACATCCATGTTCCCCCTACTCGAAGAGAGCGAGGGCATCGGCCGAACGAGGAACAAACGAACACTTGAAATCTTTCGGGCGACTAGATGGTACGGATCAGACGGCGAACACCATGAACGCAAAGACATATCGTACCTAACCGCGGCACCGGTAAATTCCAAGGGTTGTTCGATGACGACGCCATTTGAATCCTTGGGCTTTTCGATGTTGTAAACGGCCAAGGTCGATGCGATAGTCACCCATACAGTGTCCAATGCCAGCCAGCGACCAGGACAGACTCTGAGGACCAATGTGTCTGATTAACAATCATTGTGGATGCACATTCATTACATACCGGCGTCCGAAACCAAAGGCGCTTTGAGGCAGCTCGTTGATTCCTAGTTGAGCATTCTTCTTCTCATCTGCGAATCGCTCGGGATCGAACTTGAAAGGATCCGGATATTTGGCCTCGTCGTGTAGCATTCCCCTGCCAGGTCCAACGCCATCAGTACATAGGAGCAGTGCCCAGGTTATCCGAAAAGAACTCACCAGACATTCGGTATGATCGTCGTGCCTTTCGGAATATAATATTCCCCGTACACATCGTCTGCAGTCGTCCTGTGAGCAAGTGCCAAGGGTGCAACTGGATTCCATCGCAGGCTCTCCCAGACGATGCCGGTGACGTATGGCATCGCGCTTCGATCTTCGAAAGTTGGAAGGCGGTCATTGCCCACAACGCGGTCGATTTCTTCCTGTGCCTTGCGCTGGATAACAGGGTCATTCATCGCTGCGGAGATGAACGACATGATGGCAGCGACGGTCTATGGATCTAATGTGAACCAACGTCATTCTCTTCAGAAAAGAGGACTCACAGTATCAGCACCAGCTAAAGATAGCGAGGATCTTATTAGATGTCATCGGCCCCCAGAATGGAGATGAAACGGTGCGATCGTACCTGCGTAAGAAACAGCGGTGATACCTTGAATCATTTGAACGTCGACTGTCTTCTCTTTGTCACCATCTTCAAGCTCTATCGTAGTGATGCAAGTTCCTGCTGTTCCTTCGGCCTATACAATATTAGATGGTCATCTGAAGGGCTAATGGGCAAAAATATGTACCATCCTTTTTTTGACCATTTCAAAGGGCTTCTCCAGCATTGCGGTCGAATCCTTACGCCATTCTTTCGCTTGAACCTGGAAATTGGCCCCTGGGAACCAGCTTGGAACATACTTGACTGTGCTCCGAAATGTGAGATTCACACAGGAAGACGCGGGACGGGAGGACTCACGGATGGGCAAGTTGTCTACCGCATAAGAGCCATGAAGAAGCACTTTGACCAAGGTGTTCATTGCTCTATCAGCCAAGGCTACGTAGTAGTCTCCTTCATCGGCAATATCATGATCGTAGTTGATCTTCATGACCAGCGCCGCAGCGTTCCTAAAAACCGATAAGCGAACAGAGCTCGAGAATAATCAACGAGAACGTGCCTGCGCATGTGGTGGTAATAGTCATCGGGGGTACGCCTGAGATTACGCAGGAAAGTCTGGACTTCCTTGAGCTGGAGAGGTTCGTAACGAGTGGTTGCACGGGGATTGAAATGTTTCTGGAAAGCGGTGCGGTATTTCCTCCAATCACTGCCATATGGCATACCTGCCAAAGACCATGTCCAACCCATACTGCAGGGCTGATCAGAAAACTGGCAACCTGTGGGAGCGAGGATCAAGCTGCTTACAGTTCCCTTGACATAGTCCTGAGAGGCCGAGATGAATAGATAGCCCCGCGTTTGTCAAGGAGGTCATCTGCGATCTTGGCAGAGTTGATTACGGCCACCGGACTTCCGAATGCATAGTAGAATACGATATCACCTGTAGGTCAAGAAGAAATCAGTATATATGACAGTGAACGAAGAAATTAACGGGATCTACCATAGAGCTTCTGCCATTCCTGGTAGGTGAACCAGGGAGACGACGCCGGAACAAGGGGTTGACCGAAACCCAACCAGGGCGATTCAGGGCCAGGTGGGGTCGGCTTGCGATGAGCTCTGCGGGCTATGACACCGAGTAAGGTGGTGGATATAGCAGCAACCGCAATGATGCTTGTGATTCCGTATTGTTGAATCGCATCAGCGAGCATCTTGATCAACTATGGAGAGTGAGTTTGCTACATCCAGACTCGAAATCAGAGCGTTTTATATATATATCTGAGCTTCGCATTTGCCGATCTTGAACGGGCTTGATACCGTCGGTTAGCATAATCTTTTGATATAGCTCGCCAGTCGACCTGTATGTCGTGAACATGATCGCCAAATCTGGGTTTGAGTTGGGCTTCTCGAAGCCGAGTGCCAATTTGGAGATTGAGGCTCAAAAACACCTGAGTCTGTCGGATTTTGTACAAAATCCGAGATGTGAATATCAGGGGATCCGAGCCGCGATCGTCTCGAAGAGGACAGTTGCACGACCGAAGCATGGTCTGAGCCCAGCATCGGTTAGCACTTGGCTAGTACGCGACGCTCTATGAAATTTGTCTTAGGGTCAGAGGATGTGTGAGTATCTGAAGACATACGCTCCACGCTACTGTTTCGGAGCATCACATTGAGTGCATGGACTTGACCCTGCTTGACCCAACCCAACTTGACCTGCTCTGCTTAGCGTAAGTTCACAGAAAAGAAGCACTGCGGCCCGAAGTATAACAATCACTATCATGGAAAGTCGCAGTGACGTGCCTTCTCCTACGTGTGTGGTTCGGGATATCGCTTTCTGAGCCCTTATCGGCTTCATCAACATAACGATTTGCATGGCGAGATCGCGTATTGTTCTAAGGAAGAACTGCCAACTTCCGAGCGCTTGCATGAAACCTTTCCGCTGATCTGAACAGTCACTTTCAAAATCCTAGTTGATAGAAAATTTTCTGGTTCCCGTATTTGAAGTTCGACTCCCTGACAGTTGTTTGATAGGTGAATTCCTGGGGTGAGATAAATCAGAACAAGTCGGAAAGGCTGAACGTGAACGTTGTGAACGCTGAAGGTGACCTATCGAATGCTCCGTAGTCGGACCTGCCGAGTCCAGAGCTCGGAGCCGGACCGGTATTCTACCTATCCATTGCCGGTCGATCAATTCCCAACAACCGTTTTCAGTCCGTTTTCGGCGTCGAGACTGCGTTAAGCTGTGTTTGGTCAGCAACGGAGCCTTCTTTCAAAAAAATGCTGCCGAAACAGACTGGCGTCAGTTGCTCTCGCCCATCGGCTCTGAATACCATGCCAGAACCCACCTTCGCTTTATCGACAGGCAGTTGAGTGTCCTCTGGTTCCTTAATTTCTTTACCTATTGATCGCGAACACAGCGGCACATATTCCTCCTTCACGCCTCGTTTTTCAATTGTGTACGTACTCATTCGAGGATGTGTCTCAAATTACAATCTTGGTGATGGGTCTGGCACAGCTCGCGCGTGCAGACAGCTGATGGGATACGCTTTCTCCCATGTTCTCCGTTCGAGAACACGCGCAAACACATACTTCGTATCATCTGTGCGGAGAGCGCTCATGCGCTCATGGCTGGTGAATTTTTTTGTTGATTTGCTGCCCTAATCATCTGATGCAGAAATTTCTAACTGGGAGATAGAGTCAACCTCAAGGGCCAAAGCGACTGCATCAGAGTGGTATAGGGTCAGTCTAAAACTTCGCAGAGAGATTCATAGCAGTCATGCTCTGAACGGCGCCCTGACGCCTGAGGGCAGAAGCAATTCTCAGCCGCAAAATCATTTTGACAGCGAGTCTCGGACTGTTCATTCCTTGTCCTCGCCCGCAGCCTCCTCGGACAGCACTGGATTCTCAAGTAGCATGCCCATCATACTACGCCCATCGTAGACCTAGAGTGTGATCTATCGGTCGTCGGCGTGAAATTCAACATTGAAGATCAGTAAGGTTGACTTGGCGCTGTTTCCTTCCAAGTGATCGACCGTGCTCTGAACGTATCTAACAGCATCTTCAACGAATCTAGGTCCCGACGTGAGGCCGGACAGCCTCCAACTGCGCGGAATAGTCGTGCGTGATGTACTTGTTTGGTGCTCCGTTGCTTATGTCCCACTATCAGTCAGAAACAGATATTGTTTGTCCTGAAGGTGTCGAAGTGCATCAAGGGCACGTTTGTATCGGTGCTGTTGGACGATCTCCTCGATGGACTCTTAGCTCTTCTGACCTGCCCCTCTACCACACAAGAAGATAAATGTGCCACATACTTATGGTCGCTGTTGCTGAAGAATACACCTAGCCACGAGTGGCTCCCCGCTCCTTGCTATTGTGGAACAAAAAGTTCGCCAGGTTTCTATCTAAAATCGGCTTCGTTCCACGTCCCCAAAAATATGATGCAAGGCAATCACTAAAAGGTACGCCGTATCCCCGTTATGTTCGAACCGTCAAGTAGGCAGTGGCAGTACAAGTGATGTGGCCACGCACTGACCCGGGCCGAGTGGAGTGTTTCAACCTGGATTTGCCGCAAAGCCACGGAGGTGCTGTAGCCTTTGTCTACGGCCATATAAAATCCTTCGCCGGACAAGGTTGACTCTTCACTTCTCCTTCCTCCTAACGTCCTCCACAGACGTACCATTGGAAACAGTTCCCGGGTTCCTCTATATCAGCAACCGCTAACTACATCGATTACTTCCGCTCTCCCGACCCAGCAATGAGTCAAACCAAGCCACTCCACACTTACGACTTCGACCCTGCTGCCAAGATGGCGTATGCACCTCCTGTAGCAGTGTTTGCTGCGTTCTCTATAGACCCGGTTGCCACAGTTGAGGCCCTGCAAGATCCTTCCGTCACCGCTATCGCTCGTATGATGTCTCCTCGCAAGTACGTTGGATTCGTCACTCAGGCAAGTAGCTTTCCATATACCTGCCTTGGGACTGATCATCATGATATGATCCAGTTCCACGACCTTCCTTTTGAGAATCAACGTCTCCGATGCACATTCCTCATGATCAATCAAGGCCAACCTCAACTTTCGAGGGAGGACTATATTGATCAATCGATGTGCGTACCAATTGCCCCCACCAAAGCCCACCCGCAAGGTCGAGAACATCTGCACCCGAACAAGCCTCTTCCCTGGAAGGACGTGTACGCTTTACCTCACATGCAACTCACTTTCTCTGTGAAGCCAAGGCTGATGGACCACACGGTTGCGCCAATGACCTCCGAAGATGACACCAAACGGATCGAATTGATTTGCGTTGAGGACAGGATTCATCGACTGAAGCTCATCTCCGGTGAAGCGTCGTTTATAGAGATGCCGCCCTCATCGTCTGACGCTGGGACTTCCGGCGCGCCCGCTTCAAACGATTCTAGCTCGGAGCTTGATTATGAAATCGAGGATCCAGGCGATCAACCAAGGTCCCTAGAGTGGTATGGGGTCGATATAGAAGCCTATGAAGAATTTGAACGAGAAATTAGCGCTCTGAAGGCAAGAGCGACCTCGGAAGATGGTCCTTGCCCCGATGACAAAAGTTCACTGTCGCTCGGTAATCTGGAGGAGGACCCTGCCTATCTGACTATGCCCATCGTCGATGTGGAGTACGATCTCTCGACTATCGGAGAACTTAATAATCCTAAGCTGCTTCTCGACGAGATTGCCACTCTAGAGACGTGAGTATTTTGTTCTGAGAGATACCTCGGCTTTGTGTGCTGACTGTATATCTCAGTCTGATTAAGGAGTCTCGAGCTCGCAAATTGACCCATTCTGACCCCGTCCAAGAGGCACGTCTGCACGCCAAGAGCACCCAAGAGCCTGTGCTCCAGGAAGCCCCGCACGCACATCGCACTGGTGAGTAGTATATCGAACTTGTGCCGCATGCCTTCTAAATAGCCATCATTTAACAGCCCGTCGGCCTAAGATCGTCTCCAAGCTATCGAGAGCCATAAGAGGCGCCGTGTGCATATGCGCTAACGGAAATATCGATCCTGGCGAGGGACCGATCACACTCACTGAGTCTGTCGAGTTCCCTCTCTATCGGTCGGGAAGATGAATGCAGGCTTCTTCCAACATTGGGCACTGTTCATCCTTCGCTGACGCCTACTCCAGCTTTTCGTAATCGCAGCCGTCATCAGGGACGGACATTTCGCTCAGGTGACCGTCTTGGTGGCAATATGCCCAGACAATTGAGTAAAGCAACGCTTGCGTGGCTTATCACTGTCCTTTCATCTCGATTATTGTGTTGAACAGTCATTGTACTGTGGCCATGATTTTGACGAATATATATATTAATACGACCCTGTTGTGGAATTATATCCCTAGGAATGCGTCATAGCTTGAGTTCGATTCACTCTGCGGCAACCACGATGTACTTCTCGAAGTGGCAAGGTAATATTGCCATCTCGACCATGCACTATTGTGGCAGATTGTGGCACGAAGTCGCGGAAAGGAAGTGCGACGGCCCGGAGTACCCGCTACCAATTGTGGCGTTTCACTTACTCATCCCGGTGCTTGCCGTGTTGATCCCAGGACTACTGGCACCAGCTGGCACCAGCTGGCACCCCTTGCCTGGCCGGTGTCTTACCTCCCGAGTCGAAGTCTCATGGACGCATCACTCATCGCTTATCGACGTACAGACATACATTCACGATTTTTTTTTCGACAGCTGAGAAAGAAAGTGGTCGACTTTATGAACCGGTATATTATTGGATGTAGCTCTGCAATGTGGGTTCAACATCAGGTGCGTATAACAGAGCATGACATGAAAAAATCCTTGACGACCCCTGGAGTCGTTCGTTCCGTAGATACTCAAACAAATGGGTCTATATGCGCTGCCGCACGCTGGTCCACAGCAATCACAAAGCTTGCCGACCCGATGAAACTGGTCTTCATCCTTGCTACGCTGGTTGAATCATGTCTTGCTTCCGTACATATCTACTGGACTACCTTCCTATCTTATGCGACCAACATCATATCGTGGTCTTTGGAAGCGCTGAAGGGCTCCGATATCGCTGTCCTTTTCGTCGATAACAATCTGATTGGATCGTCGAATAGCATGCGGCTCGTTTAAGGATTGATCTTGACCGCTTCTGTCATTCGAGGATCATCATTGGCATTTTCTCTACTGCTGGACCTTCCAGGATAAAGTATAATGCAGCTGTATGATCCTTTAAAGGAGAGCCTCAGATATATATCGTCGACAAGATACCCAGGCTTGGATACCAATGTGAATAGCTCCTGTTCGTTGGAACGGGATATACTCATCTATGGTGGGCTATTCCTGCTGTCGTCGGATATCAAAAAGCTCGCCAGGTTCCAAACGAAATTTCATCGTTTTACGTCTATTGAAGAGCGACGCATCCCGATGCGTAAGAGGTCCGCTATGTGTTTCCGCAATCCACTTCCCTAACAGTGCAACACCGTCTCTCGTTCATCCTCGTCCACTCGAGTACGAATGCTGTCTGACCCGGGCCGAGTGTTATGGGTTCAATTTAATTGTGCCGCACTGCCACATTGCCACAATGCCACGCAGGTGAGCCTTGGTCCTTGTCCACGGCCATATAAAGCCTTCCACGAGGTCCTCTCTTTTCCCGCTCGTCTTCCCACACTTAACCTAATCGCTATCCATCACTGGGAACGCTTTTTGTTTTCTTGAACGTCAATCACTTCCATTTCCGCCCACCGCAATGAGTCGGACCAAGGAACTCCAAACATATGCCATCGACCCTGCTGCAATGATGGCATATGTACCCCCTCTGGGGACGTTCGTTGCCTTTTCCATAGACCCGGTTGCCACCGTCAAGGCCCTCAATGATCCCTACGCAACCGATTTGGCTCGCTTAATACCTACTAGCAAGTACGTCGGATACGTAGAAGAGGCAAGCAGCTCTTTGTCATGCGTTGTCTTTAGAATAATATCGTGCAATTCAGATATACGACGTCATTTCGAAAAGTCGTCCCCGTCATCGTTGCACATTCTCCGTGGTTAATCGAGGCTTACCTGAAATTTCGAAGAAGAGGTTTATCGATGCATCTATGTGTGTGCCAATCTCCCCCACCACATACCACCCACTCGGCCGAGAACCTTTCCACCCAAATAAGCTTCTGCCCTGGAAGGACTTGTACACCGCTGACACGCGAGTTACTTTGCGCGTGGTGACAAAGTTGATGGATACCCGCCCTGCTGTGACGATCTCCGAACAGGACCTCAACCGTATCTATCGGATTGCCGTTGAGGATGCCACCCATCAACGAAAGCTGGCACTCGGCCAAGTGCCGTTTATTGACGGACCGCCCATACCATCCGACGCTCAGACTTCCGGCACGGTCGATGATTATAGCTCGGAGTTTGATTACGAAGTTGAAGATCCAGGCGACGAGCCACGGCCGCCTGAGTGGTTTCCTCAGATCGATCCAGAAGCTTTTGCAGAACATCGTCGGAGGCTTGCCGCTCTGGACGCAAGCACGGCCCCGAATTCGGATGAGGAAGAGGAACCTGATAGCGATGACAGTTTTTCATCTTTGTCCACTTGGAGTCTGAAGGAGAACCCTGCCTACATGACTATGCCCATCGTCAACGTGGAATATGATCTCTCAACTGTCGGGGAACTCAACGATCCTCAGCTGCTTCTCGACGAGATGGCCGCTCTAGAAATGTGAGTCTTCTCTGGGAGTGGCACTTCGGCTTCACGTGCTGACTATCTATCCCAGGGTGGTCCAGCAGTCTCGGGCCCGACAGCGGATTTTTTCTGACCCTGTGCAGCAGGCACGTCTGCACGCCATGAGGACTCAGCCGCTCATCTTCGAGGAAGCCCCGCGCGCACAGAATACTGGTACGTAGTTGATCAGTTTCATGATTCACGCCCTCTAAGTCACCGCCATACGATAGCCCCTCATGTTGGTCTCGTCTCGAAGTTAGCGAAGCGCGTTAAGGGCGCCGGATGCATCTGCGATAACGGAGCTCATCATTCCGACGAAGGGCCTATCGCACTTTCTGAGTCTTCTGAATTCCCTGTCTACCGGCCAAGGAGGTGAATGTCCTCAAACGTGGGACACTGTTTATCCCACGCTTCATACCTACTCTAGCGCTTTGCTGTTATTAGCGTTAGAAACTCTGGTCTTATAACTACCTTCGGCTCAGCAACCCCGATATTCAGGACTGTCCTTTCATCTTGTTTATTATCTCAGGTCCACTGTATATTGAAGTGGCCATTTTCATGACAATAATGTATTTTGGTTGAACCCTATCGCGGAGCTATATAGTACTGAATAGCTTGAAATTGATCCGCTTGAGGCAGACACCACAGTGTAGTTGTAAAGAGATAGGCTTCCACTCGATTGGGTTTTTGGCTCTCAAATATGATTGATCGATTGCGCCGACAATCAACTTAATTTCAGCTGAACATAGATGTACAGAGCCTACACACACCGTTACATGGCTAACTTGAACCGAGACTGAGAATATGATACAACCGGCAGATTGAACCCCCTACACTTTCCTTATAAGTGCTAGAGCCTCCCCTGAGCGAGGGGTGATGGCGCATTTAAACGGCTTTGGTCGACTGAACCGGAGCAGAGATTGAGGAAGAGATATTGTCTAGCGAGCTAGACACACACCTGATCGAAACGCCTGTAAACTCGACGGGCTGCTCGATGACGACGCCATTCGTATCCTTGGGCTTCGAGACGTTGTAGACGGCCAGGACAGACGCGATCGTGATCCATATGGTGTCGAGCGCGAGCCAGCGGCCGGGACAGACACTGAGGAAAGCGTGGTGTGAGCATGCGATGACCGGCATATTCGTATGTCACATACCGGCGCCCGAATCCGAAGGCTATTTTCGGGAGCTCGTTGATTTCGAGTTCAGCGTTTTTCTTTTCATCTGCAAATCGTTCTGGGTTGAACGTGAACGAATCTGGATACTTGGCCTCGTTGTGGAACATCGCCCTGCCAGGTGCAAGCGCATTAGCCGAGGAGCGAGCATTCTTCGCTAGCATCAGACTCGCCAAATGTTCGGGACGATGGTGGTGCCCTTCGGAAACCAGTAACCTTCGTAGACGTCATCTTGAACCGACGCATGAGGGACGCCCAATGGCGCGACGGGATTCCATCGTAGACATTCCCAGACGATGCAGGTGATGAATGGGAGATGGCTTCGATCTTCGAACGTAGGGAGACGATCACCCCTCACGACGCGATCAATCTCTGCTTGAGCCTTGCGCTGGATCTCGGGGTTATTCATCATGGCGACGAAGAACGACATGATGGCAGAAACGGTCTTGAAATCGTGAGTGAGTGATGACTACTTAATTAAACAACACAGGCGTGCCCACTGTATCAGCGCCGGCTGATCGCGAAAGAGTTTAAGACTGATTCGAACAGATGAAGTGGTACGCCTCGTACCTGCGTATGAGATAGCGGCGACACCTTGGATCATCGGGACATCAATCTCCTGCTCACGATTGGTGCTCTCCAACTCCAATGTGGTCACGCAGGGTCCTGCACTTCCGGAGGCCTTCCAGACGAGTGATATCAGCCAGAACATCTGTACACCGACGGAATTATCCTCATACCATCCTCCGTTTGACCATGTTAAAAGGCTCCTGGAGCATCGCCATGGAGTCCTGACGCCATTCTATAGCATCTCTCTTGAATGTGGCGCCTGGGAACCAACTAGGGATGTACCTCACTGTCCCCGGCACTACATGAGGAATGAGTTCGAAGAAGACATATCAAAACTCACAAATCGGTAGGTAGTCCACAACGTAAGCTCCATGAATTGCCGCTTGGATAGTCCTCGACATAGCCCTATCAGCCAGATTTACGAAGTGATCTCCCTCCTCCGCGATGTCATGGTCATAGGAGATCTTCATGACCAATGCGGCTGCATTCCTAAAATCATACTCAGTACATCACGCATGACAGTAAGGATGAGGCTGCACCTGCGCGTATGATAGTATAGATTTTCCGGGGCGCGATACAGGTTATGAAGAAATGTCTGCACTTCCTTGAGCTGCAACGGCTCGTACCGGGCCGTTGCACGTGAGTTAAAATGCCTTTGGAAAGTGCTGCGATATTTTCTCCAGGAACTGCTGTAGAGCATGCCAGCGAAGGACCAATTCCAACCCATCCTGAAAACCCCATATATATGATGAAAGAAATTTCGACGGAGAGAAAGACGACATACAACTCTCTCAACATAGTCCTGGCGGGCCTAGAAGAATAAATGGCACCGCGCTTCTCCAGGAGGTCGTCTGCAACCTTTGCTGAGTTGACGATGACGACAGAGTTCCCAAAAGCACGGTAGTACACGATGTCACCTAATTACATGCCAATTTTTTTTGAGCTATCACTTCGTTGCAACGATGATAAGGAGAAAGGGTACCATAGAGCCTCTGCCATTCCTCGTAAGTATACCAAGGATATGTCGCAGGGACAGTGGGTTGCCCGAATCCCAGCCAAGACGATTTCGGGCCTGGCGGAGTGGAAGGACGACGAGCCCTGCGCGCTAAGACACCAACGGTGACAATGGCCAGAACTGCTGCTGCAACGATTGTAAGGAGTCCCGGTTGTTGGAAGGCGGCGAGAACCATCTTGATGAGAAGTGCGGGACCTGCGTGGTCCCAAACACAGGAAAGGGCTTTTTGAACATGTCCCTAGAGTCGGATTCGCCGATACGCTGCGGGAATGAGTTTGCCTTTGGTGATGCCCATGTCATTGGAGTACGTATGACTCGTGAGCACGACCGACAAATACAACTTCGAAAGGCTTTTGAAAGACCTAGATATAACCGCGGGAAGAAGATAGTGTGTCATCGCCCATGTCATCTCGAACGCTCTTGACGGCATCGAAAGTCGAGGACATGGTACTTGAACTCCCAAGCATTCTGTCCTGGTAGATCGCATAGATCGGTTCGACAGTGATATATGTCCGGGACATTATGCTCTATAAGATGGGGGGCTCAGAACAAACAACAGCGGTTGCAATTCAGCAGATGGATAAGGACGTATGTGCCACGATGGCTTCTCGAAACAATCAGAAGGTCACTTGAGCTCGTACGAGCCCATTGTGGCATAAAGTCGTGGCAAGGAAGCGCCGCGGCCCGAAATATGACATCCGCTGTCAAAGTACAATACAATGACGCGCCTTGTCCTACGTGTGTACCTCGGGATAGGACATCCATAGGATGCTTGTGCGATGATTGAGCGGGGACATCAAAAGGAAGTACTGAGATGCTTCAAAATAGAAGATTCGAGGGCATTGAGAGAGCCTAGCCGATATGGAACAATACAACGAGGTGATGCGATCACTAGGGCGTGGACGTCGTCGAACGACCTCAGAAGCGTGTTCCATAGGTGTGCCATGGAGGGGTTGCTAGGTTGTCGATTGATCAGGAGGATAACAGAATGGATCGAAGCCTGGAAAACATATCGTTAGGGCGGACGCTACAACCAAACGTTCGAGAATAGGCTAAGTTCAGCGCTTCTTCTTAACATAGACGATAGAGAACAATGATCAAGGACGCGCATAAAACCAGATCACAAAAACCGAATGCTGTGCAGATGAGTTCACGAGCATTGCATGAAAAATGACAGCTAACCAAGAGCATGACGGACATAGGCGATAACATCCTGAGCATAGGCGCCCTCAACCTGCAGAGCACAATCCAATAGGGCATATTTTCAGGTTGCAGTGGAGGGTGCACCGCTCACAGGGAAACACGGCTGAGATCTGAGACTAATAGTATCAGCTCCAGCGGCGCCGAGATCTCTATGATGGCCTTCGGACGATCGACCGATGGAAGCCGATGGAACACAAAGGCGATCTCTGGAATAGTTTTAGGATCTCCCGCACCTCGTCCGACAAAGGTCTTCCAATTCTCACCATACTCAGCGTTGTTCTCTCCATTCCATTTGAGGTCAAACCTGTGCGGGCGCATCTGGGGCCTAAAGAGATGCTCTTAGCCTCTCAGGCGCCCCTACGTCTTGTATGGTGCTGTACAACCCCTGTGTTTCACCACATCCTCGCGGCGCGTCTGATCGCGTTCCTCGCAAAGCCGGGCGGCTTTCCAGAGTTTGCCCCGCACGAGCAGATCATCAGCGCAGGAGAGCGCAGGCTACTCCGGGGTTTCAGGATCTGCATAAGGGCATCGGCCCCGCCGGAATTGGGGTCTGCATCCATCGGGGGGCTCGAGCTCTGAATTGACGCAACCGCAGCCGAGGGGGACACCGGGTGTACCGGTACCTATATGTGCAGTTGACAGATGCGATGGACTGCCTGTGGGCAATGGATCGCTCGAGAAAGAATTTAGAAACTTGCGAGGATGAGTGCTTTGACTCCGTCACTCCGACGCTCGCACGCAGTCGGCCTTTTTGGACCCCGCTCCGGGCCGTGCCGTTACCCTCAGTCAAAACGGAAATTCAAGTAAATGTCATGTCTAGTCACAAAATTGGGCTTTTGTCATCCGTCAGAGATGCGGTGCAGAAGTCATATGAAAGTCATGTCCGATTTCAGCAGTTTATGACTTTTGCATGACTTTTTGTGCCCTTTTTTGACGGATACATGACAAAAGCCCAGTTTCGTGACTGGGCATGACGTGCACATGACTTCTGTTTTTACTGAAGCGTCACCCCAAGCGCTCCCCCAGGTTCCTGCTGTAGCCCCCCACGAACAACCTCGCCGCAGCCTCCATTTCTTTTTTGCCGTTTCCACAAGGATGCGATTAGCTAGTATGGACCGGAGCTCTGTGAATTCCTCAGGAAAACTGGCCGGCGGCACGGAGGGAATGCTGAGTGCGAACGCTCGCAGGACTGTCAGCGTTCTCTTGATGACGTTTGCATTGTTTTACAGTTAAATTGCGGTGATGTTCCGAACATTTCTCGGCCGTCTGATCTCTCCAAAGTGTCGGTAAGAGTCTCAGCCAAGTCGACTACATAGCCTTTCTCCACGAGTTAAAAAGTCGCAGGTAGGCGCAGGTCTATTGCTATACACGGCGCACTGTGGCGTGAGTCAGTACAGTTGAGCTAGAGTGGTAAGAGCTGCCGGGGGATTTGGGCGTGCGCACAGGTATGGTGCGGTTTCCTTGCCAGTCAGATTTCGACAGGAATTGATGATCAAAGAGAAGAGAAGGGTATAGCCAGCAGCTGCCGGCATGCAAACATCGGCCACAGTTTGCGAACCCCCTTTCCATTGGTGTGGAGTTCTCCCAGGCCCACCTCCCGATCACATATCCGGCGCCGCTTTCAGCGTGATTGGAAACCAATCCCACTATACATAGTCGTCCGCATCCAGCTCTCCTCGGCCCCTCCTCCCCCCCTTTGCCCTCCCTCCCCCCCTTCCATTGCGCTATGCCCCGCCCCTCCACCGACTCAGACCCCTTGACTCAGGCCATGGCCCCGCCGAAGGGTGAAACTCCAGAACAGCGTGCCGTACGAGAACAACAGGAGGCGGAGGCGCGCCGCGTGAGCGACATGATTGATGAGCAGATCAAGGCAGAGGCTAGCGCGATGAGGAAGCGGCACAAGAAACCTCCCATCAAGGTCTTGCTACTCGGCCAGAGTGAAAGCGGTGCGTCTTGCATCTCTTGTCCCCAACTCCGTACCCATCTCATATATCACTGCTTGAATTTGTGGAATATGGCGTGTGAAGGCAAGTCGACTACGGTGAAGAGTGAGTCACGTTGTCCTTCGTCGTGTTGTGAATGATGCAAACGCGTGTTGCTTTTACGTTTCCAGATTTCCAGCTTGCTTACGCACGAAATGCGTGGCTCGAAGAACGCGCCTCCTGGAGATCCGTCATCCTCCTCAATCTCGTTCGATCTGTCAACACCATCCTCGATGTCGTTAGCCGCGAATTGGCTCACTCAGAGTCTTCCAGCCGCGCATCGACCCGCCTCGCCTTCTCGAACTCCTCCGACGAAACCTCCTCCGAGGACGATGAAGACGATCGCACGACGCAACATTCGCACACCTCCTCCATCACGTCTCGAGGCGCATCCAACGCCCCAAAGTTCGCATTCACAGAGCAGCATCGGTTGCTACAGCTTCGGCTCGGTCCCCTGCGGCGCGTCCAGCGCGATCTCGAGATACGCCTCGGGGCTGGTGCTACCGAAAACCCAGGCGATCTGCGCGGGCCTGCGACACCCTTCCAAAGCACGGCCTCTCAGAACATGTCCTCGGCAGTCGTCTCTTCGCAGCGCCACAAGGCGCGACCAAAGGAGTTCTTTGTCCATTCGCGGAGTGGTTGGAGAGGCGCACTGAGCCTGGGGCGGGGCCGGGAAGGCGAGACGCGAATTAGGAAGGGGAGAGAAGAGGCTGTAGAAGAAGCGGTTGAGGTGATCGCTGGATGCAGTGATGATATCCGGACGCTATGGGAGGACGAGACGGTTCACGCTGTATTGGCGAAGCGGAACATACGGATAGATGACCAGCCTGGATTGTGAGTGCCTCGTTTTTGCCCGTGTCGTGGTCACTGACAGTCGTCTAGTTTCTTGGATGATGTCGAGAGGATCACGAGCCGAAACTATGAGCCCTCCGACGACGATGTTATTCGTGCTCGTCTGCGGACAATGGGAGTGCAGGAGTATAGTTTCATTTTTGAAAAAGGTGCGTCTCTGTTCGACCCACGCCCGGCCTCCCTCTGACAGACGTCCACAGGCAGTGAAGCTGGGCGAGAATGGATCATGTATGATGTTGGAGGCGCACGCTCATACGTACGCGATCTTCCTCCTCTTTGCCCTCTCACGCTCACCAGCAATCACGCAGCGGTCGGCATGGTACCCTTACTTCATGGACGTAAACGCTATCATCTTCCTTGCGCCCATCTCCGTCTTCGACGAGCCCCTCGCGGAAGACCGCAAAGTGAACCGCCTAGAAGACTCATTCCTGTTATGGAAAGCCGTCTGCTCCTCGAAGCTTTTAGCAAAGGTACGTCGTCCCTCCGTTCCTCCTGTCGCTGTCAGACCGCCGCCATGACGCACGTCCTCACCATCCTTCGCACAGGTCCAGCTGATCTTGTTCCTAAACAAGTGCGATTTGCTCCAGCGGAAACTAGAGCGTGGGCAGCAGATCAGGCGCTCTGTACCCTCGTTTGGCGATAGGCCCAACGAGCACACTGCCGTCATAAAATGTACGTCCGCACACCATCCCAAGACCCTGCATGCGATGCGTACATCAATAGCTGACATTGACACCCCCATGCCACGCGGCCTAGATTTCCGCCAACAGTTCCGCGACATCTCGAAAAAGTACTCGCCCGAGCCGCGCGGGTTTTATTCGTTCCCCACCTCTGTCGTTGTGAGTGTCACGCCGCGCCGCCCATCCGATCTATGTACATCGCCTTTGCCCTTTTCCTCTGAATCTCCGCTTGTCTGTCTGGTGAAACCGATCCGCTCACCGTGCTGGCTTGCAGGACATCAAGGCGACGGCGGTCACGCTCGGGACCGTGCGCGAGGGCATACTTCGGAACCACCTGCAAGATGCCGAGCTCATCTGACCTTCTTCCGCCCCATCGGCGTGGGCGCCGTGCGCCCGCGGACTGTTTTCCGTCTCCGCTGATCCTTTTTGTTTCTGCTTTTATGCTACCGCTCGATATGTACGCGCATGACACGACCCCCACGCTCCATTTCATCCTCCTTTTGGGTAATCATTACTGTAGGACCGCGATCGCGTTTGGCTTTGTACGTTTTTATAAGTTAAGGGTTTTTGGTTAACTTACATCGTGCTGTGTAATACAAGGTATTGTATCGGGCGTAGAATGGACCCCGGGAGCGGAACTACTGGAATGCAGGAAAGCTGCTTATTTTTGATTTACACGTGCTCTGCGTTCAGGATGGGGTGGAGATTCGGACATGGTGCGGCACTGGTGCGGCCTATAATCTCCTATAATATGCGGCTACTATAAAAGGTATCGAAACTATGTTTTTATTTTTAGGAAGATTTCACCATCATTATACGCTCGTTCGGAAAGGAGCTTCAACGTGTGCGTGGCCATGGTCCATGGAGGAGGATTTGGAAGAGAATGTGTATATGTTTGTTCAACAGGGATATATATATCAATTATCCAAGCCAACTTGACACAGCCGGGTAGAGAGCTCCATGATGATGACGCGACGTGGGACTGACGTGGGCCACGAAGCTTGTTTGAATTACCTTTGGCTGTCTTCCATTATGGATCTCGAATCCCCAAATACTATACAGCAGAAGATGCGTACGCACGCCGGGCGGCACCCTGTAGCACCTGGTGACATCTTTCATGGTATACCATCACTGGAGTAGTGTTCGGAAAGGCACTAGTGATCGTAAGTTGACATTGGAACATGCAGTCCTCCACGGTTTTCTTTCAAATTAATTTCTAAAATAAGGGAAAGTAAAAACCATTGTAGCTCTCAAACCCTGTCATTGTGAAAGGAGCGCATGGTGAGATACGAGTCAAAATGTAGTCAAAATGCAGTCACAACGTGTGCGGGCACCATCCAGGATCTTTCCGAGGAGCTCGGGGGACCTCCGTTCAAGGTAAGAAACTTCCAGCGTATTATTTCAGTCATTTTACATATATGGTAGTTTGACGAGGCCTTGTTAGAGAGAATCATTAAAAAATAAGGACACTTTTGTCGAGGGGAGAAAACAGTGGAATTCACACGCGGAAATGCATTCTCCGCTGCGCGGCCGTACAGCGTGGGCAACTTGCCGTGCTTGTCCGGAGTTTGGATTCACGTGCTCGGCTCCTGGCGGCATATGCGGCGCGGTGCAGTTAAGGTTTCCGAACACTAGTGAAAACCACACACCTGAGCGCAAAGGCTGCGGCAACAGTACCCTCTCTCATTATGTCTCATTGATAGTAAAATATAATAGAGTGAGGTAAATACTAGATACCTGTGCAGGAACAAAGAACAAAGACGAAGAAATAAGGTCTCTGAATTTTTTCTATTATAATGACTCTGAAATTTCCGAACACCGCTCCAGTGATAGTATTAGGACCCATTTACGTTACAATGATGCATGCCGACCTTACAATGTCTGGGCCCTTGACGCCCTGACGCTCGCCGAGTCAGCTGACGATGAGCGCTACTCGAGCCACTGGCCGATCAAAGTAAGTTAAGATTGGGACGCTGCGCAATCGGAATACGCGGGATGCATGGAATGCCTGATGCTCGAGCTATAAGGGCGGGTAGTCGGTTCGCTTAGCGCCCAACAGGGAGGCTGCACCATCCGCGAATCTGCGTCGAGTGTGGGATGCGACGTTGATTCAGAGGGAGTTGAGATGGAATGGCGACTGACCGTAGAGCCTGCTGGGGTGTGTTCAGTGTCGAGCCTGGACTGTGTAGGGCGGCCGGCTCTCGTCAGACAGGCGCGATCCGTGTGAGGTCCGGGGTGCACGCCTCGACGATCTTCCAGCGCAGGACACGCCTCAGAGAGAAGTGGTCATCGCACTGGCACCGGCCACTCATGATCAACCCCTGCGACTCCAGCTGCCGATATCCTATTCCAAAGCCCTCGATGTCCGGCGTGGATCAAGAGCACCGCCTGCGATCTGTATGTCGAAGTGGCTCGAGGAACCACGGAAGGCTTGGATATCCTGCATATCAATCAGTGATGGACGTGCGAACGTGCACGCGCTCGGCGCACAGTCGAGGCCTTGGGCTGTACTCGACGAGTTGTTGCTGATGCGGAGACTTGTGCGTACTAGGCATGGTGTGGTATGCCCGCTGTGATGACAGTGATCAGGATGATGAGGAGGATGGTGCGTGTTGCGGATCGTTCGAGCGCTGCCCCCAGGCCCGATCAGCGTGCTCCGAAGATGGTGTATGTCGCTCGAGGAATGGTCGGGGTTGTTTCTCGCCTCATGCATCCTGCGGTGCGTGTCTTGATGACTGCGGGTATTGACGGACCCTCGGAGAACGTGGCGCATACGGAATACAATTTGAATGGGCAACTCATAGCCCAATGTTGAAGTTGTATATTGAATGCCGCCTATCATGCGACATCGGCGAGCTAGAAGATGGCATGTTCCATATCAACGACTGACTGGCTGACCATCTGATCACGAATTTGCCAACAATGTCCAGGTCAGCGTGCTGCAAAGCGAGGTACGGACCGACCTTGAGCAGCAATTGTTGATACGACATTGCATATGCCTCCCGCCGAGGAGATATACTCGTATCTCCCTCCATGCATACGTTATACATTCCGCAAACTCTTCCATTGGGATACAGAAAAAAGCAGAGCACACACCTGCTCGTCATGCATAGCTACAACTAAACTCAGTACACACACAAGTGCTACGGCTACAACGACGGCAATACACTATCACCAACCTTGCGATCGGTCGGATTCCAACAAAGCACAGAACCGCCAACTTACGGCCGGCTCAAGAGATACGAATCCTCCACGCGCTGGAGCTTAGGAGAAAGGCCTATTCTTCTCCGCTGTCGCTCGCAAACTCGACAGCCTGGTACCGTCTTGCTTTCTTGTTCGGGTTCGCAAGGGATGCGCCCCTCCTAGCCGTCTGCGCGGGCATGACCGAGCCTAGACACCACCACGCTCAGCGATCAATCGATCGATCGATGGAAGGAAGCAAAGGGGCAGGAAGAGCAACGGATGCTTACGGCTTTGCAGAGCGCTCGTGCTCCCGCCGAGGCCGAAGCTGCCGCCCTGGCTTGTGATGTTCATGCCGCGCGCTTTGGAGAGCTCTTGACGTAGAACCCGGATCTCTTCACGCGCGAGCAGCTCAGATTGGGTCGGTTCACTCGCGAGTGGCTTTGCCTTGCGTTTCCCTTTCCCGGCGTCTTGGTCTTGCGCTGATCTTGTGGCCTGTGAAGGCGAAGGCGAAGTTGAGGTTGAGGGCTTGGGTTGACGGACTGGCGGCGGAGGGCTTGAAGAAGAGTGCCGGCGCTTCTTCTGCGGGCGCGGTAAAGATGAAAGAGGCGTGGCTTCGCGGGATCGGTCTTTCGGTCTTTCGGGAACTTTGAAGGGGGCTGGTGACGATCCGCGCCGGGGACTGCGAGTAGGCAAGCGCTTTAGATAGTCGTGGGTTTCGGCTGAAAGATTCGAAACAGAAATCAATCGATCAGTAAATCTGCCGATGGCGAGAGGACGTACGGGTTTGAGGACATGCGGGGGGATAAAGACGGCACTGGTGCGATTGAGCTTGCAGTGCGATCTGGCGAGGCTTGAGGATTTGTCAGTATTTTCGGGTCGGGGTGGGACTCACGGAGGCGAACTCTCCTGCGGCAAACGTGGCTGCCTCGCGCGGGGTCATCTCCGTCAGGGTGATGTGAACAGGCCTTTTCGCGCCAGGGCCTAGGATCAGCTAGCGGGGGAGCAAAAAAAAAAATATTGGGCGACGAAATGGAAGGACGTTAGCGCTGGCTGACCTTCAGGTCCTGGGAGTGTTCGGAGAGCGGGTCCCAGTTATCGATGCTGAGCTCCTTCTTGGTGAAGGCTGATAGCAATCGATCCGCAAACCTTTCAAGAAGCTCGGGCGCCGCCTTCTCACCCTGAAGATGTGACGAATTGAGCGCGCATAGTCGTGTCGCGCGATAGTGAGCGGCATACCACGAAGTGGAGCACGTCGTTTTCAAGCCATCTGCCTTGCCACCACCGGCCCTCCTGGGCGAGTCCCACGTGCAAGAGCCAAGCGTCGTCCTTAACGTGCGATAGGACAATGAACCTAGAGCTTCCCCGATGGACGAGCTGCACGACTTCGTCGAGCACCGTGAAATTGTCGAGCACAGACTCTACCATGGTGGAATGGGAATAGGGGGATGATAATGGCGGTGCCAAGCCTGCCCGTCGGCGGCTGGATGCCGGCATCGTGGGGGCCGCGGAGTGTAAAAGTAGGCAGGCTCCCACAGACAGCCAAGTCAGTTGTTCGAAAGAGCAACCAACCAACGCCCCGCCGCCATCCTCCCCTTCGACATCCCATCGATATGTCCGATATGGATAAACAACGCAAACTCGCACTTTATAAGTCTCCTACCTATCGCGTCCGTATCTCCCCCTCCATCCTCCTCTCCCTCTCTCTCTCGTCGTTCTCGTCGTTCTCCCCTTCCACGTCATCCGACGACATCCTCATATCGAAAGCACTCAACATGGCGAGCCTCAGGTCATACGGATCTCACTCGTCGCTTCCTCAGGCTACCTCCAACCTTCCCTCTATAGCGCAGGCAGCTTCCTCTGTACATCACTCTTTGGACGGGGTCTCTGGTGAGTTCTGGTCGGTTTCTGTCGCACGCTGCACTGGGTGCTGATATGTGACGTCCTAGTGTCTAACACGTTCGGAATAGATAACGATACCGAATCTCAACGCGTTATTCGCGCACGTATGACGCTCCGTGAGGATATCGGAAAGCTGAGGGACGAATCGACACTCAGATTTGATACCATCGAGACCGATATCGAGAGTATCAAGCTCACTCTGGATAAGCATAATGAGAGATTCACTTCCATCGAGACCGATGTCAAGGATATCCGGGTCACTCTCGGCGAACAAGGCAAAACTTTAGCAGATCATAGCGCTCAGTTCACATCCATCAACAAGAGGCTGGCTTCCATCGAGAATACGTCACGCTCGCAGCATGATGGACTTCAAAATCAGCTGTCAGATTTAAATTTCCTTGTCAATGTTATGGCCCTCACTCTCGGGATCCCCCTCCCCTTGGATAAATCGCAGTTTCCCCAAATACTAGCTAACCTCTCCAAGACCCAGCTCACTGCTCAACCCTCGACGCTCTTCCCTCCGTTGGAACCCATCCAATTTTCTCGTATCCGTGCCCCATCCGACTCTCCCTCTCCTGGCCCTTCTACTCGCAGGCTTCCAAATGCTGAGAGGGTCGACTTTCCCGTCAATCCCTCCGAAGTTGATGTGCATCAGCTACTTTCCGAAGCCCGTGCCGACACAGGCCCGGAAACCAAGCATGCAGTCAAGGGACTCCTCCAGAATCTCAAGACCGTCATCGTAAGTTCCGTTCGGTCCGTATTACTCTCATACATATGTGACACTAACTGCTTGGCTTCGCAGAGGAGCGTGAGTTCGAAGAGTCTCAAGAGCTCCAAGAGCGTCAAGAGTTTCAAGACCACGAATTAATAGCAGTAGTGGGCGCAATTACTTTTTACCGCCGTCCTGCACGAAGCCACGGACGGCACTTCCCTTCGTCCATAAACACATCCTCTCCGCGTCTTTCGTTCGATCACAATCCACACACTCCCTCGGCCTTCTCTTGATGACGCTAGTAGTCGTTGTCGATTCTTCGCCTCTCGTGTATATTTATTCTGCTTTGACTCGTTCTGACCGTCTCGCTCGCTCTTGCATGTCGTTTTGTACGTTACTCTGTCCTTGTTATCGTATGCTCTCGTATCTATCATCTTGGTTACCTTAAACCGCACGTCCGGCAGCAAGCCACGCTCTGCATGAAAGTCAGGCATCCATACATACAATGATCCCGATCTTCTCCACTGTTATCCTTCAGCAACCCGTGGGGACCTCAGGGGTTCTGTCAACCGTTCGTACAAAGTCACCGTGTTTCGAATCCTTGTCAAGGAAAAAAGTTCTTCGAATTGTTGATGAGCTGCGCCGGAAGGCCGTTGAACACAGTCGACCGGGCCGGGATAGGCCGGGCTCTACCTTTCATCGAACTTCATCCAGAGTCGAACGATTAGACTCGGTATAGTCTATCACTAGGCAATACGCCCTCTAATCCCAGTCGCGGACAACAGGCCATTCTGCTGATCAAAATATCTGATCTCAATGACCCCATCTTGATCCTCTGGCCATTCTTCACTCAGCCACAAATGCACACAGGCCGTTTGTATGCGCCCCTATGCACTCCCTGAGTCCCTATGCATTGACCTAACCAAAGAACTTTCATGAGAGTATCCAAGCACTTATTTCTGAGGGTGATGTAATGTATGACTGTATCCTCAAAACTGTTTTCTTTTCCCTCCAAGTCGTAGATTTGGCTGTCGGCGAATTGGGCGCGAATACAGAAATAGAAGAGTCTGCGATGGGCATTGATATCGTCCGGGTGTGCTATACTAGGAGGACAAAGGTGCGTCAGACGGGAATTGGTGCATTTTCACGCGAATTAGAGAAAAAATGAAGTGATGTCTTCACTTCTTCACTATCCTCGTCATTGATCTCAATCACAGCGCATCTATGACATTGATCTGCGACGCGATAAGCGCGCATATACACTGCTCATTACATCCTAGCGCTGTCGATGACTAGCAGATGGATGTCGCATATCATCGATGAGTCCTCTGCAACGGACACTCATCATAATTTTTCCAGACACCTAGCTTTGCCATGGCTGTCCGCGAGAGTTCAGTTGCTGTCTCGCCAGCTGCCGGCAAATCTCCGTCCGACTGCACTTCTAGAGCCTGGATGCGACCATGTGGCTCATTGCTTGATTCTTGCAGAACTTTGATCTCCTTTTCATGGTCGAACGAGAATAGTGAAAAAGGTCATATGCTTGTTGATCCTCCCCAAGGTCGGTGGCGCTTTTCCTTCGCGTATAGCGTCAGCGTCGTGGCGCCATCTCGGTTCAGTATTATACAGGACAGACTCTGGGATCTGAATATTGTGTGGCTGAAAAATTGGAACCTTAGGCAAACGGGACAGACGAGAAGACAAAGAGGAGCTTTCAAGTTGGCGCATATATCCAAAGCAGCGTGATTCAGGCGGGCATCTTTGTAAACATGTGGCGCAGGGCTCAACAGGTGCTCCAAGGTCGTGGCTTTCCCAATCCCCGTAATATTTCAAAGCTTGTCATTGCCTGAAGCGGCTTTGGTAGGATTTCAATGACTACAGAGTCTTCGACCGCTCATGACGACATGCGACGTTGTGGAAAATACCACTCAAATTTCCTACTCGTTGTGGTTCTCGTTATCATCAAGCTGCAGTGACCGTTTCTCTACCATCCATGATCGATCGTTGACCTTTTTTCCTCAATGATATTGCAGAAAACAATCTAGGACTAGAAAAAAGCGCGACAGCCATACAACCTATTGTCCACCGATCCTGACAGCTAGTCCTTCGCTTGGAGATGTCTATGCGGAGCTGAGTGCGCTTGGCTACACTATTTTCAGCTGCTTCCAATACATCGCGCACCTTCATAGTATAGTATGTTGTGGCAGCATGCACCTAATGGCCTGTGGCGGCGGCGCCACGCAGTCTGTGATGGCGGCTTTGACTCTGGTGGCAGACTTGTCTCAGACTCCGACAATGATCCCTCTTATATTGGACCGCGAGATGAGAACGCCATGTCCACCGACGTCTTTTTCCTTCCATAGGCCATCACTGTGACGGTTGGCCGAATATCATCATTTCGCATGACTCTCTTAGATTCTGATAGTGGCATACGGACGTACACCAGGAACTTCTTTTTAGCATGGCATGTGTCCACGTCTGACTTATGATCATGTGTTGCAGCAACTGGGCCAGTGATCAATTTTGGCCTTCCGTCATCCAACAGCGCATACTCCCTTTGATACATCATCTATCATCCTTCACCGAACCCGAAAGCGACGGCTATGGCATTCGTTTGATAGACCAAGAGCTGTCGGCCATTAGGGAGATCGAATGCGACCTCAGAACGCGCCGCAACGCACGAACGCGCACTTGCACCATTCCACCGGAGATCCTCGCCAACATCTTCTCTAACATCTTTCATCCAACCGACAATCTCAGTTGGATTATCGTCACAAAAGTCTGTAGGCATTGGCGACAGGTTGCTTTAGACCACCCCTCGTTATGGACCAACATCTCTACCGCTTTTGGAGATGAAGCGATGATTCAAATGCTCGCACGTTCAAAGGAGTGTGTTCCCATAACATTCGAACATTACGGGAGAAAGTGCGACTTTCAGGACCATATACTCCCGCACCTCCATCGTGTCGAAAAAATCTTGTTGCATGACCACTCGCATGCAATAAAAGACATTTTATACGCCTTGGAACAAGGCACAATTCCGAGACTCAAATCCTTGACAGTCAGTGCGCGTGGGCATTTCACATTGCCTCTGATTCCCTTACTTCGAGCGAACCTACAGCTGCACAGTGTCACATTATTCGATGTCGGTATACTACTTGACGATGTTCCAGATCTGCCACTTCGGAAAAAGGATGAACAGCAGATCAAGAATCTCAGGCAGCTCCATCTCAATTCGCCCGATTTTCCCTACCCTACAATTGATCAGTTATTAAACGTGCTCGAGAGCTTTCCTAATCTTCGTGGACTGACCCTATCCGGGTTGACTCTAATTGCTTCCAACTCCCCAGGTCCTCTATGTCGCTCGGTCCACCTTCCTTGCCTTACGCAGCTGAAATTATCGGGAGTATTGACGGATTGCGCACATCTCGTGGGTTGTCTAGATCTTCCCCAACAGTGTCCGATTACTATCAACTGTTCCATCTCCTCAGGGCAGGAATTCGAGTCAGCCATGCCAACGTTGGCTGGTCATATAACACGCACGGGTGTTTCTTCTCTGTTGTTTGAGCTTTCAGACATGCACCAATACCACCATCCCGTCATAAAGATCACTCCTTGCGTTCAGCCCGTCGCTTTCCACGGTGTCGTGCCCAAGCCATCCGTCATCGGTGGCAGCCTTCGCCTGCTGTTTGAGTTTCCGAATCCGGAACTCTTGCGTGACAATAATGGGCCCCGTACCCGGACGGCACGCGCACTCTGGGCAGCATTGGAGCCATACAACATCCAAATCATTCGCATTGACCTCAGGGACTGGCACCCACTGCTCGGACTAGCGGATTTTTTGTGCTCTGACACTGTGCGGCGATTGGACGTATGGCGGACACCGGTTTCTGTGCCAGCTCTACTCGACCCTGACACACCACCCCCAGCTCTACTTGGCCCTGACACACCCCAACGCGTCGTCTTCCCTAAGTTACACACACTATCTTTCTTCGGCTATGATTTCTCCGCATTAGCCCTCCAGAAGCCCGAGCAAACACCATATCTCCTGGCTTTGGCCAGTTCTTTGGAGAGGAGGCGACAGTCTTCTGCACCCGTTCAGCAACTGATATTCAACGGTTGCCAGTATAAACAGGATTGGCTCGACGCGTTGAAAGCGGTCGTGCCGGGCTGCATCTTGCGCGTAGACGGCGCACGTCGACTGTCATTATGATAGCTGGTCCGGAATCTTGATACAATTCGTATTTCTATTGAGTATAGGGCCAGCTCCTTAGAGGTCATCTTGTCTAGGATCGATGCTACATGTTGTGGACTATAATGAACGGCGTACATAAATATTGGATTTCGTTTCTTATTTACTCCTGGCACAAGGACATATCGAGTAGTGAAACTAGTGAACTGATTCATACTAAGATACACTATATATCAAGACAGAAAAGGACACGCTGGCGAATAAATTATGTTATTGCCTTCTCGCTCTGCAGCCTTGTCTTGAAAGTAAACGGCAGCAACAACCTCTTGAAAGTATCGTCGACTCATCCCTGACATTTGCCTCAGCTTCTTTGGTTTGACCTACAGACGGCGATCATACACTAGCAACTACATCACACCAGCGAGGTGCCACGCCCGACGACCTCCTTACCTGATGCAGCACTACCTCCCCGTAAGCCGTATTTCCAGCCAGCGCAGTGGCACGTACGTCACGCCTGCGAACCCCGCCGCGAGCTGGTACCACACAGAACGCAAGAAGGCGCACAAAGCGAAGCAGCGTCAGACGATCAGCAAGAGCGAGCAGTGAGAGAGGAGCGACGCGCGACTTGCCTCGAACCCCAGGTCCGCGCCGAATCCGGTCCCCGCTTTGGCGCCGAGGGGACCAATGTACCATACCTAAGTGCGCACGAACAAACGGATGAAGCGAGCGTGAGCAAGCGCACGGAATCGGAGAGGTGTGGGGACGTTACCTCTGCCATGCCGACGACCGCGCCCGCGACGCCGAAGCACCCCGCCAGGATCCCCGCGACGCCCAGCGGTAGCTTCCCCGGCGAATCCCAATCATCCAAATTATACCCGCCCTCATGCTCAGCCCACTTGTCCCCGCGCGTCATCCGCCCGAGGAGCCCTAGCCCGCGCCGGAAGATGAGGTGCTCCTCCGCGACGATGACAACGAAGAACGCGGTCCAGTAGCTGAGGATGGCGAGGAAGTTCGAGAGGATGGTGGCGAAGTGCTCGCGCCCCGCGACGCCCGCGACGGTGTAAGCGACGAAAACGAGGAACGTCCACGCGAAGCGTGGGACGCGCGCGAAGGGGCGGCCGAGCGCTTGGATGGAGAGCCCGGCGGAGTAGGTGTTTGGGATGTTGTTTGCGCTGCACGCGTAGTTAAATTTTAGCGGGTTGTGAGGAGACAAGCGAGGAAGAGAAGAAGTGGGAGACGATGGAAATACTCACACAACAGATAGCGCTAGCACCACGAGCAGGAACTTGCCGCCCCCGCCCCACGGCTGCAGCACACGCGCCAGGAGCCCGCCCGTCTCGCCATCATCGAACGCGGCCGCGTACGCGGGATCGCGGAGCGTCATGAGCGCCGCGCCGAGGATCTCAGAGAAGCATATCGGCAGGAACAGCCCAAAGAACGTAAGTATGAAGATCCTCGTGGACGAGGTGTCCGCAGGGAGCCTGCAGTTGTAGTCCGCCGCCACGGGGGCCCACTATATGCGCGCATATACGGTCAGAACGGAGAACGCGGGCACTGAACTTGAAACGAATGAAACGTGAGTGCACACGCACCCCGCTGAATGATCCAAACACGATCCCGCCGAAGCTCAGCACGTCTGCCGAGAGGCTTTTCCCTTTGTCCTCGAGCGCACGCTGTGCGCTGATATCGAACCCCGCGTGCCCGGCGAGGCCCCACAGGCAGAGCATGACGATGAAGATCACGCCCCACGCGTAGCGCTCGTAGCGGTGCACCATGTCATACCCGACGAAGCACGGGATCAGGCTGCATACGCCAACGATGATGATGCCGACGACGAGCGGGAGCGTGCCCGGGTTGATGGACGCGAGCGTCTGGCCGCCAAGGATGACAGCTGTAGTCGAAAAGCCAAGTCTATGCGGCGCACATGGTAATGTGTAAGGAAGAGGACGAGGCGGTGTCGAGTGAGAGAAGACGTACTGCGTGAGGATGTTGAGTACAGAGTAGATGATTCCGCCGACGTAGCCCGAGCTGAAGCGGGAGATGATCATCGTTCGCAAGCCTGTCTGCGGGCCCAGCGTCGCGATGAACGCCGTGGCCACAGCCCCTAGCGCGCCAAAGCACATAATAGTTGCGATCGCGTGCCTGCGCGCTCAAAATTTCGTCTGAGTAATCTGACATGCCAAATGTACCAGATAAGCAAGAGAGAGGAAACTACTCACGGGAGCGTGAGTGTGTAGAATTCTTGTGCGAGGACGCCGATGGGAATGGTGGTGAGGACCATGTTTACGGACCTGCGAGTTCAAGGGGCCGCGTTGGATTCACGGAGCACAGTGCTCAAGTCAACGAGGGGCGGGAACAAGGATGGACAGTTGAATGTCCATCGCGCACACGCACCACCACATCAACAAGCTACGCAGTTTTGCAAAGGTCACGGTAAGTATATGCGCACGTTCAAACGCGAAAAAATGAGCGATTGAAGACGCACTTATTCCACGCGTGTTTATCCTCTCGCTGGTCCTCTGGCACACGCTCAACACCACGAGATTCAACGCCGCTGTTGAAGACTTTTGCGAGGAAGGGCCCGATGCGCCCATATCGGCGTTCTTCTTCCAATCCACGGGCGGTCGTGTCCGACGCGTCAGGCGCAACGACCGCGACATGGCCCTTTTCTTTGTCGTCGTCGTAGGATGAGGAGGCCATCCGTGGGGGAGGAGGGAGAGAGGGAAGGGAGGACTGTGTCGCGTCTTGAGGAGATAAGCAAGCGGGTTCTATTTATAGCGCAGGTACGCGCGGTCGAGAAGATGCGAAAGCATGGCGAGATCGCTCGACCCCCTTGCACAAACGATACCGGGTCGTTGTCAACATGGTGAACAATGTCGGAGCTGTAGTTCCTCCCGCCAGATTCATCCTCCGAGTCCTCCAGGGCCTCACTCCATGTAACTAAATGCATATGGTAAGTCGAGTGAGCCCATCCGACTGTCGAGTGGCTAAGCGCGTCCGCAGCCATGCTTCTGCGGTTGTGCGATGCACATACTTGCACAGGCTGCCCTGACCGCGCAATGTGCAGTAGATTGCGTGGTGGCACGTGTGGCAAACCAACATGCGCTGAGTTTCAGCTCAGGCAACCTTAAGCTTGCGTCTCACTTCAACTCAGGCTGATGCTTGCAGTTTTTCTTCAAGGTCAGCGCATAACACGTTTTTTGTGTCTAGAGCGTACGAGTAATTTCTTACGGTGCCATACATCAATCTCTTTTTTTTTCCCCTCAGGGAATGCGGGGTAATCACTTGAAGCCACCAAACATAGATATGATCATGTCAGTGCCATGGCTCCTCGCCGAACGATCCGCTGAGACCCTTGTTGATCCACTGATCGAGAGCAACCTCCTGGGCTATATCCAAACCGTGACTTTTTCCGGGACGTCTGAAGATTCGATCCCGATCGACTTGAAAGGACGGCGACGTAGAAGGTCTTGGACATGCCGCGTAGGCGCAGCACCGGGCGGGAGCAGAATCATTTGCGGCGATTGACGTTCTATCCGCCGACGAGGGTCTCCCTCAATTTCCACCAGCACGACCTGCAGTCCCTTTGTTACGCCCTGCTCAATAGGCGCCCGGATCCCCCCCTCTCAATGCGGCAGAAGTGCAGGACCACGGGGCGTGGACGGCTGAGAGCTGGGGAAAACAAGGGGAACGTGTTCGGCACGACTAGCAAGAATCCTAGAAAGCCAGACTACTTCGTGATGGGCCCATTCTGGCCGCTGATTGACGCCTGGATCAGACCGCTAGGGCGCATGATCGCGAAGACTTAGTTGGACGTGGATCAGGACGATTCTACGTGCGGCCGGCTGACGCTATATCGCTAGCAGGTGGCCGTATGACTTACAGAAGCTTCACGGAGACCTTCGATGTGTAGACGGCACATAACAGGGCTTCGACTCGGTTGACTAAGGAACTACAATAGTTTATTGTGTTCCCTTGTAGATGCACCTGACAGTGTTGTTTATCGGTCAGATCATGTGTTTTTCGCCACCAAGAACGCTGCGATAGGTAAGGCGCGTGCTTGCATCATTTGTATGCACAGGTCGCTTAGGCGATAGATGCGCGCTCTACAGGGTTCAAGACGCGTACCCTCGCGCCGTCGACACGCCCCGTCGCTTGAGCCCGGGCACACGGGGTCTGAGAAGTCCGTTTCCGAGCTGAACAAACGCGGTATGTGATCCGTGTGAGTACATGCCACAACGCTGAGGATGATGCGAATCGGACACCTTGACTCACAGCGTCGGCGTGCTCGACGCACCACTACACGCATACCCAACGAAGCGTGTCTCGACCTCGAGCTCTGTTTCCCCCTCACGCCGCGAGGAGTATAGGACCCTCCGAGTTCGGGAATGACCCCTGCACCTATGCTGCTGCCTGCTTTTGTAGAGACATAGGACGGGTCGACGGAGAACGAGGGGCGCGATGTCTTGATACCTGGAAGTAAAGTTGTGGAAGAGGGATAAGTTCCGACAGAGACAGCTTTAGGCGTGTGTATCGAACCGCCAGTTTGGCGGCCGCAAGGCGACATTTTTCCCATGACGAGTCAGAGAAGGACTGCCCGGAACAAGCATGCATAAGAAAGAAAGGTAACAAGATGCGTGCTAGCATGCCACCAGGGCCACCAAGCCATCGTGATAACGAGGGAGATGTGAGACTCCTATTTCAGGCAGATGGGCAGCCTGGAACTGCACGACCCCTCGGAAGTGAAAAGCGAGAAGAGCCCCGCTCTGCCTCGTCGAACAATGCGTCGCTGTCCGGAGCCAAAATTTGTAGTGGAGAGACGGTGGACACCTGGGGCACGTCGGGCGAATGCCGAAATGAAGTCTCGCTTTGTCCACAGTGGCGTCGCGCGTGTCTGCCAAAGGAGCGGGCACAAAGCGCATGCAGGGGTTCTCGGACTGCGCGCTTGTTTGATCCACGCGTGCGTGAAATGGGGGGAGGGGGGAGGATGTTCCTTTGTCCGCGCGTTTTCAGGGAACGATATAAGAAATCGGGAAAGACAGGCGACGAGACAAGTCACTCCCCTGCAACTCAGCCCATCCCTCATACATTCCATCCGCCCTAGATATGTTGAATTTGGACGATTTTACCAAGACTGTCTTCGACGACATTCGAGATGGTGTGCCAATCATCGGCACGGACTACCCTTCCAACATAAATCAAGTCGGTTCCTTCAATGATGCCAACGGGCTTGCCAGCCAGTATCCCGTTCAAAACTTCTCCCTCCCCTCTTTTCCCTCGAGCGCTGCCATTCCCAACACGATGTTCCCGGGAGCATCGTCAGATTTGAGTGACGGTCCTTCCTGGGATAGCGTCGCTCTCCGAAGCTTCCCGCGAAGTAAGTCAACAGAAACCTACAGTGGCATGTGAGACATCGGCACTGACATAGCATTCCAGGGCCGAACCACTTGGGGCGCACTCCCCAGTATGTGCCCATAGCCACCCCGGACCCTTGGACTGTGAACATTGTGTCGACGCCCTCCCCGCCTATCGCCCACACGAAGAGGCGCATGGAGGGGGGCGGCCCAACCTGGTACACTTCCAAGTGCGGGAGGTTGGACGGGATGAACGCAGTGGAGAGAGTCCCTCCATCTGCGTATTCTGAAACAGGATTCAGCGAGTTTCTAGGAACCCATGATAACATCGAGGGCAATGCCCTTATGATTAACAACTATTCAACAAGGACCTCCGACAGCGAGGAAAATTTCCCCGTCGGCGGTTCAGCCCCGGTCATTGAACAGTCATCAGCCCAAGGGCTTTGGCCCACGATGACATCGACCGCGGCCTCACAAAGGCGTCCTGCGTGGACGCCGTTCATGACTGCCGAGTACAGCGGTCAACCATTTCCCTTTCCAATCGATACACGGCCATCGGGCGCCATGCCAGGGACCAGCGCGCAAATTACTTCAATGCCGGCTACGGAGTACGGTTTTGACTTCTCTTGGCCGTCCGTCGCCCAACAGTTGAATCCCTCGCACGCCCTACCTTGGGGACATACTCATCAGGCCCCCCGGCGTCCTGTTCAGATTCATCGCGACGAGATGTCCTTCCTAACTCCTGGGCCATCATCATTCCCAGGTTTGCTGGGGTCTTGGCCATCAAGCGCTGTGGAGACGGATGCCTTCCCGTCGATTCCGACACCATCCATGGCCGCTGGGGACGCTCATGACTCGTCCCTTGCCCCTGTAGTCCAACAGCACTTCGATCAAGATCGGCCGATGGTGCAGCGATCACGCCGCGCACGGGGTCAACGGCAGTCCAGGCAGACGCGTCGCACCAGTGTCCAGTCTTCCCAATCCCTCCCCAGCCCAGTCGCTGAGTCCTCGTCCAGCAGCGTCTCGCAAGCATCCAGCTCGTCGTCTGTATCAGATGGTACATCGACCCCTGCCCCGAAGAAGAAGGGAAAGAGGAACGCTCAGATGCCGTATTTGCTGGCCAAAGCCAAGTGCCACCTCTGCAGAGAAGGCTTCAACAGAGGATCCGAGCTCCATGACCACTTGAAGACGAACAAGCACCGTCTGCGAGAGCTTGAAGCGGAGAACCCAGGAGTGATAGTGACCGTGGACGCTTTGATTCCGAATTGCTTCTGCCCGTCGTGCGGCAAGGGGTACACAACCCCGTATATTGTGACGCGACACCTGAAGAAGTGCAGAGGCCGGGTGGGGTCGAGTCAGAGTGGATCGCAAGACTGAGCAGGAGGAAAGTGAGTGGTCAGGTCTTTCTCTTCATTTTCCCTCGCGCGCATCTGCTAGCTTGTCTCGCGACCGTTCGTCGACTGTGGACTAATCCATCGTCTCTCTTCCACAGTGCAGGGTCAGCAGCGTAGGTCCGACTATCAGAACTGAAAAGCGCTCGACACTGGTCCTATCCGAAAGTGAACACGAATCTCTCACAGATCTGATCCACATAGGAGAGATCCTATGTTTCAGGACGACGTACACTGCCGTCCTACCCGCCGCAATTTTCATGCTCCACCTGAAGGAGCGATCATTATCGACTTTCCGTAGGGAGAGACTTTGGCAAGGAGAGCATTCAGTGGCGATATCGAATGAGTGACGAACAGACTTACTTCGCCGATACTACATCTATGATCTATGGCCTCCTTGTACTCTGCTAGTGAGACCCCCGCTTTTATAATGATCCATGAGCCTTGACGGGACCTCTTCCTCTGAACGCCAGTATGGCAAAGTAGCTCAGTCTGGCAGGAAAGTAGTGAAGTGAAGTTGATCGATGGGAGCGAAACAATCGCAAGCCGGCCTAAGGGCCGGAGTCCCGTGACGGGGAAATTGTGACGCGTCTGCCTTGACAGAAAGTTCACTCTTTTCCCCATGTCGCCAACCACCCAGTCTCCCGAAGACATCAACGTCGCTAAGAGAATACATCTGTGCGACACATATAGATTCGATTAATTAAAGCACCGTGGCCCGATCTCCACGCTTACTTGAAGGACAGCAGTTATCGACATATGTGGATACAGAGAAAAGGAAGACAAGGCTCGTCGCTTACTATTTGCGTATATAAGACGAAACTTCTGCGTTATAATTCCCGCTTTATCGAAGCGCCTTTACAATCAACAATTTTTTTTTGCCTCGAAACCACCCGATTTTCTGGGATTGTCGGTCGTTCTAGATAAAACATCTTTGGTGCACGCACTATCATCACCACCACGCCCCTTGGACTATCACCTCCTAGGTAAAATACCCACTCAACTTCGTCCAAGATGTTTGATTTTGGCACTGGCCTGTATAATTGAAGAACGTCGAACCAACCAACGTGGCTGCTCTTTTCAACCCAACGATGGCTCCCCCGTTGCCTGCAAAAATAAGACATACATCAAAGGTGAGAAGCTATGCTCTTCTCTATTTTGAGGACCATGTATTGAATAGATTGCAGTGGGAAGTAACCCGGCTTGATAGCCGAAAGTACACCATTCAGAACTTTTGCCCATGAATGTTTTGCAACCTCGGGCCATCGTGTTGCTCCGGGAACGACAGTCCAGGATTGGAAGGGCAGGTCGCATGAACAACAGTGGAGGATTCAGGAGACTGGAGTGAAGGGCCAGTCCACGTTTGTCGTTGCTTTAGCGGTCCGCGGTGACGCGGTAACCTCTGAGCTCCAGTATCGCCACCACCGACTCTCGCGAATACTGGGCTGGCTGACGATTAACCTGGGATATCTGGGAGTGCTCAACACGATTATCTGATTGTAACGCTAATAACCGTCATTAAGTCACACTTTCCAGTTGTCCTACGGACAGCCGCAACTGGTGTATCTTCAAAACCACCAGCGAGGGGGACATTTATGAAGAAAATAGCGTGATATTCACGTTTGATTTACATGTCTACCGCACAATCAGAGGGTGACTTTGAGACTTGATCTGCATGAATCTAGAGTTGAACTAGTTGATTGTAACAAGAACGTGAGCCCATCCTCTGAGACATTAATTTTTTCTGGCGCAGCGTGCGAGACAAAACACGGTCGGAATCCTCCTTGCCATTTTCACGCGGCAAGATGCACAATGTGAACGAACGCGAGCATAGACACCCTCAACACGGATTTTGAAGCTGCAATGAGGTCTGCTCCGTGATGCGAACCCTATACCATCGGCGAACAGCTGAAATGCTGCTGGACGAGATCCTGGTGGTTAGACCCGAGGATTCCATGCTCTTTCCTCCTCACGCCGCTTTGGTCATGAGAATCAATAGCGCCGAGTCGGCACGCTGCAGGTGCGATCACGAGGAAAAGATTCTGTAGGGAGCAGAGAGAGACCCGGGCGGGTAGCACTCTGGGAGACAGCGTGAGCGGGAAACCGAGAAAGGACGAGACGGATATGGGCGTACCTGGCGATAGGTATGGCTCGACTCCTCTAAACTTGGACTCCTCACCTTCACGATTCAGAAATAGAACAAAAGAGCTCGAGCCTAGGGCAGAGACCTTGATACTAGTCGTCAGGTGGAACGGGAAAATAGTCGCAGAATCGCGTGTCTAAGCTATCTTGGTCGACGATCCAAAACTCAATTCTTTCCCTCCTTTCTCTCCGAGTAAACACGTAGGTGAGAACGAGAAGGGAACAAATCCAAGTGTCACGGTCCGGGCCACATTCTTGGAAGGGAGACCGGATAGTCCGACTCCGTATGACCCCAAAGCGACGGCCTCGTGGTGTGCAGCTTGGAGAAAGCAGCAAAGACCTTGGACGAGCGTGGACGGGCGCAGGAACATTGCGTTTTACTACGTGAGATTTTTGGGGGGTAACTCAGGTAGAAGACTCTCGAGCAGCTATCTAGCGGCCACGAGGCGGTGATATATTGATAGAGAGTCGCCGAGAAGAACTGCCCGGATTGAGCGCTTGAGCATGCAAGACAAAGAAGGGTGACCAAGATATGCCACAAAAGCCACCAGGCGATCGTGACAACGAGTGGGGTATGAAGATGTGAGGCCTGAGGCCTGGACGGAAGATGAATAGTCCAAGATCGCGAGAGATTCACGGTTCCTCGGTGCAAATTACATGACTAGTGGAGATCGAGACTATCAAGACAAGCTCCGTCGGACACCGTGTCGTTGTCCGCAGCCAGAATTCGTAATGGAGCGAGGGTGAACACCTTGATCAGGTCGGGCAAATGCCGAGATGAAGTCTCGCTTTGTCCGAAGCGTCGTGCGTGTCTGCCACATAAAGTGCACAGATGTATTCTCGGACTGTGCGCTTTTTTGATCCACGCGTGCGTGAATTGGGAGAGGGTGTACGCTCCTTTGTCCGCCCGCGCTTAGGGAGGCCATATAAGAAAGCGCGAAAGACAGGCGACGAAACAACTCACTCCCCTGCAACTCATCAATTTCCGTTCCACTCGTCCTAAACATGTTTAACTTGGATGACTTTACAAAGACCGTCTTCGAGGATATTCGAGATGGTGTGCCTATTATAGGTCCTGACTATTCATCCCATCTCGATTTTGTCTCTGCTGCCAATGAACCCGTCGATCATCAGCACTTTCAAAGTTCCAACCTCCCCACTCCCACGCCGGGCACCTCATCCTTCGACATGATGCTCGTGCCCAACGGCGATGAGCATCCTTTCTGGGATGTCACCGCCCACCCGCATGTTACCCACCCTCGTGCAGCCTTCTCATCGAACTACATGGCGCCAAACGATGTGTCGGTGCCACCACCGCCCACCGCCCGCAGGGAGAGGCGGATGAACGGCGGTATGGACACAGTGGAGAGGATATCATTTTCCAACCCGCAAGCAGTTGCCATAGGATTCCCAGGAACCCACGAATACACCGGGGGTAATACCCTCAGAACTAACACCACTTCAACAAGAACTTCCGACTACGAGGAAAATTTCCCCGTCGTCGGTCCAGTCCCGGTCGCTGAACGGTTGTCAGCCCAAGGGCTTCGGCCCATGATGACATCGAGGGCTGCCCAACAATGGCATCCAACACAGATGCCATTTGTAGCTGCCAAGTACGGCAGTCCGCTCGCCTCTGTTCCATTGCGTGCACTACCATCGAGCGCAGCGTCGGTGACCTTCACTCAATTCAATCCAGTGCCAGATATGACAACAGAATACGGCCTTGATTTATTTTCTCAATCCTCCTGGATCGGCGAGCCTTTCAACCCAGGACCATTGCAAGCGCAGTCCTGGGAAACCTCCCAACAGGCTCCCTGGCATCCCGCTCAGTCTCATCTCGACGAGATGTCTTTCCAGGCCGCGGGATCGTCATCATTCCCAAGTTCCGTGATGCCTTGGCCGTTCGGCGCTGCGGGGGAGAGTGCCTTCCCATCGGGTCCGACACCTTCCTTCAGCACTGGGTATGGTGACGATCTATCCTTCGTCTCTGTGGCCGAACAGCCCTTCGGTCAAGGCTTGGCGATGCCCACTCAGGCGCCTCAGACCAGTGAGACCTATCCCCAACCTCTCCCCTATCCAATCATCGAGTCGGCATCCGATGTCGCACCGCAAGCGTCCAGCTCGTCCTCTTCAGCACCCGAGCCATCGAATGCCGCCCCGACGATGGGAAAAAACAGTCAGACACCGTATTTGCTGGCCAAGGTCAAGTGCCACCTTTGCGAAAAAGGCTTCAACAGAGGATCCGAGCTCCACGATCACTGGATGACGAACAAGCATCGCCTGCGAAAGCTCCAAGCGGAGAACCCAGGAGTTGTGGTGACCGTGGCAGACTTGATTCCAAACTGCTTCTGCCCGTCGTGTGGCAAAGGGTACACAACCCCGTACATTGTGACGCGACACTTGAAGACGTGTAGAGGCCGGATCTAATCTATTCAGAGTGGATCCCGGGACTAAGAAGGAGGAAGGTGAGTTGCCCGGTCGGCGTCTTTCTCGTAATGTCAGCCCCGCCTCGCGACAGTTCATCGATTGTTTGCTTAACCCATTGTCATCTCCTTACCACAGTTCACATTCAACAGCATGAGAATGATTGTCCGGATTGCGTGGCGCTCGATACCCATCCCAGCCAATAGCACTATCCGATTCTTCACCAATCTGATCCACATTGGAAAGATATTGCAATTCGAGACGACGTACCCTGCCGTCCTGTCTTCCAAGCCGTTCATGCTCAAAGTTAGGAGCTGAGGGAATAGTTATCGGTTTTCTGTGATGATATTGTATGGGGGGACAAGTAGTTTAACTTACCTTGCCGATGCTAGATCTATGGCTTCCTTGTATTCTGCCAATAGAATCCCTGCTTTTCTGACTGTGCGTCTCGACATGACCGGCATTGTTGAGTTGGCTATATGAGTCTTCTGGAGGAGCATTCTCGTCCTTGAGGAAGTCACGGCTGCACAGGCTTGCAGGCAAGAGGAGAGAAACAAAGAAGATCGATGAAGCGAGCCTGCGAGCTTCAAGTCCCGTGACGGGAAAGTCGGGACGCGTCGCGTACATCCGCTCCGACAAGCCGCTTCGGAGTTTTTGGAGTGGGTCATCCATTGGAACTCCGCACCTCCAGCGGCTTGCTGTCTCAAACATCCCTGACCGCCCCTCTGTTCTATCCTTGCAAGCCACTGTTTTTCTATGCAACATATTGCTTTATGCAACCTCACGCGATCAGAGAAATGGAAATCTATGCCTGCGGAAGCGGATGGGCAAGTGATGGAACAGAGCTGCAAGTGACCCTTATCCAGCGGATGGCTCCCTCACAATGGTCTGTGCGACACTTCGGCAGCTTACTATCAGGCAAAGCAAATACACCAATTGAGACTTTATTTCTCTATACTGTTTTTTTGTCGCTTGAGCAGCTCACTGACAGTACACCTTTCAGGGCACTCGATTAGACGCGAAAGGACCACCACCAGCTTGAATAGGCATCCTAATTAAACCAGAAAATTTGCCACACCTGTTGGTGAGGTACAATCTCACGGGATGCGTCACAACCAAGCTCTCCATCGACAAAAACATCTTCCGGGAGCATCTGGTAATTTGGCCCTGACCACTTCCGATGGGACTCAACCGAATTACCAGCGGCAGACCTCGATTGACGTGAGTGCCCAAGCCGGCGCCAATTGTGCTGTGTCTGTGTTGCATCGCACGGGCTATTCATGGCGATCGAGCTGCCTCGATAAGACTGCCTTTACACGATAAGTGGTTCGTCGCACGGGGCCTCGCCGCGGCGAGGTACAGAGCTCTCACACAAACAACTTGCGCGATAAAGTCATCCCTCACGCGTCTCGACAGCCACCAATTGACAATGTCCAGCCTACCCCCGACCCTCCGCATCGGCATCGACGTTGGCGGCACAAACACCGACGGCGTCCTCCTCGACCCCTCCGTGTCCGACGACCCCACCCGTGCCATCCTCTCCTGGTACGTTCTCTACATCTTCTTGTCCTTCACTTGCCCTGATCTCTCCAAGGCACAAGTCCCCCACCACTTCCGATCCGACCATCGGGATCCATGTCGTCCTCTCTACTCTCCTCACCCAAGCCAACGTTGACCCCGCCCGCATCGCGAGCGTCACAATCGGTACCACTCACTTCATCAACGCAGTCGTTGAGCAGGACCGCGCCCGACTTGCGCCTGTCGCCGTCTTCCGCCTCTGCGGGCCCTTTTCGCGTGATGTACCCCCAGCCATCGACTGGCCCGAGTCCCCCACTGAGCGCCTTCGCTCCATCATCTGCGCCCACTCCGCATTTTTAGACGGCGGCCTCGAGGTCGACGGCGAGCCCATCATGGATGTCCGCGAGGATCAGGTCGCGGAGCAGTGTGCGCTCATCAAGGCGAAGGGCATCCGGTCCGTCGTCGTTAACGGCGTCTTTGCTCCCGTGGACATCAGTGGGAAGGAGAGTCAAGAGGAGCGCGTCGGTGCCTGGATCACGAAGTACTATCCCGAGGCAGACGTTGTCCTCTCCAAGCACGGTGCGCATCCAAATTGACTCTCATACCCCACTCACCCACACCCGATCGTCTTACGCGTACAGTCGCCACCCTCGGCTTCCTCGAGCGCGAAAACGCTGCCCTCCTCAACGCTTCTATCCGTCCCTACGCGCGCACCACTATCGCCGCTTTCCAGCGCGCAGTCGCTCAGCGCCTCCACCCCGGCTGCCCGGTCTTCCTCACTCAGAACGACGGCACCATTCTCTCCGCCGCGCGTGCTGCACACCTCCCGATCCGTACCTTCTCCAGCGGACCCACGAACTCCATGTGCGGAGCTGCATTTCTGGTGCGCGGCATGCGTGCGGGCGCGGAGGATGAGGGCGTGAAGGGCCCTATGCTCGTGGTCGATATCGGCGGAACGACGACGGACGTGGGGATGTTGCTCCCCAGCGGGCTCCCGCGCCAGGCAGCCGCCATCACCACGATCGCGGGCATCCGGGTCAACTTCTCCTGCCCCGACGTGCAGAGGTGCGAACACTCCTCTAGCCCTGACCCCATTACTTTGCCACTCACTTCTTGTCTCGCCAGTATCGGGCTCGGTGGTGGCTCAATCGTGCGCACGACGCCGACGGGGACGATGACGATCGGGCCAGACTCGGTGGGACATCGCATTCACGAGCGTGCACTTGTCTTTGGGGGCGACATTCACACCGCAACCGACTACGCCGTCGCCATCGCTGCGGCCTCATCCGTCTCCGCCTCTACTTCTTCTACCTCCTTGGCACCTTCCTCAGACCTTGCCATCGGCACACCCGCACTGGCCACTGCTGTGCTCCCTGTTCCCGCCCTTCCGCAATACACGCGCGCGGTACGGCGCATGCTTGAGGGAGTCATTGATCGCATGAAGACAAGTGCGGCGGACGTGCCGGTGTTGCTCGTCGGCGGCGGTGCGGTGCTTGCACCGAATACATTGAAGGGCGCGAGTCGTATCCTGCGCTCACCATTAGGAGGCGTTGCAAACGCCGTCGGGGCCGGTACGTGCGAGCTTCTTTCTTCTTGCCTCTTTTTTGGCGGGGAGCTGACACATCGACGGGTACGTGCAGCGATCGCGCGGGTTTCGGGGACGGTGGACACAGTCGTGAACACAGTGGATAGGACACCGCAACAGATCGTGGACGACGTCACAAGCGTGGCGGTGGCGCGCGCGGTCGCGAACGGCGCGGTGCACGGGACAGTTGAGATTGCGGAGATGGAGATGATTCCCCTCGCTGTGCGTGTCTGCTCCTGTATCTCTCGCCTGCGTCTTGCCTTGCGTTGAACGCGTGCGTGTGGCACCCATGCTGATAGTATGTTCTGGCTCCCAGTACGTCGCGAACCGCGCACGCGTTGTCGCCAAGGCCATCGGTGACTTTGACTTTTCGAGGCCCGATGCGGGCGCGTCGCTTCTCGACTCTCCAGACTCTGAAGCGGACGCCGCGCTGCAGCATTCCGAAAGGGCCAACGACATCATCGACAAGGATCCTCTCCAACCTTGCACCACAGCGAATGTAAAAGCAGACGCTCCTAGCACCAGCACCAGCGCGACCCCGACTGCGGCGCTTGACATTGTCTCTTACACCCCGACAGTTACCCGCGCGCGCGAATGGATCGTTTCGGAGACCGATTTGGAGTGGATCGCAGACGGATGCTACATCCTCGGCACTGGCGGCGGCGGTACCCCATACCCGGACCTTGTGCACCTGCGCCAGCTGATGCGCCGCGACGGTGCTGTCGTGCGCGTCGTCGCGCCGCAGGACCTTAAAGACGACGCAGTCGTGGCATGTGGGGGTGGCAAGGGAAGCCCGACGGTTGGGATGGAAAAATTGCCGGCGAACGAGTGAGTGAATCCGTGGGAGATCTGCTTGCTTCGGGTGTGCTAATTGGGGCGCGGTGCTGGCGCACACAGGATGATGGAGGCGCAAAATTTGGTGTACGCTCAACTTGGGTACAAGCCGGATGCGGTGATCGCACTCGAGATCGGTGGCGGGAACGGGCTTCAAGGTCAGTCGCTCAGTCTTTTTACCCTCGCGCTCCGACGCGTAGCATTCGTGCAGTGCTAATGAGGAAATAGGCATGCTCTTGGGCGCGTCAACAAACATGAACATCCCTACCGTGGACGGAGACTGGATGGGCCGCGCGTACCCCGTATCTTGGCAGATCACGCCTGTCGCGTTGAGCGGTGAGAAGGCGCACTTCCTTCCTACCGCCATTTCGGACGGAAAAGGCAACCACATGGTCCGTATCGCGCGCCATCGTCTCTGACCGCGCTTTCCGTTCACTAACCGATAGTCCACACGCAGCTGATGACGTCTGCGACGAGCGAGCGAATGATCGAGCGCGCGTTCCGCGCCGCGCTCTCTGAAATGGGCAGCTATGTCGGTTGCGCCAAGGGCCCGTGCTCGGGGCGAGCGACCAAGGAGTGGGTCGTCGAGAACACGATCTCGCTCGCGTGGCGCATCGGTCGTGCGGTCGCGTTATGCCGCGCGCGCGGTGAGATCGATAGCGTCGCGGACGCGATCATCGACCAGGTCGGCGGACATGACGCCGCGAAACTCCTGTTTAGGGGTAAGATCGTCGCCGTAGAGCGTAAACTCATCAAAGGACACGTGTATGGGGAGGTTGTCATCGCGGCCGTCGCAGACGACGTGGTTTCCGGCGCGCAGGCGACGCGCGTGTTCACAGGCAAGATGAAGATCCCGTTCAAGAACGAGAATATCGTTGCGCGCGTCGTAGACGTAGACCCCGCAACGGGCGCAGAGCGCGAGACGGTCGTCGCGAGCGTGCCGGACCTGATCTGCGTGTGCGATGCAGGCACGGGTGCGGCGATCGGGACGCCCGAGTACAGGTACGGGCTGCTGGTGAGCGTGCTTGGGATCCAGGCGTCGGACAAGTGGACGTCGACGGCGCGCGGGATCGAGATCGGGGGCCCCGCCGCGTTTGGGATGGACGATGTCGAGTATCGGCCGCTCGGGGTGTTCAGGACGCCGCGGAGCGTGATCGACGAGTATCAGCCCCGGTAAGCGGGGACGATAGAAGCGGATTCTCGGATCGTCGGAATCGAAGCATTGGATGGACTCTGGAGTGTGCCGTAGATAACTCGTAGATAGTGTCGGGAGCAAGATTATAGCGTGTCATTCAGGTCGTTTTTAGTATGCCAGTACACAATGGCCGAACGGTCCAACAACATGGAGATAAGCAAACGTCCCAGCGAGAATTGACTGCGCCTTTTTGTCTTCTCGCGTGTTAACGTCTATACAACATGCCGCATGTCTCGACGAGGTCCTGTATGTATGTATGTACGGTTCGAGTTTACTGTGTTGGTATCGATGAACAACATAGCGTGAAGCCGTAATATTTCATTCCATGCCTCGCTCACAGGCAACATCCCAAAGCTCCAAAATGACACCAAAAGGAATTCTATCATAACTCTATCGTAATCATAGCCTGACATTATCATCGATACTCTAGATCGACGACGACGGCTTTCTCGTCCATCTCCGTTTTCTCAAGAGACCTGTCCGTTGTACCCGACTCGGCCGGGGACTCTGGGGCTGCGATTCCCAAACGCTTGCATTCATCCGGCGTGAACGTGCCAAAGGTGTCGACGTTGTCAATGTCGCCCATCCCGGCGACGGGGAAGGTGACGGTCACGACGTAGAAGACCACAAACGAGCTAAAGAATCCTGTTGTGCGACGGGATGTCAGGACCGTGAAGCGCGCGCACATCTAACGAGAACATTGTGCCCACCGTAGAAGAACGAGAGGTAGTACAGCTCGAACAAGGCGCGAGAAGCGTTCGGCAGAGGCTTCACGGTCGCGATCAGTCCTCCTATCGTCGGCGCCCATCCGACAAGCCACGCGACGATAGCCCTCCAGTTGACCCCATGCCAAAAGTGATACGACCCGTACGGCTCGTACAGATCCGAGAGCATAATTCTCTGCCTGCGCAGCAAAAAGTAGTCGGCGCACATGAGGCCCATGATGGGCGCGAGGAAGACGGAGAAGGAGGAGACGACGGTAAGGAACGTCGCTGCGCGGTTGATTAGCTGCCACGGCTGGACGATCCAGATGGCGAGGAAGGTGATGAACGCGCCGCGCCGGATGTTGATATAGCGCGGGAACATCCCTGAAAGATCGATGCCGCCGGCGACCGCATTGCCGCAGATATTCTCGAAGCCAGACTATACGGTGAATGGGTGAGTGGTTCAGGAAGAGGCTGAGCGGCCAACATACAGTAAGCGCGAACCCGAGCGCGAGAAAGAACACACCGGCTCGAGCCTTTGAGCTCCCGTCGCCGCTCTCCATCATCCGCATGAGCAAGTCGGGCGGGTTCCAGTACACCTTGCCGTAGATCTTCTGAGCTGCCGCTGTCACGACAAGACCGACAAAAGAGACAAGCGTGCCTGTGCAGAAGAGGCAGGCAAAGGTGCCTAGGATGTAGGCTCTAGCAGACTTTCCGTAGCGCGAAAAGTCAGAGCCGTTCGTCATGCCCGCCGCGTTGCCGCCTATGATGCTGTTGAGGGTGGAGAGCATGATCCAGGATGTGGACCATTTCACGGACATCTTGGTTCCGGTGTGGAATACGGGTCCTACGCCTCGGGCGACTGACAGCGACCATATGACTGTGTACAAAATTCTGAGCACAACACAAAGAGGTATCGATACTTTAAGGATACGCACGCATACAAAGCATGACTAGCCCACAATAGATGGAAATCATTTGGAACGGACGGCGAAATTTCTCAGGCGGGACCCAAAGGAAAGGTACTGAGCAGATCCAGAAGACAAAGAACCCGATCATTTCTGAGGTCGTGGCCGGAACGTTGGCGGGCAGCGCTAGCAGAGCAGTAAATTTAGCAAACCATACGGAACTCGAAACGACACGGATCAAAGGAAACATACAGTTCGGAACCGTCGCAAACGACGGAAATATGGCGGTGAGCATGACGGTGACTAGTTTCCCGCCATTCCACGCCTGGATCGCGCACCAAATGAAGTTCAACATCACGCGCTGCACGAGCGGGATGTAGCTCCCTCTCATGCCCCAGGTAAACCTGTTCTGCACCGTGAATCCGACGTGCCAGCGAAGCCCGCACCACGCGATTAGGGTAGCGAATATGGAGATGACGGCGCGCCCGATGATGATGACTGCCATGGACTCCCCGACAGAGAGTCCGGCCGTGAGAAGCGTGTTGGGCAACTGCCAGGTCGAGATCTGCGAAGACGGTGTCAGCCCCCACCAACGTCACAGTAGTCGGAACGCGATATGCACGTTTAAAGAGGACAGCGTCCAGTAGCCGTAGAACTCGAACAAACCCCATGTGCGTCGCCTGTCGATGAAAGCGCCGCCCAGTCAGTCTGAGAATAGTGGCCGATCGTCGAGAGACCCTTACGAAGGAGGTAGAGGGATCAGATCGCGATTCGACCACGCGTCCGTCTTCTCGTGCTCCTCCTCGTTTCCATGCAGCCTAGCCAAAGAAGCAATTCTACGGAGAGAGGCGAGCATCTTGGGACCGAAAGTCTCGCGGCGGATGCAACTGCGCGAACTTATCAAGCCTACATGTACGTGTACTTAACCGCAAGGCAATGGTCGAAGAATTTCCAGTTCTGAGTTCGCCGGGGGCAGACGCGAGCAGATAAGGAAGTACTCAGGCCAAGTCAAGACCTGTCGTCGTTCATTGAGATGTCGAATTGTCCCAGCCGATCAGGGGACCCAGTCGACTCCCAGGGGCCCCCTCAGAGAGCCTATCGCTTGCCGCAGTGAAAGATAAGATGAACGGAACAGAAATGGGCGAACCTAGACGAACTCGCTTTGCAGGGGCACAATCTACAATTTGTCCGAGAACATCAGCCACCGCCAAGTTCGCACCGGGCTATTTACCACTGTTCATGCGTGCATGCAGACGATTTTGAGGTTTTGAATCAGATATCTTCAGTCGAACATTCTCCACACCCAGAGATATTGAATAGTGTTTGTCATGCGCAAAGGGAAAAGCCAAAAAAAACGAGATAAATATTACAACATAGACCACATACTCAAGTCATGGCACGTCACTTTTCGTCCTGCGTACAGCCTCCCGATCCAAATGAGAAGAGAGAAACGTGTAAAACGGGGGGATATGAGTAGGATACGGGTGCAGATACGATAGAGGCAGGATCACGCAGGAATGGGTGTGAATGGGTTTACTTCTTCAATGACCCAATGACGGAGTCCGCTGCATACCGAGGGATGACCTGCGCGTGTTGCTTCATAAGCATACTGGACCGTAGTGCAAGTATTTTATGAGATGGAACATACCTTGGGATCATGCAACATGTTGAACTCCTCCGTCGCATCACGACCGGCGTATAGCAAAATTGCCTTCTCGCCTCCTGGGTGATCCGGGAGGAAGTTGGTCACATCAAGGACCTGTCCGTCAATGATGACCCAGACATCATCCTTCTTGTTGTGCTTCGCAACCTCTTCAGCAGAGAACGTCTTCCCTCCTGATGATGAGGCGGCAGGCGCTGGTGCCTCTGCAGGCTTTGATGGTGCAGGTGACTAGATAGCCGGATCAGCACCTAGCACCAGCGAGTTTGCCAGCGCCAAAACTTACCGATGCCTCCAAGTGTCCAGCAACAGCACCCAGACGTCCAACTGCTTTCTCTGCGATCTTGCCCGTCCGTTGCAGGAGGTAAGAGCTTGCCGAGTCACCGCTGACACGACCGAACACGACGCAGCCAAGCAACGAGCTACCACCCAGACGATTGGCACCATGCACACCGCCAGCAACCTCACCCGCAGCGAACAAGCCTGGGATGGGCTTGCCCGATTGGTCAACGACACGGGACTCGGCGTCGATCTGAAGACCACCCATTGTGTAGTGGAGGACGGGTGTCATGATCGCAACGTTGAAGTAATCGTTGAAAGTCCACTCTCCTTCAGTGAAGAACTAAAAACTTCTTGAGATAATGACATGTGCTAAAAGAAATAGCACACATACCTTCTTGTTGAAGGGATCCTTCTTCGTCTTGACAACGTTGTTGTAGTCGTCGAAGGTCTTCTTGAGAACCTCTGGCTTCAAGCCCATCTCCTTTGCGAGTTCCTCACCGCTCTCAAAGCGCTTCATCAAGCCACGACCAACGTAGTGCTTGGTGTGCCATTCGATCTCCTTCGATGCCTTACCATTGAGGATGAGTCGAATAGGGTACTGAGCAGGATGTCAGTCATATTTTTATCATTTAGTCGCAATGCAACCAACTGTGCCATTCTCCCACATCTTTCCTGTGACAAAGTCACGGTGCTGGAGCTCGTCCACGAACCGCTGGCCCTCATTGTCCAACAAGAGACCACCGACACCACGGAGTGCCTCGGCAGCCAAAAACTTGACCTTTGCTTCAGGCTCGTTGGGGTCGACAAGACCAGTGGGGTGGACCTGGACCTTCTCCAAGTCGATAGCGCTAGCGCCAATAGCGAGGGCGAGCTTCTGGCCATCGCCAGTGCAGTGGTCGCCGTTCGTCGTGGGCAGGTTGTAGTACTCGGGGCGGTACTTCTTGAGCAAGGAGTCTTCTGAGAAGTCGGCAGCGTAACCACCAGTAGCGAGGATGACAGGGCCGTAAGCAGTCTCGGTCTTGCCCTTGAGCGTGTACTCGACACCAATAACGGCACCGGACTCATCCTTGATGAGTTTAACGACGCGTGCCTTCTTCTGGATCTTGACGCGGTCTGGCGATGAAACGGCAAGGTCTTCGAGACGCTCCATCTGGGCGTACGTGATGACCTACCCGTGCACGAGTATCAGCAACTGAAAACAGCGGGGAAACAAATATAGGCGCCGATTCGGGATTCCGTAATGACGTATAGAGATGAAGACGCCATTTCCGAGGACAACAATAGACGACTCACCATTCCCGGGAACTGAGCGTTTCCACGATGTGTGCGAGGATGGGTGTGTCCACCGAGACGTGCAACCTTGGAGAGGTCAAGGGCGAACTTGTCCTGGAGCCAGTTGACAGCGTCGCCGGAACGGCCGGTCAAGACGCGAATGAGGTCATCGCGAGCGAGTTCACGAGCCTACAAGCAAAGCAAAGAAGGTTAGGATGCGGGCGGGTAAGAGGTGGTTGAATGTGCGTACCGAACGCTTCGTATCCTCGAAGAAGGTTTTAGCATTGTCGGGGATGCCAAGCTCCTGCTGAGTCTGCGTTCCAGCACCGTTGATACCCGACGTCGCCTTGGTCGAATTACCACCCATGAAACTGCATTGAACAGGTGAGAATGCTGTCGGGCCCGAGGAGACAATGCGCTCACCCCTGTTTGTCCAAAAGTAGGACATTTGCGCCCCGCTCTAGGAGGGTGTGCGCGGCGGAAAGACCAGCGAGACCTCCACCTACTACGATGACCTGTGCCATTATGATTTGCGGAGATGTGTGGAGAGAGAGGGAGAGAAGATGCGGGGTAGGCAGCGCAAGGGTGAGAGTGCTCTTATACAAGCAACCAATCACGAGGTTAAGGTTGCATTTCCGGCCCATGTGATTCTCTCGCTCTCTACCGTCCCCGGCCCGCCCCCCGAACCCCTCCCTCTGCGCATGAAATCCTCCGTCGCGTACGACATATCCCCACACTTACTTATCCCCCCGGACGGATGCACTCCCCAAAAACACATCATCACATTGATATATAGCACCATGTCGCTTCCGCCGTTCCAGGCGCTACAATCATGCCTACCCGAATACATACTCCAATAACAGATATCCCATGGCCAGTGCATACTACTAAGCCAGTACTAACCCTCTACAAATCTGTCGGGATCCTTTCGACCCGTGCGTTCTACAAATTCGTCAACAAGCACGAGGACTCTTCGCGTCTATTTCGCGTCATGGGCGGCCGTGTCCAACACGCCTTTGAGCACCCCACAGCATCGTTCAACTATCTCGCCCATCCCAAGCTCGAGGGGTTCGATGAGAGTGAGCCCTTCCATCCGCGGAGCACCGTTCTCCGGGTCGTCGTTCTGCAGATTGACGTTAAATCTCCAGCAACAGGACAGACAAGTGATGCAAGACGCGTGCCTCGAACATCTTTCGATGCGCTTCGACGTACGCCGGCCAAACTAGGTCCTCGAAATATCCGGGAGGATCCTTCCAAAAGGTATTTTCTGAGTCGGATTGGACTCCACGATCAAGTCACGAACAGACGCCGGACGACACCGACCAAATGGGCAAATGTCGGCCGAACAGGGAAGCGTGGGTAGGTTTGCGAGGAACAATTTCGGAAGAGTCGTTAGGATTGCAGTCTGTGAAGGGGAAGTACGCCTCTACCTGCGGTATGGTATCCAGAACGCTCTTCTCTACGTTGCCTCAGAACTTCATGCGGCACGCGGAGGAAGAATCGGGCATCTAGTCTCGAAACCACCTCCTGTGGAACCATCACCGCGCGATCGATTCCATTTCTCAGTTTCCAGAATCTCCGCCTGAGACAGATGCGGAACTCACCTCATCCCAATACAACAAGAACCCATCCACCAGCCCCCACACTATCCTCTCTCCCTTCTCCACCTCCACGCTCCTCTGCAGACTCTGTATCTCGCTCCTCCATCTCTCGAACACCTCTGGTGGAACGGGAATGACCTTCTGCTCGTTGAGATGGTCGTGTGACTGGTGTTCGGCAGGTATACGCGCGGCCTGCTTTACTGTGCGCATAAACGTCCGCATGCGCGGCCAGTCGATTGCGGTCGGCGCGCTATCCCAATCCTGCACGTTGAGCTTTGGGTGGATAGGGAGGGTCGATTGAGGCTAGGAGGAGGTTCATCGATCCGGAGTCAGTGATTATAGGCACATAACTGGAGGAGAAAGTGATATACGGGCGCGAAATCCTGTACAAGATCGCTGATCAGCGAGTGCAAGGTTTGAGGTAGCAATTCGCCGATACGTACGTCCTGGTGAATTATAAAACTATTGGGAAGCAATCTCCTCAGGTGCTTCGCAAGTGTAGTCTTGCCAGAACATGTCGCGCCTCTTCCTCAGATCATCAAGTCATGTCAGTGACGAGAATAATCTCGAGTCAATTTTTGGATTCTTACCCGATGCCAACGAGAACAACGCGGGTTCGTGCAGCCTCAGCTGCGAGTTCATTCGGTAGAGAACCATCCCGTGGCTCAGTAGGAATGGGTATCGGCGAAGGCGTAGGGGCGGGTGCTTTATTAGATCCACCCATTATCTGCGCCACTACGTGTAGATGGTACAAAGAAAAATGCAGAGCGGGCGCACACTAAAGTGTGGATGTGGTCAATAATGAAGGGAAGAATCTGGAGAGCTGCAACAGAACGGGCTACAATCTTATCAAGATCATGCGCTGCTCTGTCATCCGACCCTGATCTTATCGGGGCGCTACTTACAAACTACTTACAAGCGCTCAGCTTGTGGTACGTCGCTGTTTTCATGATCTACAGTACTCTTCTATACAAAATAACTGATGGTCTCTCTCAAATACTATGTTCAGGTCGGTAAAATAAGCTACTGAAATCCCAATCCATCCGCATACCGATACCAATTTTCGTAGACGACAAGGGAGTAGCGTTTGCAAGATAGGAACACAGACAGCACTGGCAGCCATTTTGACCGATCTGTAACAGGGGGGCGCTAATGGAACAACATGCAGTTGCACAAAGAAGAAGACCGAGGTAAAAGAGCGCTAAGCGCACTACACGTCACACAAGCAATGTCCCTGCTCGGGCATCTGTATGGTTAGGAAACAGGTGAGACAAAACGCAAACGAGCTCATCCCACGCGAAGGGCCTTCAACCACTCACCGACTCCCTTTGGAAATTCATCCGATAATACAAGGTGCGCTCGACAACGACGTCCTCGAGGAGCCAGGCATCCACGGGAGTTCCCAGTCCCAATCAGGTTCTCCTCCATAATCCTTCAACCTCAGCGCCTTCCCGTCGCAATCCTCCAAACGAAACGTGCATGAAGCTAACAATGACAGGACCGCGTCCGAATGATTCTTCCGTAATGAAGACACCCCCCACGGTTCCAGAAACCGCACGGCCTGCAATGCGGGCGCATCTGAGAGGGAGCGAAACAGCCCTTCGAACACCTGGGCGTCATCCTGGTGATAGAAATGTGCGAAGAGACCGAGGTGCGTGACGCTCGCAGGAAGGGTGAAGGAGCGCGGGAGGTTCCTCCATCGCTCCATGATCAAGATGAGGTGATTGAGGCGTGGGCAGTGGTCCGTGAACAGCGCGATGCTCCCCTCCAGGTCATTCCGCATCATCTGCCTGGTGTCGAGATATATGGTCTGCAGGTATTCCCCTTGGAATGCGACGAAATGCGTGAATGTATCCAAAACAGGCTGATAGGAATGGCTAGAGAAGCAGACCTGTTGCAGGGATGGGATGGAGGAGACATCGTGTTCTGTATCGCACAGCATTGAAGGTGAACAGACACCGATGGTGAAAAACGAGAGCTCTGGTGCCCGCATCCAATCCACGGGGCACGACGAGCTCAGTCCCTCTTGCGCGTATCCGACGTACAACGCCCGTAAGCGTGGACAGCTCTCCAAGATGGCAACTCCGTCTTTCTGCCGTAAATTGCATTGCGGTAGAAATATCTTGCGTAGCGAGGCTCCCGAGCACGCCAGGATAGTCTCGAGGACGACGCTCGGGGGTTCTGTAAACGGCCCGCTAGCGGCGAGGATCTCAAGGTTCGGCAGACAAGCAGAGAGTTCGATTAAGCGCTGGACGTCGGTGTCTTCAATTGGGTTATAAGCGCTGAAATGTAGCTCCAGTCGACGCGGCCATAACCCTACGTATCGGTGACGGCTGTCATCTGCACCTGCGGGGTCAAGACGGTGCTTCGAGTCGGTGAATCTCTTCAAGAGGGAGGAAACCACTTCGCTAAATCGCGACGAGAACGACCCTGTGGAATCTTGGGACGGGATATAGAGAACTTGGTAGAGGAGCGGGAGAGCGAGCGAATACCATGTCCGGCAGACAAGGACGATAGATCTCTTGGTGACCATCGAGTACTTGAAAAGCTTCCTGTCATACTCCTGATGGAGGTGGAGGATGGACGGCGGATCCATGTCGAAAGGATCTGGTATGTCCGTCTCTAGGAGTCCTGGGACGTATGTCGCGAGCTCGAAGATGCGCAGCCATAGCTCGGGGGGGAGATGTTGCTTGCTGGCCTGCATAGACATTGTCGCTATTGAGGACAAGATGTGTTCAGACGCCTTGGGACGCATAATTTGGAATGTCACCCACATGAATGATGGCGATGCTATTTGTCGTATGAAAGTCTAGCTTGACGTCAATTAATTACGATTGCCACAAAGCATAAAAGACGTCGACTGGCAGGCAATCTGGATCAAACCTCAAAAATGGGCGGAAACTTGAGGACACAAAAGGCCACATAATGCGCGAGCCGTACTCACAATAGGTCGCAGCAGAGGTCAATTCTGTCTTATGCCAGCGTGGATAGTAGTACGAATAAAGTTCTGCGACCACCAGACAAGTAGGGAGAAAGAGAATGGACAAGACCGACAGAGAAGAGAGTCGCGGTCTAGTTATAACCATATTGACGGGCCCCATCGTTGCTTCAGTTCAAGCTCAAGTTCAAGCTCAACTTGAACGGCATTGAAAGCGCCCTGTTGGCACTGGCCATCGACTTACCTATGCAGCGTTTTGATCGAAAAGTTCACCCCGGTGGTCATTGTCTTTCCGACAGGAGCAAGTGGTGACTGCTGTTCGGCGAATTTTGGCAGCATAGCAAAATCGATCATCGCCGATTCCAGACCATATCGCGGTCCCATCACGAGCATGGGCGCCCAAGCTCAAGTCTAAGGAACGACCAATAAAGAAATGGCACGCAGGCTTCAGGGGCAGCGGTGCAAAATCCCAGAGTGGCCGCCCATGAAATAAATGTTGGTGGCGAAGAGCATGAAACGTTGAACGGAATCATTCCATGATCAAATCTGAGATGTCCATCCATCACCCTCCGGGTACAATCAAAGCGGAATCGCTAAAAGCCAAAACGATGCGAAAACAGGAAAAGACTTGTCAAGTTCAGCGCTTTGTGATCTCTTTCGCCCTCTGACATCACTCAAAAGTCAACATGACCACTTCAGTATCGTGCACTTCAACGCCCTGGCTGACCGGCACTGTGGTCACCTCCACAGATCCGCGCACCTTCCCGTCCGGCGTCTCGTACGTTTGTCCACCCCACGTTACCCCTGTCGTTGCGTTTGCAAACCTGGAGAGATCAAAGCACCGGTCAGTGCAATGTACAGCTTGAAATGCATGGTACGTCAGATTCTCACGGAATAGCCAGCCGGGTGATTGACATCCTCGAAGGCGCTGAACTGCCCTCAAAGGCCGGCGTGATGCTCACCGCGCCCCGCGTAGCCGCACCAGTGAACGCGCGCAGATTGATGAGCACCGCCCGAGCGAGTTTACCACCGTCGAAAAACGCATAACCTGAAACATGCGAAGATCCGATATCAAGTTCGGTGGCCTGCGTGCTCCCTGAAGGGCCAATGGCTTCGGCGGCTATGATAGCGGCGTAGTAGAGCGGCTGAATGTGCGGCGGTTGCGGAGTGGGAAGCGGACTACCGTCCAAGATTGAGCGATTGAGAGTCACCGGCTGGATCTATCGCGATGCTCTCAGCGCGACGCTTCGGATCGAGATGGGGAGCGACGTACGAAGTTGTACTTGTAACCTATGCCTTCATGGAAGTACACGCGCGAAATGCCGAGCTGAGAGGCAAAAAGGGCGTAATCAAGGCCCCAGAGGGCCGCGCCAGCAGTGTTGCTTACACCGGGTGCTCCATGGCATGAGTAGCTGTTGGTCTCTCCAAGGACGTATTTGCGGCCATTGTCCAGCACAACCTGTACATCCGGACTGAACATGCTCAGATTACCTCTGATGGTCGACTTTGTCATGAGGTCCTGGAGGACACCGTTGTCTCCGCTACAGAACGAGCCGCTGTAGTGATGTTGAGAGATGCTGCGCACAGCAATGTCATCCCGTGTGATGCAAAATTGAGACAGAGAGATTGCGTACGTGGCAATTTGAGCACCCGGGTTCGAATTGAGAATACCATCTTGGATGATCGACTGCGGTGAAAAGCCGCTCGTCGAAAGCGAAGATTCTGCAAATGCACCGCCCCAGAATGGAACCTTGGTGTTGAGCACAGCGTTAGCGATAGCAGATACATTCGTTGCAAACTTCGTCCATCTACGCAGGAGTGAGAAAATGCTTAACGACGACTGCTAGCAGGAAACTTACTGAGCAACGTAGTTCTGTGGAGTGCCCGCATAAAAATCGGCCTCATTACCGATCTCAAGCGCTTCTAAGGTGACGCCGGTATTCTTGACAGAGGATGACGCAAAAGCCTGTGCAATGGCCCTAGCTTCCAAAAAGGCGGCAGTGATGTTGGATTCCCTGAGGTTGATACCCCATACGACCTGTGTGCCTGGAAGGAGAGTGGATCTGAGCGTTATGCGGAGTAAATGTGGAAAGGCGCAATACCTGACGGAAGGAGAGAAGCAAGGCGATAGTACTCGTTGCCAACGGTGATGTTTGTAGCCTCCGGGTATGGGACAGTAGCGGTGACTGCCGGGAAGATCAGCTCGGAGAACTAGGGACGACTGAGTCAGTTTGGTCCCATTTCCATTGTGAGGTAGAGTCAGGTCAACTCGTAGCAGATCTTCACGAATCCAATCCTCTATTTTTGTAGTTTCCCTGGGTGCAGCTCGATATACGAGCACGCTTCTTCCCGTTTCCGTCTAATGAGAAAAACGAACACTTGACTGCAGTCATATGACACATAATCGGCTAGATGACCAGGCATCGTACGTACGATACAGCCATTGCGCCGTACCCTCCTAGGCCAGCATTGTTAACTCACCTGAACGGCCGAGTTAAAATTTGTGTGATCCTCTGAATCGGCCCCAATCCTCAAGCGCGTAGCCTCGCCCGAGAGCACCTTCAAATTGTTCAGCGCGTTGAAAAAGAATTCATTCCTCGTACCAGGACCAATCCAGTCCACCCAACGGTCCTGCTCAATAGAAAGCGAGATGTGTGATGGCGAGATCGTAGGCGCGTCAGAGGGTGCCAAGGTGGGGACCGAAACACTAATTGCAGAGGTCGGGGACCATCGCAGCGTAAACCAAATGAATTGGAGGAGAATGGCTGAGAGCATGACGAATGGATTGGACACGAGCGCGATGGACATATGGCTGTCTATATAAATGAAAGGGAAATCGAAATCGAACCACATCATCGTGACTTGTGGAAGTTCTGTGGGCGGCGGCTTGTGTGTTCTAGAAGGATGTGCCCGCCACTAAAGATGTGCGGGGAAGCTGAGAGGGTCGAATACGGCTGTCTGTGCCAGCGCACCGACGTCCAACACTTTCTTTCAGATCAGACGATCTCCAGCGCTCAGACGGATCCCATGACAAACGCTCCAGGGAGCGAGCAAAACTGCAGGTCACGCAAAAAGTATATGTTTCGTCTGAGACTGGTGCGGGTGCGCTATTGTTCGACGAGGTGCCAGCAAACGAAGGAAGGAGTTAAAATTGACAAGGGAAGAGACCGCCCAACTGGGAATATTGCAGAGGTCATCAGGCGGACAGCGGCAGATCCCGACCTAACCGGGCCGACGCGAGACTAAGTCGGCCTCCCTCCATCCAGAAACAACTTACAACGGTGACGAGCACCCAAACTTTCTACATAGATCAATACTTCGGAAAAAAGAACGCGAAGATCTTGGTGTTCCAACAAGTACGCGACCCCCATAGGGCTACGCCTACGGCTCTCCCTTTGCCTGTTGCTCTTGCTCATCTTCTGCTGTAGCACTGGAAAAAAATTCAATACGAATTGATAGGTGCACAAGTAAATGCACAATTCATATGAAGGCGCGATGGGCACACATCACTCAATTCACGGCCCTTGAGCTCCTCAACTCTATCGATAACCTCTGAACGACATATAGGTCTTGCCGTCTGGGAAGTCTGCGGTCGTGACTGCTATAAAATACAGTCACTTCGGAGATATGTCACGGGAAGACGCCTCTCAATTGGTATGTTGCACGAAATCTACACGAAACAAATCAGCGTCTCACATAATCAAGTTTATCTCTCGGATCATCGTTCAGTTTCCTTGACGGACACCAAAACGCAAGATTATACATCATGATCCAGTTTTTATCTCATTTGCTCAACAGGACAGCTCTGACGATATAGCACACGCTCAATCTCTCTGAATTCTGACCTCGACTCTTCATCAGGCTCCCACAGTCCTGGCAATCCGACGTCCACGGCATGCAGTGCGTAACAATGTAGAATCTCGCATTAGGTTCTACGCGGCCCCTTCCGGCTCTTCTCTAGTCACCGACGCATCTACGTCGATTGAACACCTGATATCTGCATGAAAGCCCTAGACCCCTCATCCTTGTATCGCTGATGCCTGTTTCTTTTCACCTATATCACCCCGAGTTTTGATCTGTGACCCCGCGCTTCTCGATGGCGAACGATCACCCCTCTTTGGAGTATAGCTCACGAATATATAGTTGCTACGAAACCCCATCCCTAGAACATTATCTTTGTCCCACCTTGTTTCAGCCGGTGCATCGTCTCTATGATCGCTGTGGAGTTGCATTCCGTCTCACCGACTCAGTTGTGGGATGCGCTCCCGCATACGCTACAGCTACTCTCTCCCAGCTGGAAGAACCGACCTGACTCCAGAAAAGCTCAAACGTCGGATAGATCTTCTCGTTCTGCCTCTCTCTGTTCCGCCACTTTGCCTCCCCTCGAAACCAACGTCGAACAGATTGTTTCTTTCCCTCGAGGTCAAGAGGATGGCAGAGATGACACAGAGATCCTGCAGCTCCTGTACCAGCCTTTGGCAGTGTTCTCGCAGCCTTAGGTCCAGAAGGCCTCGGTCTAATCGGAACAGCGGTGCTTGTAGGCTTGTTGGATCCGAATCGTCTGTTGCATCAAATACTAGCGTTGCGACCCTTTCGCCGTCTGGCGGACCAGCGACTCGTCCTTCTGGTACGTGATCCCTCACTGTAATCAGCTGCACACGTATGATTCATTTAGCTTGCCGCCTTAGAACTCAGAGGTACCTACATGGAGAGCGAACTCTTTTATTTCCGGGCGTTGTGCAAGGTTACTGCTTCGCCATGAATATCGACGTCCACGGCTATCTTCAAAGGTCACTGTTCTGCCTACGCCATGAATCCTAGGTACCTACGGAATTTGTATCGAGGAGCTTACCTTCGTGTCGTGAAGCTGCGCCTATACCATGGCATCCCCGTCCCTTCCCACAATCCCTCGACGTCCACCCGTGCTGCATTGCTTTCCTCTCCTAGGCTTAAGTTGACACTCACTCTCCGAAATCGACCCCATTCGAGCGTCGCGATGACATCGCCACTTTCTCCGCGTTGGATGGTCGTGGATTGCTGTATGTCATCCAGCCTAATTCCGCGTGTCCGGCCCTGGGCTCTGCTCGTGGACACGGTATACAGTGGTGCGATCGGTCCTGCTTCGGGCACCCTGGATGCGATGGAAAGACGGGTAGACTCTTGGCCCTCGCTCGCATGTTCGTTATTGCTGCTCGAGTTGAATGCGGAGGAACGAAAGGACAGTGAAGGAGATGGGTCCCCGGAGGGAATGACAGACGTGTTCATTGGATCTAAAGAGGTGAAGGTGAGGCGTATTGGCTCCGTCCAGGGGAACGTGTGTGAAGGTGGTCGCGTCATCTACGGCTTCAAAGCTGCGTGAGTGCGGAGATATGTAAGGCTGTTTTGGGGCGGGTTATCTGCTGCTCCGAAGAAAAGAGCCTCGTTATAAACGCAACATGCGCGAACTATCCGTAGCACGCCCTCACGATCTGATGTTGCGCTTCTCGATCAACATTTTTCGAGATCAAAAAGGACAGGTCGGTGGGACCTATACCTTGTGTTTCCGGTGTCTTCCCGACGCAGCACTGCCTCGAGGTGAGTGTCCAGTCAGAATTGAGCCGCAGCTTGCCAACGGACCTTACAGGAACCGACAGCCTCACGGGTTTTGTGCTAGTTCTAGCGGTCTCCCTTGTTTGGCACCTCTTCCTGTCTCCAATCAACCCTTCTCAGTCTTCTGTTGCAGGTGCCACCATTTTTTTAGCATTCGCTCTCCGTATGGCAGTCATATGAAACGGGTAGCGTCAATGTTCAGATTACAGGCAACTGAAACACCATCTGATGCTGATCACATCTATTCAGTTACCACGATGTCGCGACTGAGATAGAGTGATGACAGGTGGAAACTTGCGGTGTTGCGGTCTTACCAGGCATTCGACCCTCAATACTCGACGGCTAGTCGCGGTGTCCGGCGATTCGGTATGCTGAACGGCCCGTTCATCTATCCGCCTCCGTATTGGCTATTAATATTCCATACTGAGTCTCGATCGGCTTTCGCATGGGCTGCCGAACTCCACTCTATCCGGCCTGATTTTGGCGGTATGTGATTGCATCCGCGGAGTTCCGACTACGCCGTCCGAGCTTCCATGTTGTCGAATAGCAAAGACCGGAAAGTATGCGGATGTATGAGCACCGGTAAGGTATAGCGGGCGGAAAACACGACCGATATGTATAAAGGGAGTCAATATGTGCGTACACATATGTTAGGTAAAGCCAGCTTCATAATCTTCGCTCGGCTGCGACCGTCTGGCTGTCCGCAGAATAAAGCTACTTTCACTATCTTGAGTTCAGCCATGCCAAGGCTGACATGGGGCTGATTCGTCAACTGATCTCAACCGGCTCTGGAGAAGACAGTATCATCAAAGAATACTGCGTGAACAGGAGTTTGGTCTATAACCTCCCCGCGCCTACTGTGCGTTCTGAGTGCGTTCTCCTGCACTGGTCGGCCGTTGCCTGTGTCCATTCCAAATTCTTGTAATCAGCAATCAACCGTGAACCACAAATATCGCAGAAAATTCCATCAATTTTGAAGATGCGTCCGCTAAATAGCTGAAAGAGACACGTTCCCCAAATTTATGGCGCAAATGGCAATGCCACGGAGATGCGGAAGTATCTGAGGATGGTGCGAACCTTGAACTGCGGACGACGAAATACCTCGAAAAGACTTTATTAAATCATGTGCTCCAGGCCACCACGAGGCGCCTCTTCGTGGCATGAGAAGCCACAACGTTACCCGCAGCTATGCACAAGCGCGAAGGGACGAGTGGCAACAAAGTCATCAGCCCTAGGCCATGACCTCGTACAATGCCTAACTGCATTCAATTCTCTCTAGTTGTGCATCTCCCCTCGATCTCTTCTTTTCTCCCCGTCTTGTTGTTCCTGGTCAGCCTTTTCTTCATCGTTCAGCGTACTATCCGAAGTCCGAAGGTTGAAGGTGAGCAGACTATTGTTCTCTTGACTGCTCGAATTGACCTCCGTGCACAGAAGGCCCTGTTATTATTGCAGCACCGATATCACCAATAAAGACGCCAATTAAACAAGAAGAGGGTCCAAACGTCGCTGCACTAGTGCTACCCACGGAGATGAGCCACTATACGTCGCATGGAGCGTCTGAAGAGTTGAAAGGGCTTTGGAACAATGTGAGTCTCGCTCACCATTTCTTGACAACCTTCGACAATTCCTCGCAGGGCGATGGCGTCTCCCATTTGCTACTGAGCCGCACCTCGAGCTCCGATGATTCTAGTACCAGCGATCAGACAGAGGATGTGGCAGGTTCCTCATCTGCAGTCGATCCCCATACCGATCTTTCGCGTTATCCCGAAACCGTACCTTCCCGACGACGATTCACACTATCTATTCTTCAACCTATGGAGCGATCCATATTCTCCGGGGATGTGTGGAAAGATCACACTTTCTCCCCGTATGAGTCGCCTACCCGGCATGGCCCTCCCGCTGCTATCACATCACACGATCTAGTCAAGATAGATGCCTCTGAGGATTGGCAAGTTTTGGCATAGACGGCCATAACATTTCGAGGTAATAATCTTCCATGAGGCATGAAGAGACATGAGACGCAGATTCCTCATAGTCTTCTCATGGACCTATCACCCAGTATTCATCTGCATCAGCGCTTCATCAGAAAGTATTGGTTTCAAACCATATACCAGAGGAATTGACATTATTTTGGTTGGCTACATACGCTTTATGGTATAATTCACGCGATTTGGAGGTCATTCAAGACCAAGAACTTCTGCGTGCCAAGTTCAAACATTGTTCATAGAATGTGTATATAGGTCCAGTACTAGAGATGAGGGTGATTAATTGGATGAAGTAATGGAGATAGAAACTAAGTTCGAGGAAAAGAGAGTTGACTTGAGAGGGGGAGATGCAGCGAAAAATTGTCCTAAAGAGATCCCAATGTCACTCCGACGGAAAGGGAAAAATTACCAGATTGACCACGGCCTAATGCAATAAATATTCTGCGATGATCATCTCATAGCAACGATTTCCAACCCGCCTCTTTGCATTTCTTAACGAGTTTCTTAACCTCCTGCGACCGCGCGCGCGTGGTCACAAGTAAGGTGTCGGGCATGTCGACAATGACAAGATCGTCTACACCAAGGCAGGCCACAAGACGCCCCGACCCAGGCACGACAATTCCACCAGCAACCTGCTCCGTGAGAACTGTACGGACAAGTCAGCTCCTCGTACTAGTGTAGAAAGGGAAGGATCATTACCAAGCGAACTGTCGCCCAAGATGCGAGGCTGGTTGGCCTCAGCGGGGAGAAGGTCAGCGAGAGACGAGAAATCTCCAACGTCGTCCCAACCTATGAATTGTGAGTAAGCACGAGCACGATGCCGCGAAACTTGAAACACGTACCGAAAGTTGCAGGCACAACGGCCACTCGGCCTTCCATCGAGGCAGGCTCTGCAACAGCATGATCGATGGCGATCTTCTCCAACGTCGGCCACACCTCTTCGAGCACCTTCGACCTCAAGGTCTCGTCGTCCCATGCTGCAGCGACCTTGTTCAAGCCTTCGGCAATCTCGGGCTTGTACTGCTCCAGCAGTTGCATCAAGAATGTTGCCTTCGTGACGAACATGCCAGCATTCCATCTATAGTTTCCAGTCGCGATGTACGCAGCAGCCGTGCGCGCGTCTGGCTTCTCCTTGAAGCTCGACACAAGTCTCGCATTAGGAGCCTCCTTGATATCAAGTCTCTCGCCGAGACGAACATAACCGAACCCAGTGGACGGGTGAGACGGCGCAATGCCAATCGTGACTAGGTAGTCCTTCTTCGCTACCTGTACGGCCTCCGAAACTGCAGTCAGGAAGGCGTCGTCGCCAGAGATCATGTGATCAGCAGCGAAGCTACCAATGACCGCGTCGGGGTCACGGCGCGCGAGGATCGCAGCGGCAAGACCGATTGCAGCCATTGAGTCCTTCGGGCCCGGCTCGCAGAAGAGGTTGTGGTGGAGTAGGTCAGGGAGCTGCTCCGTGATGCCCTTCATGTGCGGAGCACCAGCGACAACGGTCGTGCGGGTCGGGCCAGCGAGCGGGAGGAGACGGTCCCAGGTCGCTTGGATGAGGCTGCGTCCTTTGAGGGTGACGTCCAAGAGGAACTTGGGGTGATTTTCGCGAGAAAGAGGCCAAAGGCGTGTACCAGCACCACCGGCGGGAATAACAACGTAGAAGCCTGGAATTTCACGAATAGGGCCAAAGGGGTAGGAGCTGAAGGAGTTGTCGCCGAGAGGAGAGGGAACATACATGACTGGCGGTACGGCCAAGGCAGGTATCGAACTGGGACTAAGGAAAGGAGATTTGGCGCGCAGTTGGGGCGAGCCGGGGGCAGGGGTCATGAATCCTGGCGTTCCAAGGCGAGAACCATTGTGATTCTGTGTCAATGTCAGTAAGCATGAAGTCGTTGATGCAAGATACAAGAGCTGAAAGAGAATCATGCCAGGAATGTCATAAGTAGGAAATCCATTAGCCCAAGATCGCGATAGATCCAAAGAGGGAGTAAACCCGTATTGGAAATTTAGAGCGTAATGCAGGGGCAAGGAGATCACGCGACCGAGCGGATATAGATTGAGTTAAAGGTGGCATGGTACTTCCTCGAACCCAGCTCAAAGCGACGGATCATGAAGATGACGTAGAGATAGACATGTGCAGCAGACGGTCACCATCAAAATGGCGAGATGAAGGCAATGTGCAAGAAAGGTACAAATGAGAACAATCATGAAGCAAAACAAGGAGGCGATCTATCAGAGAAAGATAGAACGCATGGATGGGTTTAGAGCAACAAGTCCAGGACAAGTGGATTTGCCAGCAGCGGTCTAGGGCCGTCGAGGGTGCCGCCGTGTACCAAAGCCCAAGGCCAATATTTGGCTTGGCAGAAGCCTAGAGCATACGCTCAGGGTCTGGCAATGCCAACATCCAGGCAAAAGCCAAGAAGTGCAGGAAAAGACCTGAAGCATCGACAGAGTGGAATAAGCTCACCTGCATACCCTCCCGAACCTGGCGCTCGAGGTTGGCATTCGCATGCCTGAGCTCTGCACACTCTTGACGGAGCTCAGCAATCTCAGAGTTCTGTTTCGCAGAACCAAAGATGGACATCAGGGTTGTACACCGGTAGAATTTTGGTATGAGCACGCACTGATTTCTGGACCACTTCCATGATCTGCTGGAACATGTACTCGACACTCAGAGCATTCCCGCCGAAAGGACTGATCTGAGCCGGAGCTGGGGCCCGCCCAGTGGTAGGAGAGATGCTGGACATCGTGGTGGGAACGGGCGTGGGTGTGAGCAGCGAGAAAGTCAAGGCGAGAGGAGAGAAAGTCAAGGCGGCGAGGGAGCGAACGTGTGCCCTATTTCTATGCTGTCCGCCTTCTTTTTTCGGCAATAGAGATCTGAGTGCCACGTGGCCGACCGTCCATCTGGCCCTGCACTCGTCCCCGTCCCCCCGAATTCAATTTTCAATCTCTCTCGCCTATCGTCCTGTTGTCGTCCCTCTGGCATTTCTGGCAATTTCTGCGCTGCTAGTCTAGTGGTTGTCGACGATATCCCACCGCCTGAGCCTGCTTGACGACTGGCGTTCCTTTTGTGCGGCATTGCGCAGTCGATCTAGAGGATGCCTCGTACCACCGTCTCACCGCCGCAGCTTCCCCCGGCGGCCAGATTACCCCATATCAAGTCCGCGCCCTTGCTGGAGGCGAATGCACCACCGGCGCAATACAGTATGGAGACAACACGGCTATGTTTCTAGGATGAATTGGGCAGCAGATGCCGTGCGCGTGCTGCCACCGCATCATGTTATGGTTTTCTACAAATCATTACTCCCATGTGACGTCGCCGGGGTCAGCAGATTCGCACGAAGAGGAGCTTTTCCCAGAATACGCAGAAACAAGGACAGGTGCAGTCCGTGAGGCAACCCGTCAATTCATCAACGTCAACTTTCAAAGCTCACAGCAAAATGCCCAGCAACGCTCGCTTATGGGCTTTATGCTACTAGCCTGTTCGTCTAAAGTGTTTCACCGGAACGTTTGGGACTCTTAAGAACTTGTCAAGAGCAGGCAGCAGGGCTGCATGTCCAAATACTCGAGGTTTGCTTCCGTATCTGCCTGCAGACTAAAATGTACATGAAACACCAGGTAGGAGAGCGGGCTCACGTACAACTATCTGCAGGTTCATTTTCGACGACTAAAAGCGCCGTAATCGGGCTAGTGTCACCGCCTAGAACGGGCACTTCGTTTATACCGTGATGTGTACACGGTCGCAGACGGTCGCGTGTGCCGGAATGGCGCCGAGATCAGCCCAGCGTCGGCCTGCGTCGGCCCACGTTTGACAGCTATTATCGGACAAACCTCGATTTAGAAAGGTTGATGGGCGACGACGACGAGGGCTACGTTGATTCGCTCTTGCTCCGGAACTCTAAGTGAATCACTTGTACAGGCTCTCGGTGAGTTTGAAAGTTCCTATCTCGCGGCATTTCAACACAGGTGACCTATGCTTCCAAAGGAATTGTGCCTTCGAGCAAGTACTGCATAATTTCAAGCTCGGTATGTTTACATTCCAGGGCAGTCTTCAACATCGTGATAAATAAATATATAACCGCCAGTATAGCTCTTCATTCTATCAATTCCTACAGATACAGCTTGCAAATCTACTTCATAGATCACTCAGAGTGACGCCTGCGTCTCCCGTTGAGTGATTTTCCTTCTTGTTTAGATCGTTTGAATAGGAGGTCGATCAATCCTTTGCCAGATATCGAATGAATGGTCGATCTCCTCGATGGTTGTGGGCGAGACGCGACGGCAGTGGAGCCAGAAGAACTGGCGGGTGCCCTTTCGAGAGTGCCGCTAGATCGAGATCGCTTGAAGCCCAAGGAGCCCCGCGCGCGTCTGACGATATTCGGGAACAGACCAGAGGGCTTGATAACTGAGACCAAGCCGATTTAGTGGAGCTAGAGAGTCAGGCGAGTCACACGTACAGTTATCATGGACGTCCGTGGCCGGCCGGTTGGGGGATACTTGGCCATCCATCCACTTCGAAATGAGTTCCGCCGAATCACGAGCTTCAGCCCGTGCTCGAGATTCTTCCACGATCCTGCAAGGGACCGTCAGTGTGCAGAATTCGCACATAGGTTTCAAACACATACTCTCCGAGAGCCGCGATTTCATCCAACAACAGCCGAGGGTCAGTGAGGTCGTCGATAGAAGCCAGATCGTAATCCACATCAATGACGGGCATAGTCAGGTAAGCAGGGTCTTCTTCGAGACTCAACGATTGCATGAAGATGCTGGGGCCAAGGGAGGGAGGGGAGCTCGGAACAGGTTCGAGGTCACTTTCCGATTCCGAGTCAGTGTACGCCACCGGGTTACGGGGACGCGGCAGCGTTTGCAACAGTTTCTCGAGACGCTCTGGCTCAAGGTCTTCAAACGACACCGGCAAGGGCTCGTTGCCAGTGGATTCGGATTCCAATAACGACCCAGCGTTGCTAGAGGCCGTTGGGATCCCGAGGCTACTGTTGGAAGCCGTGTCCGAGACGATTTCGGTATTGGCAGGGGTGAGTTGACGGACCGAAACGTCTTCTGAATCCATCTCGAGCTCATGTCGCCTCGCTGTATCCTCGCTCAGTATCTCCTGGAACCGGCAGGCATCGTCACCAGTGATCATGGTGGCGTTCGTATGGTCCGCAGGTGCCGTACGGACGCGACCAGAAAACTTCATGTGCGAGTGATGATACACGTCATCCCATGGCAGCGGTTTAGTGGGACGGAGAGGCGCTCGAAGTAGAGGATGATCCTCGGTAGGTGCGACCGGCACACACATGAAGGATTCGATGCCGTACTCTTCTACATCGTTCGGGAGCCCTTGACTGAGTAAGGCAATGTCACAGCGATGGTAAGGGCGAGAGGGGTGGCGAAGGTCGTGGATCTGGGTTCAACGTTTCACAATCAATATAGACATACGCAGAGTACAAAGTGAACAGTGAGAACATACGGTCTCCACAAGGCCCACATACTTCCGAGTCGGAAGGAGGCGCGCCGCCTCAGTGGCATCTGGATCCTCCAGGGAAGCAACAGTAGCGACTGGGTCTATGGAAAATGCGACATAGGTGAAAAGATGAGGAGCGAAAGAGTGAGTGGAGTCGTGAGCAGTGTCATAATCTCCGTCTATTGAGGTCTGAGACATCGTGAATAAGGTCTATGAAGGGAAAGATAACAGGAGAATGAGCGAGTATGTTGATAACGGACGAGTGAATGCAAAAGCAGTTCGAAAACAAGTATTTATGTGGCTTATATAGTTGCTAGGGAACAAAGAGGCGTGCCACCCTGTGGTGGCCTTCGTCGCCACCGGGAGGGCTAACACACGCCAGCTTGGATGTGTACATAAAATGATATGCCACAGCAATTCCGACGGGCCGATAGGCGATGTTGATGATGGCTGCTAATAACTCTCTTGTCTTCAATTCCTACTTCTAGTTGAAGACATTTCCTTAACCGCCGACTCCTTTCGGGCTGGATAGACTGTTTTTCGAGGTTCAACCGTTCTATAATTGACATATTAGGGTGAGAATATCCTTTCTCGGGCTCTTGCAGCGCTGAGCACAAGAATGACAGAGAAATCTGCCGTAGTGTATCGATAGAGAAGAAAGCGAACCTCCGCAGGCAGGGCGGCCAACGCGACGCGACGCGTTTACTACTTTCTCGTCACGGGACTCTTGCTCTTGCTTGCCACGATGCGCTGCGTCTCATCGATAATCTTCATTCCTGACAACTTTGCAGTCAGAACATCCGCAAGCAAGCCGATGAGACCGCTTTTGAAGGTCTTTGTATCAAAATTATATACTCCGGTCATGTCGATGCTCGCGAACGGTCAGAAAGGTAGAGGTGTTGTTGGCGAAATACAAGGGGGCCACAAGATGTAGTACCAAGGTGAGTCAAGTTATATCGTCACTCATTAGAGATCGTCACTAATTGCTCTCGCCTTTCCTGAGCTCCCTCTGATATAAGACGATACCGATCTCCACCGTCAATTGGAGCATGGAAGGTGTGGCGGTAGGACGGCAGGGTACGTCGTCTCAAATGTGTTTCTTTCCTATGTGGATCAGATCTATGAGGGATGGGTATCGAGCGTCACACAATCCAGGCAGTCGTTCTCATGCTCTTGACTGTGAACTGCGGTAAGGGGATGACAATGGGTTAAGCAAACAATCGATGAACTGTCGCGAGGCGGGGCTGACATTACGAGAAAGACGCCGACTGGGCAACTCACCTTCCTCCTTCTTAGTCCTGGGATCCACTCTGAATAGATTAGATCCGGCCTCTACACGTCTTCAAGTGTCGCGTCACAATGTACGGGGTTGTGTACCCTTTGCCACACGACGGGCAGAAGCAGTTTGGAATTAAGTCTGCCACGGTCACCACAACTCCTGGGTTCTCCGCTTGGAGCTCTCGCAGGCGGTGTTTGTTCGTTCTCCAGTGGTCGTGGAGCTCGGATCCTCTGTTGAAGCCTTTTTCGCAAAGGTGGCACTTGACCTTGGCCAGCAAATACGGTGTCTGATAGTTCTTTCCCATCGTCGGGGCGGCATTCGATGGCTCAAGCACTGAAGAGGACGAGCTCGGTCCCTGCGAGGCGACGCCGAATGACGGTTCAGCGACTGGAATGGGGAGGGGTTGGGGATAGGTCGCTCTGGTCTGAGACGCCTGACTGGGCATCCATAAGCCTTGGTTAAAGGCCTGCTCGGCTGCAGAGACGAAGGATGGAACGCCATCATACCTAGTGCTGGCGGAAGGTGTCGGACCCGATGCGAAGGCATTCCCCCCCGCAGCGCCGAACGGCCAAGGCATCAAGGGACTCTGGGATGATGATGGGCCTGGAGCGTGAAACGGCTCGAATTCGCGATGAGCCTGAGTGTGATACGAGGGGGCCTGTTGAGTGGCTGGCCATGACAGCGCTTGCGATGGTCTCGGAGTGAAAAGCTCGCCGATGAAGGACGGCTGAGTGAAGGAATCAAGGCCATACCCCGTCGTCGTATCGGGTGCCGACCTGAATTGGTGCAGGGTCTCCGGCGCCACGTTTGGTGGCTGTCCGCCGAGAGGAAAGGGGAAGAATTGGCTGTTGTACTCAGCAGCCATAAATGGCGTCTGTGTAGGATGCCTCTGTGAGGCCGCGTTCGATGTCATCATGGGCCAGAGCCCTTGGACAGATGACTGTTCAGCGACTGGAACTAAGCCGACGATGGGGAAATTTTCCACAAAGTCAGACGCTCCTGTTGAATTGTTATTGTGTTTGAGGGCATTGTCCTCGGTGTAATCGACTTCGCGGATGCCAGTGGATACTGATTGCGGGTAGGGAAATGAAGGAGTCCCTCCAATCGCATCCAGGCCATCTACTGTTGCATGTTCGAGAGCGTGCAAATTGTAACTGTACTCTTCCATCCTCCTGTTTCCGCGAACGATGGTCGGTGGTGGCACCAACACATTGTCCACAGTCATGTGTGAGGTGGCTACAGGTGGGATATAGTGGGGTGTGCGCCCCGAGTAGTCTGACCCTAGAATATTGTGTCAGTGCCGGTGTCTCACCTGCCACAGTCAGTTTCTGGTGACTTACTCCGCTGAAAGTTTTGAGGAACAATGGTATCCCAGGCAGGACGCTTATCCTCATCTGGCAATTCTGAGTAAAACATCATCGCGGAAGTTGTGGCGCTCGGCGTAGCCGAGGGGAGGGAGGAGCTTTGAGAAGGGTGCTGGCCGACAAGCCCGTCGGCACCATGGAAAGGATCGACAACATACGAGCCGGAAGAGTAGTCGGAGCCGACGATAGGCACACCATGTCGAATATCTTCGAAGACGTTCTCTGTAAATTCGTCCAAGTCAAAAATGGTTAGGGCGAGTAGAATGAAAGTGGCTGAGTTTCAAGGGGGCGAGTGGGTGAGTTCTCTCGTTGCCTGTCTTTCACGCTTTCTTATATGGTCTCCTCGAAAACGTGCGGACAAAAGAACTTACACCCTCCCCCGATTCACGCCCGCGTGGATCAAACAAGCGCGCAGTTCGAGAATACATCCGTGCACTTTGTGTGGCAGACACGCACGACGCTTCGGACAAAGCGAGACTTCATCTCGGCGTTTGCCCGACCTGACCCAGGTGTTCACCCTTGCTCCATTGCGAATTCTGGCTGCGGACAACGACACGGTGTCCGACAGAGCTTGTCTTGATAGTCTCGATCTCCGCTACTCATGCAATTTCCACTGAGGAACCGTGAATGTCGCGCGATCTTGGACCATTCATCTTCCGTCCAAACCTCGGGCCTCACATCTTCACACCCCACTCGTCACGATCGCATGATGGCTTTTGTGGCATATTTTGGTCACCTTCCTTTGTCTTGCATGCTCAAGCGCTCAATTCAGGTAGTTCTTCATGGCGACGCTCTGTCGGTATATCACCGATTCCTGGCTGCTAGTTTGCTACTCGAGAGTCTTCTCATCGAGTTACTTATCTACTCCCCCCCCCTAAATTTCACGTAGGAAAGCGCAATACTCCTTGGCACGTCTAGGCCTGTCCAAGATCTTGACTGCCTTCCCTTGGCTAAACGCTACGAAGCCATCGCTTTGGGGTCATCCGGAGTCGAACTATCCAGTCTTCCTTTCGAAAACGTGGCCCGGGCTGAGAAACTTGGCTTTGTTCTCTTCTCATTCTCAGCTACGATTTCTTTTGAACACTTGCCTTTGCAGGATTTGAAGAGAACCTGTCGATGTATCGGCATATGTTTATTTTAGTGGTCAACGATTCACTCGGGTCGAGATAGAAGGAACAACAAAGTCAAGTCGAACGAGTCTACCACATTTCTGGCCGCTCCGGCGTCATTTGCCAATATCGACAATTTCTCTGCTCTCTTTCGTGGGTTTCATACTGTCAGATTCTGCAGGACTGTTGAGTAATTCCCATGACACTATACTTTGATCATTGTTGACCTACCGTCAGGCAAATTCGCTCTGTAGGTCATAGGGCCTATGGTCTCAGCGTCAACAGGGTGACAGTGCAGCCATGTCTGATTTTATCATTGTGTACATGTCCCCCAGTGTATGACCCAGAAGTCCAGTAGCCGTAAAGATGAGTAGGGCCTCGATCGGTATTCAAGAATTCGATCGCCATGAAAGACCCTGTCCCCCTCTGGTGGAACGCCGTCACAGTTAAGACATTAGCCGGTGAATATAGGCGTGAGCGTGCTGAGAAACGATGCTGTCCTAGATGAATTTGAAAGAAGGCTACACACCACCATTTCTGTTTCGGGCCATGCCGATTCGAAGAGTCGCTTGATAGCTTCAGTAAGGGCTACGAATGCGAGTCAAAGCTTGCACTCAACGGAGTCGTCGGGGGTAGTACCGGTATCAACTCGATACCCAGGGTTAGGGGTTCGTCATCCAAATGAAAGTTGGCAGAGGAAATATAATTGACGGAGGTGCTGGAAGAAGCCTTCGAGATGAATGAAAAATCCAAGAAATTAGGCAAAACTTAGAGGAAATCGTAAGTGATTGGTCACATTAGAGGTTTGCGTCTAATGTTGAGAGAGGGCCACCAATGTTGGTGCCTACAGGAGACTGGTGGTTGGCGACATGGAGAAAATGGAGAAAAGAGTGGCAAGGCCGACGCGACGCGTCACAACTTTCCCGTCACGGGACCGAGACTTGCCCTTGCGCCGACTTGCGATGGTTTCGCTCCCATCGATCATCTTCATTCCTCTACTTTCATTCCAGACTGCGGGCGGAACAGCCTCGAGAAAGTCGACATGACTGGCCCGAGTAACCTTGCTATACCGGGCTTTCAGAGGAAGAGGTTACGTCAAAATCCATCCACGATTCGTAAAGCAAGATTCTATTAGCAGAGTACAAGGAGGCCATAAATCATCGATGTAGTATCAGCGAAGTAAGTCAAGCTACTCGTTGCTCATTAGATATTGCCATTGAATTCTATATCTTCCAAAACCCCTATCCGTGAAAAGGCGATGCCATCGATTGAAGCATCAAAATCGCGGCGGGTAGGACAACAGGTACGTCGTCTCGAAACATAGTCTCATTCCTACGCGGAACAGATCCGTGAGTGGTTGGTTGTTCGCTATTGGATATGACGGGTCACAGTCAGATATAAGCTGTTGACCCTGAACTGTGGAAGAAAGATGGCGGGTTAGTACACAGTCGATGAATGGTCGGGAGACGGGGCTGGCAGATGCGCGCAAGGAAGAGAAAGAGAAAGACAGGACAACTCACCTTCCTCCTTCTCCATCCTGAGATCCTCTCTCACTCGATTCGATCCCGCCTCTGCACGTCTTCAAGTGTCGGTTCACCGCATGCGGGGTTGTGTACCCATTCCCGCACGACGGGCAGACGCAGTTCGGAGGCAAGTCTGCTACAGTCACTATAACCCCTGGGTTCTCCGCCTCGAGTACTCGCAAACGGTGCTTATTTGTCTTCCAGTGGGTGTGGAGCTCAGATCCTCTTCTGAAGCCATCTCTGCACAGGTGGCATTTAACCTTGGCCAGCAAATACGGCATCTGAGCCGCCTTCTTCTTTCCCTTCTTCGGGGCAGGATTCGATGACCTAGCTCTTGAAGAGGACGAAGTAGACGTTTGCGAGGCGCTACTGAATGACAGCTCAGCGACCGGGATAGGGAGGGGTCTGGGGGATGAGGCACTGGTGCGACGCGCCTGGCTGGAATGCTGTCGACTCTGGGCGCAGAATGATCTCTGTTCCACTGGCTGATCTTGGGAGTGCTGTTCGACCACAGGCGCCAAGGAGGACTGGAGACTATACCCAGTGGTCTCGAAAGATGTCCAACACGATGGGAAGACATGGTCCTCCGCAGCGCCGGCCGGCCAAGGCAGCTCGGAACCCGGAAATCGTGATGGCCCTGCGACCTGGAAAGACGTCTCGTCCCGATGAGCCTGAGCGCGCCGCTGGGGGGGCTGTTGGGCGAGTCCCCAGGACAGTACTTGTGATGGTCCCTGAACGAACGGCTCTTCAATGAAGGGGGGTTCAGAGAAGCCTAACTCGTATTCCGTCGTTGTGTTCGACGTGGAGTTGAACTGTGTGTCAACCCTTGACGCCGCACTCGCTGGCTGTGAGCCGAGTGTAAAGGTGAAAGGGTAGTCGCTGTACTTGGTCGCCACATATGGCATCTGTGCAGAATGCCTCTGGATGGCTACGCTTGATGTCATCGTGGGCCAAAGCCCTTGTGCGGATGACTGTTCAGCTACCGGGGCCAAACCGACGGCGGGGAAAAATCCTTTGCCATCGGAAGTTCTTGTTGAATAGTTGTTACGTTTGAGGGCATTGCCCTCGGTGTCGTCATGGGTTCTTGGAAACCCACTAGGTCCTGCATGTTCCGAACATGGATGGATCCTCTCCACTACGTTCATGTCGTCCAATCTCCTACACTTGGAAACGTGCCAACCCAGGCCGTCGTCTTCCGCCCTCCTACTCATGTGGGCAATGGGCGGTGGTGGCAGCGGCGCGTGGGCTACCACAAAGTACTCTGAGGAGGTGGCAGCAGGCGGCTCATGATGGAAGGTGGGCCTCAAGCCGTCTGGAACTGGAATTGTGTGTTAGTGTGGATGTCTCACATGCCACAGCAGATCTATGTCGACTTACATGGCGAAAAGGTTTGCGGAGTGATGGTGGTCTGGCAACGATGTCCATTTTCATCGGGTACGAACATCGCCCCGAAGGATATGCTGTTCGGCAAAGAAGTGGGAAGAGAGTAGGTATCCTGGACGTAATAGTTGCTGGCAGGCGTATCGGTGGAGGGGAAAGCGTCGGACTGGCGCATGTTGTCAGAGTAGTTAGAGCCTACGATTGGCACACCGTCTCGGACATCCTCGAAAACAGTCTGAATGAGTTCGTCCAAGTCATACATGTCGAAGGCGGGAGAACTTAGAGTGGCGTAGTGCTCAAGTGGGTCGGAGACGTGGTGAGCTGCCTCATCGCCTGTTTCTCGCACTTTCTTATATGGCCTTCCTGGCACGCGTGGACAAAGGAACGGAACACCTCCCTCAATTCACCCACGCGTGAAGTAGACAACCGCGCAGTCCAAGAACCCTGCGTGCGCTTTATGAACGCTATGGTGGCAGACGAGCGGGGCGCCACTTTGGACAAAGCGAGACTTAATTTCGGGGTTCGCCCGACATGTTGAACATCGCTCCATTACGAATTCTGATTCCGGATCACAACGCGATGTCCGACGAGGCAGGACCCCATTTGAAGACTCATCGTTAAAACACATCACCTGGCAGGACGAGTGCAGGGCGGGGCTCGTCTAAATATTTTCTTTTCTACTGATCTGATCAGCGCTCTTCAGCGCTGAGAAAACAGGTATCTGCTTCTGCCGGCCAAGTGTGAATTATTTCTCCGTCTGTAATTGATATCTCATACCTTCACAACTTACTCTTTGTCACGATTACCTGGTGGCCTGGTGGCGTGCTACCTTCATTGTCATAGATACCAATGCTCAAGCGCTCAACCCATCCAGTTCTTCGCTTCCCAGCCGCTATATTGCTGCAATGCACTCTTTTCAAGGGACTCCTCAAAAATTATCACCTTCACGTCGCATGACGCGATGCTGTCTAGTTCGTCCAGGCCCGTCTTGAGCCTTTGCAGCTCTATGCACAATCACACCACCGATCTAAGAGAGTCAGATTGTCTGATGTTCTCCGCGGCGTGAGGGTGGAGCAGAAATTTGGGTACACGCTGAGTCGAAGGTGCGTGAACAGTCTGCATCGAGCACGTCGAGGCGGTGAAGCCCTTCCCAAAGACTCACTCTTTGGCATCAGAGTCAAGGAGCCTTGCTTTCTTGCATTTGATGTCGCTGGTTGCCACTGTTCACATGTTCGTGACCTTGTGTTCTTGCACGTACTTTTCTCGAAAGGACCACATGTGCACCAGATTAGAATGAAGAAGACCAGCTCCAGACCGTGGCGGTAGAAATTAGGAGGGTTATAAGAATTCAATGTGAAAAACACTGTGCGTTATGGCAGAAGAACCCATGCCAGCTTCGTCTTCGAGATCGACGGAGAGTTCTGATTGATGAGAACATTGTACGGCTTTCCCTCAGCGGCCAAGCCGAACATCAGCCCTGTGAGTCGTAAACATCAAAGTTAAAATACGTTCTTCGAGCGGAATCTCTAAGAAGGGCAGATTGATATTTGCCGAGACCGAGCCCACATTTTTCGCGATATTCTACTCTGCTCCTCAGATTCTGGGAAGAGGGAGAGCAAGCCTGGTTTGATTCAAGTATGTTACAAGCTTCATTCGAACTCCGCGTGCAGCCCTACGTTGCCTGTAGCGTATTACACAGATTATTTCTAGGGTACAATGGCCGCGAAATTGGGTGGTCGCCCATACTATACTCGACAGCCGATAGCGGCGACCAAATCCTCGTACCAAATAGCTGGGCCATGTCAGTTCGGCTTGGATTGGAGTCGAGCAGGACGTCGAAGAGCCTTCGCAATTATTGAGTGCAATGATGGCCGATCCATTGATCCTGATCTGAATGTAGCCATGTCCTCCAGACGCACCAATTGTGACACGACCGAGAACGGTCTAACCTGACCTTCCTTTGCTTCGCCTGAACCAAATACTGACACGGTTGGGTATGTAATATCCTCATTTTCGAATCAAGCAAGTACAGATTCATCATCAAAAGACAAAAGCCAGTTTTGTCCCGCATCGTCACTCATCATGAAATCAACCGAAGATGGTGTTTAGCCAAGTAGCCAGGCGGTATCCCTGCTTCGCGATCTGCAGATCAATCTGCGCCAAAATCGGGTGAGCACTGATAGGGCGCGAGATCAGGACGAGAACGAGACACGCACGATAGGGATGGCTTTCGTGTAGTAGGACGACGTGCAGAGATCGTCGCCGGAGGTGTAGTCAAAGACGTATGACTGTACAGGTAAAAAGAAATGAGTTGATGCTAATTGAGAGGCGAGACGACAACGGAGGCACGTACGCAATCGTAGGCATTGGCCTCCGTAGCCCAGACAATAGGGCAGGACGTGCTGGTCAGCGCCGAAGTCGTGATGCAGCTAACCCAGCCTGATTTCAGGGAGGAGTACGTGCCGCTCTGTGATGAGCCGTCAGCGTGCGAACAATGCCAACAACCTTGACTAAAGACTGACAGAGATACGCGTGGCAAGCGCAGCGGCGTACGATTCAGAGCTGCTGTCGTAGTTCTCGTCGAGGTTGCGCTTCAGCATGCCAGTATCTTCAGATGATCATGAGCAAATTAAACGCGCTGGTATGTTTTTAACACATACCCCAAACCTGCATCATATCTATCAGCGTCAACGCGAGAATGACTGTGAAAAAAGGCTTACGGAGTGCAAGTTGCTCGATGATCCGCTGCAGGTCACATCGATGTCATTGCCGCCGACTTCGTAAGCCTTCAAAACAGGTCATTCAGCATTGGTCGCATTCGGCGAAAGCGGGAGGCTTACCTCGACGTGGAGGGGTTGACCGATATCACCGATGAACTGTTATGGATTGGTCAGCCATGCCTTTGCAAGGATGACGGTTACATACGTGAGCTGCAGACGAAGACAGCACATCGTGTCAGCTACCCAGGACAGGACACATGTACAAATCGAGACGTACTGATGAACTTGAGCGCCTCCTGACGCTGAGCAGCACTGAGACTCCTACATGTCGATATCCAGAATGAATACCCCATGTCGTGATCAGTTAAAGCAAAGAACGACTCCTTACGTCTTTTGAACACGAGCAGTGTAGTTCTGAATGGCCGTGACTGGGATGCAAGTCAGCAAAACCCAAGAGAAAAAAAGGTGCGACGTCGACGTACGAATGCAACCGGAGGCACCGCAGTCCCGACTCTGCGAAACGGAGCACGAGTCCGATAGAGGGCTGTCTGAAAAGGTGGTGCGCTATTTTAAGATGACAGATGGGCATGCGGCACACGACCGACGCACCCTCGGCATCAATGAAATGGTACGGGGCAGAGAATTTGTATGCGGCGGTGGACCGCACACTGTCCGCCCACTATTTCTATAATCAGCAATGTATGACGCTTGTGCAAGTATTGTTCCTTACCGTGGCAGCAGGGCCAAGAGATTCGTCATAAGTGGACCCCAGGGAGCTCTTCACGAACGTGAGGGCGTCGGAGCTGAGGAACTGATCGACAGTATGCAATTAGCAAAGATTCACATTCAGACATCGAGTCTTAGTACAAACCTGCATAGCGACATAACTATCGAAGAAATTTGGTCAGTGAATTGACGAAGGCTAAGCAGGAATAAACATACCCGACGGCTTGGTGACCCAAGGCACCCCATGCGTTGACACTCTGGGGAACGGCAACAGCAAGCGCGAGAGAGAGCTGCAGGATGGCCTTCATGGTTGGCAGGGAAAAATGGGCAGAGGCTGACGTCGGGAACGTGAACGACTGAACGACAATGACATGGAAACGGCACTTTATATGACTGCAGGATATCTAGCGACGGACGGATGCGTGCGCTGGGGTGCATATGGACCACGCCAACAACGTTGCTTCGCGGGAGATAAAGCTGAACAAAGCTGGGTGGATGCATATGGAACGCTGGGTGGAAATAGCTCGTTCGTGATCACGTGTGTCGTTTCGAAAGCACATGGTCGAACGTACTCTGCTGGTTGGAGCAGATAGGAATCGCGGAATCTGAACCACGAAACGGACATTGTGCTGGAATGCAAATGCGATGGGTATCGCTTGAATGGCCACGCACACCAGGAAGATGGTCTTTTCGGCAGGCGTCGGACGCGACCGAGGCACCCACAGGAGCCAAAGCCGTATGACTTACTTGAGCTCAAACGATGCACACTTGAGATACCATCGGTCGACATCAAAGTCGCGTGCAGATCAGCTTCCTCGCAGACAGTAATCGAAGTTGAGGATAGTTTAGAGGTTTTGCGGGTCCGAATAATGAAATTCGTATCGGCCGATACTGCGTTGCTATGCACCCTTATGCACCATCATGACGATCAAGATTCAGGCCGCACAAAAAGTCGGCGCTCGCCTGCGCTCGCAGGAGATCTATAATGATATCATTACATCGACGCAAGGCCAGTCTACAGGGGCACGACGTTTGCACGATCATAGGGGGAGATATCCACAGATCACAAGCACGCCTCGCATGCACCTGCCTGGGTGCCTTCCCACTCCGTCCCGCGTGAGTCTACGACACATCCCAGAGTTATCGCTGCTGCGCTCGTCTACGACGCGGACGATAAGAACTGACCATAGCGTCGCCCGCATGGCGCTCCCCACCAAGAATAGGACGCCTACGCTGGCCATGATGCGCTTTCCGATAAGTGAACCGGGCTGGTGAGCGCGCGACTGGTGTAAGGCGTACAGCCCGACGGCGCCGAGGGCTCCAGTGCCAATGATGCGACATGAGAGGCAGTCGTTGTACTGGGTCTCTTGTACGCGCGGGCGAGTTTCTGTCAACGTTTGCTCTGTTGCCATCTTGGAGAAGGTACTGGGGAAGAAGGCGGTATGGAGTGAAAGAGCATATTCAGAGGGAGGCACAAGCGGACAAGTGCTGGAACGCGTGTCGGGACGGCTCGGCACATGGCTCGGCGCATCTCGGCACGGCACGTGGCTGACCTTACGCGGAAGACAGCCGTTCGAGACTTCCTCAGGAAGGCCCGAGTGTGAGCAAGGTCGCGCCGTCCAAAATCGTTATCTGAGCAGCTCTTGTTTTAGCAATGTCACGACTCACGAACGTGTCATACTTCCCCACCTCCTAACTATGAGTTCGACATTGTCAAGACTAGAGAGATGCGGAGGCAAAATACGATGGGTGTTATGAGCTTGCTCACTCTGACCTTGCCTACAGTGCTTTTGTTTGTTGCAAGGGGGATACAGTTGGCGCATATATGAGTTGCTGGCCGCCAGCTCTGATATCCATTCTTATTGTGGGCCGTCTGGCAAAATTCACACCCTTCGTCATAAGTATCTTGATTTTGGTCAGTCTTCCAAGACAGTTTTTTTGTAGCCATGCAGTGTCCTCCAACTCATTGCGGCCTGGCTGATTTACACCTAGGCCGTAGCTCACATCCCGCGGTACTCGCCCCGGTGGGGGCACAAGTGCCCAGACATGTTCTATACGGCGTACAGGACGGGTGGGTTTGCGGTGAAAAATGCCCATTGGCAGAGCTAGAAACGGTGCGCGTTGCACAGTAGAACTAGAGGAGCACGGATTTTTATAGCAATGGTCAAACTAAACCTGTCTTGATAATAGGCGGGATGATCGTGCATGCTCTTAGCACAATCTTTGCCATAACATTGATGGCCCAAGGGTAAGGCGCGAGAACATTCTGTCCATGCACACACGATTTATATATCTATATATCTGAGGGGAGACGGATTCGCGCACAACCACTCCGCTTACCAGACCCCATCGAGTGACATGGCTAGATCATGACGCACACATACGTACGCGTATTTTGTCTATATAGTTATGTATCGAGCTCGAATGTGACTGACCTTTTTCCTACCACTGTTGCTGGTGCGTTAGCGCCCCTTCTAGGAGTCAAGCAATAACAAGCGACGCGATTGATCCCGGGAACAGATTATCCAATTATCTCGACAACTCTGAAGAATATGAAGGTGATGTCATGGACCATCACGCACGTACAAACTATTACCAGTTCAATGATTTTCGATGACAAAAGAACATGTCTCGTCTGTCTCATCAACTACAGCAAGGGATCCATCCGCCCATCCAGTCCGGCTGGAGAGAAATGATATCTTCCCATGCTGCCCCTGATATCCTGATATCGTGAAATTCACCATACCATCAGCGAGATGGATAAGCCCCATCGTCAGCCCTCGGCCAGAGCCTTTGCATTGAACAAAGCTGACGCCGCCCATGTTCGCGTCCATTGTCACGTACATTCCGTTATATCCTACATACCGATAGGTGTCATGAGCAGATCTTGTCTGATTGAGAAATCGGACAGAATCACCGATCAAGTTGAGACGATCACCTCGAAGCTTGACAATGAACTTGGCTTCATCATCAAATCGATCGTCAGAGAATTCCAGTTCATCGTTGGCGTTGGCCTTGAGATACCTGCCATCGACACTTTTCACCGCTATTGTCCCGCTGACTTTAGCTCTGGTACTGACGCTGAATCGAAGGTGAGATCTTGAGCCAAAGATATACAGAACCTCTCACACGTTCTCGATTAAGAAGCGGCAACTTTCATCCTCAACACGCTTGACGGCGAGGGAGCCGTTGTATGACGGGTGACCAGCTTGGCTTGACAAGAACCAAACCTGACCATCTTGGCCTTGGTAGCCAGAGATGGTAAAGCAAACCTTTCCATTGCGGCGATGGGCTATTCCGACGTCGAGGCCTCCACCAGGACCTTCGCATTTAACGTCGTCGACATAATACATGTTTACATGTTTTCCGTTGCTCCCTAATGCTAAGGAATTGTTGCTTATCCTTCTTAGATACAGAGCTAGATCTTACCTATCAGTGCTATCTTTCCCCCTTTGGGCTGAACAGTGAATTTGCCGTTCTTATCGAGAACTGTACTGCTGAACTCGAGTCCGTTGGTACTGGTGACCTTCATATATTTTCCGTCGATTCCCTTGATGGCAATGATCGCAGAGACATCCGCTTGGGCCATGGTTGGTTCAACGGGTATAAGAATCCACCAATTGCGAGGGTCACTAGCTCCCTCGTACAGCGTAATCTTCAACATGGCAATGAAGGTGCGTAATGTCATATATCAAGCGATGCGTACTTACCAATGCTCCAATCTCAACATTATCCAATCCCCAATACAACGAAGTGTCAGTACAGGCGATGCTAAAAAGCGAGATGAACTATTTGAATTTAGATATATCTGAAGAAAACCCAGATGGACTCACGTATATTGGCCCCGCACCCGAGTGTCGCGAATGTCCCACAGCTGGGGCTGATGGGACTGATCCCTGCCTTTGACAGTATCTCCAGCCTTGGAACGACCAGGAGTTCTAGCATGAAAGCCGTTTCCGAAGTTGGAGATGGTGTATCGACCATTCGAACGCTTCGCGATACGCCACTGAAGATGGATTTGCTTTTGTGTATCGAGAGAAGTAAGTAGATCGTACCAATTCCTTGTAGCTGTCTTCTTCGATGCCAGCGATGAGGGGCGCCCCTCCTTGTTCACTGCGAATGACAGCGAGATTTTTGTGTTTCACGTTAGTGAGGATGTAGATTCCGTTCTCGACGCTCATGACTTGAACAAAGTTCGATTTAAGAACAAGAGCGCTTTCCCGTGCGATTCAAGCAACTCATCCGTGTCTTGATAATCATAGCCCAAACGGGTTCTACAGGACACTCACATGGGCAGTCTATCCTCATGTAGTTCCAGTACTTCCTCGTGACATTGGACCATGGAAAGCAGGCGCCTTCGATCGACTTGTCGATATACAATCGTAGACTCGGAACTGAAAAGGAAATCTAGACCTGATCAGATGTCTTGTGGTACAAGCTAAATTAGGAGTATGGGAGTTACGATCGCCGAAAGGTGAGCAACTCTTTGATTTTGAGCCGGCTGCCACTTCATTATAGCAAAAGGGGGCGTCAGCGAAGGCTCTGGAATTCGGAAATTTTGTACGGCGTGCCTGCGCAGCTCATATGATCGATTTGAGCCACAAATGACTGAACGCCGCATGCCCGCATGCCTTTCATCTATCGTTGAGGGTCGCCCCTGCTAGTCTCTTCGATTCTTCCAAGTACATGAACCCGGTGGCCCCAGTGTTCCATGGAAAACTAGACAGAGGTTGCGTATCTGGCCTAATACTTGCTGAAGTCTCACCTAGAAAGGATACTCCCCAGCCTCATATAGAATGCGCACTAATGGCTATAGATCGCTGTAGATAGATACACTTCCAGTTGCACTGTAGCAATCGGCAGCAGCCTTCAAAGGTGCTGAGCAGTGTATATTACATGTCGGCCTACCTGATGGTGCGTGCACAGAGATCAAATGCTGGCGCCATGCAAGTGCCATCTATGAGTTAAGTTTGCGCTCCTTTTGAAGGGTATGAAGCTTGAAATTGAAACGTTGAAGAGACGGAAGAGAGCTGGTGGTAGTGTCGGTCAAAGCCGGAGTGGCCAGAAATGTAGCACGGGCCGGGTCACTTTATTTGTTCTGATTCTCAGCTAAGTGTTTCAGTAGTATTTCCCAAAAGGGCTTTTTTGGACATACTTGGGAAAAAAAATATAACAAACAGTGCATTTCGAAAGCTATGACACTTAACTCAGCAACTATCGTACAGTTTACCCATATTCCGAGACCAGGCAGACAACAATTCCATCACTCAGAAATCAGGCCCTTTCAAAGCTCCACCAGTTGCGGGTGTCAGTGGCAGAGGTTGAGAGTTCAATCTGGTAAAATGATGAGAGATACAACCAGAAAAATTGAGTCACGATCTCACGGGCGTCCCAGGTTGATCGTCGGCCAGCCCCCAATAGATGCGAGAATCAGTAGTGGCGATACTAGTAATTGAGCGGTGAGTTCGAGGCAATTAGAGGACACGAGAGTAAGAACAAACGTGTATTGACCCTTCACGCGGGTCTCTTGTATCTCCCATTGTTGCTGTTGCGCCCTGCCCTCGACGGTCGCGCCTGCTGAAGCGCGGTTCCCCGCGTTGGCGAACGATGCCTGCTGGAGGTTCCGGATGGTGTACTTTCCGTTACCGAGCAAAGAAACATTCCACTGCGATTTATTCAGTTCCGTACCGTCAATCGGTATAGATATCGACATACTTTTTCGTCATCGCCATACGAACGAGCATTGGCGGCAAGGGGAGAGCCGTCGTTGGGGTCGGCGAGGGCAGCTATGTTAGTTTGTTTGACGTTTTTGATGATGTACAAGCCAGTGGCAATAGGCATTGTGAGTGAGCTTAAGTGGATGCTGTACTAGAAAGACGATGCTGGGCGAAGTGCGCTTGAGATGACAGCGAGAAAACGAAGCCTATTTATCTAAGGGACTCGATACTGGCGGGAAAGCAGGCGGTTTTGGGCCGACGAATCGTCGTGCCGAAGTCCATGAGCACGAGGGATTGACACTTCGAGCAAACCCCTTCCCTGTAAATTGTTTTGTTTTGTGTACAAGAGCACCGGGACAGCGAATACAGGCAATGTTCCATCCGAAATCTCACCGCTGTGCCTCGTGTTCTTTGCCTGTTTCTATCGATGTTGACCATGGTCTAGCCGTTTTTGAGCGAGCGTTAGACGATAGCCAACGTTGGTGTCAGTGAGCGAATCGATGTGCGCATGTGCAGGCTATCGCGAAGATGGCCACTGCTCACCCTTCTTTGTCACCTGTGTAGCAGGCCGCAAGCTCCATCGCGAATAAGGCAATTCCCTAAAGCCACTGCTCTCGAACGACAACTTCTATGAAATGAAGATGGCTGACTACGCACCAGGTCATAATCAGCGCTATATCAGTCCTTTGAACACCGCCATTACCATGATTGGCATAGATCAATGCACCTTGTAGATAATTTTGGACATGCTATACAGCGCTGGAGAATTGGTACATCATGATCCCGGTGACCGGTCAGTGCAGTACAGGGCACTGCGCTTGAACATCGTATTTTGAAGTCAGCTCTGCGAAGGCGTACCTGTGGCGTCCAGTTTGGACATTATTGTAAGCTTGCGTTATCCTGACAAACACCACAAATCAGTGGACATCGACCAAAAGTTGCTGCGCTTGGCTGGTTTCCACTGGTCCCCGTCGCTGACAGAAGACAGTCGTTCCGTGCACGAGGACTCCACATAAGCCCTGGCATATGTCTACCGGAAGACGTGTCAATGATGACTCGGATGGCGTGCTTGGAAACTGCCAAAGTATGCACTTGGACTTTGGATACATGCCAGTACCACGCTCATGTGTGCACTCAGCCTGAGTGCACGCATGAACTTGAGAATGTAGACCCAAACCACTCTGAGGGTCCCGGCTCGTCGCCCGAGTCCTCATATTCATACCCCATCTCCAACCTGGAATCGTCTAGGCTTAGCCTTTCGAGGAGTGAGTACACGTTATCCAACTTGCTGCGAGCGGCGGAGATTCATACGCAAGCGCGATGTCAAGCTCGAGTCTAAGTCTATGGCTTGAGGGCGGCCTCGTGTAGGTGTGCTTTATCCGTCCATCTGGAGCAGAGGGTTCCAGATGAAGTATCCGATAGGGCAATGGACATTATGGACGTGAGCTGCATATGAGAGAGGTGCCGAGAGGAGACGTCGGACTTTTGGAACAGGGGGGTCGTGGGAGTTTTCCAGGCCCGCGGTGCTCTCGGCTGGCCAAACAGGATTACAACCGCGCTCAGCGTTCAACGTTCAGCCTTGCTCAATACCCACCTGCGTTTCTGGGTTGCAACCTACTTTTGCCTTTGGGGCGGGAGGCACCTCAGATATCCAGATCTTTCGACGTCTTCGACGCATCTGTCAGCGAGGAACGATATAACCCAAAAATACAACGCACCCCTGATTTCAAAGGGTGTGCTCTTGATGAATGTGTTCAACTCGCGGCGCTCGCCATGCTCCTGGTCAATTGGGGTACGTGTCAGTAGCAGTGGTCCCTAGGCTTCCATCCAAGCCGACCCAAGGACAGTACCCAATGATAGGCGAAAACTTGGGATAGCCTTAACGGGTATCTATCGGATGAATCACTGATGGATCGCGGAACAATTGGGGCGTAGACATGAGCGATTTCCACGATGGTATTGTACGTATTCACATGAGACGATTCTAGAATTGACCATGCTCAGGAAATTAATGAAGCGTTCGAACCGGAGTTTCGATTCACAGAAGAGCTGTACTTCAAGCTTTGATGTCAAGTATTCGTCTGGATGTAAGTAGCTTTCCGTATTCTGTACCTGCATCGCGCATCTTTACAAAATCGAACAATGGAAACCTCGCAGGACAAGAATTGAGATAATCTGTAGCCGTATTAACACTGGCGAAGTCCCGCTTCGGCACTCATCATCACTTTGTCAGATTGGTGGGTCTGTATGGCTCACTCATGTGATGCACCCAGATACCGGCCTTGATTCACAATTTCTTCCATAATGTCAATGGACACAAGAGCAAAGCTCGAGAACATTCTGTCCACGCAGACGCGATCGATATTCACTATATAACCGAGGCAAGACGAGATTCGCCCACAACCGCCCCGCCTACCAGACCTCTCCTGCGACCCCAGTCTCAGTCCAAGCATCTCTCACTGTTCTCACAATGGCTATCGTCGAGAGTGGTAACTACTTTATCGAGAACGTCAAACAGAAGAACATCGCTGCTGTCGTCGACAACAGCATTGGGTCACCCCTCATGGCGAGCGTCCATATGAACAACACAGGAGAAGTCGTATGTAGATACACATTACCATCCTTTTGGATCGTTTCTGACTCTCTTCACTCAAGTGGAACGTCTTGCGCCTCAGCAACGAGCAGTACATCATCAAGAATATTGAATGCAATTTCTATGCATTCTCTGGAAGTCGCTCTTCAAAAGGAAACACCGTGGACGGAAAGGTGCGGACTCAGTACTGGAGAATCCAAGAGACCCGTGAGAAGGGAAAGTTTACGTTCGTCGCCCGTTACTCGATTAATCCCTCGTCCTTCTCATATATACAATCAAGAATCTCGACTACTGATACCGATGTATTCTGGAGTTTGTGCGATGCGGAAGCGAATACTCCCGTGCGCGATTTTATCTAGGGTCATATGACTACACTTCTGCTAACGCTTCAAGCCTATTTTCTTGACAGATCGAACTCGCCGAGATCTCAACTGACAAGCGCAGCTGGTGGATTTTTCGCGAAGCTCCATCAACTCAGACCTTCGACATTAAGCAGACACCGCAGAACGAGAGCAACGAGAAAATCCAAGAAGTCTCTGATGGCATTAGCGAACGTGCAAGCACTGAGGTCATACCCCGATGCGATAATATTCAAAAGGTAAGTATTATTTACCGTAGTAGATCATCTTCAACTCGCCGATACCTTGCACAGACTGTTGAAGGAATGAAGGCCAAGGGCAAGAGCGAGGACGAGATCATTGCCACAGTGTCCCCTCTCCTCAAAGACGTCAATCTTCACCTTGGTCAAATGGACAGCGACGTCAAATGGGTCCAAGCTTCCTCCAAAAATCGATCTCCCAACGAGAATTCGCAGCAGCCAACGGCTTCGGAGCAGAATTTAGCAAGTTCTCTCCAGAACGTGCGTGTCCCCTCTGTCTCCCGCTGGATAGACTCTTGACGATCGTGGCAATCAAGATGATGACGGGGGTCACGGTCATGTTTGACTCTTTTGACACTCTTCCGCGGGCCAAAGCAGCGTTATCCAAGTGGCGCTTCGCTTTCAGCGGTGCGCATGAATCCCTTCAGTTTCTTAGAATGTCGTGCTTATAGCCATGTGCAGGTGTGATAATAAATATTTTCGACGGTCTAGATGGCTTACTGGGAGGCGTGATCGAATCTGTGACTGGAGCGGGAGGTCAGTTCAAGGAAACCGTGGGTTTGGGCAGCTCGATGACGCCCCTCGATTCCCAACTCCATGCAAAACCTGCTACTGGGCGCGCTGGTAGCTCTGCTCACTCCAGTCGTGGTTTCTTGTCAATCTAAGTATCGAGATTGCCCTAGATTTTTTTCCATCGGCCATTTCTATGGTCTTGCAACTTGTTGACTCGCTCTCTTGTACGAATGATATACGATTTTGATATTGACTTCAATATGCCTGAAATCAGTATAAACGATCGTAGACGGGATAACACAGGGTCGTGCTTGCCCACAAGAGCCAGATTGACGCTTGCCGCTCTCCCGCTCAACAAAGTTAGTCTCAAAACTATCTGCTTCTACGATCATTGACTCCTCCCAAATATTTGCGGTGCACTCGCTAGGCACAACAGCCATCTAATTGTATCTACGATGTCTATCCTTCCTCGCCGGCTTGCAGGTCTGGCAAGCCAACATACGGTCTCTTTATCATCTTCATACGAACGAGCATTAGCGGCCAGGGGAGAGCCACCGTTGGGGTCGGCGAGGACAGGTATGTTAGTTCGTTTGACATTTTTCGCGATGTACAAACCGGTGGAGATAGGCATTGCGAGGGAAGTGTATCGGAGGCGGAGCTGGGCGAGGTGTATCTATAGTAGTGAAGGTACCTATCTTGTGGGATCGATGCTCGAGAAGAGGCGGACGGTCTCGAGCCGGAGAGACGCCATGCCGAGGAGCGGAAACATAAGGGTAGAATTGCTTGACAAACGTGGTATTTTCCTTACAACGCGACTCCGCCAGGCGCCGTGCGTACACGAACAGCAATCGGATGGTGCGGGGCCCAGGATAGAGAACACGTACAATGCCGCTGTTCGCCCGTTTAAGTAACCGCGTGCATCACCGAAAGCATGATGGAATCACGCAGACCATGGACACGCACGCATCCGCTTATAGAACGAACGTTCGTGCGGTCGTTCTACGACGAAACCGTTCCAAGTCAGCTCCGCAACGGCGGACCTGTGGCCTCCATTGTCCGACGCTATCATGGGCGCTGCCGCTATCTTCGAGGGGTGGACATTGATCGAGGTTTGTGGCTCCGTTTGACCGCACTGTATTTGCTTCTCGAGTTCAGATGCCGCTTGCGCGATGGCATCGTCCGGGGCTGAGCACGCCGAAAGCTTCGCTCTGAGCGTCGGTCGACAAGGGCGGTCTAGAGGCGACGTCTCCTGGTACGGTATCCCCGATTGTCCCTCCACTGCGACCGCCACAGATCGTATTCGAAAGGCACAGGAGACGAGATGCAGCGGGCTGAGTTTGTCATACGTATCCATAGAGTGATCTGCATGAGGAGGGCGTGGTCGAGGCCCTCCGCGGAGACGTCGGCTGCGGTGCAGAGATTCTCGGCACAGCGGACGAGGCGAGTCGATTGTGGCGTCGATCGCTCGATATCGCCGGTTTGCCAGAGAGGAGCGGGCATGCATACAGTACTGTCGGTTCGGAAGAGGGCTGTCGCGGATTTGGACTGGATACGCAGACAGAATGCGTGCAGTACCACTCAGCGGCTTGCCTTCCTGATGATCCCGACACGCTTACAAAGGGACGGTCTGCCTACAACAGCAGTTTGAACCAGAATCCTGCAATATGTGATGGCCGAATTGATAGGGAACGCGGCGTAGTCCAAGCGATGCCACGAGATGGGAAACAAACGACCGGAGGCAGGTTGAGGCTTCGGGCCTGCTCGACTCATTGCCGACTCACGAACTGCGAGGAGCCCAAGCGTGGAAACGGAGTCGTTCCGCACGACCTGCGGTGCAACGCGCCCTCTCGCGCGCGTCTGGTCCCACACGTGACCCGTATTGATTTCCTAATCGGGAACACGACCATGGGCGGCGGCAGGGAGAGTGGCACGGGCACGAGCACAAAGGCCAGAGCGCGCCACACGCTTGTCTCCCCACCACCACCACCACCAGCAACAGATCACACGGCGCTGCTGTACGCATCGAACACCTACATCCACACCTACATCTACATCCTCGCTCGACTACACGGCGCGATGCTCAGATCAGTCCTCGGCAGCGAGCGCGAGCGCGACGGTGCGGGCGATAGCGCGAGGGAAGCGCGCGGGACGAAACGCGCACGCGCGCGCGAGGACGAGGGCGGGGAAGAGAAAGAGAACGACGCGGCGGGGTTGGAGCGCGTGGGGGGCGCGCGGGGCACAGGTGCGCAGGGCTCGTTCGGTTCTTGAGCGTGCGGTGGCGGTGTCGCTGACGCTCGGACGGAAGACGCGCGGCGCGGGAAGCGCGCGAGAAGGGAGGACGACGACGCGGTGCTTGAGAGTCTGCAGAGGCCGGCGGCGGCGGCGATGATGTCTGATTATACGGACGACGTGCCGGTGGCTACGCCCGCGCCGCCCTCGGCGCCAACGTCCGATGTCGACGGCGGCGCGCTGCCGCTGGACGGCGTGACGGCGTGGCACGCGCGGTGGTGCCTGCGCGGGGCGACGGTGGCGGTGCGCGCGGGGGGCGTCGGGATGCGGGTGCACCAGGCCGTGCTGGCGCGGTATTCGGAGGTGTGGAGGGACCTCTGGGCGCTGCCTGCGTTTGCGGGCGAGGGCGAGGGTGAGGAGGAGGGGATGGGCGCGGGGGCGCCGGCGCCGGCGCGGGAGACGGCGGGCGGGCTGCCGGTGGTGGACGTGACGGAGTCTGCGGAGGCGTGGGACGTTATACTGACGGCGCTGTATCACCCGTGAGTGGTCTTCCCGCGCTGCACGGCGTAGCAAGACAGTGACTGACTGACTGACTGACTATACGCGCGTGCGCACGCGCAGGGAGGCGCTAGGCACGGAGGCGCGGGTGCCGTGGCGCACGGTGACGGTGCTGCTCGAGGCGAGCCGGAAGTACGTGTGCCTCCCGCTGCGCGCGGCGGCGATCCACCACCTCTCGCGGGTGTACCCGACGTCGCTCGAGGGATGGCACCGGCGCGTGGCGGACGCGGACGCGGCCGCGCCCGCGGGGCTGCACGCGTGCGCGCTGCGGCTCGCGCGGGAGTACGAGATTGCGGAGATCATGCCGGCGGTGTATTATATGCTCTCTATGGAGGACGAGGGGCGCCTGTGGGACGGGTGGGACGTCGGGGGCGCGGGCGGGGGCGGGGGCGGGGGCGTAGGAGGGAAGGTGGTGCTGCCGCGGGCGGAGGTGCGGACGGTGTTGCGCGGGCTGGGGATGATCCGGCGCGGGCGGCAGGACGCGATATTTGATTTCGTGAGGGGGATGGGGGTGGGGCCGGACGGGACGGCGCGGCGGCGGGCGAGCGGGCGGTGTGCGGGGCTGGCGCTGCGCGGGTACCGGTGCGGGCACTTCTTGGCGCGGCTGGCGCACGACTGGGAGGCGGAGGCGGCGGCGGAGGGCGGGGCGGGGGTGTACAGGCGCGGGGACGGTGGGCGGCACGATGCGCTGAAGGTGCTGGGGCGCGGTGCGCGGCGGGTTGCGGGGCAGTATTTGTGTGGGGGGTGTCGGGGGGCGTTTAAGCGGGAGATGATGCAGGGGCAGAGGAGGGTGTGGTTCCGGCTGCCGGTGGTGTTTGGGCTCGGGACGTGGTTTGATATCGAGGAGAGGGTGAGGCGGCAGAGGGACGACATGTTTGATTGGTTTGTGAAGCAGGAGCGGGAGCGGGAGCGAGAGGAGGAGGGCGACGGCGACGGCGACGGCGAGGGCGCGGGGGACGAGTGACGAGCGATGGGGCGGGATTGGTGTGTATTCTAGCTGGGTCGACGGGCGGGGCTCTCCTGCTGCTGGTTTGTTCTTTGTCTGGATTGAGAGGCGGGCTCTCCTGCTGCATTTAATTCATCTCGGTGCTTGTCAGACGGTGTGTCAAATAAGTCCGAAGAGAGACGATCACGGCGTTATGCTCGTGCGACGGGGATCCGAGCAGCAGGACGCGAGCGTGCGTGCTGTTCCGTGCGACGTGACGAACGATGGCGGGGCTGTGGAGGGGGAGGAGGACGGGGGTTACCATGAGTATTAGCTAATCGCGGCAGCAGCGTCCGACGACGCTGTCGCGCGCGCTCGCCTCGACGCTGGCACGAGCAGTCCACACCCTCCCTGCCTGCGTCGTCGCTGCCTGGAACGCAGTCAAGACCGCCAGCAGAGCCTCGACCCGCCTTCTCCACCTTCTCTTCTTCCTTTCGCCCATGTCGCAAGCCGTTCTTTCCCAACCGCCGACCGCCGGCCATGGCCACCCTGGCGCTCCACCGACTGCCGCCCACGCCAGCCACCGTCGCCAGCACACCGCCTCTGCGTCTCCAGCCCCATCCCCGCCGGGCAACTCAGCCGCACCGACGCCGACGCCGACGCCGACCCCGCAGGTGCACGTCAACGGCGCCCCCGTCCCCGTCGCCGCCCCCGCCCCCGCCCCCGCCCTGCGCGCGGCGAAGAGCGGGAGCGGGAGTGGTCCGGACGAGGCCAAGTGGGGGTCCAACTTCTGGGTCACCCTCGTCGATCCGCAGGTGAGTCGTGCGTGACGCTCCCGCCGTGTCCTCCGCGTGACCCGCCCCCGGGTCCAGTCCCAGGCCGCCTTCTTCGCCTGCCCCGCCACCGGCGAGGTCTCCTGGGACCCCCCCGTCGGCAACTTCGTGTACGTGCTCCTCCGCCCCGCCCCTCCGTCCCGTCCAGTCCTTGACTCCCCCCGTCCGTCCCCCCGCTCGCCCCAGCCTGCCCCCGAACAACGACGGCGAGTGGTGGGAGATCAGCGACCAGTCCCGCGGCGGCATCCCCTACTACTACCACACAAAGTCCGGTCAAACAGTCTGGGACAGGCCAGACGGCTTCGTCATCCCCCTCACCGTCCTCCAAGTGAGTCCCCCCCCGTACCTTACCTCATGCCGCAGCCCCTTCTCACTTTGCCTACCCACAGAACACCGCACTCGGCCGCCGCCTCTCAAAGTCCTTCTCCCCGCACCAGCCCACCTCCGCCCTCGCTCAGGACACCTCAAACCGCGCCGCCCACCCGCCCCAGAAACACCTCAAAAACGCGCCCCCCGCGCGCCGCAGCCTCTCCGGCGACCCCTACAACACCATCGGCCACGGCGCCCCGCGTGCCCGCGCCCCCGTCCACGTCCACCCGCAGCCCGCCCGCTCCTGGTCCCACGGCACCTCCGGCCTCGGCCTCGGCCACCTGCCCCCCATCCCGGGCTCCCCCTACACCACGGAGGCCTCCGCGCCCTCCACCCCGACCGCCTCCCCGGCCCCCGTCGCGCGCAAGTCCTCCACCCGCAGCGCCCGCGCGCCACAGCCCGACTCGCCCCCGCGCCCCCGTTCCAAGTCGTCCGCCGCGTACCGCCCCGCCCGCACCCCGCCCCAGTCCCTCGGCGCCGCCGTCCAGCTCATCGCGCACACATCGACCCCGACCCCGACCCCGCCGCACTCGCCGCTCTCCACCAAGACCGCGTCGACAGAGAGCGGGTACGCGAGCCAGCCCGACCGCGACAAGCTGCCGTCTACCGCATGCGCGCCCGCGACGCCGACGACGCCGCCGAAGCGCAAAGGCCCCACCGTGCGCGGCAAGACGATCGGGGCTCCCATCTTGAACGACGGTGCGCACCCACCCCACCCCGTTCGTAGCGCGCGCTGACCCGCTCCGCCTGTTTGCGCGCAGAGGCCACCGTCGACATGAGCCCCGTCAAGAAAGCCCCCGCGGGGAAGCCGATCTTCGTCGATCGCGCCGCGCCGCAGCACCAGCACCAGCACCCGCCGCCGTCGCCGTCGCCGTCTGGCCCGCCCGTCGCGACGCTCAGCACCGGGTACGTCCGCCCCTTTTCCTGCCCCCCGTGCACCCCTCCGACGCTCGTCTCCGCCCCCGCCCAGGATGTACCCGATCCTGCCGGACGACCTCGCGTCCGACATCCAGCAGTTCGTGCGCTCCGACTTTGCAAGGCAGTACTTCTCCACGCACACCACCGGCTTCCTCTTCCGCCGGCGCGTGCCCGTCGAGCAGATGATGGCCTGGCAGAAGGTATCCTCTTTTCTCAGCTGTTCCCCGCGAGCGCCGCTCACTGCCGCGCGCAGGCCCCGCTCACGTCGCCGCTGCTGAACCTCGCGCGCCCGCTGCACAAGGACGCGGTCAAGATCTTCAAGGTCATCCAGCGCCTCATGGGCGACCGCGAGCGCGAGGGCCGCCCGAACCGCCTCCCGCCGCCGCCGCCCCTCCCGCCATCCTCCGACGGCGCGCAGTCCTCTACGCTGAACGCGCTGAACGCGTCGACGAGCTCGCTCGGCGGCGGTGCGCTCGGGCTGCTGGAGGAGGAGCGGTGGCTGCTCGGCGAGGGCCTCACGCACGGCGAGCTGCGCGACGAGATTTACTGCCAGCTCCTGAAGCAGCTGACTGGCAACCCCACCACGTACGTCTGCGCTCGCGTCTGCGTCTGCGTCCTCGTCCGCGCGCGCTGACGCGCACGCTCCCGCAGGGAGAGCGTGTTCAAGGGCTGGCAGCTGCTGTGCGTGCTGCTGATCACGTTTCCGCCGTCGAAGAACTTCGAGTCGTACCTGCGCGGCTTCCTGCAGCAGCGCACGGCGCAGCAGGAGGGCCGCGTGGACGTGATGGCCAAGTACTGCCTCAAGCGGCTCTCCGTCGTCGCGAAAAAGGGCCCGCGCGGGAAGCCGCCGAGCGTCGCCGAGATCGAGACCGCGGCCGACGCGGCCTTCAACCCGTCCACCTTTGGCGAGCCGCTCGACGCCATCTTCCGCCTCCAGGAGCGCACGTACCCGCACCAGAAGACGCCGATCGTGCTCCCCTTCCTCGCGGACGGCATCCTCGCGCTCGGCGGCACCAAGGCGGAGGGCATCTTTCGCGTGCCGGGCGACGGCGACGCGGTCGCCGAGCTCAAGCTCCGCATCGACAAGGGCTACTACACCCTCGCGGGCGTCGACGACCCGCACGTGCTCGCGTCGCTCCTCAAGCTCTGGCTCCGCGAGCTCTGCGACCCGCTCGTCCCGGACGAGCTCTACAACGAGTGCGTCGCGCGCGCGGACGACCCCGCCGCGTGCGTCGCCGTCGTCGAGCGCCTCCCGACTATCAACCGCCGCGTCGTGCTGTTCGTGGTCAGCTTCTTGCAGCTGTTCCTCGACGCGCGCGCGCAGGCCGCGACGAAGATGACGAGCGCGAACCTCGCGCTCGTCATGGCCCCCAACCTCCTCCGCTGCGGCTCCGAGTCGATGGCCGTCGTGTTCACCAACGCCCAGTGAGTCGCGTCTCGTGCTCGTGCTCGTCTCTCCCTCCCTCCTGCCGTCGCTCGCTGACGTTCGTGCGCGGGCCAGGTACGAGCAGATGTTCGTGCACAATCTGCTGCTGCACCTCAAGTGCGACGCCGTCGACCCCGACTACGTCCCGCAGCACGGCCTCGGCGCCGTCTCCACCGCCGCGCCGCCACGGACATCCCGCTCCCGCTCCCGCCGCATGCACGGGTAGTGCGCCACTCCTCCTCCCTCGGCGTTTTTCGTTCGTTTGGGGTTTGGGTTTGAGGTTTTTTTTTTTTTTTGCATCGCACATCGTCGCTCGTAGCAGTAGCATATCTGGCGCTCGCGCGCGCATAATCGGTCCCGGCCCCTGTTGTCTGTCCATCCCATCCCACATGTAGCATTCTCCCCGACACCCGACCCGACCCCGACCCGACCCCGACCCTCGTTATCCCACATTCCCCATTCCCGCCCTCCCGACCCTCGTTCCCATTCTTGTCTCCCTTTCCCGTCGGCGTTTCTGTGTAAGTATACCCCGCGGCCCTACGGCCCGCTGCGCCCCGGTTTTGTTTCTTTCTTGGTGCTCGAAGCTTGAATACCCGAATCATACCCTGTGTTCGGACGCGCGCGCCGCCCTCGCGCGTGTGGTTTTTGCTAGATGGAGGAGGATAGAAGAGCGCGGTGGACATCTTTTGGACGGAGATCGGGGTTGCGTGTTAGATACGTAGATACTGCGCGCGGCGGGCGTTGCATATTGGACGGTCGAATATCATCATCTCAGCACTGGTTCTGCAGGATCACGCAAAGGTTTCTTGGTGTCCACTGCCGTACTGTAGTGGTAGATACGTTCCGGTTACAGGATATAATACACGAGTGCCCGGCGCCGAGATCTTCTCCCTCCCTGCGAGCGATGAGCGCAAAGGCCGGTGTGGGCGCCGTTGGTGCGACGCCGCGTGCGCGCGGTGCGCTCAGGAGTGGGTGAAGTTGGGCTTGCGCTTCTCGGCGAACGCGGCCATGCCTGCGACGATGCGGGTCGGTGAGCAGGTGCAGGGACGCGCGGGCGGCACGACACGCACCTTCCTTCTGGTCGTTCGTGGCGAACGTCATGTGGAACAGCCGGCGCTCGGTGCGCAGGCCCTCGGCCAAGTTCTGCTCGAACGCTGCACATCGGGGCGCATCAGCAACACGACCGTCGCCGAGCGCGGGCGCACGACGCACCGGCGTTGACCGCCTCCTTCGCGGCCTGCACCGCGATCCTGCCCTTGCTCGCGATGACCTTCCCGAGCGCGACGGCCTCGCGGACGACCTCGCCCTCGCCCTCGCCGACGACGCGGCTGACGACGCCCCAGCGCTCGGCCTCGGCGGCGGAGAACGTGCGGCCGCTGAGGACGAGCTCCATCGCGCGCGCCTTGCCGACGGCGTGCGCGAGCCGCTGCGTGCCGCCGCCGCCGGGGATCGTGCCGAGGTTGATCTCGGGCTGGCCAAAAGTCGCGGTTGGGGAGGCGAGGATGATGTCGGTCGAGAGCGCGAGCTCGCAGCCGCCGCCGAGCTGGTGAGAGTGTGTGAGTGGGTCTGCGGCACCGCGTGCGATTCCAGGGGGCGCCGCGTGGGCGTGAGAGACACGCACGACGGCGGAGCAGCATATGTCGCGTGTCATGTGCGTCTCGCTCGCACGCACATGGCGCGGCGGGCCCAGGCGTGCGCGGGCCGCGAACGCGAGATGCGAGAGAGTGTGTGTGGACGTACCGCGTAGCCGCTGACGGCGGCGATGATGGGCTTGCGGAGGTTGGTGACCTGCGTCCAGTTCTCGAGGAACCTGTTCTTGTACGTTTCCGAGACTGCGCGGCGGGCGTCGTGTCAGCGTGCGTTGTACGCCAAGGAAAGGGCAGTAGCAGCGGCCATCACAGGTATGCCGACGTGACGGTGAGAAGGTCATCCACCACCACTCGCCCGATCCTCACGCAAGCACGGCGCGTTGCTGTGCTGCGAAGAGACAGACGTACATTGCTTGTCCTTCATCTCCTTGATGTCCGCGCCAGCTACATACGCGCGCCGTCAGCTCAGCCGTGAAACGAGCGCAGAGGGGACGCACCGGCAAACGCGCGGTCCGAGCCGGTGAGCACGATGGCGCCAATGTCGTCGTCCGCATCGAGCTCTGCGAGGGCCTCGTTGAGCTCTGCGAAGAGCGGGGAGCTGAGGGCGTTGAGGGCCTTGGGGCGGTTGAAGGTGATGAGGCCGACGGCGGGGTCGGGGCGCGTGGCGATAATGAACTCGTACTGTTTCGTGGTAGACATGAGACGCAGCGAGAGTGCGCGGGTGGGTGCTACGGTGAAAGCACGGAGGAGGATGGAGGACATGGTGGGGGAGTGTGGGGAAGTGGTTTATATCCGCGCGAGTGGTCCAGCAGCTGACTCTGCGTGCCGGTCGGGCTTGCTCTCCTCATCCTCGCCCTCGCGCACATGTCCAGGTGTTCCTGCCGCACTCACCATGCGTCGTATCTCTTCTGCGCCGTCATGCGTGCCTGCGACCACGATGCTATGTTATGAACGTACCCCCGCAGACCCCCGCTGCTGCGCCGTATCGTATGATAGCGTACAAGTCGTGACTCGCTCCGTTGCTGACCCTACGCAGAAGGCGATCGTTTCAGCCTACTAAGACCCAAAGTTCTGCGCGCAGTTATGCGGCATTCGTCCATTCCTCCTTGTGCACAGAACGACTGTCTACGAGACCACTGTCAAATATGACTACGCCCACAGGGAGCCCCTTCCAAACTGTCATCGTTGAGCTCTGTCGCAAAAACTCGTTTTACGTTATAATTCCTTATAAGGCATTACAAGGCTATAATGAATCGGTCCCGTGAGAATGCATTATCGAATAAGAGTTCTCATTCCAATTTCAATGAAATGGCATTACAATGACTGGTGCCGAATTGCAACGCCATCACAACGTGACAGTAACATCACTCTACTGGACCGATCGGCTATTACAATGCTATCACAAGCTCATCGTAAAGGTGCTGCTATGGAGTCAAAAGCTCGCTATGGCATTACTATGCAGTCACAATGGCATTACAATAGCATGACAAGTAATAGGAAATGGTTATCAAGGGCTATGAGATGACTGAGTACTACCAGGGATCACTTACTTTGACTACTGATTATTACTAATACTCATTAATCTGTAGTGAGCATTACCTCAATAGCTTGTTACACCGTGACTACTAATGACTACTGGTGCTTATGGGTCATCACTAACTCATACTGATCATTGCTTCATACTACTGATACTACTACTAATATTACTACAGATGCTACTATAAGTGCTACTACAGATGCTACTAATGCTACTACTGATGCTACTACAATTGCAATTGATACATTACTATGACCAAGGTTCGAACATGCAACCTCTTGTATGAGAATCACCTTGTAATGTGGCGCATAACCACTCAGCCAGCTACGCTTTTCTGATTATAAATGTCCATGCTATTCATAGATCTATTTGGTGCTTGGCATACACTGATTCCCCCTTCTAAAATAGGCTCAGCACTGTCCTCCTGAGTGCCGCAAAGCATGTCTTGCATAGCCAAGAAGGGCCACATCATATACTAGTCGATGCTGGTGAGTGCAATGTCCAGCATAGTGACATACATGTCAAGCTCGTTGTAGTCCGTCGTCTTGTCTGCCTCAAAGGGTTTGCATATGTTGGAGGTAGGGGTATGTGTGGCGCGCGCGACAGCAGTTCGGAGGCAGAGGAAGCAATTGGCGGTGTGTGCGCGGTACGAGCAGCTGAAGGCAATGGGCAATGGGCGGTGGGCAATGGGCAATGGGCAGTTGGGAGGTGCAGGTGGATTCTGCGTGCGCGCAGCGGAATGTGTGGGAGGCGAGTGGTTCGAAGGTGGGGGCACTGTCGGCACGCACGTGCGTGGTGCGGGCAGCAGGCGGCGCACGCGACAGCGGTTCGGAGGCAGAGGCGGCAGTCGGCGGTGTGTGCACGGTACGAGCAGCTGCAGGCGTGGGCAGTGGGCGGTGGGCAACGGGCGGTGGGCAGTGGGCGACAGGCGGTGGGCGGTGGGCGGTCTGGAAGCGGAGGTGGATTCTGCGTGCGTGTGCGCGCTGCGCGCAGCGGAATGTGCGGGAGGTGAGTGGTTCGAAGGAGGGGGCACAGTCGGCATGTGCGCGTGCGCGATGAGGGCAGCAGGCAGCGCACGCGAAAGCGGTTCGGAAGCAGAGGCAGCAGTCGGCAGTGTGTGCGCGGTACAAGCAGCTGCAGGCATGGGGGGTGGGGGGTGGGCGATGGGCAGTGGGCAGTAGGCAGTCTGGAAGCGGAGGTGGATTCTGTGTGCGTGTGCGCATTGCGTGCAGCAGAATGTGTGGGAGGTGAGTGGTTCGAAGGCGGGGGCACAGTCGGCGTGTGCGTGTGCGTGGTACGAGCAGCAGCAGGCTTGGGCGGTGGGCAGTCTGGAGGCGGAGGTGGATGCCGCGTGTGCGTGCGTGGTATGGGCAGCAGGCGGCGCGCGCGAAAGCGGTTTGGAGGCAGAGGCAGCAGTTGGCAGTGTTTGCGCGATACGAGCAGCTGCAGGCGTGGGCAGTGTGCAGTGGGCAGTGGGTGGTGGGCGGTCTGGAAGCGGAGGTGGATGCCGTGTGCGCATGCGCGTTGTGCGCAGCAGAATTTGTGGCAGCTGGGTGGTTTGAAGGCGGGGGAATAGCCGGTGCATGTGTGTGCGCGGTGCAGGTAGCATGAGGCGTGTGCAAACATGATTCGAAGGTAGAGGTGGTAGTCGGTAGGGCGTGCACGGCGCAAGCAGCGGCAGACATCGCATCCTGGACGTCGTGGCGCAAGACAACTTCTTCCGTGCCTTCCTCTCCAGCAAGCCTGTCCTCGTTGGTGGTACGTCCACGTCCTCTCCCACCTTCGCCAGCATCGTCTTGCTCTTGAACAATGCGCGCCTCGCGCAGGGCTTGCTGTCCCTCGTCTGTCGCGCAACTTCGCGTGGGCCTCGATGTCCTAGCAAGAACGAATGCACATCAATCCCACTTAACAAGAATTATAGACGAGCACACCTGAAAATCATTGTCATTGGACACCGAGGGGTGTAGACAAAGCCGTTTATTGGATGGTAGTATTGTTGGCAAGCACAAGCTCAGTGTTCCTCCAAATCTGAAAGATGATGGGTGTGATATGGATCTATATACAAACTAAGGGAAAACTGTACTTACAGATCTGCTTTCGATTGACGTCCTTGAGATTAAACGCGAGTTGAGTGCGAATACCGCATCCCAATTGCGTCGAGGGTACGTGTCATGAGCATCAATGACTCAGCTGATAGATACTGATCGATACGAGCTCTTCATCCTTACTGCAACATCCCCCCTTCAATCCTCTCAAGCCACCCATGGATGACGATTCAGAAGTAGAAGGTGAAGGCGGCTACATTCCCGGGGTCGTGACTGCTGCAGAGGTTGATGACCTCCAGGGTGCGCTCAATGCAATCCGCACGCCCGAATCGATATCATTTGCAGCTACAGTGGAAGATTATCAGGAAGTGAGTGAAAAGAATCCACACCTGTGTTGTTTCCCTGCTAATAGACATACAGGTGATACAGGAAACCCAGCTCCTTGCTCGGAATCTGCTAGATAAACTGAGGATTGCTCAGCTCGAGATCGTGTCGCTGCGTGCCGCCCAGCGGTCTGGTGCTAAGCGGGCAAAGAGGAAGAGTGGATCTGTGGAAGTACCGGCAGGTAAAGATGATGAAGAAATTACTCAACTAGGCCGCCGGTTTTTCGTGACCCAGGAGATGTGGTTTGATCCAGCCATCTTCCAGCAACCCAAGCCAATGTTGCTGCCTGACGACAAGGCCCGCTACGCCAATCCTCGTGCGATCCAACAGGGTGTTGTTGCTGACTTGTACAAGATAGTCCCGCCCCGACTCCATGAGCTGATGCAGCACCACAGTAGCTTCTCTTCTAGTGTAAGTCAATTAATCACTTCTCGTCGCAATTTCCTCTTGACCGTTGGCTTTTTAGTTTAACAAGGGATTCATTTCGTATCGCGCAACCGTCATTCACCGACTGCGTGCAGATGCAATTAAGATCTACAATAAACCAGGCTTTCAAGCTGTATGGTTCGAGCTAAAAACAAACCGTGCAGAGATCCCGGAACTTCAAGCGCTTCTGAAAGAGAAAGATCCCTCCTTGCCTAACGGTATCTATTCAGTGATTGCCCCCATACTCCATCCTCAGTGCATAGTCGACCGGAAGACGATCTTCAGAACAAAGGTCCTCACAAGGGCACGTCCTTTTTATTTTTATCATCACATTCTTATGCTTATTTGGCACTTTCTAGATTTTGCGCATGGTCCTTTTCGGGCCAAATTCTGTCTCTTCTGATGGATCAAATGTGGAGACAAGCCATGGTGGACGACCGACCATGGCGAAGCTGTGGAACCTTAACTCAACCACACCTGGATGTGTCGCTTTTGCTGCAATCATGGTATGTTTTTTAACCTTGTATTTTTCCTCTTAATTTATGTTTTCACAGGCTCGTTACCTCGCATCACCTGATGTCAAGCTTGAGAAGGTCGGCGCGCTGTCTCGCATCAATTATTACGACGACTTTACCTTCTACAAGAGGCTTCTTATTACGGGAAAGGATACGGCCTCCATCAAAGTGATCCTGAGGTTCTTCGACGAGGCTGTTTTTGGGATAGCGCCGCCACAGCAACCACATACATCAAATTCACATATGATCAATGTGAATGATTTCCTAGCAGATATGGAAGCTGGTGAGAATGCCAGTTTTGAAGACGAAGGTAAGTGCTGTATCCCACTTTCAAACAATTTTTTTTTACAGTCACTTCCTAGATTTTACGTCGGCAATCAACAACCTCAGCATCGTGATGGACGAGATGGAGGTTGAACCTCCTGCTCCTACTGTCGTTGAGCCTGTCGCTCCTGCTGCCGATTTTGTAGCTCCTACTGCTTTTATCGCCAATCCTGTTTCTGCCGGCCCAGTTCCTACAGTCCTTGTTCCTCAACACCCTTCTATTCCTCCCATCGCTATCCCCGCTGTGACTACCGATTCCAACCGACCAGCTCGTGGCGGAAGAAAACCCAATAATGGCCCGGTACCTCGTCGTGTTTCAACACGCACTCAAGCTCAGGGTTTGGGGAAGTGAAATACTAGTCATTCTCGAGTTTATATAGTTCACTGTCATATCTGACTCATCGCAAACTCGCATGTATGTCTTTCAATATATCTTGTTGATCTTTCCTCCAAGGGGGTGGCCAGTGAGTGCGATGTTGTCATTATCGAGCCACCCCTTATCTTTGTTCTCTTGTCATGCCTGTCAACTCAGCAGGTCTCTCCAAGGCCTCTATCCTTCGTACCACGCACACACCGCCAACTGCCGCCTCTCCCTCCGAACCGCTGTTGCGCGCGCTGCCTGCTGCCCTCATCGTGCGCACGCGCGTGCCGACTGTGTCCCCGCCTTCGAACCACTCGCCTCCCGCACATTCCGCTGCGCGCAACGCGCACATGTATGCGGAATTCACCTGCACCTCCAGACCGCCCAGCGCTCAGCGCCCACGCCTGCAGCTGCTTGTACTGTGCACACACCGCTGACTGCCGCCTCTGCTGCCCTCATCGTGCGCACGCGCGTGCCGACTGTGTCCCCGCCTTCGAACCACTCGCCTCCCGCACATTCCGCTGCGCGCAACGCGCACATGTATGCGGAATTCACCTGCACCTCCAGACCGCCCAGCGCCCAGCGCCCACGCCTGCAGCTGCTTGTACTGCGCACACACCGCCAACTGCCGCCTCTGCCTCCGAACCGCTGTCGCGCGCGCCGCCTGCTGCCCTCATCGTGCGCACGCGCGTGCCGACTGTGTCCCTGCCTTCGAACCACTCGCCTCCCGCACATTCCGCCGCGCGCAACGTGCACGCGTATGCGGAATCCACCTGCACCTCCAGACCGCCCAGCGCTCAGCGCCCACGCCTGCAGCTGCTTGTACTGTGCACACACCGCTGACTGCCGCCTCTGCTGCCCTCATCGTGCGCACGCGCGTGCCGACTGTGTCCCCGCCTTCGAACCACTCGCCTCCCGCACATTCCGCTGCGCGCAACACGCACACGTATGCGGAATCCACCTGCACCTCCAGACCGCCCAGCGCCCAGCGCCCACGCCTGCAGCTGCTTGTACTGCGCACACACCGCCAACTGCCGCCTCTGCCTCCGAACCGCTGTCGCGCGCGCCGCCTGCTGCCCTCATCGTGCGCACGCGCGTGCCGACTGTGTCCCCGCCTTCGAACCACTCGCCTCCCGCACATTCCGCTGCGCGCAACGCGCACACGTATGCGGAATCCACCTGCACCTCCAGACCGCCCAGCGCCCAGTGCCCACGCCTGCAGCTGCTTGTACTGCGCACACACCGCCAACTGCCGCCTCTGCCTCTGAACCGCTGTCGCGCGCGCCGCCTGCTGCCCTCATCGTGCGCACGCGCGTGCCGACTGTGTCTCTGCCTTCGAACCACTCGCCTCCCGCACATTCCGCTGCGCGCAACACGCACACGTATGCGGAATCCACCTGCACCTCCAGACCGCCCAGCGCCCAGCGCCCACGCCTGCAGCTGCTTGTACTGCGCACACACCGCCAACTGCCGCCTCTGCCTCCGAACCGCTGTCGCGCGCGCCGCCTGCTGCCCTCATCGTGCGCACGCGCGTGCCGACTGTGTCCCCGCCTTCGAACCACTCGCATCCCGCACATTCCGCCGCGCGCAACGTGCACGCGTATGCGGAATCCACCTGCACCTACAGACCGCCCAGCGCTCAGCGCCCACGCCTGCAGCTGCTTGTACTGTGCACACACCGCTGACTGCCGCCTCTGCTGCCCTCATCGTGCGCACGCGCGTGCCGACTGTGTCCCCGCCTTCGAACCACTCGCCTCCCGCACATTCCGCTGCGCGCAACGCGCACATGTATGCGGAATTCACCTGCACCTCCAGACCGCCCAGCGCCCAGCGCCCACGCCTGCAGCTGCTTGTACTGCGCACACACCGCCAACTGCCGCCTCTGCCTCCGAACCGCTGTCGCGCGCGCCGCCTGCTGCCCTCATCGTGCGCACGCGCGTGCCGACTGTGTCCCCGCCTTCGAACCACTCGCCTCCCGCACATTCCGCCGCGCGCAACGTGCACGCGTATGCGGAATCCACCTGCACCTCCAGACCGCCCAGCGCCCAGCTCCCACGCCTGCAGCTGCTTGTACTGCGCACACACCGCCAACTGCCGCCTCTGCCTCCGAACCGCTGTCGCGCGCGCCGCCTGCTGCCCTCATCGTGCGCACGCGCGTGCCGACTGTGTCCCCGCCTTCGAACCACTGGCCTCCCGCACATTCCGCCGCGCGCAACGTGCACGCGTATGCGGAATCCACCTGCACCTCCAGACCGCCCAGCGCTCAGCGCCCACGCCTGCAGCTGCTTGTACTGTGCACACACCGCTGACTGCCGCCTCTGCTGCCCTCATCGTGCGCACACGCGTGCCGACTGTGTCCCCGCCTTCGAACCACTCGCCTCCCGCACATTCCGCTGCGCGCAACACGCACACGTATGCGGAATCCACCTGCACCTCCAGACCGCCCAGCGCCCAGCGCCCACGCCTGCAGCTGCTTGTACTGCGCACACACCGCCAACTGCCGCCTCTGCCTCCGAACCGCTGTCGCGCGCGCCGCCTGCTGCCCTCATCGTGCGCACGCGCGTGCCGACTGTGTCCCCGCCTTCGAACCACTCGCCTCCCGCACATTCCGCTGCGCGCAACGCGCACACGTATGCGGAATCCACCTGCACCTCCAGACCGCCCAGCGCCCAGCTCCCACGCCTGCAGCTGCTTGTACTGCGCACACACCGCTGACTGCTGCCTCTGCCTCCAAACCACTGTCGCGCGCGCCGCCTGCTGCCCTCATCGCGCGCACGCACGTGCCGACTGGGCCCCTGCCTTCAAACCACTCACCTCCTACACACTCTGCTGCACGCACCACGCATGCGCATGTGGCCTCGTGGGATGCATTATTTATGGTGCATGTCCTGTGGCCGTCTGTATGCGTGATCACTGACTGGTGGCTTTCTTTTTCTCGTTCTGTGGTGCTGCGTGGTCGAGGCTTCCTGCCGACATACTTGCTCATGGCGCTGAGCATGTTCTCGTGGGTGCGTCCACCCGCTTATGCACTCTTTGCTTCTCAATGACAGACAATTGATATTTCATGGTGCCCACTGCCTAGCAAGAGCATGGCATGCATATCTTTAACATATGTTAGGTGGTTCTCTGCTGTAAAATGAGACAGGACTGACCACTGGTGTTTCTCTCGGAGACGCAGAAACATATCCCCATCTATAACATCAACTACAAGGAACTCCCTGCTATCTTTCCGATCAAACTCCTCGACAAGTAGTGCACCCCGAATGATTGATCGTACAGATATGAACTCGGAGGATTGTCGAGGTTTTGCACATACTCGGATAAAGCCTAGATCTTTATCCTTCCGTCTTTGTATATGTATGGGTGCATCTAGAGGTTGAATCAATGCAAGAGGATATGGGGTTTTGTTGACAAAGCAGGTGAAGACAAATAGAAGCTGTGCAAAAATATCTCCGCCAACTGTGTCCACAAGAACACAATCCACTCGTTCCTGATGATGAAAATCAGGACTGCAATGGAGGTAATCCATTGTTTCTCTCCAGTCAACTTTAGATTCATATTTAACCTTGAGAAACCGATACTCCTTGATCTGATAGAAAGTAAAATCAGTCATAAGCACTCTATATAATAGAGATAATTAATGGCCTACAAGATTGCTTGAATGAAATTTGATTGGGGTGTTATTCGGGAGATCAATACCACTAGCAAGCAGAAACTGTGACATCCAAGGGCCTAGGCGCTGTGTGAAATTACTGAATGCAACATCATCCTTGTACCTTTCCTCCAAGGAATTAAAAGAACAGGCCTTCTGAACAGCTCCAAGTAAAACATGACCTGCTGATAAAATTGTGGTTCTTGACTGTGGCTTGATATCATCTTCTACATCCCCTTCATCTACATCCGCTGCCTCACCAGACTTGCAATACTCATCAAGCAAATCAATCCGCTGTTGAAGAAAGGACATGACAAGGACATAATGGTCAATTTTCAGAATCTAAACAAGCATAAATGAGAATGTGATATAAAATATTCAAGAAACCAAAAACCTGAGTGGCCACATCCTTTTTGTTGGTTTGAAGGTCATATATATTTTTAAGAGCACCATGAAGCTTCTCATTTGGCTTTGTATTGAAATTGCGTGTAGCACCTTTTGCTCGGATATCTGCAAAAAGATGTTTATGGGAGTGCATCTTGGGGAAGTTCCAATTCTTGCTATCATCAATCAATGCAAGATACTCCTATAATCACTCCAAAATCAGACAAGAAAAAATAACAATAAAATAATGTAAAAACCTTCATAGCTTGCTCAAAAGTAAGTAAGGCCTGCTCGCCTGCTGCAATTGTGTCTTCGGTATGGACATTCAGTGAAGCATACATATCCAAGACTAAAAAGCACCGGATACAACGCAATAAACAATAGCCTGGTTTGTTTGTGCGCATATCACCAATGACATTGTGGGATGCAAATAAAATAATCTAATAAGACAATTTAAGTATAAAAGTAAATACGAGATCAAATAGATTCAAACCTTGGATATATGTTCAAACTTTTTACCATCAGTAAATGAAATCTTGATCACATTCTTGAAATGGGTTAAACCCCTCCATCGAGGTATCATATCACATCTACAGATATTAAGCATTATATTAAAGAAAAAAAGTTGAACATACTGATTATCAACTTGTTTTTCAGCATCTTTTCCCAAAATAGCAAGATGATCCTTAAGCTGTTTCCAAAGATGACCGCCAAACAAACCAAGGTTATAGGCATGAAGACGGTCCCATGAAAGTGCACGGTATACATCTGAATATGCAATAGATGCAAAGGAACTCTAAGAAATAAAGAATTACAATCAGTAATATAATCAAAGATTATGAGATAAAACCCACTTTTACAGGACGGAGACTATAGGACTTAAGAATCACTTCCTTGTCTCTTTGAAGTGGTGTTCGATCAATCTCTTCAAAAATTTTCTGAGTATCATAAGCCGTACGAAGAGGATAATCCTCAGAAAGATCAATTTGATGGTCGGCAGGAACCAAGCAAACTGGACATGGGAACTTTCCCTTGACACCTCGTATCAATGCCATAAAACATCTGGAAAATGTTTGAGCATAATCAAATCACAAAAAAAAAAAAAAACGAACTGTTCCTCATAATCAGCTGATAAAATCAGAATAAAAACGAAAAGCCAGCGTATAATATTATCACCACACTTGAAGTGATAACCTGTCTTCGAGATTTTGATGATCGTCTCCAAAAGCTTGTAAAATGCACTATGCCATACAACATTCTTGAAATTGGCCCATCCTGGTGTAGATGATTCTGCTGGATCTTCCTCAACCTATGCAAATTAATATACATATCAAACCTGCAAATTTAAGCAATCAAACTTACAATTGGAAGCCACCCAACAACACGACCTCCACCCAAGGTACCTTCACCATTCCGAATTCCAACTGGCAAGTTCCCACACCGTGCTATTACTGGATACCCTTTCTGACCACCAAACGAAGACAGCTTGGTTTTATCAGCATAGAGAATCAAGCAAAATGGTTTTGCACCCTCTGGGATTGACGACTTGTTCATCTGTAAAGTTAGACAATATTATTTTAAATTATACAGTTATCTTGCACACCTGGACATTCCAGAAGCTGTCTGCCGTCCAAGGTTCATGATATATGCGCATGAATCTTGTTCCATTGAACTTCGAGATCTTTTCTGCATCCCACACAAAGTGTGGACTCAGAAGTGGGTCTCCTGCAAGATCCAATGCCCATTCCCAGAGCGGTTTCACGTGGACTTCAAAGTCCTGGACCGTGTCTTTAAATGGTACATGAATAGATGTCTTTTCGTGCTATACATGAGGAACAAGAAATGAGTACAGACAAAGAATGTGTTTCCATATACCTACAGGAGTGAGAATCCGAGAGGCTCCTTCCAAAATATCATACATATCTGCATGCGATGACAAAGTGACAGCCTCATCTTCTCGTGCTCTCTTCATCAACAAGATTAGGGCGTTCGTCTCTTCTTTGTTGAGGGCATTCCGCAAAGCAAAATTCGCAACATCGAAGTCCAAACGACTTCGGAATGGGCGCCACGGCTCTTCACTGACAACGACCCGCGCGCGGTCCTTGACTTGATGCCCGTAGTCCTCGAAGTGTGACGTGACCGTCGCTTTGCCACTTCGTGGGTGGAATTCGGTTCGGATGTCATCAAGACGAGGCTCCGAAGGCGCAGAGGTCGATGCAGAGGCAGAGGAAGTTATAGGCACATCGGGGGCAGTGGGAGGTGCAAGATTTGATTGTTGCCGATCAGGCTCATCGATAGGTGTAAGGGATTGATCTATAATTGATGTCAGGAAAGTCCTCATTCACGATGCAACAACGACATACCATTATCACCCGATGAGAGTGCTTGGTCGACGATCGGGCCTGACGCCTCGGCAGCAGGATGTGCTGCAATCGGTAAAACTGGGGAGCCTAAAGCGAAATTAACCGATATTTTCAATTGTAACGAGGCTCTTACATACCTGTTGCTCTATGTTGCTTGGCCTCGAAGGCCCAATCTCTCTCTTGCTCGGCCTTTCGACGAAAGCACGCGCGCTCATGAGTGGCAACACCTCTCAAGTCGAAAGGTTGTCCACACGACTTGCAGTCTCTTGTTCTTGCGGGCATAGACATTGGGGGGATCCTACTATGGTCACAGAGATAGTATACAAGGCGAGGGAGCGATGCTGCGACGAGGGAGGCTACAACACGCAGGAGCGCATTGCATCCGCATTACAATCACAGCAGAATGATCTTATCTTAATCGTGACATCATTCGAATGCATTTTAATCTTACGATAACCTATGACGCGTCATTTTAATGTCATGTTAACTCTATTATCAGCAAAACTTATTACAATGCAGGTAAGTAATTTGCGACATCGAACACGTTTTAGCTGACATCAAGTCTTGTGCTGAAGCACTAGCACTATCGGCCGAACATGATGCCCAGGTATAACTCCTTCATCTCACGCCAGGTTGCTGCCTCAGTTCACGTAGACATCTAGCGAGCGGCGATATACTTAAAGGCAGCGCGTCAGTTGCAGAAAGTGGGAAAGCAAGAGCTCGCGGTCTCTTTCCTGCAGGCTGCGGTCTCGTTGAGCCGCGAGGATGCGAACGTGAGTTGTTGTCGTCTTCGTCATTTGTCTTCGATCGCTGCCCTTACAATCCGCGTTCAGATCCTGAATCAGATCGTTGTCGAGCTCGAGAAGCAGCAGAGGGAAGCCGCCATCATGGTGAGCCCTCGATGGCACCTCATACATAACCTTCCTCTGACAGCTCTGACAGAAACAACTTCGCTCGCCCTTCGCGGACATGCCTACAGACGTCCTAGTATGCATCTGCGAACAAATCGTCCCTGGAAGCCATAGTTTGTTAGCCGCATCCCAAGTATGCCGCTCCTGGCGTCGCTCCATCATGCAATCCCCATTCCTCTGGCGCGACCTCATCATCGCCCCCACCGACCACAATCCGCACCTGAAAGCGCGCGCATTCGTCCAGCGGTCCGCGCCCATAGGCTTGCGCACGCTCGACGTAGATATAAGCGCCGATTGGCCTCATCTGTCCGTCCACCCCAAGCGCACGTCTGCGCGAGACAACGGAAAATCCACCCTCCAGGAAATCCTGCACGCCATCGACGGTGCGACGCCGCGCGGCGTTGTACACAACTTGGACACCTTCCGACAATACTCGACAAGTGCGTGGCACGACTTTGACACGACCTACATCATGCGTTTCCTCTTGCGTCCCTACATTCAACCTCGAGCTGTTCAGATCGAATCCAAGGAATGGATCTCTGACTGGCTCTGGTATGAAGTGGTCCCCCTCCTCCCGGCGTTCAACCCGCGGCTTTCCTCATTCCGCATCGCAGGCCGCTCCATCGTCAACTGGCGCTTCTCCCCGCTTGACTCCCCCTCATCCAGAACTTCGCCCGACACGCCACTCTCCGCCCGCCTGAGGCGCCTCGTCGTCCACGACATCAGGGACGTCGCGCGCTTTGCGCAGGGCCTGCGCTGCACCGCGATCTCCTGCCCTACGTTCGGGAGCCATGGCGAGTCTATACATGCCTATGAGCCAGTCCCGCCCGGCGACGTCTCTCTCGCACGGGCCGGCATCGAGAGGCTTTTGCTAGGGTGGCATACCGTGAGCAGGGACACTGACTTCATGCGCCTCGACGCGCCGCCGCTCGTGCTTCCGAATCTCACCTCTCTGACCATGAGCGGCTTGTTCTGGCCGATACTGCATATATCAGTGATGCCGGCGCTGCAGCGCCTCACTCTCAGTACGCCGAGGAGTCTCTTGAACACGGCGGGCCCCGCTAGATCGACGGAACAGGCGCTTCTCTTGTTTGTTCGTCGCTGCGGGAGGTCCATCAAGGTGCTCGATGTCAGCAAGCTGAACCTCAACGAGTATCAGTTCTTGCAGCATACTCTGCTGCCCAATCTCGAAGAGTGGCACAGTAGAGACAACGAGCACATTACAGCGAGCAAATACATCATTCCGTTCATCAAAGCCAAAGCATACGATGCAACTGCTAGGAAACTGAAAATCCTGGACCTCGGACCACGCGTGCAATTCATGCCCGATGAAATTCAGTGGATGAGGGAGCACGTTGACATTGTGTTGACACACTGAGCGAATGGTACAATGACGGTAGGATGTTCGAGGGCTTTGGAAGACTGAAGTGCTGAAGATTGACGGCAAAGTTGTTTGAGAATCATGGAATGAATGTATCGCATGTTCATATATTGTCGCCTGCGGCCCATCCATTCATCATTGAAAGATGCTTGAAGGACCGACGGGCTGATAAGGAGAATAGCTGTGACTAAATTTTGCGTTTCAGCAGATTGAAGGAATACACAAGCTCCGATACCATAGGCTTCGACGTCGGTCAATTGAGGAGGGAAGGCGTGTAGATGGTCATTATGCTGCATGTGAACGCGAGTAGATATGATAAAGCACAATGGTGTGACGTGTATCGGAAGAGAAAGGGACAGATGCGTGGAGGAAGTCAAAGAGTATACAACATATGCTACATAGACGGACCTGGGCCTGATATCTCGGTGCATCGTTGACCTAGTCGTTTTCGTGAAGCTCGGGGTTCTTCCAGACGTCGTGAGGCGCATTCGACACCCACGCAGAACCTCGCCGTTGTAGTAAGTCGCTAGGCCTAGATCTCGGGCCTTGCGCCGGCACCGGCTTCGCGACCAATTTTTCGATCCTGTTCAGCATCGACCACACCTCACCGCTGCCGAGCTCGCTCTCCTCGACCCACAGGTTACGCTCGCCCACTTCCCGCCTGAGGGCCTCCACCAACGCGCGTGTTTTCGCATCTGGCATGACGCCGTTCACACGCATTTCCTCCAGCGTCTCGCACACGCCCCGCAAGTCGCGGAAACATTGCCATCGGGTGGTGATGAGCTCGTTGTACGCGGGCGTCGTGCACCCGAACACGTATGATGGTATCGACAGATGACGCGCGTGGTCGAACATGGACAGCGCCAGATTGGGGTCCTTGTACTTGTCCCGGAACGTCCGCATGAGCAACGCCAGGACGTGCGGGTAGGATGGTGGCTGGAGCACAGGCAGCAATTTGTCGGCAACACCTGCGTTCGCCTTGGCTGCTGCCTGGGCCGCCTTCCACGCCGCCTCTTCATATCGCTTCGACTCACCAAACACCTCGCGCATCGCCCACTCTAGCAGATCCTGGTCTGATTCACACAGTTCCATCTGCTCCTTCTTTTTGTCGAGCTCCGCGTCTTCGTCGTTCGTCCACCGCACGCGGCTGTGCTTCCGCAGACGAGTGTAGAGATCGCCGACGTCGGAGCCAGGCGCAGTTACGGGGACCGCGCCGATACTGGCGCCTTGGGTAGCTTGGTGTGCTTGGTTCTTACGCTCGCTAGCGGCATTGAAGATCATGTTGAACATATCATCGAAGGCACTGATCTCGCGCGCAGTCATGGTCTGTCGGCGTGGCCGTGGTGAGGAATTGGAGGGTCGCGGTGCACGCATGGGTTTGAGGTCGACTGGTGGTGTGGAAGGAATGTCTTCGAAGATATGATCCCATGCGGAGCCGATGGAGGAGAAGAGGGAGTTAGATCTGTGCTTTTAATGATTCAAGGATGTTCTTCATTGAAAAAGATGATGAGGAAACGCACGGTGAGGACTCTGACTTTGTTTTCAACGGGCCGGTCGAGTACTGCCGTCTCTGGTGTGCTCCATGCAAAGAAAAGAAACGGAGAGAAGTCTGATAGGACATACTCCGACTGTGAGTTCGGCGGTGGATTTGGGTATAAGGGACGCCTTGAGATGAGATCGCACACGTATTTGGGCCTCGAGCAGAAGCCGTGTGGGAAGTAGTAGCTGGGACTGGCGATTGAGAAATGATGGAATTCAAGATGGGGGTCAAAGTACTCACCTGTGATGGAGCGGCCGGCTTGGGTGAGCCGTTTTGTATGCAGCATTGTGGTCTAGAGGATGAGCTGATGCGGGAAGCAAAGCCTGAAAACAGAGCTGCAGCTTTCGACGTCGTCGGTGGTGGCGAAGACGAGAGGTGGGCTGTTATGTAAGCTGTATGTACATCCGACTCCATCATATTGCTTCAAGTCGATTGACCGTGCCATCGAGCTGGCCCACCTTTCTTCAGGGCTCTCGAGCTCAAATGGATATCAAGCCTGCTGGTGGCAGAGTCCTTTCAAATCGAACACGCATGGACCTGATTATTACCGCCTTAACCGCTAACTAGAACTGTCGCGTATTAGGTTGTCGTATCAAAAGCCTCAAGCATATAACCATAATATCCCGGAAGCCGACGTGGATGCTCAGGCTTCCCATCCCCTCTCTTCACCCGTCAACACGGAGAACGGTGCCAATCGCCAGCAACTGACGGTTCGGATCACGACAATCAGCATCTTCGGAGTACATGGTGGAGAGAGCGACATCCTCACCCGGCATGGTGCTCCGCCAACAACGGCAGTGCTTCCCTTCCCTCAGGCGTGGTGGGCGGCCAGTTAGGCGACTTCGACCGATCGTGGTGGGAAAAGAGGAAACTGCGAGTATTATCTCGCCCAAGTGAGTCTCCGTTCGTCATGAATGATCGATTGGAACATACGGAACGAGGAATGTGATATCATTCTGTGATGCAAATCGCTCGACGTTGGCTGCCAATCGATATCAGCCTGTATGCACACTGTGGCAGATCGATAGGTTTCCTTGCCTTGGATCATGCTCGTCAATTCATGTGCAGTCACAGCCTGTTCCAACCTCCTACGCTCAACCTTGGCCACCTGGCATTTTGTTCAATAAACCCCCTTCATTGCTGATCTGCAGTCACCTACCAAATCTCGCATCTCCCTAGCTAGGTCTTCACCGAAGTCAAGAGCTCCCGTCATCGCCGTGGCGTTGTATTCCCGCGGGATCTGCCGCTGCCCGGTCAGCTTGTGACATCTCCCAGATGAAAAGAAGACACACATCTTTCCATCCTCTCACAAGCACCCTCAGTGTCTCAACCCTCCTCACAACGCCAGACGATATACCAGCACAATGAAGGACGTTTCCCAACACGACGCCACCTGGGCTCGGTGTCTTGAAGAACGTCTCATCGTCTGTGCATAGTGCATTCAGCTAAAATTGGAAGAGCAGGATTTACGAAGACACACTGTTCATGTGTACCAACAACACTCCACACACGTTATCGACATAGCTCAAAAAGTCGGATGTCGCAAGATGCGCAGGTGATAGACGCGGCGCCAACTGATGAATATTGTTCAATGCTCGAAGAAGAGTGTTCTGTTTCTTTATATTAACTAGCAGGCCATCAGACTATCTAGGTATGAACTGACCTTCATCAACGACATTGACGATGGAAGTGCTCGATACGGACTGGGATCGACATGAGATAAGCCGTCTTCGACATGAAAGCACGTAATATCTCACTTCATCGAATCGATATCTGCGTTGTTAATAGGAAGCAGGCTGATTGGGTACGCCATTAGTATGATACTGAAGAAATTGAATGTAGTAGTCAAGGAGAAGGAGATGCAGGTAATGCTTTCCTTGCTACTTTTACTTTTATAGGTGCGCGCTTCATTCCTTTGTCCGTTGGCCACAGAGCATCCCCACCCACACACCTCGTATGTTTCCTTTGTGCCACTCTGCCACGCCTAGCCTCCAGTGAAGACTCTCGCATATGACGTCACGCGTTTGTTTTTCTTCTTGCCAGCCTAGAGTTCACTATCTGATTGCATACTGCATTCAGATCGAGAACCACACCATGAGCCCTCCTTTTTTGCCACTCACAGACGCTTTATTACAAACGTTCTAAAGTATCGTGACAGTATAAGGACAACGTGCTTGAGACTTGACCATGGACTGCGTCTTGTGCGAAGATTGTAGATCTGAAACATGGTGGTATTCACGGACTACGCATTCCACCAATTGAAGCTGCAGATAACAGCTTTAACTGAGTATCGCACTCCGCAAACCACAAAGATAATATGTCGTCCATTTGCCACTCGTGCTTCGCACGCGGCCAAGAAGTAACAGAACACAGGGTACAGTTTAACATCACGGACACCAGAATCTAATCCCAGATCGAAAGCGGAAGTCTCAAACCCAAATAAAAATAAAAAGCTGAAGCTGAATCCGGACTCGGAAGACCACGATTTGTCCTCTCATCGACTCTCAGAAGCTGATGAATGTCGTCGGCGTTGCACTTGCGCGACGAACGCTCCTCTCGCTCCCGTCGTCCTCGTCGTAGATTCTTGGTGACCTAGGCACTTGAGGAAGCGGTGCTGCGTGTCGCAGAGGCCCTCCCAAGACATCTACGTCCACAAAGTCCGAAGCGTCAGAAACAGAGCGCACATCGGTATCTGAGTCCGAATCTGCATCAGGACTATAGACACGCTTGAGGATGCCAGCTTCTGTAAGGACGACAGCATCCGAGTCGACATCCAGGCCGCTCCCTGCGCTCAAACGCCAAGCAGGGGTAGACACGCCGGGATCGCGCTTCTCTGTTACCTCTTCGCCAACAATATCTCGTCCAGATACACCCATAGAATTATGGAACTCGAACGGATTCTCTGTGTCTCCTTTCTCCATCTCGAGGCCGAGGTTGCCGGACGCATAGAAGCCGTAGTATGGGTCCGCGTCTGAACTCGTCACAGCTGTGCTTTCGACGAGCTTGGGCTTGGAGATGAGGAATTTGGGAATGATTGAGCGAGGAGGAAGGATGCGGCGTGTGATGCTGAAGAGCACAACATTTGTGGTACCTGCAGGATAATGTGGGTGATCAGACGGGGGCTGAAGACGACAGACACATCCTTGCCCACCAGACAGGAGGTAAATCGTGTCGCTTTCGGAGTGCGCAGTATCATTAGATTCGCGATTCCTGTGCACAGTAGTTCTCTTACCAGAAAATGGTTACACCGAAAGGGACATCGTGCCCGAACCAGCCACTGAAGCGCGCCGCAGCGATAGGCAGGATGATGATGGTGTAGGCGATCTAGGATATGATATCAGCGCACGCGCTAGACTAGGACGGTCAGATCAGAAGTACATACAGGATACCTAAGTAAAAGTCAACAAGGAACTCGAGAGAGTGTGAGAGAGTGCGAAACTACGAACAGTAGCATTTGTCTAGCAACAACCATGATATGTTTGTCTTGAATCCCCTGTTCCGATCCTTGCCAAGACAGAGATGCACGGCGCATGCGAAAGCGGATATGGATACCGTGAACGACGACGTTGCCACGAAGTCTCAGGTACACGAGTGTGTACAGAACGAATGAAATGACCGCGGATATGAACATCTGTGAATAGTTATGTTAGTCTCAGTTTCATGAAGCGTGTGAGATACATACAATCATGTAATCCAGACTGTTTAGGGAACAGGTAAGTACAGCGCTTGCTCGACTTAATGGCAAATGAGCACGCACGTTATATGCTGAACTCCATATTCTGGTGTGATCCAGCACCATTGTCCTGAAATACCGTCTGCATCGCCATCGGTAAGTCCGTAGTCTCAGAAAAATAAACAAATAGATCCAACGCTTACAGAATGGGCCGCGATGCACCGTATCGAGTGTAGCAGGGCCGGTTATGATCAAGGTAGCGATCAGAGACCATGTTCCAATGAGTATGCACCATAAGGCATATCGTTTGAGCGGTAATCGAAAAAAAAGAATACCAAAAACATGGAAGGCTATGACCTTCATAACTGTTAGAAAAGATCATACAATTGTTTGGCGAGCGTACTAGGGACCTAAGTCAATATGTAAGCGATGAACTTCGGCATAGATCAGGCAGGCAACTTACCATAGAGCAATTCCCACGTCGGCAACATGTTTGATTATCCCTGAGGCGCCAGGTGGGTGAGCTTGACTCAATCAAGCACATGAGTCTACATACCTTGAGCGGTGCAAAGCGTGCCAGCATCAACGCTCATACTCTTCGCCCACGCAGTCGTCATTATAGACCCAATCGCTACGAAAAAGTGTGTATCAGCACCGAGCTACACTTGATCAATCAGACATCTGATATATCCATTACGCCATGATGCGCACAAGCCCCACGCATCAATGACTTCCTAAGCTCAGACGTCTTAACTGACTCGCAAAGAACAGAAAGGTCGAGATAGATGTGATTGAAAGAGCCTCACATACCTTGTAAGAGATCGCACATCAGAAGTGAGACAAAGTATGTCACGACATGGCTTCGAACGAATAGGTTTGGGTTATTTGATGAGCGCGTGTTGAGTGCTGATATCTGGAGGGGGCCACGGTCAAAGGAGACACCACAACATCAGGCTTAGAATAATGACAGTCACTCGACGGTGAGAACATACGGAGAGAGCACCAAGTAATCCTACCACTGCAAGAGCGGAGATTGAGGAAAAAACGATCAGTGTCTTTGGAAAACATCCATTAAAGTGATCAGAAGACGTCAGGATGTAATTTGGACGTGCGGTGCTCACGATGACCCCGCGAGACTCTGATACCGTATAGGGTTGCTTTGTGAGTATTGTGTTCCCGTTAGGTGCAATAAAGAACTCGGCCATTGCAGAAGCACAAAGCTGAGAAGAACGTCAAGCGCGTGCTGCGGAGTGCTGGAGCAGAGCATGAATACCTACAGGTTCACGTAGATAAGAGAATCGGCGTGGACAGTGGGGCGTGTCGACGTTGGTCAACTAACAGTCGAGATAGAGCGTAATTAAAAGTCGTACAAAGGGGGGCCTGCCCTGCTACAGCAAAAATATGGAACAGAAGAGAAAAAAGAATGGAGGTGAGTGGTGACGGTTCGGAGCAGGACGCACGAACCCAATCGAGCACGGCGCAGACTGCATTACAGTCTATTTCAGTATCTCTATTCCGACGTCCCCTTGTCGGGAATCAATGCGGTGCTCATATGATGGCGAGGGTGGTCATCCCGTGACAACCTGCTATTCCATCAACATTTTTGATGTATTTGACATCGCAGCGTCTCGAGAAGGAATCCGAGAGAACACATGGGATGCATCCATTCTGGCATGATCATACTAATCAGTTAAACTTGATACTAGTGGATGATGACTGGAAAAACAGAAGGAGCATGCGTAAATTGGATGATGTCCTTGGGAGACAGTGAGAGCAAGGAATGGATGGCCCAGCAGGGACAATCACGGAGTTCAAAAATTGGTACCCAGCATCATTGTCTCCCGATGGCTCTTACGTCTCCAGATCTGTGAGGCAATCGAGACTATGATTTGTGACGACAAAGCAGTACGAATAATTAAGTCGCGGGGAGCTTGACGTGGAGGTGTAGTGTATGAAGTCGCTGTCCAGATAATAAGTACTCCTAGAATCAGTGTCGTATCAATGTTTCAATCCCAGGCCAGGGCAGCAAGGCAGGGCCGGCAGCAATAGCAGTGCATGGCAACCTATCGGGAGAACGCCATCTCATTATCCAACTACCTCCATTCTCCGTGCTCACCCACAATTATCCAGCACTCCTTGTCTTTCGACAACACCGAATGAAAATGGGGACGCGCGACCATTCAATACGAAGGGCATGCCGGACGTAGCAGGTCCAGCCATCACAGGATCTGACATATCAGATTGGGATTTTTCTGCGACCTCGGCCGCGCGAATGTGAAGTAGCAAGCGGTTGAGCGTGAGCGTCACCATCGACCAGACAAAGCTTCAATGATTCTGCGTTAGTCTTGTCGCGATGGGCAAAATACGGTACGTACAAGACAGCGAACATAGTCGTTCCAGGATTGGCAGTCGCCGCAAAAACAATGTTCAGGATTCGGAGGACAGTCAAGGCCTACAAACTCTTGCTCAGTTCCTCAGTTAGCAGTAGAGAGAGAAAACGCACTAGAAAGAAAAGAGCACCATCACGATGTAGAATTTCAGTGAGTTGAACGTCAGCAGGACGTGGTCGTGAAAAAGCGTTGTAGGTGGTGAGAATGAGCACAACGACCTCGAAAGCCATCTAGGATGCCAGACTTTAAAGGGATGTAAAAGCAGAATCTAGTGAACAACACACAGGAGAGGCCCAAACAGCGATCAAAACTGGACTCGTGCTTGTCGTTACGCACATCTTAGCTGTAGGTAGCCATTTGATTCCAGCTGCTTAGACTGTGTGAGATGTGCTTGTTCTATAAGGTGATAAGATAGAACATACGTGCAAGGGCTGTGATCACGACAACCATCGTCGAGAACGTGGCAATGAAGCTGGCAATAAAGCTCCCGATGAGGAATCGCAGGATGGTCTGTCATTGGAAATTCAAGCACAAGTCAAGGGTATATGAATGGAAGCCATACTCGATCCTTTTCACAGAGCAGTGCCACGCGAAATAGCATGAGGATGTTCCCCATTCCGATCGAATAAATAGAAAGAATTGATACTGCAGATAATATGCCCTGACAACTTCAAGAAAGGCATCGTTATTACAACGATTAAATGGTTCTCGAGAGAGAAAAAGAATTACGCCTGGACTGGAGATTCAGCACTTCGGATCGCAAGAAAACCAGGTCTACTTACGATGTCGGAGTACGCGACAAATCCACATATTTCTATTGATCGACAAATGTCAGTAGCCTATCTCATATAGCCAAAGAGTATGCATACCATCCGCAACGATGAGCAAACATATGGCAACCAGGTATCTGTTTGCGAGGAACGCGTACTTCGCAAATGAGCGTGGGGCGATCCAAATGAGTAGTACCTCATCAGGTAGTGTAAGACAATGGTCATATACGAGAAGAGACACCCCAATCACTATCATTCATAAGAAACAGTCAGAATAGAGTGGATCATGGTGACAGCTCAGGGCACGCACGCGTGAAGTATCGGCTGGCATTGGCATCATGTACAGCTTCTTGAAATTTCCCCACATTGGACAACTCTGAAGACATGAATAGATATGAATGTCAATACTCTGCAAGGTCGTAAATGAGATTCGTTAGCGGAGTGTGGAGAGTGTAGTGAAAACGTGAGAAAAGCAGAAGGGAGAGAAAAAAGAATGGCTCTCTGCGGCAAAGAGGAAGGAGAAAGCAGAGTAGCCTTACGGATCAACCGAGTGAATACTGGCTGAATGGATGCCGGTCTTATAGGCTTGGAGGGGATTCTCATGTATGCAGTTGTCATATTGAATCCACATCAATACTTAGCTGTCTCAATGTTAAGCGCTAAGTGCTTGATGAGGCTTGATGCCGCGAAATGCAGTGTGCTCTGATTGGTGGACAGTAGGTTGATATTTGTTTCCATCACTACACGCTGCGCGGATCGACCTGAATTCAAAGAGTGTTTTGAACCTGACGCAAGTATATTGGGTGCCTCGGATGTTGTCAGCGAGGTACCACGCCTCCTCGCGTCTCGAAGACAAGATGAGGTTTCACTAGTCTCGCTACGTATGTATGTTATGCCATGAAGGTCATACTATAAAATTGAGCACCTTACAGTCAAGTGATGTGATTTCATAGACTGTAGCAGCAGGATATATCTGTGTGAGAGAAAGCATTAGCTTCATGTTGGATGACGAAGAGAAACCAATAAACAAGTGTTACCTCAACAAATAATGTACAGTCCGTGGTATCAAATAACCAAACTTGTTAGCAACGTGCTGAGTTTTTCTGTGAGATTCCTGGCAAGGGCGGAGTCCACCACGCCAACCTGCCAGCTCGCAGAAATGCACATATCCCCGCCCTTGACACTACTGACGTTAAATGTGATGGGCGCCCCGACGACGTTGGCACTTTGCGAAAACAAGATGCGTTGGACTGTCCAGTCCGAAACGGAATGATCCTTCTCCGTCTGATCAAACTGCACGACCCCTACATTCGATACTTCAAAAGAAGCGCCGCGCTTCTTTCCAACCTGATCCATCACAAACTGACGCACGGTACTCGCATACCGCAGCAATCCTGTGTCCTGATCACGATCCCCTGCTGCTATTTTCGCATCCAAAGCGAGTTTGATGCGCCGTGCTGCGTCCCAGAGGCCAATGGTACCGGAAGTGTTCATTTCTGTGCGGCTGAAATGATGTGTCGCAGAAGCATAGAAGACGCCCATGTCCTTGGAACCAAGGATGGGAATGAAGCGTCTCAAGCTGAAAGCGCAACAGCAGGCCAGCTGGTCGGCAGTCCCGTCCACTGGAAGTATGTCGAACAAGGCTTTGGCTATGATCGCCTCCAACAGAGCCGTCCAAGACGTCTGATTTTCTTTACACAAGGTAGTGACTGAGGATACAGATGACGACGGAAGGACGAAATGTGTAGTTTCGGCGATGAGCGGATTGGTTGGTGTGATGACGGGCCCAGTCCAAAGCGAGGAGCTCGAAGGTGGAAACCACGAGTGGTACAAAACTTTGCCAAGTGTGAACCAGGAGATTGGCATTGATAAAAGGGAATGAAGTGGGGGGAGTAGACGTAGCGGCGGAACATCCACGATCGGATCGACGTTGTCCTCATCATTCGACGAGTTAAGAGCTGAAAATAGACTGCGATGGAATATGACCGCACTACCACCATCTGCCAGGGCATGATGAATGAACAGTGAGATATCGACGCCATGTTTATCTGATGCAGAGTGATGCTCGGAAGGCACACAAACCACGATACGCCACAAGGGAAGACGGCCTAAGTCCTTGAATGGTATCGAGTGATTCGTGGATATAATTTTATCGAGTTCACGATCTCTATCGGCTCCTTCCGGAGTCGGTACAAATGATACAACCTCACGCAAATCGATTCGTCGCAAGCGAACGAGGTGTGGGGTAAGCGTTGATTCGTTGACAATGGAAGATCCGAGTGGAGCGTGCCGGCTAATCACAGTCTTGAGAGCGGAATAGATAGTATCAGGCTTTAACTGAGAAGAAGTTGGGGGGTGATAGCGGCCAGTCATGCCTACAGAGCAATAGAAGCCAAGATCGTGGCGAACGGTCGACCATTGCTCGAGTAAGCCTTTGATCCATGGATATTTGGGTGCGGATGTGAGGAAATGAGGTCCAACATCATGCTAGCACGTACCAACAGGGCGAAGATATTCATCGATATTATCTGTACTCGGTTTCGCTTCCATGCGTTCAAGGTTAAAAGATCCACCCTTCGACATAAAATCAGGTCGGGAAACCAAGTCCCGGTGCACTGTATGATAAGAATGAGACGAACAATGAGTTAAGGATACCGTGAAAATCTGGTTCCGGCTTAGAACTGGGTTACAAGTACTCAGTCGTGTGGGTGGTGCACCGGGCTCGAGCGACTAACACATACCACTATCAAGCTTTTCGCAGCGTCAAACAAGATAAGAGCGGAATTTAGTCCCCTGAAGTGCTTTACCGGAAATGATCTTCGAGGACGTGGCGGAGACTGCGCATCACATGATAGTGTTATTTAGTCATGTGATGGCCTCGCGTCACGTCCCCCTCGCGCCAGTATTGGATCGGGACGGCATTTACAGTATCAGGACGCTGTGTTACATTTCATCACATTAAACTGTGAGATTACGAAATTTCAGGTTCTTTTTTTTATACAAAAAACAAGGTTCTCTAAAATCTATCACCCTTATTCGCTCCTCATCTAACGGTTGCCAATGACCAAGTAAACCTGATTGACAGCACTCGTCGATCCTTGCCCACGCTTTGATTCCTGAGACACGGTAGCGGTCAGACAAGCTGTGACGCGGAGGAGATGAAAGAATACTGACCCTTCTTTCGTGCCTCCGTTCTCTACGATCTTCTTTACGCTCTCGGTGTTCTTTTCTTCGGTCTCTGCGCGCTTGGCGTCGCCTCTCCTTCCTGTCACTCCTCATCCCTATATCTGATAATCCTCTCCTGATACGCTCTCCATCCGAGCTAGAGCGAGAAGATGAAGATGATGAAGACGAAGAGCGGCTCCTGCTTTTCCCATCCCTCTGATTCCCCGCTTCGATCCACACTCGCAATCTCCTCGGCGCAAAGAATGCCTGGTCCCAGACCTCCACGAGGCCATTGACATCGTCGACTTTCTTCTTACTCATCTTGTTCTCGATTCCACTCGTCACGAACAGCCCAGGAAGGAATCCTATCCCGAACACCATAGGCAAGACGTTTGCTTTGATCTTATCGCCGAGAACGAGCTGTCCCATGAGGTGACAGTCCTCAAGGAGGCGTGAAAAGTCCTCTGGGAGGACGTCGTGAGCAAAAAGGAGCTCAGGAACGGGAAAAATGGGTGCAAATCCAGATGAGATATCTGTTCTGGTTTGGGACGGAATGTAAATGGGAGACGGAAGGAGCGGATAAGGGCAGTTGGGATTCGGGGCGCGAGCGAAGCTTTGGGGAGGCGGTGTGAAAGGGTCGCGCTTAGGAGGAGCCTTGCCATTGTAGGTAAATCCTGGAGGGGTCCCTTGACGGATCCCCAAGGGACCCGTTATTGCATGAGAGTATTGGGATGAAGAAGCGGCTGAGGGAAGGGGATAACGGTATGTGTTCGTAGCATTTGATGAGCTGTTCTGCTGAGGGTAGTATTGAGCAGACTGCGCGGTATATGGTGAGATATGGGCATGATCGTCCTGATAATATGAGTCGGCCAGTCCTCTGGAACCTGATGCGACAGTGGATGGTGTATGAAGAAAACGATAGCCTTGTTCTTCAGAAGGAGGATGAGCGTAGGGTTGTTGGGTATGCTCAGCGATAAATCTGTGTTGCTCGGAGTACGGAGGAGGGGCTGAATCAGACTCGCCAGACTTGAAATCACGGTTATAGTATTCAGTGAGCTTGTCAGACATCGAAGTAGTAAGGCAGGAGGGCCAAGGTCAAATCTGAGAACGTCGGTGAGTGTTGATAGCTTTCGAGTAGTACTCGTGAGTTATATAGCTTTTGAAAGGCTGCGTTTGAGATGGACAGCATTTAGTAGGCCGATATGTACAGCGCTGTACAGACCGTGCACTCAGTGGAGCCCATTGCTTGTGCACTTAGCACAGCCGCGCGCGCGACATACGACACTGGGGGCGGTACAGGCTGGCACGGGGGACTCACAGAAGGCAATCACGTCGGGTAGCTCTTAGACGCCGGTGGCTTAGTAAGCAAATCCAGCCTATCGCAGTCCACGACTAGTAATCCAGTCGGAGGATATTGTCAGATTCTATAAATCAACAGCGTAGACAAAGGCGAACTCTATCGTGCATAGATATAGTTATACCGTCAAAGCCTTGTGGTCTCCTGTATTGTACTAAGGTGAACATCACCACAGCTCTGGCACAGCAATGCATACATGCTATAAAGTCCCCAGCTGGCTCGCCACTACTCATAAATCCTCTGTGTTCAGGATTGGTTTCTTCTTTCCTCCACCTTTTTGTAACCCGTACACCCTTATCGCCATCTCGATTTCAGAATGCAGCTGTGACTCTCCAGAAACCTCATTGAGAAAATCCTTCACCTGTGTTGCTTTGTTCAGAAGCAGAGTTGTATCTGATGAGTTATGAATGTGAGAGGTAGGATGCAGCTCCTTCATCATCGCTGTTGCACTTTTGATGATACCGCTGCGTTGGAGCAATTAATGAAGATCAGTCACATAAAAGGGACTTAGAACGAACTTCATTTTTGTCTGCTGTTGGTTCATGTCGTCCATCGCGTCCAAGGTATGTCCCTCGGCGCGCCTCTTCTTGATATCGTTCTTGATGTCCTTTGCCTTCTCGAGAGTGCGCTCGATGCAGTGCATCAGATATGGCAAACCATCAAGATACATATGACGAAGCGCCTTTGATACCCATTCAACGGTCCGTTCATGGACTAGGCACTCCTTGAGCAGCCGTGCTCGCAAAGCATCCCCGGGCTTCTTGAGCGATATTTGAGGACGGCGAAGAGTGCGCCGGAATGCCCGCTGGATAACACGCGCAGCCCTGTCCTCTTTCTCCGACACGTATGTTGGCGGAAACTCGACCGGAGCAGCTTCGTTTGTATATTCGTTACCAGCGAGACTATCCACCTGTTCCGTGAGGGCCTCTTCACTAATCGCCGATCTTGTTTCTTCAGCATCACCCACGCCAGCACCTGGCTTGGCAAGTTCGGTCCCCTCATCTGTCCTTGGAGCCTTTCTGGGTTCAACGCGCAGAAAACGGGCCTCTGCAAGAGATGGAAGTCTATGAGAGATATGTTCATCCAATAAGCGCGGGATGTCTTCGATCCTGTGGAAGATGACTCGTCGCACTCCTGCAATATTGGCTTGATCTCGATTGTCCCAGCACAATTGAACCATTTCGTCCATACTCGAATCCTTGGCTGATGCTTTGACCACTTTTGCAAGGCCATCCCAATCGCGAGCTTGCATATATCTAGAGGATATTGTCAACTAGGGAGTATAGATACAGAGACCGACAAGACGAACGCTGAGGCGAGACGACTCGGGATGAAGGGAGTAGCCGGTCCGTTATCAACGTCTAAGTCGGTCCATAGCGAACTGACTACGTCGTATATTCCATTTCGAAGGAATGTATCGTCGATATTGAATCCGACTGTCATCTGGCGTCATGATCCATGGATGATAATCGAGAATACCATTTACTCACGAAGACATATAGCCCTGCACCTGCGATGAATGGATGTTTTCAACGAATTATCTCGAATCAAGAAAGCGGCTCGACCCACATCCGAGCGATGCAACTGCTCTTTGTCGCCCATAGTGGGATGTTTTCGGGACAAATGACGTGTTCTGCAACATATTTAACCGTCAGGTTTCAGACGTATCGATCAAACCAGCCGAACGTACGAGAAGATGAATCGGCATCGCATACGTCCTCCAACAGCTGCCTCAAGAGTGAGAGGATTAATTTGTAGCCACTGCTTGTTTTGTCTTTGCACTTGATGAACGGTTGCCAGAGCTCCGCGAGCCAAGAGCGAGGAAGCATGACATCATGCAAGCCATCGTGTGATTTGAAATTTTCGACAAGAATGAATAATCCGCAAATGCGATCTACCAAACCGCACAAGACGCCAGCGTGAATAGAGATAGACTTATTGACAAGGTATCTGCAATGTTAATATGAGGAATCTGGAATTCATGGAGTCTATCAGTAAATTGTAACTCACTTCAGAAAAGACACCCCGCGCATCAAATCTGTATCCGGCCTCGCTGGACTACCTGTAAGGAAAGCGATAACGCTATGGAGTACGTAGACTGGTTCGGAATAAAGGCCGCCACCAGTAAGGAGCCGCTGATGGCGTTCCTTTGGTGACACTACGCTGGGTATGCGCTGGAGATAGTGCGTGGTGGCCTGATAATTTATTGCCAAGCCAAGCGTCGTTGCTTTCAGGAGATGTTCGAGAAATGATGTCTCTGTATCAGTCGCATCAAGTGCAAATAAGGTGTCTAGTATCCACCCCTTGAGAATCTGGATCGCTGTAGGGGCCTCCGGTATCAGATCCATGCGAAGCGCAGATAGTGAGCCGTGCAGGTATATCAACGGACTGAAGACATCTTCCAATTTATCCAGCCAGAAGCTAGCAAGACGGTAAGCTATGGATAGAATATTCACGAGTACTGGGCACATACATTCTGAGAGGCGTCCGTTCATTCATCGTATCAGCGGACGGTGTCGTTTGCAGAATGTGAAGGATGATGATCTGCAGAAGGTAACACCTTGCTCTTGAGTGGTACCATGTCTCATTAGGATGGTGGACAAGGCCGCAATATAATTGATGACACGCTCCCGCGAGACTGACTCTGGGGCAAGGGTCAAACAGTCTGATTTTAAGGCGACAGATGACGTTCTCATCGAGTATTCTTGTTCGGAGACGTCGAGTCAGGTGTCGATGGAGGGTTTGGGTGAAATAATGATTGGAAATTCGTATAGTGCGTTTATTCGCTGTGGTACTTCGCGTTCCCTGCTGAGGAAAGCACTTGTGCAAGAAAGTTCCAGGCCGAATCCGAACTTGAGCTTCGCCAGCTAGTTCAAATGAAAACAACTTTTGCCACGCGTTGTGCGTCCAGGGCTCAGAAAATTTGATGACCTCTTGCATGACCCGTGCGTAGGCATGGAACACAAGAAGAAAATCGATGGTCTGGGCTTGTGTGTCGATCTCTAATTTTAACAAATCATGAAACAGGGCGTCCAAACAGAGAAGTGACAGAGCTTTGTTCGTATTTGATGAGCAAAGTATTCGTCCCAACTTTGTCAAACATTCTATGTCTGATGTGAATATAGCCTTGAAAACTGTGAACTACATAGAGCGATGAAATTAAGCACATGCGTCACTGTATGGCAATCGAGCTCTCGCACCTCTTGATCAGCGTCTATGCTGAACGCCTCAGTGTCAGTCTTGGCCAAGACTTCGAAGAAATACTGAACATCGTCCAATTGCGTTGTAGCCAAGTCCTCTCTCTGTACCGCGAATGACAAAATGATCCAGAGAGCATCGAGAGTCCAGGCGACAACAGTGGTTTGCCGATCGGGATCCTTGCGAAGGATATTGATCGCACGCTTTCTATCACCTTCTTGGAGATGCAATCTCGCAGCTTTTTCGTACTCTCCCTTGTCTTCGAGGAACTGAGAGTAGATTATAGTGAAGTCGTGGTCAATTAAGTACTGTTCGAATTCTTCCTCGGTGGTGAATAGCCTTTTGGCTTGCCTTCAAGTGAGTGGTCAGCATAAGGACATGAACGAGTGATGAAGAACCTACTCGACTTTCTGCTTACTCAAAAACTCGAAGCGTGCAGTCTCCTTTACGTGATCTGCTACTTCAACATCGACCAGATTATTGTGGCGCAGGATGACCTCGACTGCAGATTCTAATAATCTTGCATCACGGTAGTTGACGACTGCTTTGGTAAACATGAATGCCAGGACATAGGCTTCAGCAGCTTGCCGGTATATCTTTATGCCTTCATAACACTCTGCTGCACGACGGTAGAATATCTTTTGCTGTGAGCTCGTGGGGGCCAAGTCTGCTGCGCATTGAGTGAATGCTTTGGCGGCATCGACAAATGCTGTCGTTGCCTTGTCAGATTTTCTGGCTGCCATATAACACTCTCCCGTTTTGTAGAGGAGGGCTCCTCGGTCCTCGTCTCCGCTGGCTTGAGCCGCGCACGCACTAAAGGCGTCAGCAGCTCCTTCAAAGGCACGGAAACGCGAACCTCCGTCTTCGAGACATCGTTGAGCTATGCCTTGCAGTACGTGCGCAGAAGCGACGGCGGCTTCACGAGGCAAATGGGCACGCCGAAAGGCACTGACTGCTTGGCCATACTGGTGACGATTGTAGTATTCCCAGGCGCGATTTACCCAATCGTCCGGCTTTGATGCAACAGCTAAGTTTGATATGCCTTCATGCGTTGAACGCACTTCGATCAGCTGCTTCTCTGTCCAGTATGCCTTTCAATGGCAATAGCACTGCATTAAAATTTCCTGAAGATACAGTGAACGATGCTGACCTTCATATGCTCGCATTTGTCAGATTGATCAAAAAACCACACGTTCCTGCGAGCTCGTGTTACTGCGACGTAAAGAAACTTCAGCTAGTGGATTCGTCAATGAGCGGGCTTGACTCAGCAGTAAAAAGATATGTGATACTGACATCAGCACAGATCTCAGCATTCTTTTCTCCAAAGTCAGATCGGTGTGCTCGAGTATTGTCGGTATCGGATGCCATGTTCTTGAAAACATGCCATTTTCTCTCGTCGATCTCTGAATCTTCGAAGAAGTTATAGAGCAACACCTACGTTCACGGCGCACGCTCAGATTCATCACTCGTCAAGAAGGGTGTTTACGCACGTCATCATATTCGAGACCTTTACTCTCAAAGAGAGTTCTGTAACCGGGCCGAATTTAGATATGAAGCTTGTTCAAACACTGGAGAGCAACAACCAGGAAGTTGAGATCCTCACAATACCGATCCGATATCTCCAATTTTTTCCATCAGCTTATCTTTTGCTGCATCATTTCTAACCAGAATACCTGGTAACAAAAAACATTCAGCGTCAGTTATAGATATGATCATATACACGTACACTGGTTCGCCCCAAGCTCGATGGCTACGTTCTCTGTTCCAGAGAAAAATTTGCTGTAGTCTATTTCATCCTTGCCAACGAAAAAGACTGGTCGAACCCCATCGATCATACCTTTCTCCTCCGCTAAGACGTCGATTGAATCAGGCCAGAATCTAGAGATTAGTTCAACGACTGAATGAGCGCATCTGACTATGCCTCCGTGCGACCTGTAATTTATGGTAAGCTGAAAAGACTCTGGTTCTTTGTACATGAACCATCGACGGCCATCTTCGTCCAGCTGTCTCTGTACAGTAGCAGGTGTTAATCAAGGTGAACATATGAGGTGTACAAGCACTAGATACCCACCTCCACCTGATACACGAAAGCCTTTAAGTCATTAAAGCGAAATGCGCTACCGAAAGAAATGGTTTGAGCGGTATCTCCTGCCCAGAAAAGACCGTTGGGATTTTGGCAAATCGACCTCAAAACTAGGATGAATGCCAGAAGTTTCAGATGCAAAAGGACACTGAGCGTGCAAAACCTCCTACAGGCAGCTTCTATCAGAAGAAGATCTTGGACCTCATCTACATAGCTTTCAAATGGTAAACAGGTGAATTGTCAACTCCGGAGAATAATGAATTAATGAACTCACAGAAAGTCTACCTTATCTCCGGAAAGCTTCTTTAAATGCATTGCATCTAACGCTGCATGTGTTCTGAGATATCGTCAATACGCTGTTGTGCCCGAAACAAAGATGTTGACTTGCCGATCTGCTGGGTCTTCGTCACCATGACGGCGCTTACGCTCTGTGTATAATTTGAACAGCGTATAGAGGTCGGAGCGTTTTGTTGCAAACGTTGGCTGCATTCTCGTACTGTAGTTCTGATACGTCTGGCGATCGAGGACTCGGTCGGGTGTCCTGAGTGTCTCTTGTGAACCTTTGATGAACCCTGACCCACATTCATCAACTTCGACTTCGGCGTAAACATGATAGTAAGATTATTACCCATGAACTCCCCGTAGACCAAGGAAGGAGCTTGGGACTTCTATTAGTCAACGGTGCTTGAGAGAACGGGTGGATCGCGACGAACCAAGGCCCTTGGTGATTGACGTAGGAAAGTGTGGCCAATATTCCTGCTTGAATACCTCAAACGAAACCAAGCGGCTCGTGTGGCGGTGCTTCTGCAGAGCTCGAGAGGGATGAGCTGGGTCCACTCCATCCGCTACGTCAGCTGCGGCCAACGCACGAAACTAAAGATCATTAACTAGCAGGAAGTGGAAACATAGCCGTTGTAACTCACTGCATCAATGGTGATGAATAGTGGGAAATGATGATCTTGAAGTTCGCTGAATTTCGAAGGTAAGTCTTCGCGAACGCAGTCATCATCTGTGATGTGAGTCAGTCTTTCAGGAGCGGGTCCTCGCCATTGTTCTACCATCTGGACGATGTGGGGTGGCACATGATTTCCTCGAGCCAACACCCTCATGAACTTCATTGCATATTCTTCGACTTTTTCAGCTAAAACCCGAGATTTGGTCACGAAGACTTGCCGAGGCCGGGGCCCCATGCAACCATTCTCCACCCAGGCCCTCTCTATGCCAAGCATCTTGAAAAGAATGGTCGTTGTTTTCCTGCAAGGACGTCTATCAGACTTGGAAGTACATCAACACATATTTCCGCACCCAGTTCCACTTCGACCTAGGACGTAGCAGGAATGGGGATGTTCGATGACAAGTTGTTCTTGAGGGCTGGCAATACCGCGATCAGGCAAAGTTTGGCCACGAAGGCGAGCGGAAGATTGCTCACGAAACACGGAAAAAATGAGCAACATCTTCATCTGCCATGATACCTATCTGCGAATTAGAGGGGTTTAAACAATCTCAGTTTTGATCAATCGCCTACAGTCCAACACGCTCTGTCATGGGGAATTAGAGTGAATGTTGTATATTTGGTCAAACAGTTCGTACCTGCGATAAGACCACATATTTTTCCAACCTGCAGCATAGCAAAGTGATTCAGAGACAGTCGATGTGATTGAGATATACCACAACTCACGCGAGGAGGGAATGGAGCTTTTCAGACAATATGAGCATTTAGGAGCTGAACAGAATGTCAAGGCATACCTCAGTCAAGTCGCCTTCTGAGAGGTCAGATGGCTTGTATTTGATGACGCTGGACTCGTTGATATGTAGCCTAAACAGGAAAAAGAGGAGATTGGCATTTCGATATTTTTTTATTTTTTTACCAAAGTGAAGCATCACGAAAAAAGGTAGGTGTAGAATAAGATGAGGCCATACAAATTGCTTTGCTCGAGGTGCTGATTGCGAGCCCGCTCCCAGCTGAACCGGTTCCAGAGATCCTGCTTGATCTCCGCATGTTTATAGATGCCTTGAATAGTCAGGACTGTGAACTTCGTGGTTAGCTCGGGCACAATATCTTGCATTTAAAGCGAAATACCACGACGGGTCCCCTATGATTGAAGGGCGGTGAATGTGAGGAGAATACCTTGTGACGAGCTGGTCATTTACCTTCAGGCCGAATTCTTGTATTGTATCTTCAACATACTAAGGAAAGGCGTGATGGAAGTGTTGGCAAGATGGTGTAACCGCCTTACCAATATTCTGGCATCCCCGGGAAGCCTGGCTTTGAAGACTGGGACGCCCATCCCTGGTAAAGTTAGTCTCTTATTATTAGAGTTCGTAAAGCGGCCATGAGAGAGATCTCTACACATCGAACAGACGCTTGAATGAGATGCAAGATGTTTACTTCACTGAATGTACTTACTTGAGCTTGTTCAAGACAATCTCATACGAACGAGCATCGTCTCTTTTCCTCTTGCGTAGATCGGCCTGTCCTCGGTCCGACAGATAAATCCTGAGATCCCCGAAACCTTCAGCACTCTCAAAGTACAACCATGCTCTCAGCGGCTGTGAAGGAAAACTTGTCGATGAAGATGCCCTTGTCGTCGGCGCCAGATCAATGATGCGATTGGAATAGGGTAAAGGTGTTATGGTGGGTGGCCTGGTTGTCGACGCAACTGAAAGGTTCAAATAATTCTTCTTCGCAATCGGGAGGAGCGATGGTAGCCGATAGATCCCCATAAAGCTCTGTCAAAAGTCAATCATCACGTTCGCAACTTAGATCTTGAAAGTACCTTGAGAATGTTTTTTTGCTTTCGGAGAATCTCCTCTCCCAATGCTCGAACGGCTTCCATCGTCGTCGGGACCTTGATATCCATACGAACGAAAGGCTTCGCATCGATGACGAGTTTCGCTTCATCCGTTTGACCAGGGTTGCTTCGCGTACGCCTCTTCGTCGGGCTAAAATTCTTTCCAGAGCCCGACCCTTGTACAGTCTCCCAGAGAGCATTTAGAACGGGGGTCCCAAGAAGGGTATCACGAAGGCATGCTTCAAGTCCTCCCGATACATCGGCAGGTGCGTCAAGTTGGAGCGAAGACAGAGACTGAAAGAGATAGGTTATCCATCGTGATGTCAGTAGCAATGGCGAGTATCGGTCAACGGTCGAAGGAAACTGATCCAATATCAGCTTTGAGACCATTTTGAAGGAATCGTCGTCAATCGCTGCATTGTTCGGCGTAGATAAAGATATGCTCAACACAAGAGAAGGCGTGAAGACCTACCTGCAAGTATGACAGGAATCATGTTCTCTTCCGCTACCGCACGCTCTAAGATCAACGACCCCTGCCCTTCACCGAGCTTACACTCCAAATCTGTGATTGCAATGGAAAGTTCTTCATCGCCCTGTATGATATCATGGTTGAATAACATGGGGAATAGTTCAGTGTTTTTGTGCATGGTGAGCAAGATATCCTCTCGTATGAAGTCTTCGTTGGAGGATGTGTGCTCTGATGTGAATCGAAGCAAACTGCGGAGAAGAAACGAGGCGGCAATTTTGACCTCGAGGAGGACTTAAATAGTACACCTTCTTGAGCACATGTACAGGCCGCAAGCGCCTTTCCTGATGCGTTATGATATGTATGATAGACGTCACACTTCTCTGAACAAAGCGCGCGTTATCTAGTAACATGGAATATGATTCATGAGTTTTGTTGCTCAAACGACCTCAAACGCGTACCGTTCGGTCCCATGCTTTCCGGTTCAAGTCGAACACTCAGATACTTTCCCTTTCCTTCTCCAATATTTCTATCGCATCTTTCACGAACTTCTCGAGGACCCTTTGGTCATCCCCGTCCCCACCCACCGAATCTCTGACGCGCCTGTATACGTTCGACATGCCCTTGTGCACATCCTGTAACGGTTCTCCTACAAACTCGGAGATCTCCTCCATCTCGCTGATCCACCGATAAGCTTTAGGGAGCATGTCGGGAATGGAGCGCGTCGCGCGCTGAAGCAGCGCAGGCTGGGAAGCATGAAGCTCCCGGAGGAGAGCAGTGGTGGTGGCAGGAGATGCCGCATTGGCGGCTGGGCGACTACGTGAGCGTACAGTACTGGAAGAAAAGAAGGTGAGCGAGACGAACAAAGGATCATCGTGGTGAACAGTCCCGTCAAGCCCTTCGTGATACCCTTCAGCGAAGTTCAGTGCCAAATAGACATTGATGGATTGAACCGCGTACAGCGTACGACATCTTCAGCGCGCTCGCGTCTCCAGCGCCAGCGCCATCGCCCTTCAGCACTGCCAATTTCATCCCATAGGTCCGCAACTCTTCTAGGGCTCCAAGCGCAAAGAGATCGTGCTGATCAGCAGACGCATAAAACGTCGGGAAGTAGCCCTCTCGCGGCGGACCTCCAATGATACCCGCATCTACAAACCCAACACCAGTTTGCTTGAACAGGGTGGCAATGCCCTTGACTGTCTGTGGATTGACAGCATTGCAGTCGACGTACACCGGCGTCGCAACTCCTGCATTCGCTGATGCCCTGCAGGCTTCGAGGTAGCGTTCTGCGAGAGACTGCGCGTCGCTCGGCGGTATGATACTGAGCATGCACGATGCACGGCGAGGGATATCAGTGAACGGGACGTCAATCATGCCAGCCTCGAGTGCACGACGACGTGTCGCATCAGAGCGGCCGTCGAGGTTGGTGAGAACAGTACAGCCTGCTGCAGTGAGACGTGCCGCGACGGCGCTTCCCATTGCACCTGCGGCAACGATGGCGATGGTGTGGGACATCTGAGAACGTGTTGTTGGTGGTAAAAGAACAAGCCGGACTATCGCGGTTTCCCATCGTTTTTGGAAGTAGCCGATCAGTAGTTGTCATGTGTGCGAATATGGTGACAACAGGCTATCTAAATTCAGATCGCTGTGAAGAAATCAGCCAACCTAGAGTCCATTTGTAAAATGTTGGGCGCACAATACATTACTGTGTGTTTTTTAACACGGCCTCTGCATCCTTTACGAATTTCTCCAAAACTTGCCTCGCATTTCCGTCCTCATTGACAGATTTCTCAACGGTTTCAAAAACGCTCGCCAAACCTCGATGGACATCGCCCATAGGTCCACTGACAAAAGTCGAAATTTCGCGCATCTCATCCACCCAACGATAAGCTTTGGGAAACATGTCTGGGATTGTCTGCGTCGACCGCTGCAGAAGCGAGGGTTGAGAGATAGCTAGCTCGTTCAAGAGCGCCGTCGTGGTTGCAGAAGACGATGCATTTGAGGCTAGGAGAAAGTTAAGTTCATCAGCCTGCGACAGAAATAGATCAAAATATCTGTACCCAAGACCATAGTAGTGAAGAGACCTGTTATCCCTTTCAAGATGCCCTATCAGCGAGGCGATGAGGGCGTGATGAACACCGAACAGATGTAAGGCGCACTCCATAGGACATTTTGAGTGCACTTGCATCCCCTACGCCGGCCCCATCTCCCGTCAAGGTCGCCAACTTCAAGCCATACTGGCCGAGGTTCTCCAATTCCCTCAGGGCAGACACATCCGGTTTGTTGGCAGCGAAGTAAAAGGTAGGAGAGGAATTATGACAGGGTGGAAAGCCAATTATGCATCCATCCACAAAACGAATGTCCGAACCATTGAATTCCCTTGCACAGTGGTTGGACCGACAGCATTGCAATCGACAAAGACCGGCTGCGGAACCTTGGTTGCGTGTGTACACATTGCGCTGCGCGACTCAAGGTAACGCGTCGCAAGGTCTCCGGCCTCTGCTGGTGGAACAATACTGAGAATACAAGACGCGCGAAGGGCGATGTCAGACCAAGGCACGTCGACCATACCCGCGTCGCGCGCTCGGCGACGCGTAGTCTCGGATCGACCATCGAGGTTGGTGAGTACAGTGACGCCGCTTGTGGCGAGGATTTTGGAAATGGGACTGCCCATAGTGCCAGCTGCGATGATGGCGATCGTGGGCGGAGCCATTGAAGACGGCGAAGAGGATGAGGACGTTGGAGATAAAGGACTTGGGGGAGCGGAGGGCCGCGAGCGGCTTTCCGGACCGACAGTCCGGAATTCTTCCAGATTCTACAGCTACGCATCGTTCAAGTCGTCGCATCCAACAGTCCAGATGCTAGCCAGAAATTCTCTCCGGCGTATCTTCCTCCCGCATCCTCGCCACAGACAGTTCGGAAGCTCGTCGCGCTGGATATCTGGTGCGCATACTTTTCGCAGCGCATTCAAACAATGACTTACGGGACGGCCTCCCAGACAGCATTCCATCGGCTGACCCCCCACTTGCGTTCACGTTCGACATCGTAAGAAAGACTCGCCTCACACAACTCCACCAGTTTTCATACCCTCTCAGGATGGCGTTCTCCTGCGTGGAGCGACTGTGCTGCCAGCTGCGCGACGCGCACTGGCCATGCTTGAGGGGAAGAATCCTTTCGCGATGTCTGTACCTCTCTCTACTCTCTATGACACCTTCTAGTACTGAAAATTGTCCCAAGGAAGATACCATACATTCTGGTGTGTTATTGATACATCTATAAAACATGACGGTGGGCGCAATGAACTCACGGCCTGCCCAGTTGACGAATGGCGGTGGGATGCTTGAAGAAGATCGTTGCAAAAGCCTCACGTCGAAACTGGGCATTGAAGTGAGTATTCATTTCACTACATCCCAATGTCTTTCCAATACGACCTAGCCGAAGTAGATTAGTCCGTCACAGTTTCTCCAGGCGCACACCATCCTCAAATCCCGAGCTCAAACGTCTGTAGATGAATCTGTTCTAGTGCTTGGCGGAAATGGAAATACGGTCAGAAATGTGGCAGAGAGGTGAGTTGTTTTGGGTCTACATCTGTTGAGCGAGCGTTAAGTTGCGCACCAAGCTATGGCTACAAGCACGTTTATACCACTCTTGATGTGAAAGCCTGGAACCCCCAGTATGTTCCGCGATATGTTTATGACTGCACCTGAATGCTCATGTGAGTTTCGAGCATCTGGCCATTTCACGACCTTACGCCCGAGGAACTTGCGTCTACCAAGGTAACGTCTCATGAACACGGCTGCTGACCGCGTGCCTTACCCTTGATCCCCAGGCCATCGACTTTTCCAAGACCCCCATCACCTCTATCCTCGTATTCCACGATCCACGCAACTGGGCCCTTGATGTACAGATTGCAACCGACGTGATTCTTTCTGGTGGGCTCATCGGGGCGCCCTACGTCCTCCCGCACAAGCGCCCCACATCACACAAGCCTGTCGAGCTCGTTTTCTGCAACCCTGATCTTCAGTGGCGTGCCGAGTTCGAACGGCCGCGGCTCGGGCAGGGCGCGTTCCGGGTCGCGTTCCAGGCTGTGTATAAGGTTCTTTTTGGTTGACTACATCTGGCGGAAGCATTCTGCAGGGCTGATCAAGGTTTTCAGGAACTTGCTGGATCGGAGTATCCATACATACAGTACGGTAAACCAACAGAAGCAACGTATATGTTCGCCGAGACTGTGATGCGCGATAGGCTGGCTGAATTGTCAGGACGAAGGATACAACACATGCCCAATATGTGAGGCTCAGGTGTTATTCTTCTAAGTTTCTCGCAGTTGCTGAAATCGGTTGTTCTTGATCATAGGTATATGATTGGAGGTGAGGCGTGAACACTGCATAATGAGCGATTTCACTGACTCTTCATCTTTTCTCAGACAATCCCGAATCAGGTGGGTATTCTTATTCCTGTCATCTTTCTCCAAACGCTCAGCGCCAACAATGCATCCCAGACATTGCAGGTGCCAACGCAGCAGGCTGGTCTTCTGTCTTGGTGCGCACGGGCGTCTATGATGCTCTACATGGGCCTCCGACACATGCCCCTACGCATATCGCTGACGACGTCGAGGGTGCCGTGAAATGGGCGCTCGAACGAGAGGTAGCTAAAGCGACAAGACACTAAGCTATACAAAGAGATTTTGCTGTTGCTTGTATCGTAGCCCAAGCGCAGTGTTTCAAGTTCGTGCACCGACAAGTGTCAGTGATTATACACATACTTCGAATATTCGTTCTTATTTTCTTGCAAATGAATGCTCGCGATATATCTTTTCCTCGTCCCGTCCTAGCTCCAGCAAAACTTGTTCATGATTTCTCTACCAGCAAGACAACTGATAATTTCTACACGTTTCTTACGTATTTGTCTGTAATTGAAAGTCAAATCACTTACTCATGGTCACGTGGTCTGTATCCTGCGTTGTCGTCGTTGACAGCTGCGAGCTGGACGTAGATTAGTCTCTGTAATGCTCGGCCGCGATGCTTCCTGCACCCATTTCCTTTCCGAAACGTGATTCCTCAGTGAGGCCCCGTCGGCGCACCTTAGACACCCTCCGTCGACCGTCGCGTCTCACCAACCTTGGTGTCTTGCTTTTAGTATCTGTCGCTACGCTCTCTGTACTCCTCAACCTCAAACACTACCTCGTTTCGTCCTATTCTAAAATCGATTATGCCATTCCAAATAGCCTGGTATCAACGATCGTTCGCAATACAGGAAACCTGACCCATCTCATCGTGGTGCCCGGCCATGGGATATGGACAGGAGCCCATACACGAGAGCTTACGGATGAAAGTGCCTGGATTCTTGCTCCATATCAGCGAGGGAAAGGCCGGCCTGCTGCTCTCCTAGAGCATATCTCTAAAGGGTAGGTCGACCTACTTGTTCTGACATCTGTGTTTTGACCGTCTGGCAGTGCAGAACTCGCATATGAGGACGAAAGCTCGTTGCTCATATTTAGCGGGTATGTGGCATACGTCGTCTGACATGTATGATGTCTGATTATACAGGTACAGAGGTCAGACATCCACCCTTAGTACCACGACTGAAGCCGAGTCGTATCATCGCCTTGCGATTGTCTCATCAGCCCTCCCTCCCCCTTCCTCATTTCACCGCGTCACTACCGAACCATTTGCGCTGGATTCGTACCAGAACCTTCTGTTTTCCATTGCGCGCTTTCGCGAATATACCGGCGCCTACCCACGCAAAATTACGATTGTGGGATATGAGTTTAAACGGAAGCGATTTGAGCATCTGCATCGCGCAGCACTGCGGTGGTCACCAGCTGTGCTGAAATACGTTGGAATCTCACTCGGAGGCTCTTCAGAGGAACGGGAGGCCAATAATGGAGAGGTACGCCGTTGACAATGTCCTCTGAGTTGGTCTCGTTGACGAATGAACGCCATGACCTCACGACCACCCCTTCTCTACCCTCTATTGTTAGCTTAAGAACTCGTTCCTTCCTTACTCTTCGGATCTGTACGGATGCCATCCCCCCCTTTCAAGCAAACGCGCATCGCGTAACCCACACGCTCGTATTCATGCATATCATGTATCTGCGCCAGAGTTGCGGGATCTTTTTGAATGGTGCCCTGCGCCCCAGACGAATGTATTTGAAGGGGCGCTCCCATGGGATGGTATGTACTAATTAAACATTGCCAACTTTGACATTCGCCTTTGAGATACATGGGTCATGTCAATAGCCTAGAATCTCGTGAGCTCTCAAGTTAGGTTCCATTTCCCGCTCTGTTCCGTGAGTTCCTTGACTGCGTTTCATCGCCCTCGGAGATACATGCTGCGGGTCTCCGTCCGTGGTCGGGTTGGCGCTGATCTTATTTTTGCTCTTCCGGCATCGTCGACCACTCCTGTTCAGTATCTCCGCGTAGCTGAAAATGATCATGCTCCTCAAACAAGAGACGACTGTTGCTCAAACTCGTCTTTCGATCTCCACAACGTGTTTGATACTCTCGCTAATCATCAGAGCCTTCTCGAATGCTGGTATCTATTTCCCACCAATGCCCGATGCCAATCAGTCATACAACATATCTTCTTTGACATTGCTGCGCATGTTTCCTCCTACAACATCATGTCGCGGCGTGTGACACACAGAGGCGCACACTCCTGTGATATACAACACCAATGGACGCATACCTCATTTTCCCAGATAAAACCTCTCCCGTCAGAACGGCAAGCATTCCCCCTGTCCAAAACAACATGCTCCAGACCTCGGTAAAACCTCACTTCCTGATCAGCGGATGAAGTGACGCCGCGTGAGAGATACAACTTGTTCAATTCTGGCCAGATATGTCTAAGGGACATTGGGTGGCTCGTAGACGGTGAGGCGTGGCATAGAAGCGATGTTTTTTCAATGTAACCTTACTTGCAATGGGCCCCTCGTTGCTAGTTCTAGGCATGGTCGACTGTTCAACGCAGATAAGTGCGGCTGATTCGATGATCCACGAATAACACCGTAAAGAACGAATAGAACTGTTTTGGAGCATCCAAATCACAAAGACATGAGAGAGTGGCTGTTTCACTTGGTTGCTTCGGCGTTCCTCAAAGATAAACGTACCCTCAAATTTGAACGTGTGGGCCGCGGGTTTCGGGGCTTCACTCTTCCAATTTTGGGCTATCATGACAACTATATGATTGTACCGTAAAGCTCTAGAGAATGCATTCGCTTGGACAGTAAACGCTCCCATAGATAGGACAAATAATTGTTTGCCGAGCGTCTTGATCTGACGCAGGTCTTGCTAGATCTCCTTGACGGCGAAAGTTTGTATTCTTTGCCTCAAGTGCCATTCGTGCGCGAGGGATAAGATTTATGACACGCAGTTACCCTTGTGAGCTCAGCTAGTTCGAGCATCAATCTGCATCAATCCGTCGAAATATCGAAAAATACTGCGCCCAAGCATCAAGTGTCAGAGAAATTCATGTAGGAACGGAGGCTGTCAGTGCATCAGAACGAAGAGAAGGGTTTGATTCCTATCGACAAGCCTTCGTAGTTCATAGTGGAGAGGACGACTTCCTACAGTAGGAATTGAGTAAATTGAACAATGAAGGACCGAACTGACTGAGTGACGGTGCTTAGTACGCGACGGGTGCCTGTAGAAAACAGAACCGAAAGGCGAGAATTCTGTTTCAGAAATAAATCACGAAAATGAATCATAAAATTTCTATGTTCCCTGAAAATTTGTCTCATCTTCTCAGGTTGAATGGGGCCTCGGCTCGAGCTGTTAAGTTAGGTCTTGACTCGTTGCACAAAGTCAACGCATGATACTACTTTGCCTATGAGACTGACATTTCTCAAGCTCTTGGGTTTGTGGTCAGATATGATACGGACAGCAGCAAATTCTGGCACGAAGCCAGTCATCCTGCAGGTCAAATGCAGCGGATGCTAGAAGCAAATGCCCTAGTCTCGACCATGGGCATGAGAGGCAGGCCGAAACAGTAACCGCAGAGCTCCAAATCCGGCGGTTTCTGCCGGCTTAAGCTCTCTCAAGCTGTCTTCTCAGCGAGCGTTGAGTTACACTTGAGTTACTCGGTGTTCCCTCACAATATACAGTACATCGAAGCGTAAAATTCATCGGCCCACTCCACTCAATTATTTTATTAGTATACAGCATATGTGTTGCCTTCCGAACGGCACAAATGCTGTGTTCATTTCCAATTACATGGGCATCGTGCACAGAATCCTAGGACAGGTTTCAACGACTGCGGCTCGAGCTGACAGTTCATAACTTTCATGGCCTGCTTCTGAGGTCCGTCTTGATCTACTTTCCTTCCATCTATCGTACCCTCGCTGGACTACTGGGTGAAGGTCTTTTGCGATGCCTTTCGACAAAACGACCTTTGACATCTGGAGAAAGCGTACACCACGCTCTTCCCACGACCGACTATCAATCGAGTCAAAGCGCGACACATTATGGTGATAAGAAGGATCCAGGGATTTTCGGGATCATACGTGGCCTTCTCACTCCATGACAAGGTTCGACCGGTCTTTTTGGCACTCCCATCCTCTCGATCATCTCTGCTTTATACCAGCGGAAATTCGTCAGATATCGAAGTCCTTCCACCGTCAAGTCATCACACGATCACATCTCAGCGCTTTCCAAAATCTTCAGAATCAGAAAACGAAAGCGCTTCATGGTATAACTTGGTTGGGTTCAGTGATCCCGCCCGCCTTCGGCGTCACGATATTCCCTTTAGTTGCTATTACTCTGAATATAATACATGCCGTCATTACGACAACAGTCTCATTCACGATGTCAATACGAGTCAACCCTCTTATTTTCAACCGACATCCTATAGACTTTCTGCCTTTGATCCAGATCCTGGCCTCACAGCTCTTCTGTGAGCATTGATCGAAGCTATTTTGACGATAAAAATCACTCCTATATCCATGGGGTGCAGTTGCTCGCGTCGAATCGCCATGCTCAGTCATCGGTGACTGTCGGCAATGCGCGCCAATCCCTGAGCCGCTGACCACGAATACGGAGCGGGAATCGTCCGCCTGATCAGCCAACCTTCTAGGCTGATCAGTATTGTAATTTCTGTAGAGACACAGGTCTTGGAAGAGGTTGGATGCCACTTGCGAGATCAATGAGCTCTGAGAACTCATTCGGCGACCACTTAACTTTCGAGAGCTGCGGTAGCTTTCTACCCATTCTTAAGAAGACCTCTGCTACAATTGTCTGACCTGTTACGCAAATCCGAATACGCACCTCGGCCTGCGATTGCGTAGTACAGTATGATTTCGCGAGTCATGTCGAAAATCCATGTGGATCACGCCATAGACGAAGTAGATACGGCGGGCCTAGGTGCCGGATTGACCTTGGGGCATTGATGAAGACCTGCATTCCCTGCATTTCATGTGTAACACGAATAAGACATACCAGACATTGACCAGTGCTGCAGGAATGTGTAAGTCGTGATCGAGAGCGCCAAATTTCTGACTGGGGAAAGAGTCAAGGAACTCGCAAGAAGGCCAGGGTCGAAGTTGCATGATGAGATCTGACATTCGACTTCTATCACGATTATCCCCGTGGAGAGATGGAAGGGTTGCACAAGTCGAACAACTTCGAGCCCTCATGCGAAATGCTTTTACGAAGTCCAGGATCCCGTTATGCGGAACCGCGTACAGGGGCCAGCATCTGGATATAGGTGTACGAGTTTGGAAACATGCTGAATCTGGAGGGAAATGAATCGAGGTCCGATTAGTGCTCGATTAGTACAACGCTCTTGATGACCATGAGCTAACAGCTCTTAATTTACTTGTATCTACGCACGATAGTCTGAGACCGGTTTGTCTGCGCTTGAGCGATCGTAGAAGACCGTGATAGCAGGCGTCCTACAATGGAGGAAATTCCACTCCTGAGATATATGTCGTAATGGTCCAACCACTATGTTAGATTCAACGAATCCATGTGGTGTAGACAGATCAACGTGATCGCGCACCGGCGGTCAGAGCGTAGAAGTCGGAGAGAGGCATCCCCGTGTGCGAAACCCCGTGGTCAAGACGGTTTCTTCCGTTGAGAACCGCCCGTGCGCCTGACTCAGGCCGAAGGCCTGCGCTCGGGTAACACAAAGACGGGCTAAGACGGGTCAACAGATATCCCGTACTGACCTTTGGCCAAATGTGGCTGACCACCACAAAAGCCGAAAGCTGTTATCGCCGTCTTGGACTCACGAGAGGTGAAACATAGGATCCACACGTCGTTATTGGAGATGCCCAAAGCAGAACAAGGAACATGCCAACGGTACGTCACACACTACAGGGTTACAGCGCAAGGTTATGTAGTTCGGGAGGCATCAATGATCTCTGATCGAGCAAGGCTGAACCGCTTACATATGTTCTAGACGGAGAGTCGACGGAAGGCCGTTCTTGTCATTACGACGACATCCAGACGGAGGTTTCACTTGAGCGAGATCCGAGACTTTCAGGATGAGCCGCCACAACTCTTCAGACCATTTATGGATAATCTCACGAGACCACATTAATCCCGTCAAGAGACATACAGATATGCAATGACATATATGTCGACATCATACGGTCGGCGACCAAGATCTTGAATTTCCGGAGGTGCATGAGCCAAAGTGTGTACGCACGAGCATCTGCTGACTTACTGAATATCACCTAATCATCATCCATAGACTGGCCCTTTGCTCTCCGCGTATCTATCCTCTGCTTCATGGTCGTCCGTGCATGATCACAAGCAGCGTCTAACTGCCCTCCCTTACTAAGTGCTAACAGAAGTGCATGAATGAGTCCGACATGGTTATGGCGTCGCAGACTGTTCTCAAACTGATCAGGCAGAAATGAATTGTTGTCAATTGACCAACACTATCGCAACAGTAGATTAGAGGGGTGACTTACTGCCCATCTTTCCCGCTTCGCTTTCTCGTTAGATATTTGTTGAGAGAGCTCGAGCACGGCAAGGTCATTGCCTGATGATTGAACCTGGACTAGTTGAGCTTCAAGAGCTGGTAGAGTATCGGTGTGAAGCGCCAAAAGACTGAATTCAAGCTTATTCGCGAGAAAAGACACTTAATTGACGAACATGCGAGGCTAAAGAATTGACTGACCGCTCCGGCTGGATAAGTCGAAATACGTGTTTCGATGACCTCCCTGCCATAATCAAGCTTTTAGTGACAGGATAATCAATATAATCGATGGCTGAAAAGGCCACCTAGCCCGTTTGACCCATCCTTCGCCGTGCTCTTCATAGGCACCATGCCGTATGGGCGATCTCTTGAGCCCGTCAAGCTCATATACCGAACCCATGAATGGAATATAAACAACGAAGTGGTACGCATCTTCCGTTGTCTTCGGTAGATTCAGGCCATCGAGAGATATTGAGGAATGAGGGCTTAGTGCGTTATGTGCCTCGCGAAGCCAGTCTGCGCTAGTAACAACCATGCCGCGTGTTTGCGGGTCCATCCCGACGGTGAAGTTGATAAGATCGGAGAGCTGCGATCCTGAGGTCAAAGAAGGGATGTTCCCAAGCGCGTTAAGGACAGCGAGGGTTGCACAGGCATTGTTGACCACTTGATGGGCGAAAAATCCGGGAAATTCGTCGTCGTACTGGCCACCAGTACTGGCTGGTTCCCCAGCGCCCGGAAGCCACTTAAAAAGAAATATGAGGGCTTGGATTGGTCTCAGAGGAGCGAGCGAGACGGCGTCGAGAGAATACAGGTCATCGAAGAGGAGGGGAACACCGAGAGATTTCAGCAGCTCGCTGGAATCATGAGTGAACGGGCAATCTTTGTGCTCATCAAAGGATGTACGCACGTGAAAACTCCAGGATCAGACTCGGTCAGTTGCCAGCCGCTAGAATCATCTTCGCTAGACATCGTTGGTTGGTTCGTGAAGGAAGAGAAATTTCAGCGGCAATTTGAAAGCGAACGCGACGCGTCGCCTCGCACGTGGCCTCTGACCTACGCGCCTGATTTCTGGGTGTCTGGATTTCTGTACCTTGACTGCTCAGTCCTGCAAGTCGTTTATCTATGAGCCAATCTCCTGCTTACACACAGGACGCAAGATCTTCTAATCGAGCTCGCTTCGAGCTTGAGCTGGAGTTCGTGCAAGCCCTCGCTAATCCTTTCTACCTTCACTCGTTGTCTCAGCAAGGCATCCTCAACCAACCCGCCTTCGTCAATTACTTAGAATACCTCCAGTACTGGAAAGCAAAGGACTACGCACGTTTCATTCTGTCACTCGGATTTTCCCTTGTCTACTAGTCCTTGAATATTGACCTACCACCCTCCAGATATCCACACGCTCTGCATCATCTAGAACTCCTACAGCATGCTCAATTTAGAGCAGAGATCGGGAAGGACGAATGGAGGGAATATTTGAACCAGAAACAATTCGACCATTGGAGAACATGGTATGAGAGGGGTTCGTCAAAACAACATGCTAATTAATGGACGGCCTCGCAGGCGAGAAGCTAAACACCTGAACCCGTCGAGTGTCCTCACAACAGAACTGGGTCTCACTGTGCAAATCCCGCAAGACGAGAAACAACTAGGTCAATCCTGATCCTACATATGCATCATCACATGATGAGTAGTGAGTACTCTTTGCCCGAACCCTGCATCGTTCCGTCTGAACGCCTCATTTATTGCGAAGTATTTTCAATCTTCTGCGACTGCCTTTCGCTTCCGTTGTCTGCTTGTGCTGTCTCGATGGACCGGAACATTCCCGAGGTTACGATTGCTGCTCGAATACACGCATGCAACGCCCAAGTGGCTGAGAATCTGAGATGACTTATGACAGGCCATCGGCTTCAATGTATACTTATATAGCCCTTCTATCCCGTTGTGCAAAGATATCAAAAGTCGTTCCTGGACAAGTCTGATCCGTCCAAACCATTTCCGAGTTGTCTCTGGCAAAGTCAGTGTTGCACTTCGCGTGCCGAACAAGCCGAAGACTTGAGAGGAGAAAGATATTCCCACGATTGCTACACTCGACTTCATGTCCGGTCTTCATGATGAGAACGGTGGGCCTCCTGAATACCCTCCCGACTACACTCTAGACGACCTCAACGGACCTCAGTCAACTCTCAACACAGATATACACTTCGCTGATTCACTAGAAAAGAAACGTCTCTGGTGGAGGAATGCCGTCATCAATGCTGCTTTCATAGCATCATGGTACGTCGCCCTTGAACGAGGTCCCGGCGGAAGACTAATAGACTGCATTGTATTTGATCTGGTTGGATGGAATCAGGTTTACATTTGCGATTGTCATATCCTTGTATAACAAATGGATGTTCTCTGCGGACCACTTTGCCTTTCCATATCCCCTTTTCGCCACGACAGTTCAGATGTTCTTTCAGTTCTGTTTCGCTGCGATCATGCGATACGGTTGGCCTCGAAAATTTCGCCCAAAACACGTTCCATCTCGTGCTGACTATGGGTGAGTCACTGAATCTATCTATATTTTGTCTGTGCACTTTCATGGCATGAAATCCGGAGTGTTCGCTGTCGGCATAGTGAGGTTCTACATCAAACCGAATCCATTGGTTCAGACACGCACTTTCACTAGTTCTCACTAGTCAAGGATCTGAGCGATCACATTTATTCGGTTTGATGCTAGTATCGCGCCATGCGAGGGGTCAAACTCCGCGGAGTTTTTGAATGCCAGTGCCATGCTGAATGCTCTTGGTCCAGCTGAACACAACCGTTCACCGAACTCGTAACGACGACTTAAGCGGAGGATGACGCTTTCGGTTTCAATACTGCCTCGCAGGCCCAGCTTGAACTCCCGATGTTGTTGTTGTCTATACTTGGCGATCTTCTCGTTTGTGCTCGAGGAGGGATATTGAGACAATAGCTGCCAGCATGGGCTTGCACTGCCCTTGTCATCTGCAGTCGCGTTGCGGACCCGATATTTGTGATCGCTTGGATGTGGTTGGGTTCGATGTTATCAATCCCTTTCTAGTTCTCTGGAAGTGGTTCGAATGTGTACTGACGTATGGTTCTCCTTCAGACGCAAAGCCGTCCCAACAGGCATCCTGACCGGTCTGGATATTGGTCTTTCGAATTTGTCCCTCAAAACGATCACCCTTTCGTTCTATAGTAAGTGCCCAAGAAGCTTCACGCACCGGACTTTTCAGAAGTCGTCATCAGTTAACATGTATGGTCATTTTCATCACAGCCATGTGCAAATCCTCTTCCCTTATCTTCGTTCTTCTCTTCGCCTTCCTTTTCCGCCTCGAAAAGTTCTCATACCGTCTAGTCGGCGTCATCTTCCTCATCTTTATCGGTGTTCTCCTGATGGTTGCGACTGAGACCCACTTCGTTCTCTCCGGCCTCATCCTAGTTCTCTCAGCTAGCGCATCTGGTGGCTTGCGCTGGAGTCTCACGCAAGTTCTTCTCAAAAATAAAAAGATGGGGCTGGATAACCCTGCCGCTACTATCTTTTGGCTGTCTCCTGTAATGGGTGTGTCACTAGCAATTGTCAGTGTCGCTGTGGAGAGCTGGACGACACTGTTTCGAAGCCGCTTTTTGAGCGGTTTGACAGAGACGCTCACAACAACCGTCTCCCTTTTCGTACCTGGTGTCTTGGCTTTTAGTATGGTCTTGAGTGAGTATTAGTGCGTGTGCAGTATTTTTTTTTCACCTTGATATCTGTCGTTCATATTCGCCGATGTGTTGTCCAATAGCATCATACAACGAATTGGAGTTGTTCCCATGTCGATCGCTGGGATAGCAAAAGAAGTTACTACTATCACCATCTCGGCTTGGGTTTTCGGTGACGAGCTCACACCTCTCAACATTACTGGCGTCGCAATTACGATATGTGGTGCGTTTTCCTCTTTCCAGCGTGCGCCAAAGCGCAGCGAGGCTTGGCGCCCTGCCGCAACTCACCCTTTCTGGTCTTCGTTTAGGTATCGGCTTGTTTACGTACCACAAGTACCGAAAGTCCATGGATTCCTCAGTACCTCTGGATGTCCATGGAAATCCAGTTACAGACGAGGATGGTGACATGGAAGACGGATCTCTTCTTGGTTCCAGTCACGAGACCACTCCCCTCGTTTTATCGAGTACGGAGCAATTCGACAGGGTGAGTTTGTTGATCATTTTCCACACGGGAGTTGCTATATGCACGAATGGGTCTAACAACCCTCGAACGTTTGACTTAGGATGATCGACAAGGCACAGAGAGTCGCGGCGTTCCTGTTTTGTTCTCAGCTGATGGTCAAGAGGATGAGGAGCATCTCTATTCTTCTGAAGATGGTCATCGTCGTCGAGGATGATCCCTCCTCCCACACAGCCATTTTGATGATGAACCTTCGCAAGCAGGGATGAGGATAGGTGCGATATTACCTCACCGTGATCTGTAACATGCCCATTGCTTATCAACGGTTGGTGAGGTTCTCGACGGTGTTTACGGAGACTCGGTCTGATGATATATGTTTGGCCCATATTGCTAAGTGTACTCAACTTTCTTTATAATGAATTGCATGTAGACGAAGGCCATGAAATCTATCCCGACTCACCCTCCATGATCAGTTCAATTCCGAATCGGTGGCCCAAGCGCGTGCATGCTCCCCGCGGCCAACAGGCGTTAAATTGATCGATTTTGGCGCTGACGCCATCTCAATTTGCACAAGGGTCATTTTATTGAACATCCCGGTTTGCCCTTTACACCGTGATTCGAAGTAGGTTATTTCGAGCGTCGCCTCGATCGATCGTAGCGCGCATTGTTTACGGCGTATAGTGACGAATAATCAACTCCGAGGTCCGCCGGAGTTAAAAGCAATGTTGCAGTCCTTGTAGGTGTTCGCGGGTTGCACGGAGAAACTCAAGCCGACATGAGGGTCAAGAAAGCCAGAAAATGGAAAGGTACGGAGAATGTTGGCGTTATTTTCCATTTGCGCGAGCCCTTTCTCCGTCGGCGTCATCCCATGTAATTCTACCCTCACCTCGCCAAAAGTCGTCAGGCCTACGTCGGGTGTAGTGATCTCAAGCCAGACCTCCGCGGCTGCTCTTTTTAATTTTGTCGCTTCCGCGACGATGTTAATTTTAATCGGAAGGCAATCTGCGCTCGATTCAGAGCTTGTCCCGCAATTCTCAAGGCCGGCTTTGAAATTTTGCATTGAATGACTGAGCTCTCGAACCCATGGTAGGCACGTGGATATAATACGTCAGTGTTGGGGGGCTCTTCGTTGCTCCATCGGGACATGTAGGAATACGAGATGCACAGAAGCGAAAGAACGGAAGCAAATACGTTGCCGCACAATGCCGTCCGATGCCGCAGATCATTGCCTGTAGCGAACTTTCAGATTTGACGGCTGTGTTGTGCGATATCGAGATCACGGACTAGGCCCGCCGAGCAAGGGTTTGTGGGGGCCTGACTTGCCTGGTGACACAATCTCTCAAGCGTCTGGGTCAGATGTGCGTGCCGCGTCGCCCGTGCGTGGATGGTCAGAGGTGGTGGTCAGAGGTGCACCGCGGTATCGGGATTGGATGGGTAAGCATGTACAGCCCGCACTGGTGAGTCACGGTCTTGAGCGAGTATGGTGCCAGACTCGCTAAAGCCTCCAGGCCGATGCCCTTGTTGAAAGCGCCGGACAGGCGCTCGTGAGGCGACTCAGAGTGGCTGGCTGAGGCGACGCCAGGTGTCTTGTAGACCCATTGTAATTATTCGATGAAGCAAGGGCACCCGTGTAGGTCGGATCTGGTCGCAAGGTACGGCTGATCCTGAGGAGAAGCACCAATTAGACATCCCTGGGGGCTTGCTGCGCCGGGCTCACTGGGAAAGAAAGTCCAACTCCGCCAACCCTAGACTTGCCGCGCATGGATCAAGATCTCTAAGCCTTTTGTGATGCGCTTTAAAATGCTTCCTCGTCATCATCTTCCTTTGGACTTACTTCCGGGCATCCCACCCTACGTTCTATTTCGCTCCCTACGATATGGATAATCTACGATTCGTTTTGGAGTCGCCCCACCTCGCGCAGACACAGAAGAAACGGCCAAGGCTGGTCACTTCCTGCGATAACTGGTGTGTCCCATCTCTTGCTCGCCATCCCTGAAAGCTTTCTGAGCCGCTCCATCGCCAGTCGGTTGAAGAAGATCAAATGTGTTCAGCTCAAACTCCCCGATGGCAAGTGCGAGGCTTGCGAGACGGCCAGCGTGGACTGTCAGTTTCGCGATAGAGAGCGCTACTTCGCCGAGCGCAGTCGTATCGTTACCGGATCGACCGGCGGCTCGTCTTCAAGTCACGCTCGGCGGTCTTCGACGCCCAGTGTGGGATCAGGAGAAGAATCAGTCGTGTCATCATCTCACCGCGCCTATGAAAATTCTCCTACTGACGGCCACAGCTGGTACCCTGGTAGTGCACACTCTGCCCGGTTGGATTCTGTTCACCAATTGCGCTATCCCTCTCCCACTCCAGCGCCCCGTAGCGCCTCTGCGCAATCAGCATCGAGTCTATGGCTCTCGCCTGAGCCACCTGAAGTCTCAAAGTCTGTATACGACAGGTATCGTAACCATCGTCCTGTCCCAGTTCTTGGTGCATCTGAAATTTTTGTTTAGACCGCATTATGCGTCGTCCCCACTTTCACATTCTGGCAGCAACCCCAGTGATTATGCATCATATGCATCGTCAACAGGCCTTCCTCAAGACCTATCCACCACATACTCCGGCCGTTCCTCTACGTCGTCGGCGGGTCTGTTCGACCCTCGGCAGCCTAATCTCCCTAATCCTAATCTCATGGCTCACCTGCTGGGCGTCTTCTGCAATAACTTCGAGCGCAATTTTCCATTCCTTCAATACGACGATCTTTCGAGGCGCCTATACAACAATTCTCTATCCCCAATACTTGCCAATAGCATCGCTGCTATCAGTTCCCGGTACGCTCCCATCTTGACCTTTGTATAATGTCTGCTTATAACCTGGTACAAGTCATTCGACAAACCCTGAAATTTTGACAAGAGGAGTATCGCAAGTCTCAGATGCTTATTGTAACGTCGCAAAGGTGTGTTATCAATCACCGTCAACCCTTGGAGTTCAGAGCGCATAAATCATATTCTTCTAGCGTCTCCTCGCAGCCACTTCGGTAACCCCATACACTGAGGTTTTACATGCTGTAGTCATCCTCTTCTGGACCGAGTATAAAGCCGGTCGGACGTCCAGTGAGCTTTTTGTGAATTTTAAGTCGCTATTCCGCTCATCTCTCTCAGGTTGCGTTGAGTATAGCCAGGTGAGAAATTCACTCAGCTCTTCCCTATGTAAAAGCTGCCTAACCTAGTCATCACCAGATGGCGACAAAGATGGCCTTCAACCTCGGGTTGGGTAGCGAGAGTACCATGTCTGCGTCCAGCGAGCGCGAGCGCAGCATGCTTCGAGCAACTTGGACTTCGGTCGCTCAGATGCAACAGATGACGACAACGTGTATGTATCGATGTCTCAGGCGTCCTCAGAGCTTTGCTAATCGAGAAATCTAGTCCATGCCAACTCTAGCTCCACTAGTTACGGGCATGGACGTTGATCGGCGTGATGTGCTCATTTCCACTACTGACCACATAGAATATCTACTAATAGTATCCGCTATGGGCTCATTTCTCTGGTAGCCTAGGAGGCGACCTTTTCCAACTCTTTCTTTGTCTAGCATTGCGTTGACACGTTTCTTCGGTATCGGATCATGACATTCACTCGCATTTACTCTAGTGACCCATATTATTGTGTACAAAACCGCGGACACGCTTCGAGACGTCGATACATGTATATATAGCACTGTATGTAATTATCGTTTCCTTTCCATCAAGCATTATACTGAGAATCATATTTATTGGGATGTTGTACGGTGTACCAGAGAGCGCCAGGCTTACTATTGGAATGCAGCTGTCAACCTCCTCGAGACTTGTGCATCACAAGCATCTTCCGGGATCTCAACTTGAAATCTCGGTCGGTTATACTGGTATGTCGAAGATCATTCATCGGAGCAACTCTCGGTACAATCTCGCTGTGAACGACGGCGCGGCTCGAAACAATGGAATCGAAGTTCTAACGTCTTCTCACTTTTCATGCATATGCCCGTTGTTATGAATTCAATTTCCCCAATAGCACATCACATAAGCTCATTCTCCCCTGCTAGGTCTGACCGAGTTGAAGATGCCGATTTGAGATGACCGACATTGATTGTTCTAACACTCTAGCAAGAGCTTCTTCAAGCTCCTATATGCCGAAGTCTCTTGGTTCCGAGCTTCTATTTTCAGGTTCGGAATCGCAGATACGGGTTCGGGGTCGCAGATGCATTCGGATTGCAGTTTGAGATGGTGCATCATCCAGCCACAAATTTATTGTGCGGGTAGGCTCACGTTTCTGTGAAACCTAGGTAAGCTTTCTCAGCTCTTCTGCACTCAAGCTGAATATAGGGTCCAGACTTGGTATAGCATGATTCTATGGCTATAGTCAGTGGGAACTTCAAAGTGTCCAACCCGGCAGTGACTTTTGCTGCGAATGGTCATGTCTTTGTCCCACAGAGACAGGAGACGCCGTGAGACTGTCTTTATACGGCCCTACCCATGACTTGTAGGTCATCTATTCACCCATCTGATGGGACTATGGTTGGCTCGTACCTGTAGGGTTTATATCGTTCACGAGTCAGAACATTTCCACCATACCTTGCGGATAAGGACTATCTCATAAACAGGAGCTACGTAAAACGTATGTAGTTTCCCCGACGTATGCAGATAATTATGCCCACCTATGACATCTATCATGCGCATATACTGCGGCCCTGACGGTGAGGCGCAGGATAGGGCCGCCACAGGGTTACAAACCACAGGCGTCAGAAGTGCTCGGAGAGCGGAGGTCCCCTGGCGCGCGTGGGGCATATATTTTTGGGTATGCTAACCTTGCTGAATATTGAAAAGACCAGAATGACTAGGTCCAATTCAGATTTACCACTGGCACGAAGACGCAGAACATACATGGATAGGCTAGCACCGTTCAGCGTCTTAGGCGCACCATCCAGAATTGACTTTTGATTGTCGCTCTGAGCGCGCAAATAGAAGGCGTGGGGCTGCCGGCAGTTTGCTATCTTTGGACTCAAAGCGATGCGATGACGAAGGCATTCTAGTCTATCGGGCGATCACTTGTATCTTGTGACCTCTCGCACGTCCACGTCTGGCCCTTCTCTGGCCCACAAGGGGACCACTATATCAATCTTCCTGACCTCCGAGCGTCAGGCAAGGACTCACCTTAGTGGAGTGCGGACCGTCTTGAGCAGACAGAAATATCTGTGTTTTCGGCGACAAAGCATTCGAAAGAAGCTGAAGAATCGTGGAGTACGTCCTTAGCCGCAAGGTGTTTATGGAAGGAACAAAAAGCCAAACTCAGACTTATTAATGTTATCAATGGAAACTTGTCATCACCACATACCCTGATTAACAATAGTATCCCCATTATAAACACGCTTCGGCCGACCACACGGACCTCAAGTGACCCCTTGGCATACAATCGTCCGTCCATTCGCATCCGCCACGACGCAGACATCTAGCACCATCGCGTTTTCAAGGTGCAGAGACGCGTGAGATTGCACGTATGAAGAATCATGGGTTGGAGATGCAGGGCACGGTGTAATAAGGGCGGCGCTGGGAGAGTAATCCGACGACAACCGGCATACAGCGAAGGCGATACACACCGTCACGCCTGGGATTTCTTTGAAGGCCTGCCGAGAATGATCGCGCAGGAATGCATATGAAAGGCGCTGTAGGAAAGCAAGAGGCATCAAATCTGCGTTGTTTGAAACTCGCAGTGTGGACAATGGGTGGCAGGTAAATGAGTAGGAAGACAGACACCCTTCATCGTGGTTAACGAGTGGGTCAGGAGCGCATATTCCATAAGTGATTCTTGGAGCAGACGAGAGACAAAAGCTGACATTTCTCAAGGATCTTCTCAAATGCCACCTCGAATCGTCCTCTGATAGCCATTCAACATAGATTTCATATCACCTCTCAAAAGATAGACCTTTTTGAATCAGGACCCGAGTGAGTTCAGAGTAATTATTGAAAGGCCCCAGCAGCGAGCATAAGCGAGCTGACTCAGTACTCAGAAAAAGATCCCATATGAATAGGCCTCGTAGTCGAGCGAGAACTCCTGGAGAGATTCCAGAGTACGGATTGAATCGACTCCCATGTGCTCAGTATTCCTCTCCCTATGATAATGACGGCCGAGTTGAGACACGCCCAAGAGCCACGAATATGGAATCCGCGTGGTTGAGATTGGGATACAGAGATGGAGGACAGATGGAAGTTATCGAGCGACAATACCTAAAGCTCCTCGGCGGTTGAAGGTGGGGGAGTCTAGCTCATGAAGCTCAGATGGGTTTAAAAAGTCGACGTAGAGCAGTCAGAGCTGGTTGGCATCAAAATTGAAAGGTCACGACAGACTGTGAACAGTATTGGTAGCCTATCTTCACCCTCGAGCTATCTGTAGAGGTCCTCCTTCGCTTCGTTGCGCCTCCGCTGAAAGCGCCACTCGTCTGGTATGACCTAGTTCATGGCACGAGAAGAGGAAGATGCCTACCACGCGGGACATTAAGTAGCCATTGGTTGCTAATGATGGAATCGACGCGGACTTGAAGAGGATCTGCGATGTCTCTTCCCACGTCAATTTCTGGAAGGCATGTCGATGCAAGAGAGTCCAATGAAGAGAGAGGCCTGCTCGCAGAGGCTGTTGATCGTCGACAGAAGGCCATGAATTATGACCTTAACCCAAAGGCACACCCAAGAAAGTACTGGCCATATCGGGTCTTCAAGATGCCACTCCGCCAGTACGTATCTTGCGGATCCAAGAGCAACCACAAATCAATGGTTTGTGAATATCGCACCTTCTTGACGTTATGGACTGAAGACATCTGACAGAATTAGGAAATTACGCTCTTGTTGCGGTCACATAAAAAAGTGAAAACATGGAGCGAGGGTGTCGGAACGCTCAACCGAGTTGACTATGTCCTCAACATGCTGGGATGTCAGTTCCATGCTTATACATCGTGAGCGCACTTTGTCACACTTTTTGAGGTGGGTGCGACACAGTTTCATCCACAGCCTTTCCATCAACGGCAGCTTGGATGAGACAGCGTGGAGGGCGCCTCCGAATCACCCATTAGACGCCTCGCCACCTCCATGTCCATCATTTGCTGGACCCTTGATTCTCGAACGATATGACAGCGTGCCCTTGTCGTGCCGATGCGTATGCTTTGACCCAGAAGCTGTGATATGTAAGGTCGGGAATCGGCCCTCTGCTTGTCGGTGCTAGGCTGCGTCCGTGTGCTTCTATCTTTTCCTATTGCTTTAAAGGAGACTCCGTGTTCAAAACGTGCCTCTCGGCGAATGATCCGGTTGCGGCCTCGTCTCGACAAGCTAGATCGATCGCGGGACTTCGAGTTCTAGGATGACCGAGCTGGAGGTAGCGAGCCGTTCAGCGTTCGAAGCCTAGTTGACATGCTTTCGTTCGTATCTCGGGCGTTTGCTTTCGATCCGTACTGTCGTTCAAGGCCGCGAGCTCCGGTACGCGAAACATCTTCGTGTTGTTTTCATGTTCACCGTTCGTTTTAGTACAACCACATCCTGTGGACGGCGCCTGTGCTATCGCGTATTCACTGCAGGGTGACCCACAAGCCGAGACCGAAACCTGCGAGCGGCATTAAGCCTCTGACGAAATTGAACCTGACCCACTTGACGACCTCGCTGACCTGACCCTCAACATCCAAGGCTCTGCCCTCTCCCCTCTCTTTGCGCGCCGGTTCCGACGCTCCCTTGGAAGCCCTGAGAAGGGCTTTGACGTTCGCACTCATGATAGTGAGCGTGAACGGTGCGATGGCGATACAGGCCGCTCCCGCGACAACATAGCTGCGCGAAATCCAGCGCGGAGATTTGATGGCATAGTGGGCGTAAGCGGTGTAGAGGAAGCTGGCCGAGGCGAGCGCGGCAAGAGGCAGTGCGAGAGACTTTCCGCGGTGATAGAGCGCGGCCCACTGGCGCGCCAGGAGGTTCGACTCATTTGAGGAGGCTGCGGGGAAGAGTGCGGGGGCGGCCACGACGGACAAGGAAAGGATGCCGCCTGTGGGGTCAGGGGTCATCAGCGATGGATCGGGCGGCCGTTCATGCGGACCATCGTCACAGGTTGTGCGTTATAGAGTTCAGATACCCCATCGAGTGCAATGAGAGTCGTTGCCACGGTTTGCAGGGGTCTGTTGTGCCGCAATATGGATTATGCTCACCGGAAAGCAGCCCCGATGTTACGAGTCCAACGGCCGTGGCGATATGCCCTCCCGTTCCCGTGAAGCCTGGTGATTGGATGAGAGAGAGAGTAGACATGGTTGTTGTCGTGGTTAAGTGACTTGGGAGCGCCGACTGCTCGACCTCGCGCGCATGACGTCGCGTCCTGGCGGCTATGATGCCGTGACATCATCCCCATTGGAAACGGTCAACATTCGAATTATGAATCGACAGTCCTACTTTACATGGGTACACGTAGCGCAGTCAAACCAGATGCAAGCAGCTCCACCCTCAATTCCCTCCTATTAACGGCGCACGCTCCTCGTCCTCCAACACAAGGCCACCGTGGCTCCAGCCTTTCCTGCCGAGACCGACACCCCCTTTGACAACCCACACCAACGCAAGGATCGCGAAAGCAAGCGAAGACCAGTGGATGAAGCTCGACGACCGCTGGTGGGCGAAGATGGCGAATAGTGACCAGGCGATCGCGATCGAGGCCGGGAGGTCGCCTTCGGGAGAAGAGAACGCGTAGGCAGCGGCGGTACCCTCGAGGAAGAACCTAGGTCATCACGCGTAAGTAAGAGGGGTACGAACGCAGAGCGCCGAGACGGAGGACGCACAGAGCGAGGAAAACAAAGACTTCGGTCCAGACACCCGCCTTGTGAGTGTAGGAACTGACGCCGAACGCCTCGAATGCGGTAAGAACGACGAGGACGGTGGTCCATCCGTGGTAAAGGGAGAAGGGAAGGTGAACGAAAAGCTCGTCCGCCACACTAGCGGGCTCGTGGTACTTTTTGACGACGTAATAAATATGGGTTACGGCGGAACTGACGAAGAGCGCAAATATGAAGGCTACGGGGAGTCAGGGAAGGCGCGTGAAAGTTGGGGACGATGGGGAGAACGAACCGATGGTGTAGTGGTGGCTAGCCCAAAGGTTGACGTAGATGGCATTGAGCACTCCGAGCAAGGGAAGGCGCCAGGAGATTCCGTCGACGATGATGCGTTTTCCGTTGGGGAAGAACTGGTAGATGATGGTGCCCAGGAGGAGCAAGTGAATCAAGGACCTGAGCCGGACGGGTCAGCGCTCGAATAGAAAGACGGATGCAAGGTATAGACCAGATGAGGAACGCCCAAGGTGCGGGTGTGACATAAGTCTCTTTTCCGGTGAAGTAGATGTCAGTGGGAGCGGCGACGGTGTAGATGTTGGAACCAAGGAAAAGGAGGTAAACGAGGATATTCGCGATCTAGAGAATGTACGTGAAGCGGGAATGGGAGGGAGAGTCGGGCAATATGCTTACTTTGAGAAGGATACCGTCCGACCAAGAAGAGTTGTCTGGAGGCATGTCGATGAGGGAGGGCATGAGAGAAAGGGCAAGAGGGTAGCGGCTGGTAGCGGGGGGCGGCGGACGGGTCTTATGTATGATCGCACACGCGCAGTCGCACGTGCTCGGGGCCTGGGGGGCCTGATGTCATGGGTGATGGTGTGCGCAACGGCCGGCGGCGCCTTGCGGCTGCTTGACGCTGTCTGCGATGCATTCGTGCCTCTGTCGGACATGGTGAGCTCAGCGTGTTCGACGGCGAGCTCGGCGCACACCCCGCCGATGTCCGTGCGATGGCCGAACTCCCGGCTATTTATAGATCCTCGCCCACCCGGACCTGTTTCTCACATCTCCTTGTCCTCTTCTACGACTCCCCCGACGACGTTCCTAACGCACACCGCCGTCCGCGACGACGACGACGCACCTTAGCTGCTGTATTATTAGCCTGCTGTCCCACGACCTGCTTTGATTTTCACCACTGACCTCCCCATGTCGTCTACTGTCGCCTCACAACTGACCTCGTCGTCTCTCACGACAACCTCTCCCCCGGCCTCTGGTACTTCTGATGCTACGTCCGCAACGTTCACTCCTCCGGCTCTCTCCAGCGCTCTACCCGATCCTGGAAGTGTAGGCGCAGGTGGTCAGACCGGCTCTGATTCGGGCTCATCCTCCTCGCTTTACCGTGCGCCCTGAACCTCCCATCTCTTCGTTCGAGTGCACTGATCAAAGGATTCGCTTATTCCAAAATCAGTCTACACCTTCCTGGGTATGCCTTCTACTCCTTCACGTCCGATCGACTGATGCTCACTCTCGTTCACAGCTACTCTTGTCCTGCTCCTCGCCGTATCGGCCACCATCGTCTTCCGATCGATGCTCCTCCGCAGACGCCAGCGCGCAGCTATCCTCGCGGCTATCGCCAATGGCACCTACGTCCCGCCTTCCCCGCCTTCACGCGCCAATCAGTCAGTCTTTGGCGAGAAACCCAGGATGTACGAGGTCTTTCTGGACGAGGAGAAGGCTTGCTCGCAGAAGTGGGCGTCCCTGGCAGTTCGTCTCTCAACACTGTCTTCTATTCTGCCAGTCGTCTTATGTAGATTCATCATAGCCGATCTCTGCGACCTTGGTAGATCCTCCTCGTGGAACATCACTTCCAACAATCCAGTCGACCATCTCGAATATACCTGCCGAGACGAATCTATCGGGAGGGAGAATGAGGCGGTTCCTCAAGTTCGCTATGCCCGGTTTCCTCCGATGGAGGCACTCGCGCCCATCCGAGGCCTATTCGTCTTCTATCGAGTCCATACAGCTTGATTCCCATCAGTCAACCCCACCGCAGCAATGCGCCGACGCGGGGCCAGTCCAGGTCGCTGTCCTTGTCGCCATGCCCTCGGCCGCACGCCCGGGATCGCAATTCCATGACCCTTCGCACCCACCTTCGCACCGATCTTCGCCCTCGTTCTCACGAGACAGAGCGCGTGGGACAACTAGGACACTATCGGTATCCTCAGACGACTCTCTCAAGCACGGCAAGTCCGTCGCTTCGCACGCCGGTCCGTTTGAGTGGGACGACGAGGTCCCGGTGGTAGAAATTGGGATCGTCCATATTGGCGTGGAATCTCCGCTGAGCAAGCAGACTCACAAGCAGACATGACTTTATGAAAGGACCAGCGTGTGTGTATGATGTGGCAGAATGCACGCAGCGTTTAATCGAATTGAATCGAATCTGCTGACGATTTGTAGCATGTCGCTCGGTATGATCGGGAGTATGCCCTTCGCCGCGTTCGGCTCTCAGTTTACCAGTTGCTTAGCACCGAGTGAACGGATCTGTCTGTCCCAGCCACGCGTCGTGAGGAGATGCGTAGGCGCTATAGCTGTCTACGAGCGACAGCTACCTCCGCACATGACAACGGTGGACGCAGGGAAAATGCAACTCTGCGTTGATCCCTCGCTAATGCTCAGTGTCATCGTAAGCTTCTCATCTGCATCTACTGTGCCATGATGAATGACAGCCTACAGGCCGCGCGCAGAATCTTCGGTTAGCATTTCATTCGCCTCTTTCGATTGTTCTGGAATTGTTCGTCGTTGTTCTCGTCACCATATTCCACCCTCTGGTATGATAAATGCAGCAAAAGCTTCACGATTCCAGACGACTCTCCTCGGGGTTTGCGGCGTGTCTGGCGGTGCTTGAGTGGTGCCGATAACTTCGGGATGGCAAATGTTGCGCTACACTCCTGCGACGAATTCCACTTCCAATCGGGATTAATCCTCATCTGTTGTGCAAGGCTTCCATGACTCCCTGTCGAACCTTGACCTTCGTGCTCGTCACTAGTCAGTATTTGTAGCGCAGGCCACTCTCCTCGCTCGATCAACTAGTCTTCTTGCTTTTGTCTACGATGACCACCTCCCCAGTCCAACCCTACAGCATTCACTATACCCTCTCGTTCACGTGCGCAACCGACTCTCCGTCGATGATCTCCCCGTTCACGGCATCAATTTTGTACGCTTCTTCGACACGGACACACAATATGTCCACTTTAATTCTATTACAACCTCCAATTTCGACTCGAAGGTAATACTCCTTTCAAATCTATACGTACACGACAATCAAACGAAGTGCATTGGATCAAAAAGAAGGATGCCCGGGTCACCACCTAATACACCTCGATGGCCCTAGTAGCTGCTTGTAGCGCGTCCGCATATTTCTGGAATTCAGGCTGCGAGCAGGCAAGGATGCGCTGGAACATCATCTTGAATATATCTTCCAAGTCGCCGATGACGGGATACTGGGCCTTGCTGTGCCCACGCACATTCAGGCACCACCGTTCCACCTCCTTTGCGTTATCCTCTGCATAACCATCCCACTTACAACCGTCGATATCAGCTTTCCTGAACGTCAATTCGCAACGAGGACCAGTGGCAAGATGAAATGCGCTTGTGGTGGCCAAATCGAGGAAGAGAGCGACGTGCTTGGGTTTGAAGTGCGCACCGTCCTCACGAACGATAAAAGGGCAGGTCAGGCCATTAGCGGCTGATTTCTCGGCTGCTGTCGATTGAACTTGGATCTGGTAAGGAATCATGATGAAGTTGGATAAATTGAGGCGCCGCTTAATATCTCCCTTATAGCCCACTAAAAACCCGTCCATCACTGGCTGGCTAAACTTGCACTGCACCGCGCAAGTGCGGGTCCAAAGATCACGTAGGAAGTCAGGCTTGAGCTTGCTAATGTTGGTGTCGACTTCAATAAAATGAGTAAAGTTGAGCCAAACATCGCTGGCCCAGCTTATGAGGTTGTTGCGATGCTGCCGTTGGGCCTTTTCGTTGCCCAGACCAAATTTGTCCCCGAGCAAGGTAATCAAAAATTGGTCAAGTCTGACAGGTGGGATCGCGAGAGCCCGTCGGCTCTCAATCATTGGCACGAATTCGCCCCCTCTGGGCAAGGTCGCTTTGTCGCGTGTGAGTATCATGAGAAGTCGACCACATAACTCTCCCTGAAGACCTCGATCAAGCACGACTCCGTTGATGATAAGCTTCTCGAGCAAGGTCTTCATCGCGATGTTGTAGGTGTCACTTGCTTGATTCAACACCTGTGTGGCAGCAATAGCAAGGAGCGGTTCCGAAGGCGCTTTGGTGACAACAATACCGCCGACGACGCCCATCAGAATTCGCATGTGTCGAGCCACGGCGACCACGGCTACCCGACTCGCAGCGGCGCTTTCGCCAACTTCGAGCAAAACTCGATTGGCAAAGGCAGCAAGAACGTGGTCTTGGTCGGTGGCGTCGAATGAAGGGCCACGGAAAAGCTTTATTATAGCCAATCGTACCAGATCCATGTGCGTTTCGCTTGTGGCCCAAAGCTAGTCAAGTGCCCATCAAGACATAATCAAGCATCATTTCAAACGGGCACTTACCGGTCGGCCAAACTGCTTGAGGTTTTTCAATGACAGCGCGTCTTCAGGTTTTTTTATTTGCACGTCCATCTTGAACTGGTCCAATCCAAGGTAGACCCAGACAGGCAAAGGTTTGAGTGCATCTCTCAGCCTAAAGGACGAAGCAATATCTCCGGTCCCTGCTAGGAATGGCACAGACGAATTCGTATCGAGAAGAAGGTGCCAGAATACCACTCCATGAGTATCTTCGTAATAGTCGATAACCTTGATGATGCGTTCCAAAGCGATCAATGACATGTGTGCACCGGGAGGGCGAGGAGTTTTCATCGTGTCCTTGCCCATATTGAGGAGGGTGCACTCATCGAAAGCGAAGACAAACCGATCGTAACTCAGCGTTTTGAGCTTCTGAGCTAGATCCATCAACCTTGCCTTGACGAGAAGGAGAAAGACTTCATGATGCCGCGTAATGATGCCTTGAAGCTCGTCATCTGTCGGGGTTTCCGATTCAAAGCCTTTGGTTCGAATGTGTTCGAGCTCGGCTGTGTTGTCTGCAAGCATCTGTTCTGCGCGCTGGACGACATCGATGAAAAGCTCTTGACGCTGTTCTGCCGGAAATTGCACCTGCCATGCTATCATAGCCTCCTTGGGTGAGGCCGATTGGCCGATCGTATCCTTCACAACCTCCAACAGTGCCCCATAGAAGGCTGCAGCCAGCTCCTCACCCTAGCCGAACATTAAAGATGCATACTCGTAAGATGAGTTTCTGGGCTCACTCTGAACTGGGGCGCGCGGTTTTTTGCGAAGAATTCGTAGACGCCATGATCGCGAGGGGGCCAGCCTTGTGTCACCTCCTCGCTACCTCGAAAGCAAACACTCAGAGTTGGGATCTGTCGGATGATTTGAATATCAAAACGAGGGTCGATTTTTGAAGAAAGCGTACGAACGCGACTGCCTAATTCTTCAACCAAGCGTGATTTCCCGGTGCCACTAGACTGCAGGATACTGATTATTTTGCCGTAGTGAATGTCGCGCTTGTAGATGGATTCATACTCCTCAAGGGCCTGAAAGAAATCGTTGACTGCGCCGCCCCGGTATTCTTCATGGAAAGCCCTGTCTAGCCTCTTTTCCTTCTCGTAGCTGTTGTAGAAGGAAAGGCTGCTCAGTATGGAAACGAACAGGGGAAGAAATACTGCCAACTCACGGAGTCTCCGGTGGCAAATCTTCATTGATAACTCCACATCGAGCATGTCAAACGATACGTAGAGCATGTAGAGCATGAGCGACGTACTGCAAGCGTCTAGAAGAAATTCGCCAGCATGATCGCAATCGAGAATGAGCTCCATAAGATCGTAGTCGGACTTCAACGGACGAGGGGAGTTCGTATCGCCTTGATGGAAGAGAGCATTTAAAAGAGCCGCTGGGAGTTTACCCTGAGGTAGACGAGCAAGCCAACGTATAGCCTCTTGTGCAAAGGCCCGGGGGTGATCCAGAACCTGATCGGGTTGACGAGAGTGTATGGCTTGAATAACTTTTTTCGGATAGAGTCTTGGGATCATTTGGACGCGGTATTCATCTACATCAGATTCGTCGAGGGTCGCGAACCAGTGGATGACCTGTTCTTGGACATTGGAGGTAGTGGTACTAATATTCATTTCTAAAACCTTTGCCCGTCTTGCGTTTGAAGTTGCACAACTCCTCTTTGGGCCCTTACGCCTACCATCTCGTGTTTTCCCACACCTCCCACCACCCTCCTCTGCGCCTTACAGATGCTCTACACACTTATTATGCCCCCTACTGGTTCTCAGCCGACAGGGGGAAAGGCCCCGGATGGATCAATACCGAAACCACCAGGGAAAACCCAACCCACAACCTCGTTACCGCCAGAAGCCACTTCCTCCCCAGCCGTGGCGATCACAACACTATTTTTTAATTTTGATTTTAATAATCAAATCATTTATATCCAGCACGGCGTAAGGTCAGTGACAGCAGTTTTACAGCCAGATTCATAACGATAGGCCCAAGCTTCGGAAAAAAGGACCTAGTCGGAGCATTAAATTTGAGATCTAGACAGCGCACGACTGGGGAGAGGAGTGAGGACAACAAGCGGGGAAATCGGCATCTACCTTACATGGCCAAAATATTTCAGCGCCGACACCATTTGCTAAGTATGTTCTTTTTTTGGCTGTAAGTAGGGGAACATGAAGGAGGCGATCGACATCATGACCAGGCAGGAGGTGCTCGTGCAGCAGATTTTCCGGTTCAGGTTCACAAAGAGGTGCTTCGAGCAGGTCATCCTGCGCTGGGAGATGAACACTGCGCCCGAGCTCCCAAAAGAGGTTCACTTCTCTTGCGCTCTCCAGTTCGTGCTCACGCTCACACTGACGCACAGACGTGCGCACAGCCTCAGCCAGCCGCTCGAGCTCCGCCGCCAGGGGGCCGAGGAGGAGTCGTACTTCAACATGGACGACGACGGCTCGCTGCCGCTCTCTAGCACGCCGCTGCTCACTCGTCACTAGTCCGCGGACCAGAACCGTAAGCGCCAGCGCGTGCCTGGCGTGCCGATGCTACCCGCTCTGCATGCCAAGCATCCACCTCCCACACGCGCCGCTCAGCGGCAGCCTCATCGACCACCACGACTCCTCCTCGCGCGAGCTTGCGCTCGACCTCAGCCTCAACCTCGACCGCCGCCTCGCGCCTCTCGGCCCTCACGGCGGCGACACGGCGGCGGGCGCGGATGCCGCGCACACCGTCGCGCCCATGCTGACCCCTACGCGCCTCCGACGCTGCGCCTCTCTCATCGGCTGATCGTGGGCGCACGCCCAACGCCGACGATGCCGGAAGTGGCAGCGGTGACGAGCAGCTGAACGCGGGCGGTGGCGATGACGGTGGCGGGAGGTTCATACCGCTATCACATGTACGCGCATCCCCTCGTTCTCTCTCCCTCTTCCAGCGTCACTGTTGAGACCCCGCCGTTCCTAAACCGTGCACACACCGTCGCCGTCCCTCCACGCACCCCGCTTCCATCGTAATTGCACTCCTCGCCTGCGCACAAAGCATCATGAATATTACTGCGCGTCGACGAGGAGGCCGTGGAGCCGCTGGCAGCGGAGAGATGAACTAGGAAGAAGGAGGCCGAGTGTTACCAAGGTTAGTAACTCCCGCTCTCCTCCTTTCTGTCTGCCCCTTGCCCACCACCGAGTGCCCTCGACCCCCTTGAACCCTCGAGCATACGCACCTGCCTTCGCTTGCCATCCGCATTCGTTTACGCATGACTTCTCCAGCTCACGCACGCACGCCCGACTTCTCGTCAACCCCTCCGCCTGCCCCTTCCTCATCCTGCATCATTGCCGACACCGCCCACGCGCTCGACCCCGCATCCTCACATTCTCGTCTCACCTTGTCCTCTTGACGATGCGACCCCTCGGTCCCCGCACACACTCGACCCCGCACACGCTCGACCCTGCACACGCTCGATCCCCCATTTGTCGGCCATCCCGTGCTCGTGGCTGAGGAAGTCGAAGAGGAAAGGCGGCGGCGGTGGAGGATGAAGAGGGCTGGGAGCTCAGATGGGCATAGACGATGAGAACGTCGTGATGGATGCAGCTTCCCTGAGCAGGACGAACGTCATGAAGGTGTGTCGTTGTCTCTCCTTACACCAGTTCCTCTCTCCACACGCGTATATCCCAGTCTCGATTTTCTGCCCGCCCCTCCTTCGACCTGTGCCCCTCGATTTCCTCGGCAGCGACGTTCCGCCGTTGACGCCGCGTCGGGTCATCCGTTCAGCCCACGCAACCCTGCCACACAGCGCCCTCGCGCTCATCCCCTCGATGGTTCACATCCACCCCTTCCTCGTGCTGCGTCGCCGCCAAAACCCAGCGCACGCTCACCCCTATGCACGCTCGCGCCCAGAATCCTCGTGCTCGTGCTCTCTGCTGTCGATGTTCCCGCTGTCGAAGTCACCATCTTCAACGGTGTCGACGCCAACCCCTTCGACATCACTGCCCCCGCCTCCGCCAGGGAACACGATGTCCTCGTCGAGTTTCCCACCCTAGTAGTATTACTGACACTTTTGAGTCCACCGATATCCGAAACTACTGTGTTGCCAATTAAATGCAACTATAAATACAAAAAAATATTTTCTGTAATCTTCATACCCTGCTTCAACTTTGAGGCCTAGAAGCAGTGAGATTGAATCAGGGGTTCAATAGATATGGATTTAAACAGTCTACCCCCTAAAAGCAGACTGTGTGAAGCACAGTCTGGGTTTTGGGAACCAAATCCAAAGTTGCACACAATTCTGTCTGATTCTAACCTGAAAAGCTAGAAGGTTCAGGGTAGGACAGGGGTATGGCAGGGCTAAAGAGGCCATTAAGAGGTGAAGAAGCCACCCATGCCAATATACACGGCTGACATGACAAGCCTGTCCGCGGCTGGAGAGGCTTGTCATGTCAGCCGTGTATTGGCAGGGCTGAGTCCTGATACGTGGCTGACATGACGAGCCTCACTGTGGCTGGAGAGGCTCGTCATGTCAGCCGTGTATTGACAGGGATGAGTCCCGATACGTGGCTGACATGACGAGCCTCGCTAGTAGTATTACCGACACTTTTGAGTCCACCGATATCTGAAACTACTGTGTTGCCAATTAAATGTAAATATAAATATGAAAAAATTCTTTCTGTAATATTCATACCCTGCTTCAACTTTGAGGCCTAGAAGCAGTGAGATTGAATCAGGGGTTCAATAGATATGGATTTAAACAGTCTACCCCCTAAAACCAGACTGTGTGCAGCACAGTCTGGGTTTTGGGAACCAAATCCGAAGTTGCACACAATTCTGTCTGATTCTAACCTGAAAAGCTAGAAGGTTCAGGGTAGGACAGGGGTATGGCAGGGCTAAAGAGGCCATTAAGAGGTGAAGAAGCCACCCATGCCAATATACACGGCTGACATGACAAGCCTGTCCACAGCTGGAGAGGCTTGTCATGTCAGCCGTGTATTGGCAGGGCTGAGTCCTGATACGTTGTCGCGGAGAGGAATGGTTTCTCCCCTAGATACGATCGGGGTTTCCTGTTTTTCCGGATGTACCTAGTGTTCGTTTGATTGCTGTTCTAGATGATACCTTCTGGTGTTGGCACGATACACAGATGTTGGTCACAGTTATAGGCAACGATGAGAATATCTTGAGCTATTTAGCGAATTTCTGAAGTGGTGCCGGACCACTAACAAAGACAATACTCCGTAAATACTGAGAATAATGAGGAGAGGCTTAAGAACTTTGTGATTCAAGTTGCTGAGGTGCTACACAGATTGAAGGCGAGCTACTAGTTCGTCTAGTATCCCTACAAGTCTTGCAGCTTATCTCCAACTGATATCACTCAAAGAACTTATTGACTGGCACTGACTGACTGAGTAAAAGTAAGAGGGAGAGATGGTCTCTGCCTGAAGCAGGACAATCAGCCTCCTTATATACTATTTCAAGTGGGAATCTCCTTCCTAGTATATACAGGCTGAGTAGAGTCATTGTGAGTCACAAAGAATGCTGTAGAAATAAAAAGAATTAGGAGGAAAGCAGAGGAACAGAAAGGAAAGTAAAAGAAAGGCTCAGAATGTGGTAGAATATTCCTTCAGCTTCCTTCAGAACTGCTCAGAACCTTCCCCTCCTTTCAGCTTGGAATGCCCTAGACCTTGCCCCTTTCCTAAACATTCTCCATCCTTCTACTAAAGCTCCCTTCTATTCTACCAGATTCCACTGCTTTCTTTCCATTCCTTATTGTCTTGCCATGGTCTAGCCCTTTCTGAAATAGACCCTAGGCTCTGGAATCTGTCCCAAAAGCGAATTATAAGTATGAAAAGGGATAGGAAATCAAGTTTAAGTGGTAAAATACTCGAAAAATATGTAGAAAATCGGAATTAAATGTCCTGTCCCTTCCAGGTTGTTTCTCTTTTCTTTCTTCTAGTCAGATATTCTGCCCTCCATTCTACCATCACTATTTGATGCCTAACAATGTGCGAGCGCGACATCCGCGGGGCACTAGCATTCAACCGTCCCCGGTTGACGGTATATTCTTTTTAGGCTACGTGATTCCATGATTTCAAAAAAAGAAACTTGGAAGTGCTAATGAATGTTAAAAAGATTGTTGAATCGTGATACCAAAGGCATGTCCATAGAAACTCAAAAAGGAAGAAAGGATAGACTGTAAGAATGTTTATGGAGCATACCGTAAAACAAGATTAGGCATGACGAAAGCGACGAAATATCTGAGCCCCTGCTCCTCCTAATGCCCGCCTGGTGATTTCCTCCACATCCTCAGTAGATGTTGCTTCTCGTTCACGATCGGCAATAAAAAGAGCACGAATGTACTCGCCAAAGTTATGATACAGAGCGTATCCCATGGGAGAGGGTGAGTTGATCCGATGAGTAGAGGCGATAACGACGATCTGCTTGCCACTTGCTTTTCCTGAAAAGACCACAATCCTATCATCCCTCCAGATTCTCTGCCCCAGGACAATTGACTGATAGTCAAATACTCCGTTCTCCTTCTTTTCGATAACGTCAATCGACACTCCTTCCTCCAACCATACTCCATCTCGCTCTGTAATCACTGTTACTCCCATCATTATTCCTCCTGCCTGCATTGGTGGCATCCGAATCCCAGGCTCCACGGGGGTAATTGCTATGGTACCAGGCACATTAACTGGTGTTTCTGGAACAGTGATGGATGGTGCGAGTAATGCGAGGTCGACACGGTGTATAGGTTCAGATAAAATAGATGAGAATGAGCGTGGGGGAGGAAATACTGATGCAACATCAATCAAATCCGGCCGTGGCTGAGATGGAACTATAAGTGGCTGGAAGTCCACTGGTGGCTGAGGAAAGATGGTGCTCCGCTTGCGGAATAATGATCGAGGGAGGGTATTCCACCATGACAACTGATCACTGTGGTTAGTCGACATGATGGTTGATACTTGACACGCTTAGTTAGCCTTAATATATTGCCATAGATTATGCTCCCTTCTTGTAATTTGTCCATAGCCAAGCTTTTGAACCCTTAAAGCCGCGACCGCTCTAGATTTTCCTAGTAGTATTACCGACACTTTTGAGTCCACCGATATCCGAAACTACTGTGTTGCCAATTAAATGCAAATATAAATATGAAAAAATCCCTTCTGTAATCTTCATACCCTGCTTCAACTTTGAGGCCCAGAAGCAGCAAGATTGAATCAGGGGCTCAATAGATATGGATTTAAACAGTCTACCCCCTAAAACCAGACTGTGTGAAGCACAGTCTGGGTTTTGGGAACCAAATCCGAGGTTGCACACAATTCTGTCTGATTCAATAGGCTTAAAATGTATTTGTTATGGTACCCTAATATTTTCATTAGTAGACATGGAGTACTGAAGATGTTACAGGCAAAATACAGAATTGAGGGAAAACCTCAAAAAACCGAGTCTCCAGTCCACAATTGTCCTTGGATTTCCATTGCCAAACTAATAAAATGCTCCTACATACACTACCTTTCAGATTCTAACCTGAAAAGCTAGAAGGTTCAGGGTAGGACAGGGGTATGGCAGGGCTAAAGGGGCCATTAAGAGGTGAAGAAGGCATCCATGCCAATACACGGCTGACATGACGAGCCTGTCCGTGGCTGGAGAGGCTCGTCATGTCAGCCGCGTATTGGCAGGGCTGAGTCCTGATACGTGGCTGACATGACGAGCCTCACTGCCACTGGAGAGGCTCGTCATGTCAGCCGCGTATTGACAGGGCTGAGTCCCGATACACGCCTGACATGACGAGCCTCACTGCGGCTGGAGAGGCTCGTCATGTCAGCCGCGTATTGACGGGGCTGAGTCCTGATACGCGCCTGACATGACGAGCCTCACTGCGGCTGGAGAGGCTCGTCATGTCAGCCGCGTATCATGACTCAGCCCTGCCAATACGTGGCTGACATGACGAGCCTCTCCAGCCGCAGCGAGGCTCGTCATGTCAGCCACGTCCTATTCCTCCTCTCCTCGCCTTCCTTTTCGCGGTCTACCTTGCACTCTTACTCTTTGACACCCGCCTCGTCTCACTCCCCCGGCAACGCGCTTCGGTCAGGTTATTGCGAGTGTGGGCTTTGGACGCGACGTCTCGCAGAACCGCACGCTGAAGACACTATGGGCGCGCGATGTCGCGGACCCGCCAGACGAGAACATGTATCAGTGCAGGCGATTCTTATATTCCTCCCTCAAACACCGCTTCCACGTATCCACCGTCACTCCCCAGTCGCGCGGTGTCTTTCTGTCTAAGTAGGATCCCGCCGCCTCTACCTTATCAACATTATCACCAAATCTTTGACTGCCTACCCTAGCACTGCCAGCACGGACACCCTCCTCGCCGCTGATACAGCCTCCACGAGCACGCTCTCGGTCTCTCGATATTCTCCGTCCTCAGGGCCGTCATCGCACATTCCGAAGTCGTGGTCGGCGCGCCCGCGTGAGAGCCGATGTGGGCATATGGGTTCCGCCTATGTTGGTTGGTCTACACAAACTGTTGAGAGGTGCGGGAGCAGATGTGCACGATGTGCAGGGTGGCGGTTCCTCTTGAAGGTACGTTCGCAGCTCTTTGTGCTCGTGATAAGTGCTCGTGCGACGACATGGATTGTGTGGTTCATTTTTGGAGGGTAGTTAGTTGATTGGGGGTGCACGCCGCGAGCCACGTCTCGGCTGTGATCACTGAGATCGGGCGCGCGGTGTCCATCCGCAGGGTGATCAAACAGGAGCTAGGGCAGTACACGCCCGCCCCAGCATCAGCATCAAACGAGTTTTCGCCCACCCTGTACTCGGTCGAGGAGGCAAAGCCGGCGGCGCCTGTGCAGCGTGCGAGCTCATCGTCGGCCTCGAACAGGCGCGTGGACCACCCAGAGGACCACTACCCGCTGCAGCCCAATCTGCTCCGCCAGCAGCCGCCCTACTCGGCCGAGTCGCTGTTGAGGCATCTGCCATTGTCAGGGCGCTCGTCGGGCGACAGCCGCTTCCGCAAAGCGTCGTCAGAGTGCTCAAGCTCCGCGGGCTGCTCGCTGCCGCCAATCTTTGGTTAGGTGCCCACGGGGAGCACAGCGGGCATGCTCAGCAACGACTCGGCGGTTGCGGAGGGCTCGGAGGATGCCTGCACAGAGCTTAAGGTAATACTTGTCTTCTGATGGTTCATTTACCCCGCACTCACGCTTTTTCACAGCCCTCTCTCGAAGCGCAGACTGAATCAATTGTCTACACCATCCAGAGCGTGCTGTCCGGCGTCCGCTCGCCGACACCCTCACCGATGCCCTCGCCGACTGTCAACGAGAACCTCACGCAGACTATCACGATTGTGTCCAGCATTGTCGCCGTCTGCCACGACAACCTTCCGCCCGCGTCGGCGCAGCAGGGGAACGACATCCTGCGCGAGCTCAGCAACCACGCGAACAAGCTCAGCAAGGTCCAGGCCATGCGCGACACTCCTACGACGCAACCTCGGACAGGGTTGACTCCGCGTGGCGGCATTTTCGACGTCGAGTTCGGAAGCCATTATCCCTATCCCATCTCTATGCCCATGCTCATCTCTCCATCTGTCTTCTCGTTGTCCATCTGGAAGCCACGCTCGCTGTCGGCCTACCGCTGACTGCACACCTCGCAAGTCCAGTGCCGCTGTCGAACGACTGCTCCAGCGCTAAGTTCTTTCGGCTGCTCAGCACGTCCGCGTCCTCGCAGTGATACGGCGAGTTGTCTCTGCCCGTGATCATGCCCCCGTCGCCGTCCTCCGCCCTTTTCCAGTCGCATAACCGACTGCTCAGTGCCTAGTGACAAGCTGGATGCTTGAGCGCGACGCCGACGTCACGCTCTGGATGAGCGGCTGCGTGCGCATGTGGATCCCGTGCAACTGCACTAGCAAACTTGCCTGATGTTCCACTAAATTTGCTGAGCACTCAGACTGTGGCTTAGTTCTCTTTGCGTTGCTAAGCAGACATGAGAATTAGTGAGGAGATTAACGATGTATACACGCGTCAGAATTCCAGGCTGTTCAACTCTAAGCAGTTCAGCCTTTAACGCTTTCCATGTCTGAGGAGCGTATTAATGGTATTGCCTCCTGGCTCAAATCTCTGCTCGAGCCCTCGCGCAAGCTCCACGCCCGATAGGCTGCCGCGCAAAGCACCATCTCCATGTTGAAGTCGAAGTTTTCCTCGCCTGAGTCGCTCGTCCAGACGTCCCAGACCGTGTCACCGCCAAGACTCTGTGCATGCTCGACGCCACTCTTGCCCGCTCTATCGTTCCACCATGAGCCTCTCCACGCCTCGCCCCTCCCCACCCCCGTCCCCCCTCAGTGCACGCACCCGCCTGCGCCTGCGATCTGAAGCCGCGTGCGTACGTTCCCTCGTCCCCTCGAGCCCACGCCCATCTCCTCGAGCCCACGCCCGCCGCCTACTTAGTACCCTCGAATCTCTACACCGTTGATGTTGACATTCACGCTCCTGCCTTCGAGTCCATGTGCGCACGCGTGTCTTCCTCTCCACGTTATACCTGCGCCACTCAGTACCCTCCTGCTTATCACCTCCAGCCCATGCTCGTGCGTCGCCTGGACCCTCCACGCTGCCCCGCTCTCGCCGTACTTGTGCTCAGCGCCCGCACACAAATTATCGCGAAGAGAATGCCACGCACGCTTCAGTGCGTCGACGAGGAGGGTGAGGCAGCAGAGAGATGAGCTAGGAAGACGAAGGCAGAGCATTATCAAGGTCTGTACAACCCACTCTCGTCCTTTTGGCCCGCCCTTTGCTCGCAACCTCTGCGGCCTCCTTGATGCCATGCCCGCTCGCTCACTCGACCTCTTTGATAGTCAATCCCGCCTCTGATGCGTGCACATGCGACCCCTCAACGCCACGCACCCGCCTTCGCCTGCGACCCACATCCGCCCGCACGCGTCCTATCGATCCCACACCCGTCTCCTCTAGCACATGCCCGCCCGCCGCCGAGTGCCTTTAACCCCCTCGACCACTTGGGCCCACGCATTTATCCTCGCCTGCGACCAACATCTGCGCCCACATGTCTCTTCCAGCCCCGCATGCACGACCTCTCGGCCCCTCCTCTCGTCGACCCTCATTCATTCCTCCATCGTCCTGCCTCGTGCCAAGACCTCACACTCCACCCCGCGCACGCTCGACCTCTCTTTCGTCAACCGTCCCGCCCTCGACCTAGTCTAACTGGCTGGCGGCAGAGCAAGAGAAAGAGGAAACAGCGTCAGCGACAGAGAGATGAGCTAGGAAGAAGGATGGGCATGGACGACGAGGACGTCCGTCCACGACACATGCACGCTCGCTGAACAGGATGAGCGTCATGAAGGTGCGCCGTCGTCTCTCTTCCCACTAGTCCCTCCGCGCACATCCTGCTGGGACAGTGCCTCTACAGCTAGCCCCTTGATACCAGTCTACCGACAGCCCAGCTGTCCAACTACCTTAGCTCCTCCCCCGCCACCCACCCGGTCCATCATCACTGACCTCGACGACACTCCTGGTCTCGCACAGGTCACATCGGCTATACAAGCATGCAAGCTAAGAGCACATAATTAGAGTCCTAATCATATACCCATCGAATTCATCCGACAACGTACAATAAAATCACCTCATTGCATACATTTAGCGCTCTCGGAGCATTCTGCATGCCCCAGTCCCCATGCACGCCGCACCTGAGAGCAGACCTCCGCGCCCACCGCCCGTCCGTGACGGGCTCTGCGCATAAAATCGCCGCCCATGCGACCAGTGCCGGCGCCAAAATACGCTCACTCGTGCTCTGCACGCTCGCTACGACCCTCCCGGATCGCATGGCTGCATCCTTGCCCTCAAAATGATCGGCAGTGACTTCTACGAAGCGTACAACTCCTTTGCCCATTTCCCCTTTACCTGTCCTCCTTTTTTTTTCTTCTTCTTTCCATCTGAGTCTCTCTTTTGTCCCTTTACGTGCATTTGGTGTGTAATCCATACGTCACTTGGACGAATGCGGCGCAGGCGAGTCTTATGTACGATCGCACACGTGCAGTCGCACGTGCTCGGGGCCTGGGGGGGGAGGCTAATGTCATGGATGATAGTGTGCGTAACGGCCGGCGGCGCCTTGCAGCTGCTTGACGCTGTCTACAATGCATCCGTGCCTCTGTCGGACGTGGTGAGCTCGGCGTGTTCGACAGCGAGCTCGGCGCACACCCCGCCGTTGTCCGTGCGATGGCTGAACTCCTGGCCATTTGTAGATCCTCACCCACCCGTCCCCGTCACCCGTCCCTGCTGCCGCTCCCCCCGCCTCCGCCGCCCCGCACGCCAAAACTTCGCCCACGTTAGGTTAGGTTAGGTTAGGTTAGGTTAGGTTAGGTTAGGTTAGGTTAGGTTAGGTTAGGTTAGGTTAGGTTAGGTTAGGTTAGGTTAGGTTAGGTTAGGTTAGGTTAG